TGCCCCCTCTTCTCCTTATGTCAGCACTAGAGTAAATGCTGGTTGAAGTGCTGACAGTTGATGCAGGAGGCCTTACAGGCCCAAAATGGGGCGAGGGGGGGGGTCTTGTGTGGCGCCCCCCCATCCTGTTTTGGGCCTGGAAAGCCTCCTGTACCAACCTAGAAGCCAAAACGGGTTCCAGGGGGCGGTGCATGCGCGCGGGACTCGCACACGCGTGGGAGAGTGTGCACATACGTGGAGGTTCACCCGCATTGCATTTTCTAAATCTCCCCTTTTAAATGTAAATTTTAATTTGTTTTTAAATGATTGGGTATTTTAAATTTGTCTCAGCCAAATTATTTAATTCGTTTTTATTCTATTTTCAATTTTTGTATTTATGTGTTTTGTTCTGTGGCTGTTCACCGCCCTGAGTCCTTCGGGAGTAGGGCGGTATATAAATCTAATAAAATAAAATAAATAAATAAATTTTGGGGATTCGGGCACACGCGTGTGTTTTGGGCACTGGGCACCGAAAAGGTTAACCATCACTGCCTTAAATCTCTGTGCTTTGCCCCCCGATTTAAAAGAAACGGGACTTTTGCTCCCGGTGAGCTAAACTTTTCAGGCATCAAACGCCATTTTAATATTTGAAGTTGCATTTTCACCGGGCCTTTCTTTTATTTCTAAATTGCAAGTCACTCCGAAGGAAACAACGCCTTGTTCCGCCTGCTTCTAAACTCCCTTTGTCCCGAGATCCCACGGCGATAAACGGGGACGTGTCCCAGATCGATCCGATTAAGGAACAATAAGATCTCGGCCGACAGGAGAGACCGGTGGAACAATTAATTGTTGCCTTCTCTTACATCAGGATCCCAAGAGAACAAAGGCTTTGATTTGCCATTGGCAAAAATGCAGATTATTATTATTTTTTTAAAGACCACTTTCCTGGCAGGGATGAGAAACATGCCTCCTCTTGGGTTTCGCCCAGAGGTGAAATCCAGCAGGTTCTGGAGAACTGGTAGCGGAAATTTTGAGTAGTTTGGAGATCCGGCAAATGCCACCTCTGCCTGGTCCCTGAGTGGGGTGGGAATGGAGATTTTGCAATATCCTTCCCCTGGAGTGGGGTGGGAATGGAGATTTTGCAGTATCCTTCCCCTGGAGTGGGGTGGGAATGGAGATTTTGCAAATATCCTTCCCCTGGAGTGGGGTGGGAATGGAGATTTTGCATATCCTTCCCCTGGAGTGGGGTGGGAATGGAGATTTTGCAATATCCTTCCCCTGGAGTGGGGTGGGAATGGAGATTTTGCAGTATCCTTCCCCTGCCACGCCCAGCCAAGCCACGCCCACAGAACCGGCAGTACAAAAATTTGGATTTCACCACTGGTTTCACCTGCTGAAAATGCTACAAAACCATGGTTAGGAATACAGAGAGTCCTCGATTTATAACGGGTCATTCCGTGACCGTTCGAAGTTAACAGCGGCATGGCCAGAAGTGGCTGTGCGTAACCTCGGTGATTCACTTAACATCTGTGGCAGGGAAGGTCGTAAAATGGGGCAGACCTCGCTTAACGAACGTCTCACGTAGCGACGTAAATTTGGGGCTCCGTTGTGGTCGTAATTGAGGACCACCTGTATTGGGGGGTGCTTTAGTTGCTGTCTTCAGATGTTAAAACGCCTTGGGTTCGTTTTGGGTATGATGGAAAACTCCACATGTGGTAATCTTAGCTTTACATGGACTTCAATTCCCAGAATTCCTCAGCCAAAATGAGGAATTTTGGGAATTGAAGTTTCTATATCACTTAAAATTACCAAGATGGAGAAACACTGAAATGGGATATTGTTAATCCGTAAATAAAAGGCAGATTATCCAGCTGGTTTTGGTGCCTAAGGCGGGACTAGAACTCTCTGTCTCCTGGTGATTGGCCCAAATCTCCCAGCTGACTTTTCTGCCTAATGTGGAACTAGAACTCCCAGTCTCCTGGAGATTGGCCCAAAGTCACCCAGCTGGCTTTCATGCCTGATGTGGAACTAGAACTCCCAGTCTCCTGGTGATTGGCCCAAAGTCACCCAGCTGGTTTTCATACCTAAGGTGGAACTAGAATTCTCCGTCTCTTGGAGATTGGCCCAAAGTCACCTACCTGCCTTTCCTGCCTAATGGAACTAGAACTCCCAGTCTCCTGGAGATTGGCCCAAAGTCACCCACCTGCCTTTCCTGCCTAATGTGGAACTAGAACTCCCAGTCTCCAGGTGATTGGCCCAAAGTCACCCAGCCAACTTTCATGCCTAAGGTGGGACTAGAACTCACCGACTCCTGGTTTCCAGCCTGTTCCCACAACACCCCTGCAAGGTAGCATGGGCTGACAGGGAGGGACCAGCTCAGAGTCCTGCTTAGGAAGCTTTCATGGTTGTGGGAGGACTAGAACCCAGGACTCCACCACGCTTTCTCTCACGGTGACAGTGTTTGTGTCCTTAACTCCCCCGAGATTAAACCCTCTCTCACCTGTTTCTCAGGTATTATTCTGAACGGGGCGACGCCGTTTCCAAAGCTGCCAAAACTCCCCATGTGGTAAGTTTCCCTCCTTTCCCATTAAAATCTTAACCTAAGGCGGGACTAGAACTCCCGGTCTCCTGGTGATTGGCCCAAAGTCTCCAGGCTGGCTTTCATGCCTAATCTGGAACTAGAACTCCCAGTCTCCTGGTGATTGGCCCAAAGTCTCCAGGCTGGCTTTCCTGCCTAATGTGGAACTAGAACTCCCAGTCTCCTGGTTGATTGGCCCAAAGGCACCCAGCTGGCTTTCCTGCCTAATATGAAACTAGAACTCCCAGTCTCCTGGTGATTGGCCTAAAGTCTCCCAGCTGGCTTTCCTGCCTAATGTGGAACTAGAACTCCCAGTCTCCTGGTGATTGGCCCAAAGTCTCCCAGCTGGCTTTCATGCCTAAGATGGAACTAGAACTCCCAGTCTCCTGGTGATTGGCCCAAAGGCACCCAGCTGGCTTTCCTGCCTAAGGTGGAACTAGAACTCCCAGTCTCCTGGTGACTGGCCCAAAGGCACCCAGCTGGCTTTCCTGCCTAATGTGGAACTAGAACTCCCAGTCTCCTGGTGATTGGCCCAAAGTCTCCCAGCTGGCTTTCCTGCCTAATGTGGAACTAGAACTCCCAGTCTCCTGGTGATTGGCCCAAAGGCACCAGCTGTCTTTCCTGCCTAACGTCTGGGACCGAATTCCAACGGGGTTACGGCTCAATCGTGGTTTGTTCCTTCTCCGTCGCTTTAACAGGGCGACTACCGCCAGCTGGTACATGAGATCGACGAAGCGGAATATGCCGAAATCCGATTCATGATCAACGAATTGAGAAACATTTACGTGAGTTGGAGGGGGGGAGTTGGAGGGGGGTCGGCGCCGATGCCGTTTCCCAAATATTTTTATTTTTCCTCTTGAGAAAAAACGATGGCCTCAAAACCCCCAAGCAGCTGCGGAATTCTATACAGGGGTTACCAAAGGCCTGTTTTTAACAAATAATAATAATAATGCCATCTTTTACCCAAAGTTCTCCAAAGTTTGCCAACTTAAGAGGACCGTCCCATCCAAGGATGGCGCGGAGAGCCAAGATCTCCTCTGTGACTCTCCCCTTCCTCCATTGGCTCCGTAGCTTTTGGGGAAATTTAGAAATATAGAAAACCGACGGCAGAAAAAAACCCGTCCATGGAATCCAATCTTAAGAGTTTTCATTCGTTTTGTTTATCTATCTATCTAATCTATCTACATTTATCTATACATTTATCAATCTAAATTTATCTAATCTACAGCTATCTAATCTAGCTACATTTATCTATCTACATTATCTATCTAATCTATCTTTATTTATCTTTATCTATGTAATCTAATCTACATTTATCTGTCATCCATCTATCAATTTATCTAACCTATCTACATTTATTTATCCATTTATTTATCTACATTTATCTATCTAATCCATCTAAATTTTTCATCTACATTTATCTATCTAATCTAGCTACATTTATCTATCTATATCTATCTAATCTACATTTATCTATCATCCATTTATCAATTTAATCTATCTACATTTATTTATCTATACATTTATCTACATTTATTTATATCTATCTAATCTATCTACATTTATCTAATCCATCTACATTTATCTATCATCTATCTACATTTATCTTAATTTATCTATCTAATCTACATCTACCTAATCTATCTCCATTTATCTAATCTTACATTATCTATCTAATTTAGCTACATCTATATCTAAATTTATCTATTTATCTACCTATCCATCCATCCGTCCATCCAATCTATTTATCTATCATTATCTATCTCTATCTATCATCTTACATTTAGCTATTTTATCTAATCTGGTTACATTTATCCATCATCTATCTATGTATATCATCTATTTATCATCTGTCTAACCCAGCTACATCTATATCTAAATTCATCCATCCATCCAATCTATCTACATTTATCATCTACATTTAGCTATTCTTTCTATCTATCTATCTATCTATCTATCTATCTATCTATCTATCTATCTATCTATCTATCTATCTATCTATCTATCTATCTATCTACTGTATCATCTATCTTTCTTCTATCCAATCTAATCTTATCAGCTCTGACTCATTCCTCACCATCCAGTAGAGCTGACGAAGCTTCTCGGATGAGAAGTGAAACCTCTTCAAAGAAAAAATAGAAAGTCCAGTTGCCTCTTGAAAACGAAGCACCTTTGGGCTCACTCCTTCTCTCTTCCTTTCGGTTTTTCTTCCTTTCCTTTGTGACTCCCCTTATAACACCCCCCCCTTCCTCTCTCTTCCTAGGCTGTGATCTACGACAGCGTCCTGAAGAATTTCGACAAGATTAAGAAACCCCGGGATGAAAACAAAGGGATGATCTATTAAACGGTTCAGCCAGCGATCAGGAGCAAAGCGAATGGGGTCACCTCCCGGATCCTTTTTCCTTTCCCTGATCAACTTGATCCTCTTGAAATAAAACAGATCTTTTAAAACATGCCGAGAGGAACGTTTAATTCGGGTCCTTAAACTAAGAAACGCAGTCGGGTGGGGGGTTCTCTCTCTGGAATCCCGATGTGTTTTTACAAAATATAAAATCTTAACGGCGGCAGGTGAAATCAATCCTTCCGAAATCGCAGGCGGTTCTCGACTTACAACTGTTCGTTTAGTGACCGAGTTACCACGGCACTGGGGGGAAAAAGTAATTGATGACTTTTTCACACTTCGAACGGTTGCACGATCCCCGTGATCATGTGATCGAAATTCAGATGCTTGGCCACTGGTTCGTATTTATGACCGTCGCTGTGTCTCGGGGTCGCGACCTTCTGACAAGCAAAGTCAAGGGAGGGAAGCCAGATTCACTTAACAACCGGGTTACTAACTCCTCAACCGCAGTGATGGGCTTCACAAGTTGTAAAATGGGGCAAAACTCAAGAAATGTCGCACTTAATAGAGATTTTGGGCTCGATTGTGGTCATAAATCGAGGACTACCTGATAAAACGGGGAGGGGCATAATTCTTTTTTTACACAAGAATTTTGCTGAGGCAATTGCTTTGCAAAAATGGAATAATATTTTTTTTAAAACACCAAATTTCAAAGCAAATTCATCCTTTCTTTTAAAGATCTTGTGGCGGGAAGAGATAGATAATCAAGATGGCTGCCTTGCTGTTAAAAGGGGCGGGGCCTCGGTCACGTGATCCTGGCTTGTATCCGGGTTAGTCTAGCATCCCGGATGCTCCTAACGTTAACGCCGGAGGGGGAACCAAGAGCGAAGATCCTTTTGCAAAATTGGGCTCCACCTCCTTCAGGCGCTGCCGTTGGCTACGGAGACCAATTGGGCGATTTCCGCGTTCAGCTGCTGATTGGTCCAGTCTTGCCGGATGTCGTCCAGGTGGCTGTCGAAGTCGACCAATCGGGAGTACACTTTGGCCTCCAGGAGCGACTGGCAAATGTGGCGGGAGGATTCCCAGTCGGTCCACATGACCCTGAAAAGATCAAAAGGCGATGAAGAGGAGATGGGACGGCCATTTGCCTCGAATGGTATAGGGCAGTGATGGCTAACAGTTTTGCCATCGCGTGCCAAAAGCAGGGGGAGTGCAGGGGGGTCACGCGCGTGCCCACACCCATAATTCTATGCCTCCCGCGCATGCGTGCATGATCCCCCCCGCTTTCCCCATTTTTGGCATGCGATGGCACTATGGGCCCGTTTTTCGTCCTCCCCAGGCTCCAGAGCCTTTCTAGGAGCCTTGGGAGGGTGAAAACGGCCTTCTCCATCCCCTGGAGGCCGGAAACGGCCCATTTGCCAACTTCTGGTGGGACCGGAAGGCCTGTTTTTTGCTCTCCCCAGGCTCCAGAGCCTTTCTAGGAGCCTGGGGAGGACGAAAACGGCCTTTCCCACCCGCTGAGGCCCTCTGGAGGCTGGAAAAAGCCTGTTTCCCTACTTCTGGTGGGCCCAGAAGGCCCGAAAATGGAGCTGAGCTCGCGTGCCCACCAATATGGCTCCGCGTGCCACCTGTGGCACGCGTGCCATAGGTTCACCATCACGGGTATAGGGTCTCCTGCTTGAATGGGGGTGGGGAGTTTGGAGTAGAGGGTGGGGAAATCCATATTTTTTTACTACAGGTTCTGTGCGGGTGGCTTGGCCTTAACTTGGTGGGCGTGGCAGAGATCCTGCAAAATCTTCATTCCCACTCCAGGGGAAGCTTACTGCAAAATCCCCATTCCCTCCCCACTCCTGGGGAAAGGATATTGCAAAATCCCCATTCCCACTCCACTCTGGGGCCAGCCAGAGGTGATATTTGCCGTTCTCCGAACTACTCAAAATTTCCGCTACCGGTTCTCCAGAAACCGCAGCCTCCTGGGCCCAAAAGCAGGCCGTGGGGGGAGGAGCACTCTCCCCGTACCTCATTTTGGGCCTAGCAGGCCTCCCTGCAGCCTCCTGGGCCCAAAAATGGGCTGAGGGGGCACGCCCCCCCGCACTATGTCCCCCCACACGCATGCGCACGACTGCATGCGTATGGGTCTCCCACATGTGTCCCCCATGCACCCCGAAAATCAGCTGACGCATGCGTGATGGAGTTGAGCTGGGCGACAGCTCGCGTGCCCGCAAAGAGGACTCGGCATGCCAGCTGTGGCCCGCGTGCCATAGGTTCGCCATCGCGGCCGTAGGAGGATATTTGAATGTGTGTGTAAATACTCCTGAAAGACTGCTTGTAAGTAAGGCTTGTGTAAACCGTGGGGAGCGGCAACTCACAGGTTCTTGTCTTTCGGGAGCCATTGACGATCCTTCTGCTCCAAGACGGTTAGGGGAGGAAGCCGCGGGTTTATCCCGAACTTGCGATTATCCAACTGGGAAAGGAATTAAGATAAGAAAAAGGAAATCAAGGGAATCTCTTTTTCTCTAGAGCAAGGGTCAGCAACCCGTGGCTCTGGAGCCGCATGCGGCTCTTTGGTCCCCCTGCTGTGGCTCCCTGTCGGCTGAAATCTACCACTGGCTGACCCAGTCACGCCTCACCTGGCCTGAGAGAGAGCGAGAGACAGAGAGATGAGAGAGACCTGTTTCCCACAGAAAACACCAGGAGCCCCAAAACCTGGGTAGGCGTGGCTGGGGTGGGGGTCATGTGATTGGGTGGGAGTGAGTGACGTTGAATTGGCCACACCCATCCAGGTTTTGTAGCTCCCAGTGTTTTCTGTGGGAAACAGGTCCAAATGGCTCTTTGCGTGTTTAAGGTTGCATACCCCTGCTCTTGTTGTGGCCCGTCAGCGGCCTGTGCGGATTGTAGCTGACTCTGACAGCGAGGAGGCTGGTGTGGTGTTGCGCCAGCAGCCTGTGCCAGCTCGAGTCGGACAATGAGGAGGCTGGAGAAGATGTGGTGCCAGAGGCGGGGATTATGCAGGGTCTTCAGAACCTCCAGAAGCTTCCATAAGTGAAGAGGACAAAGAGGAGGAGCCTCTTCTCAATGCACGGGCGCGCAGAGCTGCCAAAAGGCAGGAGTGGCTCCTCAGGAGGAGGTCTCCTCGAGAGTAAGGCTTGGGGCTAATTGGCCACTCCCTTAGCCTATTTAAGGAGGAACGCCGACTGAAGCAATTTGTAGGGAACAACTTTAGTTCACTCTCCTTCGCGTCCGGATTCTCTGCAAATTGCTTCTGGGCTTTCGGCCAACCTTAGTAAGATTGTGATTACTTTATCTTTGGTTTCTTGTGGGCTGTTAAGAAAGTTCCTTAACAGCCTTTGTTTTGAAAAAGACTTGAGTTATTTTAGTAAATTAAGTTTTGTACAAAGCTTTGGGTGTGCTGTATTCTTCGGGGTCTGTAGCTGGGGCAGAACAGCTCTAGAGAGATCCCACGGCAAGAAACTGCGTGAATATGGAAGAGAATTATCTGTAGCTCAGGGTTGAAATGTGGGTCCTTGGGTTGCTCACGGAGCTTGGCGGCTTTCTTGGAGACGTTTCATGACCCAACGAGGGAACATCATCAGTGCTTAGAAGGGAGGGAGGTTTGTGGAGTGAAGTGGGGGGGAAAGGAGGAACAGAGGAAGGAGGAAGAAGAAGAGGGTGGGGTCCTAGGTGCTTTCTGAGCTTGGTTTGCTTCGTTGGAGACGTTTCATGACCCAACTGGGGAACATCGTCCGTCAGTGTGATGGTCATCAATATAGCCTTGATGGTGTTCCCTACTTGGGTCATGAAATGTCTCCAAGAAAGCACCAAGCTCAGAGAGCATCAAGAACTCCCCCACAGTTAACAGGCTGTTTTCGCCCTCCCCAGACTCCTAGAAAGGCTCTGGAGGCTGGGGAGAGAGAAAAACGGGCCTTCCCCACCACCCCTCGAGGTCCTCCAGAGGCAGGAAACAGCCTGTTTCCATACTTCTGGTGGGCCCAGAAGGCCCAAAAATCAATTAGCCGCATGCCCACTGATATGGCTACAAGTGCCGCCTGTCTCAACGGCCCTCAAACAGCTGTCTGCAAGGAATATAAATCCTTCTGTTCCCCACCATCCAGTCAGAGCTGAAGAAGCTTCTTGGGTGAGAAGCAAAACGTCTTCAGAGAAAAACCAGAAACTCCAGTTGCCTCCTTTGGGACGACCGTGACTTGAATGATGGAGAATCTCCACAGCCACCCAGACTTCCCACATCCCAGGGAATTCCTCACCATGATCAGCACGGCGTCATCGTAGAGTTCAGCAATGCGCCCTGCGGTCTTTTGCGCCAGGGCGTTAGGGCTGCAGGAAGGAAGAAAGGAAGGAGTAAAGAGAAACTCTGGGAAGGAAAGAAGCCTAGCCCTTCCCCCCCCCACCTCCTCCTCTTCCTCCTCCTCTTCAAATTCACCTTTTGTCATCCATCCCAGAGTTGGCCTGGTAGTAGCCAGCCAGGAGCAAATCGGACTCCGAGCTCCAAGAATCCACCTGTAAAGAGCACGAATGCCGAAGGTTGGCAATCTGTTAGCTTTTTAGGATGAGCGTTAGGATAGCGTTTGCTCAACTCTGACCACTTTAAGATGGGTTGGACTTCAACTCCCACAATTCTCCCAGATGTTGACTTGCTGTCAGGGTTCCGAAGACCGAGGCCCTAATTAGACCATGAGCCAAGTTTCGAAAGAAATCCAGCTAGGAGCAACATGTCAGGCAGGTACCCAAGTGAAGTCAGCTCTGCCGCACGTAATTTACAGCCCAACTATGACCTTGTTTCCCACCCCCTCCTCCCAGGGTGTGTCATAAATCACATTCTCCAACAGTCCCAAGTTGAAGTTTAAGCCCATCTTAAAGTGACCAAGGTTGAAAAACACACAATCCTGCAAAACAAATATTATTAAGATCGATCGACTAGCCTGGTTTACCCATCAACGTTAAACCATGGTTTCTTGAATAAGGAATCGAAGATGACTTGCCCTGATGTACGAATTCAAGACTTTACTTCGGCTGCTCGGCGTTAAGCCCTTGACGTACGGCTACAATTGAGGCCAAAATTTCTGTGGCTAAGCGGGTTTTGCCTCGTTTTGCGACCTTCCCTGCCACCGTTGTTATCCGAATCAATAGAACAGCACGGTTGTTAAGTGAATATGTTTTGACTTTCCTTATCAAGAGGTCGCGAAAAGGAGATCGCCTAACCCCAGGATATGGCAACCGTCATAAATATGAATCGCTTGCCAAGCGTCCGAAATCTGATCACGCGACCACGGGAATGCTGCAGAGGTCATTAAGTGTGAACAACGCTATTTTAGAGCCGTTAAAACTTTGAAGGGACGCTAAATGAATGATTGTAAGTCAAGGACTAACCCTGTTTCCCCGAAAATAAGACCCAACCGGAAAATTAAGGCCTAGTATGATTTTTCAGGATGCTCGTAATATAAACCCTTCCCTCAAAATAAGCCCGTTAAGATTGTCAGCCAGATAGATGCATTTAGTACCGTATTTCCCCTAATATAAGACCTAACCAGAAAATAAGCCCTAATGGGTCTTTTGGAGCATGGAATATTAATATACGACCAGGTCTTATTTTCAGGGAAGCACATTATCTGTATTGCATTTTACCAAAAATATCCCAAACAAGGGGATGACATCAGGAAATGACTACAGGTGGCATCTGGAAACCTGTGGCTTTTACGATTAAAACTGCCACCACTTAATACCCCAAGGCCTGCTTGTAGGGGAGGATGGGAGATGGAGTCCAACCTAGAAGAAAAAAGTGATGGGAAAGGTTTGCGTAAGAAGTTTGGGGCAGGGTAAATGGCTGTTTTTGGTTCCATCCTACGGGGTTCAACGGCTCCACAGATGTTGAGAGAAGACAGACCTGGTTGAGGGCCACCTCCAGCATGACGGTGAGCGACAGGTTGCTGTGGAAAAGGGGGACGCAGTCCGTGATGTAGAGGCATTCGGGAGGGCCAGCTGTCGGCCGGTGCTTTTGTGCCAGGAGAAGTCCGTTCACCGCCACATGGGGGTACCGAGCCGCATGGAGGCACATCTTGACGTACGCCCGAGGCGAGATCTCCACTTCGCCCATCCTGCTGATTAAAGAAGACTTGGCGTGATGTTGCGTCGGCCAGAGACGAGGCCTCGGGAGGCTATCTGTTCTGTCCCCGTCCCACACACGCACCCCCACAGATGGCCCGGAGTTAATATGCCACACGACAAAATCTTTGAAGATAAAGCTGGCAGCAACCCAGTGGCTAGCTGCCAATTCAGACTTTACTCACACAAAACAAAGATTAGACTACAAGCATTCTGATAAAGCAAGCAAAGTTTCAGCAATACAAGGATTAGTCCAAATGCAGTCTGACAAGACAGGCAGAAGTCCAGTAACGCAGAGATCATGGATTATTTCTAGTTTTTGCTCGTCACAAACTGAACCGGCCACCACACCCATATTTATACCCTGTGGGTGTGGTCCAGTGACTCAGCTAATCTCTGGCACGCCTTCCCCTCTGCTGCACACGCTTCTCCCTGTGCCACTGCCGAGGATCCAGCCAGCACTTATCTCCTTCGTCACTGTCCACCTGTGGCTGTGGGGACGTGCTTGGCTCTGGGCCTATCTCTTGGCCTTTGATGTCCTCCGGAGGCATTGCCAGAGAGGAGGGTCCTGGAGAGGGAGGCCTTGCCAACTCCTCTCCCTCACTCTCAGAGTCTGCATCTGTCAATAGCCCAGGCTCAGGCAACGGAGCCACAACACTATCCTAACACCCCAACCTCTGTCTTCCAAAGGTGCTGGTCTACTACCCCACCCATTGACCCTATGGCTGGGGATGATAGGAGTTGTAGTTGGCCCCAGCTGGATAGGACCTGGCAGCCGTCTCACCTGAGTTCTTCTCTTCTTCTGGTTCCAAAGGCTCCTTGGGATGTCCAAATGGAAAAACTTGGGGTTACAAGGTCAACATCCAGTGATATAAAATTAAAATGTAATACGATATATAAAATGAGATTATGATATATAGCGGTATAACAAAAATACCAAATCCAGTGTGAATATCTGGCTGACTGTGCGATAAACATAATACTGGAGTATTTAGTATAGTGTACAATACAGTGTGTATTGTATTGTATTAAATTGAATATTACAATTTATATTGTACTGTACTGCATACCATAGAATAACAGTTCTTGACTTACAACAGTTTGTTCAGTGATTGTGTCAAAGTTACACCATCAGTGAACAAAGTGACTTAGGTTAGGACTGTTTTTCACTCTTACGACCGCTGCAGCATTCCCATGGTCACGTGATGAAAATTCGGACGCTTGCCAACTGACTCGTATTTATGACCGATGCAGTGTCCCCGGAGGGAGGGGGGTATCACGTGATCCCCTTCTGCGACCTTTTGACAAGGGGAAGCCAGATTCACTTAACAACCGGGTAACTAACTTAACCGCTGTAGTGACTCACGTAACAACTGCGGCAAGAAAGGCTGGAAAATGGGGCAAAACTCACTCAACAAACATCTCAGTTAGCAACATAAACGTTGGGCTCCATGGGGGGCGTAAGTCAAGGACTACCGGTATAGGATTATGTAATGATTACAATATAATATAACAAATACCGTATAATAGATAATATATAATTAATATAATATAAATTAAAAATATAAATTTAAATTAATATATTATAAATTTAAATTAATAATATAATAAAATATAAATATACTATACTATACACTAATACTATACTAATAATAATACTATACTATACATAATATAAAATAAATATAAATATACGATACGATACACTAATACTATACTAATATTACTATACTATACATAATATAATATAATATAAATATAAATATACTATACTATATTATACACTAATACTATACTAATACTATACATAAATATACTATACACTAATACTAATACTACTATACTATAACTATACTATATATAAAATAATTAATATATAATAAATGTAATGTAATGTAATGTAATATAATAAAATATAATAATATAATATGATATAATTATAATATAATATAATATAATATAATATAATATAATATAATATAATATAAATATAATTATACTATACAATACTATATTATACACTAATACTATACTAATACTATACATAATATAATAATATATTATTATTATATTATTATTTATATTATTATAATATAAATATAAATATACTACACTATTACTATACTATATATAATATATAATATGAGATTAATATAATAATAATATGATATGATATGATATGATATGATATGATATGATATGATATGATATGATATGATATGATATGATATGATATAATATAATATAATAATCAGCGTTGGGCAACCTCCAGTGTGAGTCCCAGGAGTCCACAGAACTCCCCACTCCGGATCTTCAGATTGCTCCAGTCACACTTCGAAAACTACAACGCCCATCACCCACAGCCCACCCGAGGATGATGGGTGCAGTAGTCCAGCACACACTTACCCCCCCCTCTCGCCGTCTCTGCGCAGGTGCCGACTGCCGCCACAAGCTCCGCCCAGTGCCAGAATGTCTCACTCAACGCCTCCGGATTGGTCAGCAAAGATCCAATCAGAGCCCAGCTTCCGCGTCCGGCCGTTTCTCTTTCTCTCCCGCTCATTGGGCGCACTCAGCCCGCGCTCTGATTGGCCGGAAGTTTTTCTTTCTCAACCGACGCGCCCCAACGTCCTTTGCCATACCATGTGACAAGCCGAAGAGCCGCAACATCGTCGCCCTCCTTCGATCATTTCCGGCCTTCAATTGACCTCTCTCCTCTCCTTCCTCCTCTCCCAAATGCAGAGCGGAAAACGTCCGCTCTATGTGACGATGGAGATTCTATGATTCTTGCACTCGGGATTTCCCCTTGCAGAAAGAGGTTCGACCATAGAGGTAAAATGTCTAGAAATGACTGTATTTACCGGAAGTACTATCTATACTGATGTTCCTTCTTCCTTTGTCTCTTCGTCGCCGTCCCGGAACCATAGAGTAGCTTGCCATAGAGTGGCTTCCTTGGGCAAAAACCATAGAGTTGACAGCCCCTGAAAACATTTCTCCCCCCCAAACCCATCAACCACTGCTCTGAAATGATGGGAGTTGTAGTCAACCCAGGGTTATAAATGCTATCAGGTGGAGCTTTCTGAAGCATATTGTCATAGCTAGAAAAAGCTGCACCTGTTGAGCTTTAGGCTAAGACCAAACCCTGATGAAGTTTCCACAAAATAGATTTAAATCCTCTTTTTAGTTATTTAGACATTTAATGTATGTCTAGTGCATTTAATGTATGGCGCAAAGCTTGAAAATGGCTTAATCCAGTCACCTATGAGCTAAAAACGAAGCATTTGCTCCTTTGCAATGTCAACTATTTCATTTAAATCAGTATTTTTCAACCTTGGGTGTAACTTTTTTAAGATGGGTGGACTGCAACTCCCAGAATTCCCCACCCAGCATGGCTGGCTAGGGAATTCTGGGAGTTGCAGTCCATCCCTCTTAAAAGTTGCCCAGGCTAAAAAACACAGCTTTGGGACAATGGTTTTATGTGATTTCTAAGCACAATTTCATTTTCTCAAATGACAGAAATGGAAAGACGGTTTCTATCACTTTACGCCCTATTCCCATTTTGCTTTGGGCATCTTATTGGTCGAGATGTTGGCCAAGACTATTTCAGGTTGCAACTTTTTTCAAAAAAAAAAACAAAACATTTTTAAGAATTGGAAATTGGGTTAGTCAAAAGCCGGATGACCCTCTCAAAAAATTGATCCCTTCACTTCCTAATAGACCCCAACAGCTAACTAATGCTTGAGGAAGGATGGTTTGATCCATCCACACGCTACCTAATTTCCTTTTTTTTTCCATTCTCAGACTACTCACAGTCAGTTGCTATTAGTTCTTTGTGGAAGGAAAAGATACAGTTTCACCCCAAAATAAGACATCCCCCTGATAATAAGCCCAATCGGGCTTTGGAGTGCATGGCAATAAGGCCAAGCCCTTATTTCAGGGTGCAAAAAAATATATAATACGGGGTCTTATTTTGGGGGAAACACGGTATAAGTATTTATATTTTAATATTCATCAAGGAAAGATCAAGGGGAAAATAGCTTCGGCTGTATTAAGGGGAAATTAATTAAGACCGGCTAGCTGTTTATTTGAAACAACACATTCATCAGACATTTAGAGTATTTTAAAATAATCTTGTTTCAGGTTCCATGTTAGATTTATTTTTTTTACTGATTTTTACGCTGAACACAGGCAGAGATAATCTCTATTAACCTATTAGAACACTCTTCCAGGAATAGCATGAAGTATCCTTGATAATAAGGCTGTGTAGATTCTTACCATGAAAGCTCTTTTAAAAAAGGGGTTAGAGAAAAAATTCTGGTTTAGAAAGATTTCCTCCTTGTTGTTAGTTGCGAAGTTGTGTCCGACCCATCGCGACCCCATGGACAACGTTCCTCCAGGCCTTCCTGTCCTCTACCATCCTCCGGAGTCCATTTAAGCTCACGCCGACTGCTTCAGTGACTCCATCCAACCACTTCGTTCTCTGCCGTCCCCTTCTTCTTTTGCTCTCCATCGTTCCCAGCGTTAGGCTCTTCTCCAGTGAGTCCTTCCTTCTCATTAGGTGGCCAAAGTATTTGAGTTTCATCTTCAGGATCTGGCCTTCTAAAGAGCAGTCAGGGTTGATCTCCTCTAGGACCGACCGGTTGGATCGCCTTGCAGTCCAAGGGACTCGCAGGAGTCTTCTCCAGCACCACAATTCAAAGGCCTCAATTCTTTGGCCCTCGGCCTTCCTTATGGTCCAACTTTCACAGCCAGACATTGCAACTAGGAAAACAATAGCTTTCCTAGATTTCCTAGATTTTCTCCCAACTTGCCCTAAATGGTGTTTGATGGACCTCTCATAAAAAGACACAGAGAACGGCAAAACCACATTGATCGAAATCTTTTTATTTTGTTACCCTTTTTGCTTCTTTCCGTGACATCTCCTTCCTTCTGGGTTCTAAATATCTCGGCTCTCTTTCTAACCTTGTATTTTTATGTTCGCCCGACGCCCGACACCCTCCAAAAAGAGACAGAAAAAGTTGCCAGGAGCTCCCCCTGCAAGGAACGGCGGTCGCGGATTCCGGCAAATTGTGTTATTAGCACAAAGATGTACCGTGACCCACATAACATCCCTTCCCTGTTTGCCCTTAAATGCGTTTTTTTTCCCCCCTGTTAGTACATGGACGGCTTCTCTTCGCCTTTGGGGTTGGTCAGTTTCTCCAGGTTTTTGCTTAGGATGTGGTACAGCTCAGCCTGCGGCGAAGAGAAATGAGAAAGGGTTAAAGAAAGAAAGGAAATTTTCTCCATTCCTTTATTCCTGCCCTCTCGATCTTCCCCTAGTTAGGAATCCACTACGATCCGTTTCGGCTCGCTTACATAAAATCCACGGATATCAAGCACCATCATCTGCATTTCTCGGTAAATGGCTTCGTCGCGTTCATGAACCAAGCACCGGTAATCCATCTGCAGGGAACAAGGCAAGCCAATTACAACCAGCTAGCACCGATAATGTTACCCAGTTGAGTACAGGTAGTCCTCGACTTACAACAGTTCATTTAGAAGCGACGACACTGACAAAAAAGGACTTTGGACCTTTTTTACACGATGATTGTGGCAACCCCCATGGACGCCTGATCAAAATGCAGACGCTTGGCAACTGACTCTTATTTATGACGGTTGCGGGGTCATGTGGTCACTTTTTCTTTTGACCTTCCGACAAAGCCAGATTCACTTAACAACCGTGTAAACCAACTTAACAATTGACTTGGTAAGAAAGATCGTAAACTGGGGCAAAACTCGACAGATGTCTCACTTAGTAGCAGAAATTTTGGGCTCAATTGTGGTCATAAATCAAGGACAATCCATAATGAAACATCTGCAAGAAAAACAACTACGCTCAAGGGGGCACCAAGGACCCCACAGGCTTCCTCTTCTTCGTCTTTTTCCTCCTCCACTCTGCAACTCCCACTCCTTCCTAGCACTGATGAGGTTACCTAGCTGGGTAATGAAACGTCTGCAAGAAAGCAACTAAGCGTACAGCGCACTAACGGACCCCACGAATGACAACCAAGTTAGATTTCCAGGACATTTTTTAGACACAACTTCATTTGCCTGGCTTTACTTGGCGCGTTATCAGAGGTGGTATTCAGCCCGTTCGCATCGGTTCGCCTGAACCGATAGTAGAAATCATGGGTGGGCCCGCTCATCCGCCCCGGCTCTATGCCATCCTATTTAGGCATGTTTTTGAGGCCGGGCGCACACACGGAAGACAAACACGTGTGCAAACGGAAGGGCATGTGCGCGCAGGGCAAACCGGTAGTAACATGTGAAACCCACCGCTGCGTCTTATGTGAATTCAGACACTCGTTCGGAAATCACAGTTTACAGCTGAACGTTTCTCCAAGTCCAGAGACTTTTGATTTATTTAAAATTATCACGGTGGAACTTCAAGCAAGAACACCGTTTCAAGAGATACCGTCGACAATATTCTACCGTCGAATATTATTCTATTCTGTCGTTACTATTTAAATTTATACACTGCCTGGCTCCTATGAGTCTGGGCAGTTCAAAAATCTATGTGAGGCAACAGGAATAATTATTGCAGGATTTCGTCTCTTCCAAGAATTATTATGTAAATTTGGCAATGGGTTACTCAAGGTCTTGATTCAATATGGAATTTTTTTGCCTTCTCACAGTCAATACCAGCTAGTTTGGTTTCAAGGAAGATCTTCTACCTGCCTTTAGTCGGGTAAAGGACACCCAAATTTTCCTATCAGACCTGCCACCCGACAGAACTCAAATAATCGCACCCTTCTTTCTGCATTCGCTTACCACGTGAGTGTCTTTGGAGGCCTTGGCAACCGCATCTCCACGCTCCAGAAAATATCTACAAGAACGAGAAAGTATGTTGGGTGAATCTAAAATATTGGAGGTTTTTTTAAAAAATATGTGTTGCAAATCTATGCCGTTTTCTTGTTGAGATTTTTGGACTAGTGTCTACACAGAAAATAAAAAATTATAAGGCCACGAACCTCCTCGATGAAAAAGCACAAAGGGAGCCCCTTTATATCATCTTCATCTTTTAACGACTCCATGATCCCTTGCGTGGTAGAGTCTGGACAAGTGAATGGAGCTGAGTGTTTACTGGCCGGATGCCTTTCCTGTCGCCAATGCTGAGTTATATTCATCGAGCTCAGAGAGAGAAATATCTGCCTCTACCTAGGATCGAACCCACAGCCTTCTGATTGTGAGGCGAGAGCTCCACCTCTAGGCCACCGCACCATTCCATGTATACTAGAATTCCAGAATCACATCCCTACCACCGTTTCCAGATGGATTAAACCCTCGAGATTTCAACATCAATTGATCTTCCTCACGTTTTTATTTTTGTTTTATTGATTGTCACGGCTTCTTTCTTCATTTTCTCCCCCCCCCCCCCCTTTCCTTTCCTTTCCTCCTCCACTGTCCCCACCCCCTTCCAGCACTGATGATGTTACCTAGCTGGGTCAAGAAACGTCTACAAGAAGACAACCAAACTCAGAGAGCACCAATTCAACCCTGAGTTACAAATATTCTCTTCTATCAGTAATGCTTATTCTTATTTTTCTCTTATCTTTGCCTTTTATCAATGCTGAGAAAGCACCTTTTCTGACCCAGCTCCCCAAACACGACAAACCGTCTGTATTTAAACTAATAATTCCTTTATTAGGAGCACCGGCAGCCCCGGCAAAAAGTTTCTCTCACCGCAGGCTAAAAAGTCTGTCTGGCAGGGAGATGAATAGTTGTCTGCCATATCTATTCATCTCCGACCACTGCCTTTTATCCCCAGAGCTAGAGTGGGATTTCACTAGCAGCAGTGGCTTTTCCGCCCCGAGGACCGGCCCATAGATTTCCACCGCTCTCCTCTCCTCTCCCTTCTGCGCATCTGCATGCCAGGCACTGGACCCAGCTGTTCCTCCTCTTCCTCATCAGCCACCTCCAGACCTGGGGGCTGTTGACTCTCCATCTGAGGGCTGACGACGGCCCAGGCTCTCTCTCTCTCTCTCTCTCTTTCTTTTCCTCCCTGCCTCTGAGCATGGGCAGAGCGCCCAGGCTCTCTCTCTCTCTCTCTTTCTCTCTCTCTCTCTGACAGCTCCATTCCCTCTTCCCCCTCGGAGGTCTCAAGTTGCCTTGATGCTGACTGTGACTCCCATGCCTCCCAGAAGCACAGATTCTGACATTTATTACGCTAGGAAGGAGAGAGAGGACCCCATGAAGTTTGACAAGAAGTTTTGGGGCAGAGAAACACCAACAGGAGCGAACGATGCCCGAGTACAGCACACCACTGACGATACGGGGGAACCCAGATCACACAGAGATCTCTGCTTGGCCTCCTTTCCACGCCGGCCCTTCGTGACCACTTACTTAGCAATGGTGGTTTGGAAAGCATCCGCTTTGGTCTTCAGAGCCGTGATACGTTCCAGCACTTTCTCCTGCACAGGAAGGAAACGGTTGAGGTGTCACCCAGGAGATTCCCACGGCCAGGGAAATAAAAATTGGGGACTGGGACGGGACAGGACAGAGAAAGTCTCCGTTCCTTCCCCGATTCTGGTTACCTGAACTGCCACCCCGAAGTCGTTGCCGTCCTCGATTTTGGGGATCATGAACTGGATCCAAGTCGTGACCTGAGTGGGAATCGGGAGAAGGAAGATGGAAGTGATTTTGGAGAAGAAGAAAAAAAAATCACCTCGTTTTTCATCCGATGCACAACCGCAAGGAAATTCCTGACCGATCGGAACTGGGGCAAGAGGGAAGAAGAGACCCCACCCCCTTACCCACTTACCAAACTGCATTTTTCTTTAAACTCGCGAACTTCGGGTTTCACACGATCCAGAAGTGAAATGAGAACCTCGTTTCCTTTCAGATAGCCACATTTGGGAGCTGGGAATCGCAGGAGAAGAGAAATTAAGGCCAGAAAATGCTGGGAAATACTTAAAATTCTTTTTTTCTTTTTCTTTTCTCTTTCTTTTCCTCCCTTCCTTCTTTTTCTTCCTTCATTTTTCTTTCTTTTTCTTTCTTTCCTTCCTTTTTCTTTTTTCTCTTCCTTCCTTTTTCTTTTTTCCTTCCTCCCTTTCTTCCACCCTTTTCTCCCTCCCTCCCTCCCTTTCATTCTCTTTCTTTCCTTCCTTCCATCCTTTCTTTCTTCCTTCCTTCTTTCCTCCATCCTTCCCCCTACCTTTCTCATTCTTTCCTTCTTCCTATCTTTCCATCCTCTTTCTTTCTTCCTTTTTTTCCTTCCTCCCTTTCTTTCCTTCCTTCCTTCCATTCTTCCTTCCTCCTTTCCTCCCTCCCTCTCCCTCCCTACTCATTCTTTCCTTCCTTCTTTCTTTCTCTTTCCATCTTTCCTTCCTCTTTTTTTCTTTTTTTCCTTCCTCCCTTTCTTCTCCTTCCATCCTTCTTTCCTCCCTCCCTCCCCCTCCCTTTCTCGTTCTTTCCTTCTTTCTTTCTCTTTCTGTCTTTCCTTCCTCTTTCTTTTTTCTTTTTCCTTCCTCCCTTTCTTCTTTCCTTCCTCCTTTCCTCCCTCCCTCCCTCTTCCTTACCTTCCTTTTCCTCTTTTCCTGTATCCATCTGCAAGGAATAAAATACATCGATCCATAAATATCATTTTCCACCTCTTAAAAGTTGCATTGAATTGGGTTGGGGGTGCGAGGCAAGGAGAGACCTACCCCTGTAACTCACCTCGTCTTCTTTGGGTGGGGGGTCTGGAATAGGGATCTCCAGAGGGGCTTTAAGAGCAGTCAAATCTTGAACGTTGAGTGAATTTTCCTAGATGGGTGGAGAAGGAGTTACTTTTTAAAAAACAGGCGGAGATGTCCTGCCAATTCAACTTTGTTTTCAGACGTTCCCTTACCTTAAGAAACTTATCCAACTGGAATATTTTTGCAGGTAAAAATGTGAAAAGAAAATCTTCACCCTGCAGGGAGGGAAAGAAAGAAAGAAAGAAAGGAAGGAAGGAAGGAAGGAAGGAAGGAAGGAAGGAAGGAAGGAGCGAAAGAAGATAGAAAAAAAGAAAAAGGGGAGAGAGTAAAAAGGAAGGAAGAAAGAGAGGAGGAAGGAAAGAAAGAAAGAAAAAGGGAAGGAAGGAAGGGAAGGAGAAAGTTAGTAACCTGGGAAGGGGAAAAATAGCCAATAATTGGTGAACAAGTAACATTTGTCGTGCAATAGAGACTTACCTCTTTCAAAAGCGATTCTCTAAAGAGAGCCATCTAAAGAAATAAAAGGAAATTATGAGACGTATAATATTGTAAGCATTGGACTAGAGCAGCAGAGAAGGATTACATGAGATCATGCTGAAAAAAATCTCATTAATTCCCCAAATGCAACAAGAGTTTTACAGGGGGGAAAAAAATCCAGAATAATTCTTAACGTTTTTCAGCAAAAAAAGTCCTTCATTGATTGAGTGAAGATACTGTATACAGTCTAAAGCCCAATCAGGAGAGCTTCATAGCAAAAACATTACATGTATGTATGTAAAATATATATATTTTTTCAATGAAATTGCAACTGGACACAACATAAAACTTAAGATATTGAGCAAATCAACCAAACTACTTTATACTTAAACTAGGTTTATAGCTGTATTGGAATTCTGCTGATCTATATTGCCCCACCAAGAACATTTGGTGACTAGGCGAAACTCATACTCAGAAGGGATCTTTGAGATCATCTAGGCCAACCCCCCTGCTTGGTGCAAAATTCCCTATATAGGATATTTGTGAGATACCACATTACTTCTCATCGCCAAAAGCCTCCATAACGTAAACCAACTGATGGCATAATAATGCAGGCAGTCCTCGATTTACAACGATTCGTTTAGTGACCGTTCAAAGTTACGACGGCACTGGGGGGAAAAAAGGCGAATTGTGATCGTTTTGCACACAACTGTTGCAAGAATCCCCGTGGTGACGTGATCCAAAATTCGGACGCTTGGCATCTGGTTTATATTTATGACGGCCGCAGCATCCCCCGGGGGGGGTGTCACATGATCCGCTTTTGCGACCTTACGACCAGCAAAACTCAAACCAACGTTTCACTTAGCAACATGAAGCCTCCATTGTGGTCGTTAAGACGAGGACTGTCTGTGATTGAAAAAGGGGCTCCCTATTGTTTATTCTATGTAATTAGCAGAAGCGAACAGACTTCTCCTCGTACTGGGGATTTTAAAGAAATTTTAAAAAATTTTAAGGATTTTTCTTCATACCGGAGGGTTTTTTTTAAAAAAGAAAATCTGACACAGAATCAGAAAAATTCCCTTTTTAAACCCCTCCCTAAAATGCAAACACAACACCGAACAACTAATCTTCCGTTTGACTCTAGCCATAATAAACCCTTTCTGGGAAAATATAAATTTTAGATCGAGAGAGTAACTATGGAAATTGCATTTCAACAATCTGGAATTTCTGGGGTGTTTTTTGAATCCCAAAAGTACAAGGATAAAAATTGTAAGCCTTCCGTTCTTTGCAAAGCTGGTTCTGCAAACCGGTTTAAAATTCAATAACTGACAGCAGCGACAGCAAAATATACTATTCAGGAAAATCGGTTTGCGTGACCAGGAATTTAATTTTAAAAAAAAAAAAAAGATTTTTATAAAGCAGCGTGACCTGTCACGCTGACTCTGCAATTGATTCCGAAAAGTCCCCGCGTTGGTTTATTTTCAGAGTATGAAGTCAAGGCGTAACGGTTTTGGCTAAAATCCAAGCATTTTGAAAGCGTTTTTTCCCCCCAAGCTTCGTAAATTGGATGAAACGGTTTCGATCGGATTATTCCAGATCTTTCATTCCCAAGGGAAGTAAATGTTCAGTATTTTAGACAAGCGTTTTTCAACTCTGGGCCTGTTTGAAGCCCTGTGGACTTCCAACTCCCAGAATCCCCCAGGCCTGGGGAATTTTGGGAATTGAAATCCACATAAAACCCTGATTTAAAGTTTCCCCCAATTGGTTTACTATTCCTCCTCTTTTTTTCCCCCCAAACTCTTTTAAAAGTTGGGAAACCCTCCATAGAGCCCGTTCGCACGTGAATGAATGAAATCAATCCCCTCTTTTTTTTAAAACAAAAACCGAACAGAAACACAAATGCAAAGTTTTGTTACAATGTGAAAACCAAACCAAAATGTTTTATATTTTTTTTCCCATCTGAGAGACCTCTGAGCCCGTGCAGAGTTCTTTCCCCACCATGATTCCAAACCCCGCCCACCCACCCCCCAAAAAAACCCTGTTCCGACCTTCCTGTTTGCAACCTGGGAAAGAAGGGGGGAGGCAGAGAGAAAAAGAAAAAGAGAGAGAGAGAGAAAGAAAGAAAGAAAGAGAGAGAGAGAGAGAGAAAGAGAGAGAGAGAAAGAAAGAGAGAGAGAGAAAGAAAGAGAGAGAGAGAGAGAGAAAGAAAGAGAGAGAGAGAAAAAGAGAGAGAGAGAGAGAGAAACAGAAAGAAGGGGGGCGCTCTGCCCATGCTCGGAGGCAGGGAGGAAAAGAAAGAAAGAAAGAAAGAGAGAGAGAGAGAAAGAAAAAAGAGAGAGAGAGAAAGAAAGAAAGAGAGAGAGAGAGAAAGAAAGAAGAGAGAGAGAGAAAGAAAGAGAAAGAAGGGGGGCGCTCTGCCCATGCTCAGAGGCAGGGAGAAAAAGAAAGAAAGAGAGAGAGAGAAAGAAAGAGAGAGAGAGAGAGAGAGAAAGAAAGAAAGAGAGAGAGAGAGAGAGAAAGAAGGGGGCGCTCTGCCCATGCTCAGAGGCAGGGAGGAAAAGAAAGAAAGAAAGAAAGACAGACAGAAAGAAAGAAAGAAAAAGAAAGGGGAGATCCGTGGTGGGAAGGACCGTCTCTCCCCCCACCCACTCACCCAATTTTATTTTATTTTTTTGCAACTCCATCTCTCTCCCACCCACCCACCCCCCGTTCACACGTTCTGCGGCTCTCCCAACCTTCTCGCGCGTCTCTTTGGTGACTCGGATGTTGGCGGTGCAGGATTTGGCCATGGTGGTCCTGGGGGTGCAGCGCTGGCCCGCGGGGAGAAGACGACGACGACTCGCTTTCGGCTGGCCGCGAAAGTCGATTTCACTTCACATTCCCACGTTCCGTTCAAGGCCGGCCTCGCCCCTCCCCTTCCTCCCCTCCCCTCCCCTTCCTCTTTTCTTCTTTTATTTCCCTCCTTTTTTTATTCCTCCCTCCCTCCCTCCCTTTCTTTCTTTTCATTTCTTTCCCTTCCTTCCTTCCGACCTCTCTTTCATCTTTTCCTCTTCTTCCTTCGTTCCTTCCCATTTCCCTCCTTTATTTCCTTTTTTCTTCCTTTCTTTGTTCTTTTCTTGCTCTCTATTTCTTTCCTTTCCTTCTATTTTTCTGTCTTTCCTTTCCCTTTTTCTATTTTCCCTTTCTTTTCCTTCCCTTTTTCTATCTTCCTTTCTTTTCTCTATCCTCCTTTCCTTTTTCTATCTTCCTCTCCTTTCCTTTTTCTGTTCCTTTCCTTTTCCTATCTTCCTTTCCTTTCTCTTTTTCTATCTCCCTTTCCTTTTTCTATTTTCCTTTCCTTTCCTTTTTCTATCTTCCTTTCCTTTCTCTATCCTCCTTTCCTATCCTTTCCTTTTTTCCTTTCCTTTCCTTTTTCTATCTTCCTCTCCTTTCCTTTTTCTGTTCCTTTCTTTCTCTATCCTTTCTTTTTTCTATATTCCTTTCCTTTCCTTTTTCTATCTTCCTCTGCTTTCTCTATCCTCCTTTCCTTTTTCTATATTCCTTTTCTATCTTCTTTTCCTTTCCTTTTTCTACCTTCCTTTCCTTTTTCCTTTCCTTTTTCTATCTTCCTCTTTTTTCTGTTCCTTTCCTTTTTCCATTTTCCTTTCCTTTTGCTATTTTCCTTTCCTTTTTCTATTTTCCTTTTTCTATCTTCCTTTCCTTTTTCTGTCTTCCTCTCCTTTCTCTATCCTCCTTTCCTTTTTCTGTATTCCTTTTTCTCTCTTCTTTCCTTTTTCTCTCTTCCTCTCCTTTCTCTATCCTCCTTTCCTTTTTCTATATTCCTTTTCTACCTTCCTTTCCTTTTTTCTTTCCTTTTTCTATATTCCTCTCCTTTCCTTTTTCTGTTCCTTTCCTTTTGCTATTTTCCTTTCCTTTTTATATTTTCCTATTTCTATCTTCCTTTCCTTTTTCTATCTTCCTCTCCTTTCTCTATCCTCCTTTCCTTTTTCTATATTCCTTTTTCTCTCTTCCTTTCCTTTTTCCTACCTTCCTTTCCTTTTTCTCTCTTCCTTTCCTTTCTCTATCTTCCTTTTCTACCTTCCTTTCCCTTCTCTTTTTCTATCCCCCTTTCCTTCTGCTATTCCTTCTTCCCTTCCCCTTCCCCTGGAATGGAGGGGAGAGGCCCAGGAAAGCTGCATTCCCACAACCCCGTGTGTCCTCCTCCCTCCTCCTCCTCCTCCCCTTATCCCGTGCAGGCCTTTCCCACGTTGCCCCCCTTTGCAAGCCGTGAGGAAGGGACGCGTGTCTGTGTGTCTGTCTGACACGCGTCCACGCGCCTCTTTTTCCCACCCTGGCCCGTTTTAACGGCCTTTTTTTTTTAAGCCACCGCGCGCGCCTCAGGCCGGGGCATCCTTTCCCCTCAGCCCCCAACCCGGCGCTCTGCGTATGCTCAGAGGCGGCGTTGGCCGGGCTCTTGCCTCCGACGACGGCCTTGTAGTTCTTCCTCCGCGTCCCGGAGGTCGCTTCGCTTCGAGTTGTGTGGTGTTTTTTTTTTCCTTTCTATTTTTTTTTTTTTTTTGCTCCGGTTTCGTTTTGCGGCGGGCGGCTCTTCTTCCCCTCCCGCCGGTTTGCAAGGTAGATCGATCCTCCTTTCCCTTTTTCCCTTTTTTCCCCGGCACTGGGTTCGAATCCGGCGCTGAGGCGATTGAGGGGGGTTGGTGGGGGGGGGCTTGAACTCCTTCGGGTGGTCTTGGGCAACGGCTACTCCTACCCACCCACCCCCCGTCCTCGCTGTGGGGTTTTTCCTCCTTAAGGAGGGTTGGGGACTACAACTCCCATCGTTCCCGGCTCATGGTCTTCTTGCGGGGGTGGGGGTGGGGGTGGGGGTGGGGGTGTGAAGGGGGGTCTTTGTAGTCCCCGCCACCGCGCTCCCTCCTGCCCGGATGGAAAGGCGTCCAAAGTATCTGTTTTGACAGATAAAAAAGACGCCTGTGTTTTCCCCTTTTAGGAGTTTCCAAGGTTTCCCCTGGTGGTGGTGGTTACTATTATTATTATTATTATTATTATTATTATTATTATTATTATTATTATTATTATTATACACAGCAAATGAGATGATCATGCTGGATTTCGTAGCCCAAATCACTAGTCAAATGCTTCCCAAGCATTTAGGAGGAGGAGGAAGGAGGAGGAGGAGGAGGAGGAGGATTATTATTATTATTATTATTATATTGTTATTATTATTATTTAAGACAGTATACACAGCAAACGAGATGACCATGCTGGATTTTGCATCCCAAATCACTAGTCAAACACTTCCCAAGCGTTTAGGATTATTATTATTATTATTATTATTATTATTATTATATTATTATTATTATTATTATTATTATTATTATTATTTAAGACAGTATACACAGCAAACGAGATGACCATGCTGGATTTCGTATCCCAAATCACTAGTCAAACACTTCCCAAGCGTTTAGGATTATTATTATTATTATTATTATTATTATTATTATTATTATTATTATTATTATTATTTAATCTTTAGTGAGATTCACAGCCTTTGAGGCTGGTTAATAGCTCAGCAGCTCAAGTCCTAACCAAGGACCTAGGAACTGTTAAGGTATCGTCGGAGGATTTAAGCTGTTCCGAGTAGGGTGGTGTTTTGTATTATTATTATTATTATTATTATCATCATCATCATCATCATCTCATTCATTAAACATGAAACATGAAACTCAGTCAACTGAACATTTAAAAATGTATCACAAACATAATTGATTGGCGCTGATGGTTGATACAGATTGCTGCCAGCATCCTAGGCATCAACCAAGTATCTTCTTAATTTTTATTATTATTATTATTATTATTATTTATTATTATTATTATTATTATTATTATTATATTATTATAATATTATTACTATTATACTATATTATATATTATGATTATAAAATTATTAAAATTATGTCTTTTATTTATTAAACATGAAACTCAGTCAACTGAACATTTAAAAATGTATCACAAATATTATAATAATCAAATAATAATATTAATTTATTATTTTATTAAATAAAATTAAATAAATATTTAATAATAAAATAATAAAATTAGTAGTAGTAGTGTCATTATCATTGTTCTTGTTGCTGTTGTTCTGTTATTGTTATTGTTATTGTTATTATTATTATTTTATCCTGACCTTATGACAGGTAGTCCTCGACCTAGGACCACAACTGAGACCAACATATATGTTGCTAAGTGATACATTGATTAGGGTTTGTCCCATGTTACGACCTTTCTTGCCACCGTTGTTAAGTGAATCGCTACAGCTGTTAAGTTAGGAGCGCGGTTGTTAAGTGAATCCGGATTCCCCCAGATTGACTTTGCTTGTCAGAAGGTCGCAAAAGGGGATCGCGTGACCCAGGGTTACTGCGACCGTCATAAATGTGAGTCAGTTGCCGAGCATCTGAATTTGGATCACGTGACGGGGGGAGGGGGAATGGTGCAATGGTCATAAGTGTGAAAAACGATCCTAAGTCACTTTTTTTTAATGCTGGTGTATCTTTGAACGGTCGCTAAATGAAATGTTGTAAATCAAGGACTACCTGTACTTTGTAAGTAACTCAAAGGGTTACTAATCCTCCTTCCTCCTCCTGTTTTCCTCACAACAACCACCCTGCGAGGTGGGCTGGGCTGAGGGAAAGAACTGGCTTTATCATTTATAATCTTTTTTGGGGTCTCTTGAGGTCAAGAGGAGTGGGTTTCAATTGCCAGAACTCCCCAGGGAGTCCTCGATTTACGATCACAATTGAAGCCCAGAATCACCGTTGCTAAGTGAGACCGTTGCTAAGTGAGTTTTGCCCCAGTTTACGACCTGTCTTGCCACCGTTGTTAAGCGAATCCCTTTGTAACATAGTTGTTGTTAAGCGAATCTGGCTTCCCCATCGACTGTGCCGGTCCGAAGGTCGCCCAAAGGGATCGATCGCATGACCCCGGGACACCGCGACGACTCAAGAAGCCTTCCCTGGACCCGGCTGTGTTAGCAAATTATCGTCCTGTCTCCAACCTTCGCTTTGTTGTGAAGGTTTGAGAGTGTGGTTGCGCGACAGCTGCCTCAGTACCTGGATGAATCGACCTATCGAGATCCGTTCCAGTCGGGCTTCAGGCCCGGGTACAGCACGGAGACAGCATTGGTCGCGTTGGTTGATGATCTCTGGAGGGCTCGGGACAGGGGTTGCTCCTCTGTCCTGGTCCTATTAGACCTCTCAGCGGCTTTTGATACCATCGACCATAGTATCACGCTGCACCGGTTGGAAGGGTTGGGAGTGGGGAGCACTGTTTTATGGTGGTTCTCCTCCTTTCTCTCCGACCGGTCGCAGTCTGTGTTGACAGGGGGGCAGAGGTCGACCCCGAGGCCCCTTGTATGTGGGGTGCCGCAAGGATCGGTCCCTCTCGCCCCTTCTGTTCAACATTTATGTGAAGCCGCTGGCGAGATCATCCGTGGTTTTGGGGTGAAGTACCACCAGTATGCTGATGACACCCAGCTATACATCTCCACCCCACCACCACCCCAACGATGCCCTCGAAGTGATGTCCCGGTGCCTGGAGGCCGTACGGATCTAGATGGGGAGAACAGACTCAGGCTCAACCCATCCAAGACCGAGTGGCTGTGGTTTTCCGACGTCCCGATATAGTCAGCTGGCGCCATCACTGACTATTGGGGGCGAGTCGTTGGCCCCCACAGATGGGGTTCGCAACTTGGGCGTCCTGCTGGACTCACGGCTGTCTTTAGAAGAGCATATGACGGCCGGGGCCCGGAGGACTTTTTATCAGGTTCGCCTGATTCGCCAGTTGCGTCCCTTTCTGGATCGGGACTTGTTACGCACGGTCACTCACGCCCTTGTCACCTCACACCTGGACTACTGTAATGCTGTCTACATGGGCTCTCCTTGAGGAGCACCCGGAGGCTCCAGCTGGTCCAGAATGCGGCCGCGCGAGTGGTGATGTGAGCGACGTGGCACTCCCATGTGACTCCCCTCCTGCACGAGCTGCACTGGCTCCCAGTGGTCTTCCGGGTGCGCTTCAAGGTTTTGGTACCACCTTTAGAGCGCTCCATGGCTCAGGACCAGGGTAGCCTCTCACCGACCAGTTCGCTCCCATAGAGAGGGGCTCCTCAGGGTGCCGTCGGCCAAAGTGTCGACTGGCGGCCCCCAGGGGGAGAGCCTTCTCTGTGGGGGCACCCACCATCTGGAACGAGCTCCCCCTGGAGATACGGAGGATCCAAGATTTACGCACTTTCCGCCGTGCCCTAAAAACGTTTTTATTCCTACAGGCTGGCCTGGCCTAACTCTCCCTTTTAAATAGGGTTTAAAATGTTTTATATAATTGGATGTTTTTAGATTTGTTCCTGAGCCCAAATTATTTAATCTATTTTTAATAGGTTTTTAACTTTTATATGTTACTGTATTATTTTGGCTGTTCACCCCCCCTGAGACCCCCTGGGAGTAGGGGGGTAATATATGATAATATAAATAAATAAATAAATAAATAAATACGAGGCGGTGGACAATCCTGAATTTTTGATCACGTGACCAAAAAGGTCGTATGTCTGAAAAACTGTTGTTTTTTTTCCCAGTGCCACTGTAACGTCGAATGGTCGCTAAGCGAACCGTCATTAAGTTGGGGATCTCCGTGTACACAGACTTCCTCGGCATCAAACTTCGCCTTTGGCCTACCTCGTAGGGCTGTTGTAATGGAGTCCCTGGGCCTGGTTTCCAAAGAAATTTTGCTTTTGCTCATATATATATATATATATTATATATATATATATATATAATATACATACATACATACATACATACATACATACATACATACATACACCATATTTTTTGGATTATAAGAACCACTTTTTTGTCTCCCAAAAGGGGGCAAAAATGTCTGTGCGTCTTATAGAACAAATATTGCCAAAGCTTCGCCCACTCACCAGCTGGGTTTCGGCCTTCACATGAATCTGTTTTCGGGCCTTTTTTTGGCCCATTTTCGAGGCTTTGTTTGGCCTGTATTTGAGGCTTTTTGGGCCCGTTTTTTCAGGGGGAAAAGCCTCAAAAACAGGCCAAAAAAGCCTCAAAAACGGGCCAAAAAAAGCCTTGAAAACAGGCCAAAAAAAGCATAAAAAATGGCCTCAAAGAAGCCTCAAAAATGGCCCAAAAGAGCCTCGAAAACAGGCCAAAAAAAGCCCCCAAAATGGGCCAAAAAAGTCTTGAAAAAGGGCCAAAAAACCCCCCAAAATGGGCCAAAAAAAGCCTCGAAAATGGGCCGCAAAAAGCCCCCAAAACAGACTAAACAAAGCGGAAAAAATGGGACAAAAAAAAGGCCCGGAAAGAGGCCAAAAAAAGCCTTGAAAATGGGCCGAAAAACCTCCCAAAACGGGCCAAAAAAGCCTTGGAAATGGGCCGAAAAAAGCCCCCAAAACGGGCCTAAAAAAAGCCTCAAAAATGGGCCAAAAAAAGACTGGAAAAGGGCTGAAAAATGGCCCAAAAAAGGGAGGCCAAAAACTTTTTATATATATATATATAAAATTTTTGGCCCATACAATCATTGTTTCTTTGACTTTGTTCCTCTTCCATTCTATAAATGTTGCTTTTCCGGAGATTGCAAAAGCGGCATCTCACATGTGATTTTTGTCATTTTTGTGTTTGTGGGTCCCAGATGGCGGAGGCCGCCCGTGTGTTCGAGGGCCTTCGGCAGGAGCTGGTCACCGCCTTGATCCGGAATCCTTCCGAACAAAACGCCGAATCTTTGCAGCGCCTGGTGGAAGCGCCCTTGCCTCCGGCCCAGAAGTACCTGCAGATCGACGTCAAGGGCATTTTGCGAGCCAACGTCAAGGAGCAGGTGAGTGGGGTGAGAGGGAAAGTATTGGATCCTGTATTGGACGCTCTACCTGTTGAATGTCTGCGTGTATGTAATGCTCCGTTTACTCGTTGCGGGGCAAGGAAAACTGCCCTCAAACATCATGGAGTAGGTGAGGAGTGAATAAGACGGACAATAGATTTGCCATGTGGGGTGCTGTACCTGTTGAATATCTGCCCGTAATGCTCCGTTTAATCGTTGTGGGGCGAGGAAAAATGCCCTCAAATGTAATAGAGTAGATTAGGAGTGGATAAGAGAAATGATAGATTCCCTACGTGGGGTGCTTTACCGGTTGAATGTCTGCCCGCAATGCTCCATTTACTCATTGCGGGGTGAGGAAAATGCCCTCAAATGTCCTGGAATAGATTAGGAGTGGATAAGAGGGAAGATAGATTTCCCATGTGGCGTGCTTTACCTGTTGAATGTCTGCCTGTAATGCTGGGTTTACTTGTTGCGGGGAAAGGAAAACTGCCCTCAAACGTCATGGAGTAGGTGAGGAGTGGATAAGAGGGAAGATACAGTCCCCACGTGGGGTGTTTTACCTGTTGAATCTCTGCCTGTAATACTCTTTTGACCCATTGGGGGGGAGGAAGCGGACTTCAGCGTCAAGGCGCAGGTGAGGAGTGGGGTAAGAGGGAAGATAGATCCCATGCTGGATGCTTTACCTGTTGAGTGTCCGCCTGTAATGCTACTTGAACCCATTGACAGGAAGAAACTGACTTTGTCAAGGCTGAAAATTAAGCAGAAATTAACGAAACTTTTTTTAAATGCAGTTATATTATGTTTTTATATTGTCTCAGGTGCCCAGTCCTTTGACAGTGAGATAGGCAGCATATAAATTAATAATTAATTAATAATTAATTAATAATTAATTAATAATTAATTAATAATTAATTAATAATTAATTAATAATTAATTAATAATTAATTAATAATTAATTAATAATTAATTAAATAATAGAAATAAATAAATAGAAATACAATTAAACCCACATTAGAAGCAGACTGGAGTTTAGGGGAGCTGGGTGTAAGGAGCCAGGTACGATCTGGGGTTCATTTCTGTCCATTCCTTCCCCAGTGTGGAATTTAGTGACACGGCCCTCAAGACTCCCATTTCCAAAACAAAGGTTCTAGTCCTCAAGACAAACAGTTTGGGTGGGCTGCTTGCGGGTCGTCCTCGATCTTACGGCCACAAACGCGAACAGAATTACCCTGGCTCAGCGAGGCGGCGGTTCCTAGTGAGTCGCGCCCGATTTTGCATCCTTTTTTATTTCTCTCGCCGCAGTCGCTAAGTGAATTGCACGGTCGCTAAGCGAATCTGTCTTCCCCCGTTTGACTTTGCTAGTCGGAAACAGGATGAGTCACAAAAGGGTCATTGCGTCACTCCTGCAACACACTAACTGGGTTTTTTTTTTCGATACCTGTCAGTTGCCAATCACCCAAATTTGGATCTTGTGACCCTGTGGGAATGCTATGGCGGTCGTAAGTGCTATGACCAGTTGTAAGTGCGAGGACCGGTTCTAAGTCACTTTTTTTCAGCGCCCTTATAACTTCCAGCGGTCGCTAAAGGAACGGACGTAAGCCGAGGGCCGCCTGAATGACGCATGCTTCTGGGAACGCCTCGTAAACCAGCTGCATTCGAACCCAGAACCGATTAAGGCTTCTGAGAAAAAAAAAAAAGCCCGTTGCTGAACTGCCAATCCCTCTTCAGTTCCAGGTGGATCTCCGCATGATCTCCACCGCCTTCCAGATCCTGGAGAAATACGGGCGTAACCTTCTGCATCCTCGTAAACCTTATTTCTGGAGAATGGTCAAATTTAACAATCCGGTTTTCCGGGATACGGTGGACACTATCCAGGTAAGCGCCCCACCCCCACCGCCCCTGCCCTCCCAAACCGGATCCCCTATATCTCAGTGGCAGTCCCGCTGGATTTAAAAGTGGAATTTTATGCTAGAGAAGATCCCAGTGGTGGGATTCAAATAATTTAACAACCGGTTCTCTGCCCTAATGACCGGTTGGGTGGGCATGGCCATGGTGGGCGTGGCCATGGTGGGTGTGTCAGGCAGCACCTGGGAGCCAAAATAGGGCGCGGGGGGGACTCCTGGAAGGGGAGGGGTGGGGAGGAGCGGGGCGGGGCCAGACTGCAATTTAACAAGCGGTTCCCCTGAACCGGCCCAAACCGGCTGAATCCCATCACTGAGAAGATCCCAAGGATAAAATTAACAAAGTTCACAGACGCTTCCCAGCGGTGCCAAAATAGAATTAAAATTCCAAATTTAATTTTGGCGGTGCCAAAATAGAATTAAAATTCCAAATTTAATTTTGGCGCTGCCAAAATAGAATTAAAATTCCAAATTTAATTTTGGCGGTGCCAAAATAGAATTAAAATTCCAAATTTAATTTTGGCGGTGCCAAAATAGGATTAAAATTCCAAATTTAATTTTGGCGGTGCCAAAATAGAATTAAAATTCCAAATTTAATTTTGGCGGTGCCAAAATAGAATTAAAATTCCAAATTTAATTTTGGCGGTGCCAAAATAGGATTAATATTCCAAATTTAATTTTGGCGGTGCCAAAATAGAATTAAAATTCCAAATTTAATTTTGGCGGTGCCAAAATAGAATTAAAATTCCAAATTTAATTTTGGCGGTGCCAAAATAGAATTAAAATTCCAAATTTAATTTTGGCGGTACCAAAATAGAATTAAAATTCCAAATTTTCTCCTTTTTTTCATATCTGGTGAATTTCCCGCGAATGGACTGGGAAGCATTGATAACGTTTCATGCTTTTTAAGAAATCGGGTTTAGGGCAGGTCCAAGAAATCCTTCTCTCGAGAAAGGTGATCCTTTCTCGAAAGAAAGAACCTTGTTCTGGGAATCCCCGGGAATCCACAAAGCTTCCAAGATTTCTTGCTTGGCTGTCTGGGTTTAAATCAGTGAAATCTCCCGGAATTTTTTCATAAGCAAAATAGGTTTGTTAAATTTTTGCCGCCGCCTTCCCACTTCGTTGTGGATGGAGAGCAGCAGTGTAGATAGATCCCGCCCCCCCTTCCCTGCCAGGGATCTCCCTGGAGGGGATCTGGGATGAGAATCAGCCATTCGTTCAAGGACCCAAAAGATCCAAACTTTTAGAATCCACAGACTTTTTTGGGATGTGAATCTGTCCTGTAGGCCAGGATGAAGACACTTTTAAAACAGCGTTTGGCCACTTTAAGAGAGGGGTGGACTTCAACTCCCAGAATTCTCGGGTCAGCCATGCTGACTGGGGAATTCTGGGAGTTGAAGTCCACCCCTCTTAAAGTGGTGAGAAATACTAATTCCTAATGCCAGTTTGAGGTTGTGTAGGGGATCAAATTCCCCCCCCCCTTTTTTTAATACAATGAAGGAATGCATCGTTCTGAAATTATGCTTTCTTTTCCCAACAATTTCCAAATGTTGTAAATTTGCAATTGGCATCGAATAAATGTTTGCAAAAGGCTACCCGCCCTCTCTCTCTCTCTAGCTCTTCTTCTCCCTTTCTCCCTGTCCCCCTCTATCTTTCTCTCTCTTTTCTCTCCCCCCTCTCTCCCTCCTTCTCTTTCTCTCTTTCTTTTTCCCTTTCTCCCTCTCTCTTTCTCCCTCTTCTCCCTTTCCCTCTCCTTTTCTCTCTCCCTTTCTTTTTCCCTTCCTCCTCTACCTCTTCTCCCTCTCTTTCTTTCTCTCTCCCTTTCTCTCTCCTCTCTCTCTCCCTCTTTCTTTTTCCTTTCTTCCTCTCTTCTGCTCTATCTCGTCTACTCCCTTTCTCTTTCTCCCTCCCTCCCTCTTTCTCTCTCCCTCTCCCTCTTTCTCTTTCTCTCTTTCTTCTCTTTTTCTATTTCTTTTTCTCTGTCTCTTTCTTTCTTTCTCTTTTCCCCTTTCTCCCCTCTTTCTCTCTTCTTTCTCTCTGTCTCTCTCTCTGCTTTCTCTCTCTCTCCCTGCTTTCTCTGTCTCTCTTTCTCCCTTTCTTTCTCGCCTCTCTCTTGCTTTCTCTTTCTCTCTGTCTCTTTCTCTCTTCCTCTCTTCCTCTCTCTCTCTTTTTCCCTTTCTCCCTCTCGCTCTTCTTTCTCTCTCTCCCTCTTTCTCACTCTCTCTCCCCTTCTTTCTCTGTCTCTCTTTCTCTCTGTCTCTTTCTCTCTTCCTCTCTCTCTCTTCTTCCCTTTCTCCCTCTCGCTCTTCTTTCTCTCTCTCCCTCTTTCTCACTCTCTCTCCCCTTCTTTCTCTGTCTGTTTCTCTCCTCTCTCTTTCTCTTTTCCTTTTCTCTCTCTTTCTCTCTTCCTCTCTCTTCTTTCTTTTCCCTCTCTCCCTCTTTCTTTCTCCCTCTCTCTCCTCTCTCTATCACTTTCTCTTTCTCTCTCTCTCTCTCTCTCTCTCTCTCTCTCTCTCTCTCTCTCTCTCTCTCTCTCTCCCTTTGTCTGTTTTGTGTGCGTTTGTGTATGTGTCATCCCTTCGCCTGCCAAAACGACACCTTCTCTTCCGGCAGGGCGGACGGGACGTCCTCCGGCTGTACGGCTATTCGGAACAGAAGGCCGATGGGCTTTATTTCCCAGAATCTCAGCTCGAGCCGGATATTCCTCAAGTGGCATCCGTCACCGTAGACGTCATGCTCCTTCGTGCGGAGCTGACCCTTGTCCTCTCGGTACGGGGTGGTGGGGGGTGTGAGACCAAGCCGGTCTGACGGGGTAGGAGTGGGGAACGGCTAGGGAACCTTTAGGGATCCCTGCTAAGAGTTGAAGGAGGATTGTGATTCTTTTTCCTTATGTAGGAAACGCACCCCAACCCTAAGCTGTTGCAAGAATTAATGGACCAGGGCTTACAGGTGAGCACGCCTATGGGGCAGGCTGGGTGGGTGGAGGGGGTGAAGAAGGGACTGAGGTGGGTCTCAAAAGCTTTGGGGTGAGTGGGAGGGGGGCCCTTGCTGAGTGTGGTTTTGTTACTTTGTGTTGTGGCCCGTCGGCTACCGCCCCTCCAGCAGCCGAATCAGTGGAGGAGAAAGAGGGAGAGAGAGAGAGAGAGAGAGAGAGAGAGAGAGAGAGAGAGAGAGAGAGGCGGAGCCTGGGCCATCCGTCAGCCCTCCAATGGAGGGTCAACAGCCCCCAGATCTGGAGGTGGCTGATGAGGAGGAGGAGGAACAGCTGGGTCCTGTGCCTGATGCACGGATGCTCAGAAAGCAGAGGAGAGGAGAGCAGTGGAAATCTATGGGCTGGTCCTCGGGACGGAAAAGCCACCGCTGCTAGCGAAGCCCCGCCCTGGGATAAAAGGCAGGGACGGAGATGAATAGGTGTGGCAGACAACTATTCATCTTCCGACCGGCCGGATTTGTTAGCCTGCGGCGAGAGAGAAGCTTTTATGCCGGGGCTGCCGGCGTCCCTAATTAAAGGAATCGTTGAGTTCAGAGGGTTTGTCGTATTTGGGGAGCTGGTTCAGAACATTTTGTTTGTACGTCTCTATAGCAGCGTTTCTCAAATCTCAGCCCCTTGAAGATATGTGGACTTCAACTCCCAGAATTCCCCACTGGGGGAATTCTGGGAGTTGAAGTCCACCCATCTTCAAGGCTGAGAAACATTGGTACGAAGGGGGGGGGTGTCCATGACTTCCATTTGCAGTCTTCCCAGCCGGCTTCCGACAAGCAGAGTCGATGAGGGAAGCCGGATTTGCTTAACGGCCATGCGATCCGCTTAACGCCTGTGTGACTCGCTTAACGACCGAGGGGAATTCACTTCACGACCGAGGGGGGGGGGAAAAGAATCGTAAAAATCAGGCGGGGCTCGCTTAGCTCCCATCCCAACGCTTAGCAACAGGGGTTGTGAGTTGTGATTGTGAGTCATGGAGTATCTGTCTAGATCCGTGATGGCGAACCTATGGCACGCCGTGCCACAGGTGGCACGCCGAGCCATATCTGTGGGCACGCAAGCATTTCCCTAGGTCAGCTCCAGTGTGCATGCACGCACCGATCCAGCTGATTTTTGGGCCTTCTGGGCCCACCAGAAGTCAGGAAACGGGCCATTTCCAGCCTCCGGAGGGTTGGGGAAGGCTGTTTTTGCCCTCCCCAGGCTCCAAGAGAGCCCCTGGAGCCTGGGGAGGGTGAAAAACAGGTCTATCGGGCCCACCGATAACCTTTTTGTCGTCGCATGCCAAAAGTGGAGGTAGCGGGGGAATGGTCATACGCGCATGCGTGGGGCGGCATTGAATTATGGTGTGGGCACGCACGCTCGTGACCCCACTGTGCTCCCCCCCACCCCACCCCCGCTTTTGGCACGCGACGGCAAAAAGGTTAGTCATCACTGGTCTCGATTGTCTGGATCCCATTTTATCTGACCCTGGAGAAACCAGCTTCTCAATCTGGGTTCCATCATCCCCCAACCCCCAGAAGCGCTGGCTGTGGATGATGAAGGAGAGAGTCCCCCACACAGGCAGTCCTCGACTTACGACCGTTCATTTAGTGACCGTTCGAAGTTACAACGAGCATTGAAAAAAATGACCGCTTTTCACACTTACGACCTTACGTTGCGGCTAGACGCTTGGCAACGGATTCACATTTATGACGGTCGCAGTGTTGACCGGGGGGTTCAAGCCAAGTTCACTTAACAAGCGTGTGACTGACTTCACAACTGTGGCCAGAAAGGTCGTAAAACGGGGGCAAAAGAAACGTTCCGCTTACCGACAGAAACGGGGGGGCTGAATTGTGGTCGTAAATCAAGGACTCCCTGTATCTGGAGGGCGAAGATTGATCAACTGGCCTACAGGTTGTATCTTTCTTCCTTCAGGATTGGTTCTAAATTTTCTTCAAGGGCCATTTTGGCTTTCAAAGGGAGGAAACCTGGTTTCTCCTCCTCCTTCCGTGGTCCTGATTCTTCTCTCTTTTTCCAGGTCAACAAGCTTGCCGATGCTGGATCCCCGAATCCACTTTTAGCCATGATTCACGCAGGTAACGGGAGAAAGAGCCACGGGTGGTTGGTCGTAAGGTGCCACGTTCGTGGGACTTATTTTGTAACGCAAGCCGGGTTCGCGATCAAACCTGGATGGAAAATGTTGGCGGGTTGAGAGAAACCAAAAATCGAAAGGATCTTTTTAAACCAGAGGCAGAGGAAGAGAGTGAAAGATCTGATCGATTGGAGGCTATCCAGTGTTTCTCAATCTCGGCCCCTCCAAGATGGGTGGACTTCAATTCCCAGAATTCCCCTCTTTCTCTCTATCTCTTCTTCTCCCTTTCTCTCTCTCTCCCTTTCTCTCTCCCTATTTCTCTCTCTCTTTCTTTTTCCCTTTCTCCTTCTCTTTCTCTTTATCTCTTCTCTCTCTCTCTTTCTCTCTTTTTTTCTTTTGCTTTTTCTCTGTGTCTTCCTCTCTCTCCCTCTCTTTCTTTCTTTCTCTCTCTCTCTTTTACCCTTTCCCTCATCTGTTTCTCTCTTCTTCCTTTCTCTCTCTCTCCTTCTTTCTCCCTCTTTCTCTCTCTTTTTTCCCTTTCTCCCCTCTCTCTCTCTATCTCATCTTTTTCTCTCTCTCTCCCTATTTCTCTCGCTTTCTTTTTCCCTTTCTCCCTCTCTCTCCTCCCTTTCTCTCTCTTTCCCCCTATTTCTCACTTTCTTTTTCCCTTTCTCCCTCTTTCTCTTTATCTCTTCTTCTCCTTTCTCTCTTTCCCTTTCTCTCTCCCTATTTCTCTCTCTTTCTTTTTTCCCTTTCTCCCTCTCTTTCTCTATCTCTTCTCCCTTTCTCTCTCTCCCTTTTCCTATTTCTCTCTTTCTTTTTCCCTTTCTTTCTATCTCTTCTTCTCCCTTTCTCTTTCTCTCCCTTTCCCTATTTCTCTCTCTTCTTTTCCCCTTTTCCCCTTTCTCCCTCTTTCTATCTCTTCTCTCTCTTTCTTTCTCTCTCCCTCTCTTTCTTTCTCTTTTTCTCTCCCTCTTTTTTCTCTCTTTTTCCCCCTTTCCCCATCTCTCTCCTTCATTCTCCTCTCTCTTTCTCTCTTTCTCTCTTTCTCTCTCTTTCTCTCCTTCATTCTCCTCTCTCTTTCTCTTTTTCCCTTTCTTCCTCTCCCTCTCTAGTCAGGGGGCTAGACTAGAAGACCTCCAAGATCCCTTCCAGCTCTATTCTGATTGAAACTCATCAAGGAGAGAAGCAACCGGGAATTAAGGAGAAACTTCCTAACAGTGAGGACAATTAACCAGTGGAACAACTTGCCACCAAAGTTGTAGATGCTTCATCAGTGGAGGCGTTTAAAGAAAAGACTGGACAGCCACTTGTCTGAAATGTTCATTCCGTCATTCCCACTGATGGCCGTAGCCATATCAGTGGGAACGCGAGCTCAGCTTCCCACCGGAAGTTGTCAAACGGGCCGTTTTCAGCCTCCAGAGGACCTCCGGGGGGTGGGGGGGAGGCCGTTTTCATCCTCCCCAGACTCCTAGAGAGGCCCTGGAGGCTGGGGGCAGCAAAAAACAGGCCTTCTGGTCCCACCGGAAGTTGTCAAATGGGCCATTTTTGGCCTCCAGAGGACCTCCGGGGGGGTGGGGAAGGCTCTTTTCGCCCTCCCCAGACTCCTAGAGAGTCCCTGGAGGCTGAGGACAGCAAAAAACAGGCCTTCTGGTCCCACCGGAAGTTGTCAAATGGGCCGTTTTCAGCCTCCGGAGGACCTCCCGGGGGGTGGGGAAGGCTGTTTTCGCCCTCCCCAGACGCTTAGAAAGTCCCTGGAGGCTGGGGACAGCAAAAAACGGGCCTTCCGGTCCCACCGCAAGTTGTCAAACGGGCCGTTTTTGGCCTCCAGAGGACCTCCGGGGGGGGGGAGGCTGTTTTTGCCCTCCCCAGACTCCTAGAGAGTCCCTGGAGGCTGAGGACAGCAAAAAACGGGCCTTCCGGTCCCACTCAAAGTTGTCAAATGGGCTGTTTTCGGCCTCCAGGGGGGTGGGGAAGGCTGTTTTTCGCCCTCCCCAGACTCCTAGAGAGTCCCTGGAGTCTGGGGACAGCAAAAAACAGTCCTTCTGGTCCCACCAGAAGTTGTCAAATGGGCCGTTTTCGGCCTCCGAAGGACCTGGGGGGGTGGGGAAGGCTGTTTTCGCCCTCCCCAGACGCTTAGAAAGTCCCTGGAGGCTGAGGACAGCAAAAAAACGGGCCTTCCGGTCCCACTGGAAGTTGTCAAATGGGCCGTTTTCGGCCTCCGGAGGACCTCCAGGGGGGTGGGGAAGGCTGTTTTCGCTCTCCTCAGAGTCTTAGAGAGACCCTGGAGGCTGGGGATAGCAAAAAACGGGCCTTCCGGTTTAACTGGAAGTTGTCAGACAGGCCGTTTTCGGCCTCCGGAGGACCTCCAGGAGGGGGTGGGGAAGGCTGTTTTCGCCCTCCCCAGACGCTTAGAAAGTCCCTAGATCCAGGTGAGAAAGAAAAACGGGCCAACTGGACCATTGCGTGCCAGGAGCAGGGGGAGTCGCGTGCATATGTGCGGGGGTAGGGCACATAGAATTATGGGTGTTGGCACACCGGCCCCCTGCCCCCCCCCCTCCTGGCACATGATGGCGAAAAGGTTAGCCATCACTGGTATAGGGTCTACTGCTCGAACAGGGGGTTGGACTGGAAGACCTCCAAAGTCCCTTCCAGCTCCATTCTGATTGATTGATTGATTGATTGATTGATTGATTGATTGATTGATTGATAACTCAGGAATAAAATCTGCCTTCTGTTGCAGAGATGGGCCCGAATCTTGACTTTTCAGACCTAAGCAGAACAAAACGTGAGAAAAATTGTTGTTTTTTTCTTTTTCTCTCTCTCTTGTTTTTTTTCCCGATCTGCAGGAAATCTGCCACCGGACACCTGCCTCCTTTGTGGTTTAGAAGCCCCGTCGCAGCACTGTGCGGCTTGCAATCAGAGTTTGTGTCCTAACTGCGATTGGCTGTTTCATAAACATCCTTCTCGGACGCATCACCATCGGGTGCCCATGAAGAACCCTAGCAGAGCGTGGCAGAGCCCCCCACCGCCCCCCAACCCCAGGTATCCCCTTGGGTGCAAATTCTCCCAAGCCAGCCCTCTCGACGCTCCGTCACCTCCCCGTAAAACGGGATATCCTCGGGAAAATGGCTACCGCTTCCTGGCTTCGGGATCCAAAGCAAACCGCCCTCCATTTTTCCCTCTTGTGGAATTATTCCCCCCTCCTTCCAAAATTCACGTAAGATCTAGGTAGTCCTCGACTTAACGACCAGAAGGGAGGCCAAATTTTTGTTACTGAGTGGGTTGTGACCGATTTTACGACCCCTTCTCGCCGCGGCGGTAAAGCGAATTGCGGTCGTTAAGCAAACCACACAGTCGTTCAACTAATCCGGTTTCCCCCCCCCCTCCCCACCGTTGACTTGGCTTGTGGGAAGGGGGCAGGGAAGGTCACAAAATGACAATCGCGCGGCGACCTTCGGTCGCCCGGCGCCCGAATTTTGATCACGTGAACCCTGCGGACGTAAGCGCGAGAAGTTTGAAGTCGCCCTTTTCCAGTGCCGTCGTAACTTTGGTCACTAAGCGAATGGTTGTAAATCGAGGCCCACCTGTACACACCAGATTATCATAATTTTTTAACGACCCCATAATCCTTTGCGGGGTGCAGTCTGGGCGTCTGAATGGAGCGGAGTGTTTACTGGCCGGATGCCTTTCCTGTTGCCAGGGCGGAGTTTTTTTTCCCCACCAGATATATTCCCATTGCTCCCAGAGAGAGAAACCTGAATGCACCAGATGGTTTATTCCATTATGGAATTTATCAATGTATTGGTTAGTCGTTCAATTGTGATTGATTCAGTGTCGGGTTCTCGTCCCTTTGCAGCCTCTCTAGCATCCCCTCGGAAACGACTTCTCTGCGGCCCCCCAGCCTCCCCCCACTCTCATCCTCCCACACCATCCCCAGTCCGCGCCCTCCCTGGCGCTGCGCAGCGTGTCAGAAGAACAATGACGCCTCCTCCATCCTCTGCATAAATTGCGACCGGCCTCGGGGCTGCAAGACCCCCCAGAACCTCGGCCTGGACGACGAGCTGACCAACCAAGGCCAGCTGGCCAGAGGACGTTGGTCCTGCCAAACCTGCACCTTTCAGAACGAGTCGGCCACCGTCCTGTGTGCCGTGTGTGAGAGGCCGCGCCTAGCTGGGAGACCGGGCACCGGCGACGCCAAGCCCTTGATAGCCTGGGGGGAGGAGAGTGGACCCCAGCAGGAAGATGTGAGTACGGGGGCTTCCAAGAGGAAATGCTTTCTAACACGGGGCTAGAATTCCCTGTTTCCTGGTGGTTGGCCCAACGTTCATGCCTAGGGCAGGACTAGAACTCTCTGTCTACTACTGATTGGGCCAAAGTCACCCAGATAGCTTTCCTGCCTAAGGCGGGACTAGAACTCACTGCCTCCTGGTGATTGGTCCAAAGTCACCCAGTCGGCTTTCATGCCTAAGGCGGGACTAGAATTCCCAGTCTCCTAGTGATTGGCCCAAAGTCACCCAGTCGGCTTTCATGCCTAAGGCGGGACTAGAACTCACCGTCTCCTGATGATTGGCCCAAAATCACCCAGATAATTTTCATGCTTAAGGCGGGACTAGAAGTCACTGTCTCCTAGTTATTGGCCCAAAGTCACCCAGATAGTTTCCCTGCCTAAAGCGGGACTGGAACTCACCATCCCCTGGTGATTGGCCCAAAATCACCCAGATAATTTCATGCTTAAGGTGGGACTAGAACTCGCCGTCTCCTGGTGATTGGCCCAAAGTCACCCAGCTGGCTTTCATGCCTCAGATCGGACATCGAGACCCAACATGGCTAAGATCAGACATCAAGATAAAAGCAGGGCTAAGATCGGATATCAAAAACTGGCACCACTGAGATCGGAGATCGAGGCTGGGCATGATTAATGATGTCTCTTCTTTGTCAGAGAAGATGTCAGATTGAATGACAGCTGTCGTGGGAATTGTAGTTCCACTTTTGGATGGTGCTATGCTTTGGGGCTGCTCCCGATGTCTCATTTTAGCCACGCCCAATCACAATGTCTTATCTTTACCTCTGCCGGATTTTCCCTGTCCCCAATCATCGATGTCCGATCTTTGCCGTGCCCGATCCCGGATCTTATCCGTGCCGGATCTTGCACCCTGGCGCTAATCTTGAGCCCGGAATTTCCACCCCCCCCTCCCCACTTCTCTTCCCGCAGGCCCCCAGCTGGCAGTGTGAACACTGCACTTTCCGCAACACCGTCGCCCGACGGATCTGTGAGATGTGCAACTGTACCAGCCTGCACGGCGATCCCCAGCCCTCCCACGCCCGGACCGAGAAGGAGGAGGTGGGCAGGATGAAGCGGCAGGTGGTGGAAGCCCCCGCGGAGCCCCAGGATCTGTCGAGAGCCCCGTCCGTCTCGCCCGAGGAGGTGGAGCAACAGAGGCAGGAGAAGCTGCGGGACGACGGGCAGAAGATGGTGGCCATGATCAGGGTGAGTTCTCCACCCACCCACCCACCCCCAATCAGTTTTGAACCCCTGTACGCGCCGCCTTCAAATTGAACCCCGCCTGTCGTGAGAATTGTGGGAATTGTAGTTCAACTTCCAGAGGGTGCTATCTTTTGGGGGGCAGGGGTGGGATTCAAAAACGTTAGCAACCGGTTCTCTGAGTGGGCGTGGTTGCTGAGTGGGCGTGGCCATGATGAGTGTGGCTTACTTGGCCTCCTACACTACGGAGGCAGGGGGCATTTATGCCCTCCCCAAGTTCGGGGGGCCAGCCAGGCCTTGCAACTACCAGTTCGGCGAACCAGATGTAAAAGTAGCATCCGTTTCGCCCGAACCGGCTGAATCCCACCTCTACCCAGAGGCCTTAGGATAGGAAGCCTAACCAAACTCTTTTGTTTTTCCTTGTATACAGATTTTTGTTCTGTGTGTGTGTGTATGTATACATGCGTGCGCATCTATATATCTATACAGGTAGTCCTCGACTTAACAGCCACAATTGAGCTCAACTTTTTTCTGTTGTTAAGTGAGACATTCGTGAAGTGAGCTTTGCCCCATTGGACGGCTTTTCTTGACAACGTTTGTTAACTGAACCGCTGCCATTGATCGGTTAGCAACAGGGTTGTTAAGTGAATCTGGCTCCCCCCCCTCATCCCCCCCACCCCGTCTTGGCATGTCAGAAGGTCACAGAAAGGAGAGCACGACGTTGACCCCGGGATGCTGTGAACATGCGTGTAAGCATGAACAGGTTGCCCTGCATCCTGAATTTTGATTACGTGGCCGGGGGAATGCTACAAAGCATTGGGACTGGGGAAAATGGCCGTCAGTCATTTTTTTTCCGGTGCCGTCGTAACTTTGGGCGGTCACTAAATGAACGGTTGTAAGTCGAGGACTACCTGTATCTATATCTAGAGCTACCTATATATCTGGAGGACTGTTAGGAATCTTTGCTGCCTTGAATTACCTATAAAGTAATGAAAGGTTATTAGGGATGGATGGATGGATGGATGGATGGATGGATGGATGGATGGATGGATGGATGGTAGGTAGGTAGATTGGGTGGATGGATGGATGGATGGAAATAGAGAGAAAGACAGACACAGACAGATGATAGGTAGATTGGATGGATGGATGGATGGATGGATGATAGGTAGATTGGATGGATGGATGAAAATAGAGAGAGACAGAAAGACAGATAGATGATAGGTAGAGTGGATGGATGAATGAGTGGATGGATGGAAATAGAGAGATAGACAGACAGACAATAGGTAGATTGGATGGATGGATGGATGGATGGATGGATGGATGGATGGGTGGGTGGAGATAGACAGATAAAAGATGGATAGGCAGATAGAGACAGACAGACTGACATACAGATATATTAGACAGATGATAGGTGGATGGATGGATGGATGGAGACAGAAGATGGATAGGCAGATAGAGATAGACTGACATACAGATATATAGACAGATGATAGGTGGATGGATGGAGATAGAGAGAGAGATGATGGGTGGAGGGAGATAGACAGATGGGTGATAAGTAGAATGGATGGATGGATGGATGGATGGATGAGATAGATAGAAGATGGATAGGCAGATAGAGACAGACAGACTGACATACAGATATATAGATAGATGATAGGTGGATGGATGATGGATGGAGACAGAAGATGGATAGGCAGATAGAGATAGACTGACAGACAAATATATAGATAGATGATAGGTGGATGAATGGAGATAGAGAGAGAGATGATGTAGGGAGATAGATAGACAGATAGATGGATGATAGATAGATTGGATGGATGGATGGATGGATGGATGGAGATAGATAGATGGATAGGCAGATAGATAGATGATAGGTAGATTGGATGGATGGATGGACGGAGATAGATGGATAGATAGATAGATAGATAGATAGATAGATAGATAGATAGAGTGAATGGATGGATGGATGGATGGATGGATGGAGAGAGAGAAAGAGATCCATAGATACATATGTATTTGATATATAGTTATAGCTACAATATAGATACAATTATGCACATACATATTATAGATAGACGCCTAGCTATGTGTGCCTTGAGTTCAGTGCGCCTATATTTATCCTGCCTTTTTAAAATTAACATCTCTAGTTTGCTAATATACATAATACTCTCCATGAATTTTCCCCACAACAACAACTCTGTGAGGTAGGTTGGCCTGAGAGCAAATGGCTGGCCACTTAGCTGATGGCAGGAGGATCCAACCCATCCTGTCTGCAAAAGAGGCTCTCCAACTCCCCCAAAGTCCATTTTATGACCCATGGTTATCTCTCTCCTCGGGGGGGAGAGGGGTTATGAAACGGTCGTAAGTGAAGGACTATCTGCAACTCGTCCTCCTCCCGGCCAATGTAATCGCCAACCAACTTTGGAGTCCTCTCTCTGTCATCTTGGCCCTGGTTTTGTTTTTTTGGCCCCCACAGGAGGCGGAAACTGTGGGCGTAGCCCCCGAAATGGTGGCGGCCGCCTTGTGCTACTCGGGAGCTGAGCTGCCCCTGGCCTGGCTGAAATCGGAGCTGCCCTGCGTCCTGGAAGGTATGGCAGAACTGGCCACTCAGCGAGGCGAGGAAGAGCCCGACGGCGGTCTGGGTGCCATAACGCTCCAGGAAGTCCAAACCGCGTGGGTGGCCAGCCGGGGCGACGTAGATGACGCCGTCGGCAGATGCCTCAGTGCCCGTCGGAGCAAGGTGAGTCTCGGCAAAATGCGCGGGAAAAATAGAATAAGGAATTAGGTAAAGGTAAAGGTTCCCCTCGCACATACGTGCTAGTTGTTCCTGACTCTAGGGGGCGGTGCTCATCTCCGTTTCAAAGCCAAAGAGCCAATGCTGTCCGAAGACGTGTCCGTGGTCATGTGGCCAGCATGACTCAACGCCAAAGGCGCACGGAACGCTGTTACCTTCCGACCAAATTTTTCTACTTGCATTTTTTATGTGCTTTCGAACTACTAGGTTGGCAGAAGCTGGGACAAGGAACGGGAGCTCACCCCGTTACGCGGCGCTAGGGATTCGAACCGCTGAACTGCTGACCTTTTGATCGACAAGCTCGGCGTCTTAGCCACTGAGCCACCGTGTCCATTTTATAATAAGGCATTATAATAGTGTTTTTCAAACCTTGGCCACTTTAAGATGGGTGGACTTCCAACTCCCAGAATGCCCCACATCAGTTTCCCATTTAATTGTCAAGCCGTCTAGCTCACCTTTAAATCATTTATTAATTTAGTTTGTCCTGGGTTATTTTTTTTTCTACTTTGCTGAAGTCAAGATATATTACATCTACTGCATTCCCACTATCTACTAAGAAAGCTACCCTATGAAAAAATGCGACAAAATGCAACAAAGCCAAAGAGATAGACCTCCACATGGTACCATAAGAGTCACGACTTACGTTTAACATACTCCTCGACTTACAAACATTCATTTAGTGACCGTTCGAAGTTACAACGGCGCAGGAAAAAAGTGACTTAGGACCATTTTTCACACTTTACAACCGTTGCAGCATTCCCGTGGGACACGTGTTCAAAATCCGGATGCTTGGCAACTGGTATGTACTTATGACAGTTGCCGTGGTCTTGTGATCCCCTTTTGCGACCTTCTGACAAGCAAAGTCAGTGGGGAAAGCCGGATTCACTTAACAACCATATAGCTAACTTAAGGACTGCAGTGATTCACTTAACAGCTATGGCAAGGAAAGTCATTGAATAGGGCAAAACTCACTTAACAACTGTCCCACTTAGCAACATAAATTTTGGCCTCGGTTTTGGTCGTAAGTCGAGGACTAGCTGTAGTTCTTCTAACCCATGCTGAATTCTGGTCAACCCTTGGGCGGCTGGGGAATTCTGGGAGTTGAAGTCCATCCTGTTGTGGCCCGCCAGCAGATCTGACAGCAGATTCGGACAGTGAGGAGGTTGGGGAGGAACATGGGCAAGTCCTGGAGACTAGAGAAGGCTCTGACGAGGGCTCTGCATCGGAGGCAGAGAGGGGGCCAGGGCCGTCTGACAGTTGTCAGCTGCCTTCGAAGTTGGACATCAGTTGGGCAGAAGAACAGCTGAATCTTGTTCCCAGTGTGGGAAGCGAAGGGAACAGCTAAAGAACAAGGGTCGACTCAGGAGTAAAGCCACAGATGGACGGTGAATGGTCCCTCCCAGAGGGAATAAAAGAGGAACAAAAGGGGAGTGGAGTTTGCAGGAGACAATTAGTTTGGGTGAAGATCTGTTCCTGCATTCTTGCCAAGTATTGTCGGTGACAGTGTGGAATCTGAAAGATATCGGCCTAGTTACTCTCTAAGCCTGATAAAGGTCAGATCCTGGTTAAGGTTTGGTTTCGGGAAGGTGACGTCAGGCTTGGTTCTCTCCACAGGTGAGAGAGCTGAAGTGCCTGGGCTTCGAAGAGCGGGGCCCTGTATTACAGGCCCTGTACGAGAACAACGGCGACTTATGGCGGGCTCTGGTGCAGCTGCAGCGTGCCCGTCTGGCACCTTTCCACCAGCGGCTGTGGGAGAGCGAAGACCCTCCGCTGGACTTCCAGAGCGCCGACCGACAGGTAAGCAAGAGAGGAAGGGAAGGGATCCTGGGCTTCCGGAGATCCAGTGGGAGGAGGTACCACCGGTCCTTTCTCGTCTCTGTTCCTCGCCAGGCGCTGCTGCGGCGTCTCCTGGCCTCGCTGTCTCTACCCAGCTGGGGCCGGGCCGAGCTGGTGGTCTCGTTGATGCTCGAGCAGTCGAACGAAGGTTGGGAGCTGTCGGACATCGTGGAAGCCGTCAAGGCCTCCCCGAACCGCGACTTCATCAAACGCTTGCTCAGCTGGGAGTGCGCCGTCTGCAGCCTGGCCTTGCCGCGGAACAAGGTACCGACGTGCGCCTTTCTTCCATAACGGGGCTTGGTTGACTGTCTCCGGCCCGTAATTAAGTTTTGGTCGCCACGATGTGAAAAAAAAAAATATGTTGAGACTCTAGAAAGAGTGCAGAGAAGAGCAACCAAGATGATGAGGGGACTGGAGGCTAAAATATACGAAGAACGGTTGCAGGAACTGGGTATGTCTCATTTAATGAAAAGAAGGACTAGGGGAGACATGATAGCAGTCTTCCAATATCTCAGGGGCTGCCCCAAAGAAGAGGGAGTCAAGCTATTCTCCAAAGCACTTGAGGGCAGGATAAGAAGCCATGGGTGGAAACTATTCAAGTAGAGAAGCAACCTAGAATTAAGGAGAAATTTTCCTGACAGTTAGAACAATCAATCAGTGGAACAACTTGCCTCCAGAAGTTGTGAATGCTGCAACACTGGAAGTTTTTAAGAAGATGTTGGATAACCATTTGTCTGAAGTGGTGTAGGGTTTCCTGCCTAAGCAGGGAGTTGGACTAGAAGACCTCCAAGGTCCCTTCCAACTCTGTTATTCTATTTCGTTCCGTTCTGTTCCGTTCCGTTCCATTCTATTCCATTCCATTCCAGTGCTGAAATCCATTTTTTTTACTACCGGTTCTGTGGGCGTGGCATGGCTGAGTGGGCGTGGCGTGGCTGGGTGGGCGTGGCTGGGTGGGCACGGCAGGGGAAGGATACTGCAAAATCTCCATTCCCATCCCACGCCTGAGGGAAGGATACTGCAAAATCCCCATTCTCACCCCACTCCTGAGGGAAGGATACTGCAAAATCTCCCATCCCATTCCTGAGGGAAGGATACTGCAAAATCTCCATTCCCACCCCACTCCTGAGGGAAGGATACTGCAAAATCCCCATTCCCACCCCACCTTCCTGCAAAATCCCCATTCCCACCCCACTCCTGAGGGAAGGATACTGCAAAATCTCCAATCCCACCCATCTCCTGAGGGAAGGACACTGCAAAATCCCCATTCCCACCCCACCTTCCGGCAAAATCCCCATTCCCACCCCACTCCTGAGGGAAGGATACTGAAAAATCTCCAATCCCACCCCACTCCTGAGAGAAGGATACTGCAAAATCTCCAGTCCCACCCCACTCCTGAGGGAAATATACTGCAAAATCCCCATTCCCACCTCACTCTGGGGCCAGCCAGAGGTGGTATTTGCCGGTACTCCGAACTGCTCAAAATTTCCGCTACCGGTTCTCCAGAACCTGTCAGAACCTGCTGGATTTCACTCCTGGGTGGCACGCAGAGCCCTCTCTGTGGGCGCGCGCGCTGTCGCCAATTGCTCATCGCGGGCACTGGAAAACGGCCTGAAAAATGGCCACAAATCAGGCCGTTTCCAGACTGTTTTTCAGGCCAATTTGGGGCCTTCTTTGGGCCGTTTTCTAGCTTTTTTTCGGGCCAAAAAACAGCCAATAAACAGGCATGCATTGGTGGCACAGTATTGGAAGAAGCAAGATTTACCTACAATCCAAGAATGGACAATGAAAGTAACAAACCTAGCGGAGATGGCAAAAATTTCAGCGTACTTGAAGGAATATTCAAATGAAAGATATTTAAGGGACTGGAGAAGATGGATAGATTATATCCAAAGTAAATACCGGAATAAGAAGTTGCAGATAGGTTATGAATAAATATGTAGATATTTGGCGTGTTTTTAGGTAATTAAGTTACCTAAACTTAGGGTAATTAGGGAATTGAAGGAATAAGAGATGCTGAATGTTATAATTATTTAGATTAGGATGGATTATGATTGTTGAATGTTATATCCTGTAATTTGTTCTGGGAAGGTGGGGGGGAGGTGGGCAGATGGGAAGGGGAAGGGGTGGGGGGAGGGGTGGGGGGGTAAGGGAGGGGAGGGTGTGGGGGTGGTAGGGAAGGGGAGCAAACATGTAAACCTTCTGTAATTTATTTTTTTTTAATAATAAAACAAGCATGCGCACGCCGGCCAGTTGTTCTTCGGATTTCCTGCGCTCCGGCGTGCACTCATGCACATTGTCAGGGTTGCAAGTAATCCGATCGGTCGGGTCTACACAAGGACACACACACATGCACTCGGTGCCTTAAAGGTTCGCCATCACTGACCTACAAGGTCCCTTTCAACTCCGTTAATCTGTGAAGTCCTTCTCTTTTCAGATGCAGTCACTAACGTCGTGCGAGTGTACGATTTGCCCCGAGTGTTTTGCTTTGCACTTCACCATCGCCGTAAAAGAGAAACACATCACGGATTTGGTGTGTCCAGCTTGCTCCGAGCCGGAAATCAGCGACGAGACCGAACTTCTAAATTATTTTTCTACTCTTGATATCCAGGTGATGTTTCTCCTGTCCCGTTTCTCCCCGGCTTCCGTTGGGAGTCTATTTTTATTTATTTTTTTAACCATTTATTTATATATTTTTCCTTAACATACATACAGTAGTGGCCAAAATTGTGGAAACTCAGGTGGTATTCAGCCGGTTCGCTGAATACGAACTGATCCCCTGGTCGCCGCTCACTCACCCCGCCCGCAATGTTCGTTGCTGCAATGTTCTCCACGCACGCGCATCCCATTGTCTTGCAAGTCCAATGGGATGCGCGTGCACAAAGAACATGGCGGCAACGGCTGTAGCTTTTCCTGCGACCTCCAGTACTTTTCAGCGGCCTGCAGCCAGCTGCCACAGCCGCAAAGCGGCTCTCAGGCTGGCTGGGGGCCGCTGAAAACTCCGGTCAGCTTGCCTTCCGGACTCTGGACCAGCCACCGCGGAAGGTAAACAGCCCGAACAAAGAGGCGATGGTGGGGGAGGAAGCAGGGCTACGGCTGCGGCCAGTAAAGGAGGGGAAACGGGGGTGACTGGTGAAGGGAGGGCCGGGGTGGATAGATGGAAATTCCAAAAATTTTTCTACCTTTTCCTGTGGGCATGGCTGGGGGTGGGTGGGTCATGTGACTGAGTTGGCGTGAGTGATGTCAGGTGGCCACGCCTACTCAGTCACATGCGCCCGCCCCCCCCCCCACAGCCCGGCCCCCCGGGGCTCGCCCCCTCCCCCCCTGTTTCCGCGCGGCGCCAACTGGAAGTCTCTCTCTTTGTTTTTTTAATACTCTGGTTTCTCTTCAGATTGTATAAATCTTTCGCCTTTTTTTGGAGTTTCAAGATAATCCTATTCCACTGCTGGAATGGCCTGGGAATAGCCCAGACCTGAACCCAATGGAAAATCTAGGGAGCCGACTCAAGAAACTGGTTAGTCAGAAGCGACCCAGCAATAAAACCCAGTTAATAGAAGCCATCCTTCAATCTTGGTTTCACATTAGAACAGCTGCAGAACTAAAAGACTTGGTTCACTCCATGGGAAGATCTTGTAAGGCCGTCATTCATGCTAAAAGTTACCCAACGAAGGATTAACTGACATAGGGATCATTTTTCTGTATCTTGTTTTTTTCTATGGTGATCATTTTTGTATATCTCAGTTTTTCTACGTGTTTCTCTTTTCTTCTTTATACTGTAACTGCTATTCTAATAGCAAATCCTTCATGAAAGTTATTGCATTACATTCTTGATTCAATTACCTTTCCATTGATATATAATTTTATTTATTTATTTATTTATTTATTTATTTATTTATTTATTTATTATTTAAATTTGTATACCGCCGTTCTCCTGAAGGACTCAGGACGGTGAACAGCCAAAATTAAAACACATACAGTATAAAAATTAAAAAGAATTAAAACAGAATTAAATCAGTTTGGCTTCCCTAAATTTTAAAACCCTTTACCCATAAAATAGCCTGTTAAAATTTTAAGCCAGCCTGGCTTGCTGGAATAAGAAAGTCTTCAACGCTCGACGGAAAGTACGGAGGTCCGGGATCAGTCGTATTCCTGGGGGTAGCTCGTTCCAGAGGGCGATATGGTACTACTCCCCAAAAAAGTGGTGTTATTAGCTAGTTTTAGAAAATATACTTTTCCCAAAAAAGTTTCCACAATTTTGGCCACTACCAGATTCTTTCCCAATTTTTGGGGGGGTACTGAACCCCTCAATTCTTTTAAATTGGGTTTCTCCACAGTTGCGAGGTTGCCTGGATCAAGAGACGTACGACCTCTTCCATAAGAAGCTGACCGAACACGTACTTATGCAGGACCCCAAGTTTCAGTGGTGCACCCACGTGAGTAGCCCCCACAACTGGGGTTGATTTTGTTTCCGAATGAAAGGAGAAAGGAACCAAAAATTGGGGTGCATTTAAAAAAAAAGGAAAAAAAAGAAACCCTTCAAAATATCAGTGAATGAGTAGACCAAGGGTGTCAAATTTGATTTCATTAAGGGCCGCATCCATGTTGTGCTTGACTTCAGTGGGGCGGGGGGTGGACGGACAGGATGAGCGTGGTCAGCTTGACGTCACTCGTGTCGGGGGTGCCTGTGGTGGCTTGAGCGCTCTGCCAGCGAAAACGGGCTCCGAAGCTCCGTTTTCGGCTGCGACGGCCTCCTGCCAGAGAAAATGGAGCTCGGTGTCAGCGTTTCGACGCTGGCATAGAGAGAGAGAGAGAGAGAGAGAGAGAGAGATAAGCTCTGAACTTCTGCCTGCTAAATCCCTTTGATGTCCGGTTGTCGTGGAAATGAAGGGGGGGGGAGACATTCCTGGGAAATGACGAGACAAGAAGTCTGAAGAATGACTTGGAAGATAGCCAATGAGAAGCAGAGATTTGGGGATCGGAAAGGGAGGGATTGGGGGGCAAAAGGTCAGTCTTGTCCGCATCGAGTCATGATCCGGTGGCTGTGCTCAATTAAAGAAAGATTTCCTTAAAGATTGGCAGTTTGAAAATTCATTTATTTTGAGATAGCATCAAAGTCTAACACTCGGGAGGGGCCGTACGTGGCCCTCCCGAGCTCCGTTTTCTCTGGCAGAGGCACCGCGAGCCAGTCCTTCGCTGTTTCCAGGGCGGGCCAGATCTAAGCACCCTGCGGGCTGGATCCGGCCACCAGGCCTTGTGTTTGATACCCCTGGAGTAGACCATCTTTTTAAGAAACTGGTGGACTTCCGGGGATAGATGCAGTGGTGGTACAGCCGGTTCTATCCGGTTCAGGCGAATCGGTAGCGGTGGCTGCGGGAGGCTCCGCCTGCCCGCCCGGACGTCATCACATCCTGTTTTTGACGCTCTGCGTATGCTCGCTTTTGCGAACCGGTAGCGAAGGTAAGTGAATACCATCCCTGGATAGATGGCCACCTTTCCTAACCCGGAGCCTTCCCCGTGAGTCAGGTGGCTGTAACATCCATCCTCCCACTAGTGAGGCCAGCAGGGATGATGGGATTTGTAGTATCATGCATCAGTAGGCTTCCCAGCTGGGGAACGTGGGTGTTAAAGAGTGATCTGCTCACCTAGGAAGACTGTAGAAATAAATAAATAGGTGTTTATAGGAAATAATCCATGATCTCTGCGTTACTGGACTTTGCCTGCTTTATCGGACTGCATTTGGATTAATTCTTGTATTGTTGAAACTTTGCCTGTTTTATCGGAATGCTTGCAGTCTAATCTTTGTTTTGTGTGAGTAAAGTCTGAATTGGCAGCTAGCCACTGGGTTGCTGCCAGCTTTATCATCAAATAGTTTTGTCGTGTGGCTTATTAACTCCGGGCCGTCTGTGGAAGTGCCTGTGTGGTACGGGACAGAACAATAGGTTTCCTGTGTTGGCTTTTTTTTAATTTGCTCGATTTCTACAGAGACTTTGATCCAGAATTTTGGATTATTGTTATCGGTCCAGTGCTTAAGGAGCCAGGCTAGAAGCCAGGAGACTGGGAGTTCTAGTTCTGCCTTAGGCATGAAAGCCGGCTGGGTGACTTTGCGCCAATCGCCAGGGGACGGGGTTCTAGTCCATTTTAGGAACGAAAGCTGGCTGGCTAACTTTGGGGCAATCACTAGGAGACTGGGAGTTCTAGTCCTGCCTTAGGCACGATAGCCAGATGGGTGACTTTGGGCCAATCACCAGGAGATTGGGAGTTCTAGTCCAGTTTAGGCACGAAAGCTGGCTATCTAATTTTGAGGCAATCACCAGGAGACTGGGAGTTCTAGTCCTACCTTAGGCACGATAGCCAGATGGGTTAATTTTGGACCCATCACTAGGAGATTGGGAGTTCTAGTCCACCTTAGGCACGAAAACTGGCTATCTAATTTTGAGGCAATTACTACGGACTGGGAGTTCTAGTCCTACCTTAGGCACGATAGCCAGATGGGTAACTTTTGACCCATCACTAGGAGATTGGGAGTTCTAGTCCATTTTAGGCACGACGAAACTTGGCTGGCTAATTTTGGGACAATCGTCAGGAGACTGGGAGTTCTAGTCCCGCTTTAGGCCCGATAGCCAGATGGATGACTTTGGGCCAGTCCCTCCTCCGCAACCCTAACCCACCTCACAGAGTTGTTGTTGCGGGGAAAATAGAACGATCGAGTATTAAATAGGTTTGCCAGCTATTTATAAAAAATAATCAAGACGGGATAGAAATCAATAAATAATAAACCTCCATTCCTCTCCAAGTGGACTATGTGCTGGTTGCTTTTAAGACGAGTCGAAATGTCCAGCTCATCATCGAAATAGGATGAAAGGCCTCCGTTCCGATTTAATTTTCTAATTTAAGGACGGTCTCTGCATCCGCTTCCTGGAATCGGGAAGGTCTGATTGCAGCCTGAGCTAAAATTGATTTTTTTTCCCCCTCTCCTTGTCTTTAGTGCTCTTTCGGTTTCATTTACGAATCGGAGCAGCTGGAAGCCAAATGCCCTCAGTGCCGCAAAAGTTTCTGCGTCCAGTGCAAACGCCAGGTTGGTAAACTTTCGGGCCAGAGATATTTGTCTGAAACCGGTACAGGATTTCCTTTCCAACCAAGGGATGGGATTCAGCCGGTTCGGACCGGTTCGAGTGAACCGAATGTTAATTTTAATCTGCTTCGGCGAACCGGTTGTTCCAAGGACTGGCTGACCCCGCCCACCCTGCCCCTCCCCTCCCAGGAGTCTCCACGCGGCCCGTTTTAGATGCCAGGTAAGTGCAGGGCACGCATGGAGGCTCCGGGAGGGTGAAAAACAGGCCTACTGGAAGTCCGGAAACAGGCCTGTTTCCAGCCGCCGGAGGGCCGCCAGTGCCCAGGGGAGGTTGTTTTTGCCCTCCTGGAGGCTCCATGAAAGCCTCTGGAGCCTGGGGAGGGCGAAAAACAGGCCTACCAGAAGAACCAGAAGTCCAGAAACCGCCATGTTTCCGGCCTTTTGAGGGCGCACGAAGCGAACCGGTTGTTACAACCAGTGAATCCCACTACTGCTTCCAACTCTATTATTCTGTTATTCCTCCTCCTCCCCCCTCCTCTTCCTTAAATTCAGTAGCTGCACAATAAATCAGTACACAACACTTATTGAATTTTATTTATTTATTTTTAAATTTATATACCACCCTTCTCCCTGAGGACTCAGGGCGGTGTATAGCCAGAATTAAAAAACATGGAATACAAATATTAAAAAAACAATTAAAATATATATAAATTTGGCCCAAAATTAAAAATACAAACCAATTAAAACATTTAAAATTTCTTCCTAAGCCAGCCCGGCTTGCTGGAAAAAGTGGGTTTTAAGGGCACGGCGGAAGGCACTAAGGTCTTGGATTCTCCTTATCTCTGGGGGCAACTGATTCCAGAGGGTAGGTGCCCCCACAGAGAAGGCCCTCCCCCTGGGGGTCACCAGCCTACATTGATTGGCTGATGGCACCCTAAGGAGGCCCTCTCTGTGGGAGTGCACGGGATGATGGGAGGTCATCGGTAGCAGCAGGCGGTCTCGAAGATAGCTAGGCCCGATGCCATGGAGCGCATTAAAGGTGATAACCAACACCTTGAAGCGCACCCGGAAGATCACTGGGAGCCAGTGCAGCTCGCGCAGGAGCGGTGTTACATGGGAGCACCAGGCTGCTCCCGTCACTACCCGCGCTGCTGCATTCTGGACCAGTTGGAGCCTCCGGGTGCTCTTCAAGGGGAGCCCCATGTAGAGAGCGTTGCAGTAGTCAAGGTGAGAGTGACTGTGCACAGGGAATCCCGATCAAGAAAGGGCCGCAAGTGGCGAATCAGGCGAACCTGACAAAAGGTCCCCCTGGTTACAGCTGTCAGATGTTCAAAATGTATTTGAATATAAAATAAAGCTCGGGTTGGTAGTTGGGCTGTCGGCCTGAGCTCCGAGCTTGACCGTTCGGTTGCAAACATTTCGTCACCATTCGAGGAGACGTCGTCCGTGCGCTCAGACAGACGAGCCCACTTCAAAGCGCACGGACGACGTCTCCTCGAACGGCGACGAAACGTTGGTAAACCAAATTGCCACGCTCGGAGCGCAGGCTGACGGCCCGCACGACAGTTCTAGCGGATTGGCGCCTGACTGAGGCAATCTAAGCATCTCTTTGTGTGGGGTTGCTTGGCCTCTTCTTCCGCTTGGGGGACAGAGGAGGGAAGGCTAAATGCTGAATTTGGGGTGTCTTTTTTTTTTTTTTTCCTTCCGCGGCGACAGTGGGAACCCCAGCATCAGGGCCTGAGCTGCGAAGCGTTCCTGGATTGGAAGCGAACCAACGACCCCGAATACCAGGCGCAGGGCCTAGCGATGTATCTCCAAGAGAACGGCATCGGTAAGGATTTTGCCCCCAGGTTCATTTTGGGACACGCCGAGAAACGTGAGGTAGCTTTGAGCCAACTGAGTTTCCTACATTAAGCAAAGAGCTGGATTTTAATGCTCCCACTTCCTATCGTCAATACTTGGGGGTTTCTCCTTAACTTCTTGCTTAGGGGCAAAGAGGTTGGACTAGAAGACCTCCAAGGTCCCTTCCAGCTCTTATGATTCTATAATAGAAACTGCGTTGTCTAGTGATTAAGGTAGCATGCTAAAAAGCAGGAGACGGTGAGTTCTAGTCGTGAAAGCCGGCTGGGTGATGTTGAGCCAATCACCAGGAGACAGTGAGTTCTAGTCCCGCCTTAGGCACGAAAATTGGCTGGGTGACTTTGGGCCAATCACCAGGAGACAGAGTTCTAGTCCCACTTTAGGCATGAAAACTGGCTAGGTGACGTTGAGCCAATCACCAGGAGGCAGAGAGTTCTAGTCCCTCCTTAGAGATGAAAACTAGCTGGGTGACTTTGGGCCAATCACCAGGAGACAGAGTTCTAGTCCCGCCTTAGGCACGAAAACTGGCTGGGTGACTTTGGGCCAATCACCAGGAGACAGAGTTCTAGTCCCGCCTTAAGCATGAAAACTGACTAGGTGATGTTGAGCCAATCACCAGGAGGCAGAAAGTTCGAGTCCCTCATTAGAGATGAAAACTGGCTGGGTGACTTTGGGCCAATCACCAGGAGGCAGAGAGTTTCTAGTCCAGCCTTAGGCATGAAAACTGGCTGGGTGACTTTGGGCCAATCACCAGGAGGCAGAGAGTTCTAGTCCCGCCTTAGGCACGAAAACTGGCTGGGTGACTTTGGGCCAATCACCAGGAGGCAGAGAGTTCTAGTCCCGCCTTAGACACGAAAACTGGCTGGGTGACTTTGGGCCAATCACCAGGAGGCAGAGAGTTCTAGTCCTGCCTTAGAGATTAAAACTGGCTGGGTGACTTTGGGCCAATCACCAGGAGGCAGAAAGTTCTAATCCCGCCTTAGGCACGAAAACCGGCTGGGTGATTTTGGGCCAATCACCAGGAGGCAGAGAGTTCTAATCCCGCCTTAGACATGAAAACCGGCTGGGTGACTTTGTGCCAATCACCAGGAGGCAGAGAGTTCTAGTCCCGCCTTAGACACGAAAACTGGCTGGGTGACTTTGGCCAATCACCAGGAGGCAGAGAGTTCTAGTCCCGCCTTAGACACGAAAACTGGCTGGGTGACTTTGGGCCAATCACCAGGAGGCAGAGAGTTCTAGTCCTGCCTTAGAGATTAAAACTGGCTGGGTGACTTTGGGCCAATCACCAGGAGGCAGAGAGTTCTAATCCCGCCTTAGGCACGAAAACCGCTGGGTGATTTTGGGCAATCACCAGAGGCAGAGAGTTCTAATCCCGCCTTAGACATGAAAACCGGCTGGTGACTTTGTGCAATCACCAGGAGGCAGAGAGTTCTAGTCCCGCCTTAGACACGAAACTGCTGGGTGACTTTGGGCCAATCACCAGGAGGCAGAGAGTTCTAGTCCTGCCTTAGGCATGAAAACTGGCTGGGTGACGTTGAGCCAATCACCAGGAGGCAGAGAATTCTAATCCCGCCTAGCATGAAAACCGATTGGGTGACATTGAGCCAATCACCAGGAGGCAGAGAGTTCTAGTCCGCCTTAGACACGAAAACTGGCTGGTGACTTTGGGCCAATCACCAGGAGGCAGAGAGTTCTAGTCCCGCCTTAGACACGAAAACTGGCTGGGTGACTTTGGCCAATCACCAGGAGGCAGAGAGTTCTAGTCCTGCCTTAGAGATTAAAACTGGCTGGGTGACTTTGGGCCAATCACCAGGAGGCAGAGAGTTCTAATCCCGCCTTAGGCACGAAAACCGGCTGGGTGATTTTGGGCCAATCACCAGGAGGCAGAGAGTTCTAATCCCGCCTTAGACATGAAAACCGGCTGGGTGACTTTGTGCCAATCACCAGGAGGCAGAGAGTTCTAGTCCCGCCTTAGACACGAAAACTGCTGGGTGACTTTGGGCCAATCACCAGAGGCAGAGAGTTCTAGTCCTGCCTTAGGCATGAAAACTGGCTGGGTGACGTTGAGCCAATCACCAGGAGGCAGAGAATTCTAATCCCCCTTAGCATGAAAACCGATTGGGTGACATTGAGCCAATCACCAGGAGGCAGAGAGTTCTAGTCCCGCCTTAGACACGAAAACTGGCTGGGTGACTTTGGGCCATCACCAGGAGGCAGAGAGTTCTAGTCCTGCCTTAGGCATGAAAACTGACTGGGTGACGTTGAGCCAATCACCAGGAAGCAGAGAATTCTAATCCCGCCTTAGGCACGAAAACCGGCTGGATGACTTTGGGCCAATCACCAGGAGGCGGAGAGTTCTAATCCCGCCTTAGGCACGAAAGTCAGCTGGTTGACTTTGGGCCAGTCCGTCTCTCTCAGCCCGACCCACCTCACAAGGTTGTTGTTGTGGGGAAAATAGGAGGAGGAAAGTGTATTGATTATGTTTTTCACCTTGAGTTATAAAGTGAAAATAAGAAAACATTGTTTTTGACGACAAGGCAACGAATAAAAATTCCCTTTTTTATCCTCTTTTTTCCAGCTTGTCCCAAATGCAAGTTCTCGTACGCCTTGGCTCGAGGGGGATGCATGCACTTCCAGTGTTCCCAGTGCAGACACCATTTCTGCAGTGGTTGTTACGGGACGTTCTACGCCTCAAACGTAAGGATGCTCAGGGATTGTGTATTTGTGGTGCAACTCTGGAACTCGGGATCCTGCTGCTGTTCGTTCTCCCTTTGTGGGCCTTGTAGAGGTGGAATTTGGAGAATAGGGGCAGAGACAGTTAACAAAACCCCAGGAAAATAACATACAGGTAGTCCTCGAACTTATGACCAACATCGAACCCAACATTTCCGTTGCTAAGCAAGACTGAAGGGAATTTTGCCCCATTTTGCAGTGGGGTTTTTTTTTTTGCCACCGTTGTTAAGTGAATCGCTGCGTTGGTTCATTAACAACACGGTTGTTAAGTGAATCTGGCTTCCTCGATGGACATGGTTTGTCAGAAGGTCACAAAAAGAGGATCACAAGACCCCGGGAAACCATCGTAAATACGAGCCAGTTGTCAAACATCCGAATTTTGATCCCGTGACCACGGCAAGCCTGCAGCGGTCGTAAGTGTGAAAAACAGCCACGAGTCCCTTTTTTTCAGTGACGCGGTCACTAAATGAACGGTTGTAAGTTCGAGGACTATCTGCCGTGTGAGAAAGCGGCTTAAAAAGGCGGGAATTCTGCATTTTTGTGTATTTGCAGGCTGCGGAAAGTTGGTTTCTCTTTGTTCTTGTATCCGAAATTGTCGAGGCCGACTTGAAATTTCAGGGTGATTTTTTTTCCCCCTTCATTATCTTATCTTCCTGGCCCGAATTGCATGTTTTTGTTAACTTTCGCATAGTTTCTTCAAGGCCGTCGTCTCTGCTGTTTTTTTTTTTCCTAAGGATATTATCTGACAATGTTTCCTTGTGATTCTTCCAAATTGTAGTTATTTTTAACGTTTAAGTGGGGGGGGGGTTACTACTCAGTTTTTCGGAGGAGGAGAAATGGATTGGAAAAAATATATAAATTGCTACTTATCACATGTCTGTTAGAAAGAGAGGCTGACATTCCACATAGGATGGAATAAAAACTCCTCGAAGCAGATTATTTTCCTTATTGGTTACTAGCGTGTTTCCCCGAAAATAAGACCCTGTGTTGTATTTTTTTTTTGAACCCCAAAAATAAGCGCTTGGCCTTATTTTCGGGGAGGTCTTAGTATTTTGGGGCGCGTGGAGCAAGACGGGACTCCCCTTGCCGTCTTACCTGATTTCCAGCTCTGCGTTTAAATATTTTCAGGGAGGGCTTATTTTCGGAGGGAGGCTTATTTTAGCGCATGCACTCAAAAGCCCGATTGGGCTTATTATCAGGGGATGTCTTATTTTCGGGGAAACAGGGTAGCTGATAAGATGGCGTTGCCTGGGTATTTATTTATCCCAATCCTGTATTAGACGAGAAGAGCAACTTCACCCTCAGCTGATTTCGGCGAGAATTAAATTAGTACATGGTGCGCCCAGTAGGCCTGTTTTGTGCCCTCTCCAGGCTCCAGAGACTTTCTAGGAGCCTGGGGAGGGCACAACCCCCCAGAGGCCAGAAACGGCCCATTTCCCGATTTCTGGTGGGCCCGAAAATCAGCTGGCTGGCGTACGCATTCACGCTGGAGCTGAACTAGGGCAACGCTTGCATGCCCACAGATATAGTTCCACGTCCTACCTGTGTCACGCGTGCCATAGGTTCGCCATTACAGCATTAGGGCTTATTTTCTGGTTAGGTCTTATTTTGGGGGGGGAAATACGGTACTAAACGCATCCATCTGGCTGACAATCTTAACTGGGGCTTATTTTGGGGGTAGGGCTTATATTACGAGCATCCTGAAAAATCATGCTAGGACCGTGATGGCGAACCTATCCCCGAGGTAGAGCCATCTTTCCAGGCACGCGAGCTGTCGCCCAACCAACCTGCAGCTGCACATGCGCGCGCACCCCAGCTGGTGTTCAGGCCTCCGGTGCGCATGCGCGCAATTCATGGGACCCAGCTGGTCTTCGGAGCTCTCCCGCGTATGCACATGTGTTTGTGCACGCAGTGTATGCATGCTTTGACGGCGTTCTCACGTGTGCATTGCACACGTGAAAACTACGCGCATGCACAGATGGTGCGATTCTGTGTTCAGCGCACGGGGGAGCCGCGCTAATCCTGCGCGCATGCGCAGATGGTGCAATTGCACCCGCAGCGCAAAGGGGGCGTGCACAAAAGCTATGCGCCTGCTCAGATGGTGCGGTTCCTCCCGGTTCAGCCCAGTTCTCCCGAGCCAGTAGCGATGACAATATGACGTCACCGAACCGGTTCTGCCCCCCGCGCCCACCCTCCATGTTATTCTTACCTTTTATTTGGCCCCACCCCCAATCTATTGCTGCCTCCTGAGTCCCAGCTGATGGCTAGACAGAAAAAAACTGTTTAAACTCTTGCCGCAGGGCTTCAAAGGGCCGCCCTACAGCTGATCAGTGTTAAAAGAAAACAAATGAGTAGACCGGTGCCTGCAAAAATACATGAATAGATCAGTGCCTGCAAAAATAAATGGGTAGACCAGTGCCTGTAAAAAATACATGAGTAGATCAGTGCCTGCAAAAATAAATGGGTAGACCAGTGCCTGCAAAAATACATGAGTAGATCAAATGCCTGCAAAAATACATGAGTAGACCAGTGCCTGCAAAAATACATGAGTAGATCAGTGCCTGCAAAAATACAGGAGTAGATCAGTGCCTGCAAAAATACATTACATGAGTAGATCAGTGCCTGCAAAAATACATGAGTAGATCAGTGCCTGCAAAAATACAGGAGTAGATCAGTGCCTGCAAAATAAATAACTAGTGCCTGCAAAAATAGGAGTAGATCAGTGCCTGCAAAAATACATGAGTAGATCAGTGCCTGCAAAAATACATGAGTAGATCAGTGCCTGCAAAAATACAGGAGTAGATCAATGCCTGCAAAAATACAGTGCCTGCAAAATACATGAGTATCAATGCCTGCAAAAATACATGAGTAGATCAGTGCCTGCAAAAATACATGAGTAGATCAGTGCCTTCAAAAATAAATGGGTAGACCAGTGCCTGCAAAAATACATGAGTAGATCAGTGCCTGAAAATAAATGGGTAGACCAGTGCCTGCAAAAATACATGAGTAGATCAATGCCTGCAAAAATACATGAGTAGATCAGTGCCTGCAAAAATACATGAGTAGACCAGTGCCTGCAAAAACACATGAGTAGATCAGTGCCTGCAAAAATACATGAGTAGACCAGTGCCTGCAAAAATAAATGGGTAGATCGGTACAGCTCTGCAAGCAGTTAAAAGCCTGGTAGACCAGTACCTCTGCTAAATCCTAAATAATTGTCACATGACCATCAAGCCACGCCCACAAAATAAGCCACGCCCACCGAACCGGTAGTAAAAAAAATTAGAACCCACCCCTGGGTTGCGTGCGCAGCGTACGGGGGAGGAGCCGCGAGTTAGTGCGGAGAGCACGCGTGTGTGCGAAGCACACGAAACGCGTATCTGTTCGGCATGCGGTGAGTAAAAGATTTGCCACCACTGTGCTAGGATGTTATTTTCCAGTTGGGTCCTATTTTCGGGGAAACAGGGCATGCGGCCATTCACTTAACGACTGTGGCGAGAAAGATCGGCAGCGGGACCAAAAGCTCCCTTAACCAACGTCTCACTTACACATGCGCTACAGACAAGTTTGCCCAAACTGAAACATTGGGCTCAGTTGTGGTCGTAAGTCGAGGACTGCCTGCAGTTTTCACTTTAGAGGAATGGGTGGGCAGTTCAACCATTTTCCTCCCCTGGCATTTTATTTTATTTCTCTCCCCCCCTCCCCAATCTCTGCCAGAAATGCCCGATACCGCACTGCCCGATCCGGCGGTCCCTCCACGGCCATCATCCGCGCGACTGTCTCTTCTACCTGCGGGATTGGGCTGTGCCACGTCTGCAGAAGCTCCTCCAGGTGGGTTGGGCATGGGGTGGGGTGGGCTTTCAGGAGCCGGGGAGGGGGAGGGGGAGCCGAGGGGGCTTATGGCTTCTTGGGAACCTAACTGGGATTATCTGTTTTCTTCTCTCCGCCCCAGGATAACAACATTGCCTTTAATACAGACCCTCCAGCGGGGACTCGGGCCACTCCCGGAGGTGCGTGTGACTAAGTTGCCGGGAAGCTCACCTGTCCTGGGATGGCTTCATTTTAAGTTTTTTTTTTCCATTTGATTTATATGCCGCCCTTCTCCGGAGACTCAGGGTGGCTTACAATGCGTTAAGCAATAGCCTTCATCCTTTTGTATATTTATACAAAGTCATCTTATTGCCCCCACAAACTGGGTCCTCATTTTACTTACCTTAGAAAGGATGGAAGACTGAGTCAACCTTGAGCCTGGTGAGATTCGATCTTACTTTAATTGCAAGCAGCTGATGTTAATAACAGTGCTTTAGTCTTCCGCGCCACCAGGCTCTTTTCACCTTCAAATATTTTCACTTCACTTCACTTCATTTTACTTTACTTCACTTTATTTTACACTTCATTTTATTTGACTTTATTTGACTTCCCTTTATTTTACTGTACTTCACTTTATTTGACTTTAATTTACTTCACTTCAGTTTATTTTACTTTATTTTACTTCATTTTACACTTCATTTTATTTCACTTTATTTTTACTTCACTTTACTTTATTTTACTTTACTTCACTTTAATTTACTAATTTACTTCACTTCTCTTCACTTTATTTCACTTTACTTCACTTTATTTTACTTCACTTTACACTTCATTTTATTTCACTTTATTTTACTTCACTTTATTTTACTTTATTTTACTTTCACTTCACTTTATTTTACTTTACTTCACTTTAATTTACTTTTATTTTACACTTTCTTCACTTTATTTTACTTTACTTCACTTTATTTTACTTCATTTTACACTTCATTTTATTTCACTTTATTTTACTTCACTTTACTTTATTTACTTCACTTCACTTTATTTACTTTATTTACTTCTCTTCACTTTACTTTGCTTCATTTTACACTTCATTTTATTTCACTTTATTTTACTTTACTTCACTTTACTTTACTTCTTTATTTTACACTTCATTTTATTTCACTTTATTTTACTTCACTTTATTTTACTTCATTTTACACTTCATTTTATTTCACTTTATTTTACTTCACTTTATTTTACTTTATTTTACACTTCATTTTATTTCACTTTATTTTTTACTTCATTTTACACTTCATTTTATTTCACTTTATTTTACACACTTATTTTACTTCACTTTATTTTACTTCACTTCACTTCATTTTACTTCACTTCCCTTCCCTGTTACCTTTATAGGTAGTCCTTGACGTACGACCACAATTTAAGCCCAACATTTCTGTTGCTAAGCGAGGCAGCTTGACTTTTGACTTTTCTTGCCACAGTTGTTAAATGAATCGTTGAAGTTGTTAAAGTTAGTCAGACGGCCGTTAAATGAATCCGGCTTTCCCCATTGACTTTGCTTAAACACTGTCGCTTAGCAACACAAATGTTGGGCTTAATTGTGGTCGTAGGTTGAGGACTGCCTGTAGTCTCGATCCAATGACGGAATGGGCACGCTTTAAACCGTTGGGGTCTCTCCTCTGCACGCAGGTGGATGTCGGGTTATGGAGCAGAAAGAAACTCTGGACGGCTTGAAGGATGAACCGTGCGGCAAAGATACCCCGGCCGGATATGCCGGCCTTTGCGAGTGAGTAAAACCCCTTGATGTGGAGTCGAAAATGGGGACCCTTTTCCCAGAATTCCTAGCTGCGATCCTGCAGAGCTGAAATATGCCACAGGAAGTCCTCGACTTACAGCCACCGTCACGATCAGCACTCCCGTCGCTAAGTGAATCATCCCATGCTAGGCCCCCATTTTGCAACTCCCCCCACCCACGGTCGTTAAGCAAATGTGGCTCTCCCACCCCATTCCTTGGCTTCGCTCGTTGGAAACCAGCTGGCAGGGTCACAAAATGGGGATCACCTGAACCCAGGACAGCGATGCATCTGGAATTGCCATTGGGTAACGGCAGGGGGCCTTGGGACAGTCATAAGTGTGAGGACTGGTCGTAAAGGGGCGAGAGCAAGGAAGCAAAACGAAGGAAAGAGGAGAAGGAAGAAGAAGGAGAATGAAGAGGAAGGGAAGGAAGGAAGGAAAGGAAAAGAAGGAAAGAAAGGAAGAAAGAAAGAAAAAGGAAAGAAAGGAAAGAAGGAAGGAAAGACAAGAAGAAAGAAAGAAAAGAAAGAAAAAAGGAAAGAAAAAGAAAGGAAGGAAGAGAAAGAAAGAGAAAGAAAAGAAAGAAAAAAATTAAAGAAAGAAGGAAGGAAGGAAGAAAGAAAAAGAAAGAGAAGGAAGGAAGGAAGGAGATTATAATGAGAGGGAGCTAGGGTCTGAGAGAAGTCCTGCCTTAGCATAGCCACCACAGGTGCCCCCCCCCCACATAAGTGATGTTGAGCTGGCCACGCCCACCCCAGCCACACCCACCCACCCCAAAGGTCAGACACAGCCCTCAACGAATGCGGCCCTCAATGAAATCGACTTCGACGCCCCTGTTTTAACCAGATCAATAGTCTCCAAACTTGGCAACTTTAAAAACTTGCGGATTTCAGCTCCCAGAATTCCCCGGCCAGCATGAGGCATTCTGGGAGTTGAAGTCCACAAGCCTTAAACTTGCCAGGTTTTGGAGACCTTCTTTGAAGGAAATGGCTGTTCTGACAAGGGGGCCTAGAGATCTGGTGAGCTGTGGCTGGAGGGGGGGGGGGTGGGTTGGCAGGAGACCCGAGGGTCGCACTGATGGATGTCCCCGATTTCTTGATCCACTTCCCCACCCCCACCCCCTCCAGGGCTCACTACAAGGAATACCTAGTCAGTCTGATCAACAGCCACGCTCTGGATCCCGCCGTCTTCTACACCTTGCAGGAGGCAGAGATCGTATGCCGGAGACACCTCACCGTGGCCCAGCTGCTCCCAGGGGACCGACAGAGGACGAGGAAGCGTATCGCAGGCGCCTGATCCAGGTGAACCTGTTCTGGCCTAGGCTTCCCCGGCAGCACGAAGCCGAGTCCTCGTCCCGATAAACCCCTTTTATTTAATTGACAGTGAATTCCTCTCCAGCAAAGTCTTTCCTCTCCCGCAGTCTTTCAAGATCGTTCACAATTACCGACCGTTATCAGGCTTGGAGAGATATTGGCCAGGCCGATATCTTTGAAACGCCGCAATACTTGGCAAGAATGCAGGAATGAACGAATTGTCTCCTGCAAACTCCACTCCCCTGTCGCTCCTCTTTTATTCCCTCTGGAAGGGGCCATTCATCGTCCACCTGTGGCCTTACTCCTGAGTCGACCCTTGTTCTTCAGCCATTCCCTTCTCCTGGCAGCTCTGCACATGCTCACACTTGGAACAGGCTCCAGCTGTTCATCTGCCTCACTGATGTCTGACTCCAAAGGCAGCTGATAACTGGCATACGGCCCTGGCCCCCTCTCTGCCTCCGACGCAGAGCCTTCCCCAGACTCCAGGACTGGTCCATGTTCCTCCCCAACCTCCTCCCTGTCCGAATCTGGTGGGCCACAACAGAACCTTCTCTTCTGTTGGTCTGGAAGTCTTCTTGCTTGGGTTCCTTCGCTAATCGATGGGATGCCTGCTTGAACAGGGAGTTGGGCTGGACTAGAAGACCTCCAAGGTCCCTTCCAACTCTCTTGTTATTCTTCTGCAGGTTCTAAGGGACGAAGTTCCTATTGACCTGGAGATCCCGCGGAGACGGAAGTAGACCGAGAAGATCACCCATACGAGAAGGGAGAAGCTGCGAGGAGCTTCCAAACGGATGGAGAAGAAGACATGTTGGGTTTTGAGAATTGTCCTTTCTGGTTGATTGTTCATATAGTGGGGCCTCCTGAGATACAGTCCTAAAGCCCTCCTTGCTCTAACCACTAGGTTGCCTTTAAGGATTGTGTTGTTCTACACCTTGTTTCTTCTGTCTTGTGTGATACACAACCAGAGGTCTCCTCATTGGGACCAGTTAGAATATGGGTGTCTGTGGCAATTTTAAGATTTGTGGACTTCAACTCCCAGAATTCCCCAGCCAGAGAATTCTGGGGGAACTCAAGAAGAGTCTCTCTCTGGGGAATTCTGGGAGTTGAAGTCCACAACAAATCTTAAAAGTTAACAAGATCGGGCCTCCCTGAAAAACAAAGAAATTTAGAGTTTGTCCTAACACTGTTCAACAAGTTTTTGATTTTAATCTTAATGGATTTGTGGGTTAGGGGAAAAAAAAAATTTGCTGGTGTGCGGAATGGATGCTTTACTTCCATTGAAAGTTCCTTGTTTTCGATTTTAATTCCATTTATTCTTTGGTTTTTAATCCCATTTTGTTCTTTCAGCCGGCATGTCTCCCGGAAGTGCATCGGTCTGAATAAAATTTATTTTGTTAAATGAGACTCTCGTTTTGCTGTCGTTAATATAGGTCTCCGGATCCCAGCGTTTAGATTTTGCCAGTGACCGAAAAAAATACAGGTGTTAAAATAAATTTCTGAGTGGTCTCTTTTTTATTTTTTTCCTCTTCTCCAAATTTGTGGAACGCGTCTGCCAATTTGGAGGTTGTTAAATACCTCCAATACCAACGAAATCTCATAAATTCTAATTAATAAAATTTGCAACATCTGGCAGGCAACATCAGGTAACTTTCTTGCTTTCTCCTAGAGAATTTGAGGATTTCTGAATTATTTGAATGTTTTAAGATACCTAGGGAGTTAGTTGTCCAAATAATGGCCATTTCCACAGTTTCTTCCTTACAGAGTTATTGAATGTGATAGTAAGTGTTGTTGTGATCACTCTAGAAATTCTGCTTGCCAAAAATGATAGTTCAGATACTTCCAAGAGGAGAAAACCTACCCATTTTTTTCAGTATTTAAATCTTTTAAGGCAGCGTTTCTCAACCTAGGCTACTTTAAAATGGGTGGACTCCAAGAAGGTAAATAAAATGGAGAAAGTGATGCCGCCAGCAAGACTGGCCAAAATGTATAAGAACTCCTGCACCAATTGTTGGAAATGCAACCAGACTCCAGGAACATACTGCCACATGTGGTGGACATGTAAGAAAGCAAGGAGCTACCGGGAGAAAATTCATAAATGGCTAGAAATGATAACTGAGCAACCTATTGAGTTCAAACCAGAAATGTCCCTCCTTAGGTGTGTGTGTGTATATATATATATTTGTTTATGTAAGTTATGTTTATGTTTATGTTAGTGCAAAATGACTGCTGACATAAGCCTGATGATGGCAGATGGGATTCTGCTGAAACGTCGCTTCTACCCTTTTAGGGATATATCCACAATTACACAGGAAGAAACCTGAAATATTAACTATACACACACACACACACACACACACACACACACACACACATATATTATATTTATTTATTTATATATATATATATTTGAATTTATATACCGCCCTTCTCCCCCTAGGGACTCAGGGCGGTGAACAGCCGAAATTAAAATACATACAATATAAAAGTTAAGATAGCTAAAATAAATAAAATCAATTGGCCCCCAATTTAAAACCCCAAAGCTATACAATTAAAAACTAACCCATAAAAAACCTAATTAGGCTAGGCCGGAAAGTTAGGACAAAGCAACCTTTTACTTAGTGGTACATATATTGACTGCAGCTAGAATTACATAGGCTAAATATTGGAAAAATATTGGAACACCCCATGGATGACGACATAATTAGGAAAATTTGGGAGTGTGCTGAAATGGACTGATTAACTTTAAAAATTAACGATAAAGAAGGCTCGAAATATTACAGGAGATGGAATAAATTTTACGAATGGATCAAGACAAGAGGTAGAAATGAGAGGGAAGTTTATGAATGCCAGTACAACGAAGATGTCTAAAACTATGGATATAATATGGAAAAAATTGTAAATAAGCTAATGTAAGTAGAAACTTTGTTGAAGTTTTTTTTTTTGGTTGTATTGCTGTAATTACTCTTAACATAGTACAGTTATAGTTAATTGGTTAAGATTTACCATTGATCTCTCTGGCTCTGCTTTATTTGCATTGTTATCCTGACGGCACTGTCTTTTCAATAAAATAATTTAAAAAAAAAATGGAGAAAGTGGGATGAGAAAGTCATAATAATCATCTTCATTAATCATAATTCTCTATAATCTCTCTCACATAATAGATAAATGATAGATTATAGAGGAAAAATGACAATGAGAGACACAGACAAGGTAGATGGACAGATAAGATGATAGATTAGAGAGAGAGAGATGATATAGATAGATAGATAGATAGATAGATAGATAGATAGATAGATAGATAATAGAGTCAGCGTTCCAGAACAACCCTACTCCGATAAAAAACTCTGAGGCAAATCTTTCATTTATTGGAATAGGTATACTGGCACATCTGGGAAAACCCGAATCTGAGAGTTCCGGATTTTCCCTCAATAAATCAAAATCCCAAACCCATCAGTCCATCACATGGCCCAATCATCACCTGTCCCAACTTGAGTCACCACGGCAACCACTCCTCCTCCAAATGCAGGAACAACCCTGACCTTGACGGAAAAGAAGAATGCTATTATCTCTAATTAAAACCTCTCTTACCAAATCCCCCCTCTTATTTTCCCGAGAGCAAGAAGGGAAGCTTCCGGGGTTAATATGGCTTCCAAAGCTGACAGATGATTGATAGATAGATAGATAGATAGATAGATAGATAGATAGATAGATAGATAGATAGATATGATATTGATAGATGATAGAGGCAGGCAGGCAGGCAGACTGACATAAATAAATAAAGAGATAGATAAATAGATAGGTACGTAGATATAGGCAGACTGACAAAAATGGTCAGAGATAGATAGATGATATTGGTAAGATGATAGATAGATAGATAGATAGATAGATAGATAGATAGATAGATAGATAATATTGATAGATGATAGAGGCAGGCAGGCAGGCAGACTGACATGAATAAATAAAGAGATAGATAAATAGGTAGGTAGGTAGATATAGGCAGACTGACAAAAATGGTCAGGGATAGATAGATAGATAGATAGATAGATAGATAGATAGATAGATAGATAGATAGATAGATGGATGATATTGATAGATGATAGAGGCAGGCAGGCAGGCAGACTGACATGAATAAATAAAGAGATAGATAAATAGATAGGTAGGTAGATATAGGCAGACTGACAAAAATGGTGAGAGATAGATAGATAGATAGATAGATAGATAGATAGATAGATAGATAGATAGATAGATAGATGATATTGATAAGATGATAGAGGCAGGCAAGCAGGCAGATGAATAAATAAAGAGATAGAGATAGATGATAGACAGACAGACAGACAGATAGATGATAGATGATATTGATAGATGATAGAGGCAGGCAAGCAGGCAGACTGACAGATGAATAAATAAAGAGATAGAGATAGATAGATGGATGGACAGGTAATGGATAGATAGATAAAGGATAGACAGAGATAGACCGACAATAGATGGACACAGATGGTAGATAATAGATGGGATAGTTTATATCATATATTTATAATATATATATATATTTTTATATAATATATATTATATATTTATTTATTTATAATATAAATATATATATTATATAATATATATAATATATTTATTTATAATATAAATATATATTTTATATAATATATATTATATATTTTTATATTTATATTATATATAAAATATATTTATATTTTATATTTTAAATATATTTTATATAATATATAATATATATTTTTATATTTATATTATATATAAAATATATTTATATTTTCTTTTTAAATATATTTTATATAATGTATATATAATATATTTTTATATTTATATTATATATAAATATATATTTATATTTTATGTTTATCCTTATACCAGTTATCTCGTCCATGTTTGACAAACTAACTAACTAAATAAATAAAGAGATGATGGGTAGATGGATCGATAGATTGATAGATAAACACAGACAGACAGGCTGGACAGATAAGATATTAGAGGGATAGAGGGATTTGATGAGGGAGATGAGATGAGAGATGAGAGAGATGATAAAGGAGAGGCTAGAGATGCGAGAGATGATAGATAAATGACAGACATGAAGGAGATAAAAGAGAGGATGGCTATGGCTAGATATATCCTGTATTCTCCTGTATTAAGATTCCACTATATATATATATATATATTATAAAAAAGCCAGCTCTCTGCTGCCCCCTGGAGGTCGCCGCGGCCCGAAAGCGCGACGACACGTGATTTCTGGGAAGGATGAAAAAGCCACGGAGAAATGGAATCGGGCGGGGCCGAGGGGGCGGACCAGAGAGAAAACAGGCGGGGCTAGTCGCCAGCTGGCACCCCGGGAAGCGCTGCCTTTTTTTTTTAATTATTATTATTATTATTTTTTAAACCGGGCTGGAACATCGGCAGGGAGGAAGAAGGGAAGGAGAAAGAGAAGGAAAGAAGAGAGCAAGAGAAGCGCGGCCAGGTAGGACTTTTTTCCGCTTTTTGTTTTGTTTTTTAAAGTTTATTTACTTTTGATGCAAACTGCACGATCGGTCGATCGATTGACTTCTGGACCTGCTCGCAAACGGGCACGATCGGTTTGCCGTTCTTTAATTGTTATGCCGACGGGAAGGACTTATTTTTAATTTTTTTAAAAAAAATTATTTATTTATTTATTATTTATTTTTGCAAAGGGGCATCATTTAATTTTTGGTTTTTTAAAAAAAAAAAAACTCTGCAAATATTACACCGGCCGGCCGATCTCTCTCTCTCTCTGTCTATGGTTGTTGTTGTTTATTATTGTTGTTATTATTGGGGGAGAAAAGCATCATACCCATAACCATTTCATGTATTCATAATTATGGTTACACTTGTATCTGTTATCAAATACATGCTTGACGAGCAATAAATAAGGAAGGAAGGAAGGAAGGAGGGAGGGAGGGAGGAGAGAGGAAGGAAGGAAGGAAGGAAGGAAGGAAGGAAGGAGGGAGGAGGGAGGGAGGGAGGGAGGAAGAAAGAGATGGAAGAAAGAAGGAAGGAAGGAAGGAAGGAAAGGAGAAGGAAGAAAGAAGGACGGAAGGAAGGAAGAAGGGAGGAGAGAGGAAGGAAGGAAGGAAGGAAGAAGGAGGAAGGGAGGGAGGGAAGAGAGGAAGAAGAAAGAAGGAAGGAAGGAAGGAAGGAAAGAAGAGAAGGAAGAAAGAAGGACAGAAGGAAGAAGGGAGGGAGGAGGAAAGAAAGAAAGACAAGGAAGAAGGAAAGAAGAAGGAAAGGAGAAGGAAGGAAGGAAGGAAGAAGGAAGGAAGGAAGGAAAAGAAAGAAGGGAGGGAGGAGGAAGAGAAAGAAAAGAAGGAGAAAGAAAGAAAGAGAAAGAAAGAGAGGGAAGAGAAAGAAGGAGGAAGGAAGAAAGAAGGACGGAAGGACGGAAGGAAGAAAAGAGGGAGAGAGGAAGGAAGGAAAGAAAGAGAAGGAAGAAAAAGAAGAAGGACGGAAGGAAGAAGGGAGGGAAGGAGAAGGAAAGAAGAAAGGAAGAAAGAAAGAAGGAAGGAAGAAGGGAGGGAGGGAGGAAGGAAAGAGAAGGAAGGAAGAAAGAAAGAAAAAGAAAGAAAGGGAAGGAAGGAAGAAGGGAGGGAAGGGAGGAAGGAAGAAAGAGAAGGAAGAAAGAAGGACAGAAGGAAGAAGGGAGGGAGGAAGGAAGAAGAAGGAAGAAAAGAAAGAAGGAAGAAGGAGAAGGAAGTAAGAAAGGACAGAAGGAAGAAGGGAGGGAGGAAGGAAAAAGAAGGAAGACAAGGAAGAAGAGAGAAAGAGAGGAGGGAGGGGAGGAAGGAAGGAAGAAAGAAAGAAAAAGAAGGAAGGAAGGAAGAAGGGAGGGAGGGAGGAAGGAAAGAAAGAGAAGGAAGGAAGGAAGAAGGGAGGGAGGAAGGAAAGATAAGGAAGGAAGGAAGGAAGGAAGAAAGAAAGAAAGAAAGAAGAAAGAAAGAAAAAAAAGAAAGAAAGAAAGAACCCAGGCGCTGCTGCTAAAAAGGCATTACATTAAGGGATCGAATGTCTCTTGCGACTTTCCTTTTGTTTTTTAATGATGATAAAATTATTTTTATTAAATTCGATTAAAATAAAATAAAAATTAAATTTTAAAGCATATGCACCGAAGACAAATTCCTTGTGTGTCCAGTCACCCTTGGCCAATAAAAAAAATTCTATTCTATTCTATTCTATTCTATATGAAATGAAATAATTTTTTATTAAATTTTATTAAATAAAATAAAATAAATTAATTAAATGAAATTAAATAAATTTAATAAATGTGGCTAGGGTTTTTTGGGGGGTGGGTGGGAGATTTTCCCTGAAAGATGAGGCACGAGCGGGCAAAACATCTTCCCAGGTTGGTTGGGGATGATGGGGCGGGCTGTGATGCCAATAGTTCAGAGGTATTATTATTGTTGTTGTTGTTTGAAAAAAGTTGTTTATTTTTATTTCTTATACACAGATTGTAAATGTACATTCTCTTATTCATAATTGATCTAATTGAGAGAGTAGAAGAGCAGCCCCGAATGTAATTAAGAGGTCTTATTTTTATGCTTTCGTTAGAAAAAATATGTATATTTATTGTTCTTGTAGTAGTTGTGTTTAGTTGTAATTGTAGTTTGGAGGTGTTATTATTTTTATTATTATTTATTATCATCATCATCATCATCATCTCTTATTCATTGAATATGAAACTCAGTCAGCTGAACATTTAAAAATGTATCCCATCGTACATTTTTAAGTTTTTTAAAGTTTTAAAATTTTTAAAAATTTAAAAATTTAAAAATTTTAAATTTGTCTTATGAATTTGGGGTGTTTTAAATTTCGTTTTCCGGGCCAATTATTTAATTGTATTTTAATGGGTTTTTTTAACATTTGTATTATATGTATTTTATTTGGCTGCTCACCGCCCTGAGTCCTTCGGGAGTAGGGCGGTATACAAATTCAATAAATAATAATAATAATAATAATAATAATAATAATAATAATAATAAAAATAATAATAAGAAGAAGAAGAAGAAGAAGAAGAAGAAGAAGAAGAAGAAGAAGAAGAAGAAGAAGAAGAAGAAGATGATGATATTTGGTTGATACCTAAGATGCTGGCAGCAACCCCTATCAACCATCAGCGCCAGTCAATGATATTTTTGTGATATTATTAGTATTACTATTATTAAAGGTAAAGGTTCCCCTCGCACATACGTGCTAGTCGTTCCCGACTCTAGGGGGCAGTGTTCATCTCAATTTCAAAGCCGAAGAGCCAGCGCTGTCCGAAGACGTCTCCGTGGTCATGTGGCCGGCATGACTCAACGCCAAAGCCGCACGGAACGCTATTACCTTCCCACCAAAGGTGGTCCCTATTTTTCTACTTGCATTTTTTATGTGCTTTTGAACTGCTAGGTTGGCAGAATTACTATTACTATTATTACTATTATTAATATTATTATTGGTTAACCTTTGGTGAGATTCACAGCCTTTGAGGCTGGTTAATAGCTCAGCAGCTCGAGTCCTAACCAAGGACCTAGGAACTGTTAAGGTATCGTCGGAGGATGTAAGACTTATTATTATTATTATTATTATTATTATTATTATTATTATTATTATTATTATTGATTATTGATCACGCCGGCCGGCCAGGTGTTCAGACTGGGTTTTGCATTCCTGTTTAACTATCGAGTCCTTATCAAGGACCTGGGATAGGCAGATCTGGGATGTTTGACGGTAGTAAAGATATCGTCGTCGTAACATGGGTGATGGAATTAATAATCTAGCTGAAAGACATTACAGAAGATATCATATGGATTACAAATTTAAAGTCATTTGAGGATTTTGTTTAGATATGGAAATATTTTTTAGTGGTGTGGCATGGGTAGAAGAACAAAGATATCAAAATATTATGTATGGTAGACCTGTAGGAAAATGGGTGGAGATAGGTTAGGTTACTGATTGTTTAGTTTACTAAAAGGGATGTTAGGTTCAGATATTAATATACATAAAAGACTTGAATTAAGAGATATATGTATGGGGGTGGAGGAAATGGGTAGATTAAGAGTTGAATAAATGTCAAATTAGGATTTATTATATAGTTTTATAGCTGAAGGTTGCTTTGAAATGTATAGTATCAGGGGGATATAATAACAATGTTAGAAAGAAATGGTTAGCATGTGGGGGGTGGTGTAAAAGGATGGTAAAGTATTATTTAAGTTGATATCAATGATTTTATTTTGAAGAAGCCATGGGGGGAGGGGAGGGGGGAGGGGGGGTTAGGGAGGAGGGGGGGAATAAAAGGGGGAAAAAATTGTATTTGAAAAACTTTTTCAATAAAAAAAAAAAAGATATCGTCGTCGTAGGACGGAAGCTGTTCCGAGTACAGCCGCCGTCTGCAATTGACTCTTGGCGAATTTGTCAATGCCGGTGGTGTTTAGTAGCTTTTCGGGGTTGCGCCCAAGCAGCCTTATGACGATTGGTGCTCCCCTTGCTTGCCCTTGCTACTGTCGTTCTATTTCTATTTGCTGGTCTTTGGATTTGGTTATCTTCTCTCGTTCTTTCTCTTCTCTTCTGCTTTATTTTTACTCTTGTTGATTTAATCTTCAATTCAATTCACATTTTGGGACTCATAAATACTTATCAGCCTAACCAAGGACCTAAGAGCTACTGTATTAAAGTAGCGTCTGAATATATAGGCAATTCCGAAATATTATAAAGTCAGAATGATTATTCCTAGTTAAGATTTAATCTTCAATTTGATTGACAGTCTGGAACTGGTTAAAATTTAACAGTTCAAGGCCTAGCGAAGAAACCTTAGAACCATTAAGCATCTGAGTATATGGGCAGGTCTGAGTAAGGTTGTTTTTTGCAAAGTCAGTTGTAATAAGTTCAAAATGTCAATGTATCTTCATCTTCTTCTTCTTCTTCTTCCTCCTCCTCCTCCTCCTCCTCCTCCTCCTCCTCCTCCTCCTTCTCTTTCTCCTTCTCTTTCTCTTTCTCCTTCTCCTTCCTCTACCTCTACCTCTTCTCCTTCTCCTTCTCCTCCTCCTTCTCCTCCTTTTCCTTCTATGATGATGATGATGACGATGATGATTTCTAAGTTGCTTTCCCAGTTTAGGTCAAGAGACTGGTTGGGAGGGAGAGGTGTCCAAGTTAAAGCAGACTTTTGCAGAACAGCGAAAATCCATTGAGTTTCTTTCATTCATTCATTCATTCATTCATTCATTCATTCATCTTGATTTCCACGGAAGACATTTTATTGACTTGACTTAACAGTAGCTGATTTCTACAGCCACAATATTCTTTGTGGTATTTTTATTTTTATATTTATATTTATATTTATATTTATATATTTATATTTATATTTATATTTATTATTATTATTATTATTATTATTATTATTATTTCTCTTTTATTTATTAAAAATGAAACTCAAGTCAACTGGACATTTAAAAATGTGTCACAAATACTGGTGCTAATGGTTGATACGGATTGCTGCCAGCGTCCTAGGGATCAACCAAATACCTTCTTAAGATGTACGATGTTCCAAGTAGCACAGTTTTTTGCAGTTCCGCTGGTGTTATTGCAGGAAGCTGCAATTTCTTGAAGTGTTTTGTGAAATAATTCTTCTTCTTCTCCTTCTCCTTCTCCTTCCTCTACCTCTTCCCCTCTCCCCTTCCCCTTCTTTTTTCCTTCTCCTTCCCCTTCTCCTCCTCCTTCTCCTTCTCTTCTTCCTCCTCCTCCTTCTTCTTCTTCTTCTTATTTATTCAATTTATATCCCGCCCTTCTCCTAGTGGACTCAGGGCGGTGGCACAGCCAGAACTAAAACACATATCAATACAAAATTTAAAAATATTAAAAGAATTGTATAACTGTGGCCCCAAAATTTAAAACATTGAAAACTCAAACACATTTGACGATTTAAAAAGCTAAAAAAGACTAAAAAAGGCTTTTCTTCTTCTTCTATTATTATTTAACGTCTCTCTCTCTCTCTCTTTCTCTCTTTCTCGTTTATTTATTTATTTGAAGTCTTTTTTGCTCTCTTTGTACAGCCCACTCAGGAGATGCTTCTATCATATCTCTGATTTTCTGAGGTTACTGGAAGTTCAACAAAGAAACCTCTTTGTGTGGGTAGTGTTTTTTTCACCGAAACTTCCTTGATGTCTTTTTTTTGCTAGTCCTTGTCTGCTTGAAGTTATTTCCAAATCTGGATTGTTGTTGTTGTTTTTTTTAAAGAATGAGCTTTCCATCTGCTCTTCTCTCAGGTTTTCATTTCATTTCGTTTCGTTTTTAAATTTCTACGTCCGTCTCGCCTGGATGAACGGTTTGCAACAGCCGAATCCAAACCGTCTCAAAGGCACGGATAAAAAGGACAGCATAAAAATTAAAAAAAAAAAAAAAAACAAGATGGCAAACAAGTTTAAAACTTAAAAGAAAAGTTTTAAGTTTGTTTGTTTGTTTGTTTGCTTGTTTATTATTTATTTATTTATTTATTCAATTTATATCCCGCCTTCTCCTAGTGGACTCAGGGCGGTGCACAGCCAGAACTAAAATACATATCAATACAAAATTTAAAAGTATTAAAAGAATTATTTATTTATTTATTTATTTATTTATTTATTTATTTATTTATTTATTTATTTATTTATTTATTTATTATTAAATTTCTATACCGCCCTTCTCCCTGAGGACTCAGGGCGGTGTACAACCAAAATTAAAAAAACATGCAGTACAAATATTAAAAAAAAACAATTAAAAGATATATAAATTTGGCCCAATTAAAACTCACTACCAATTAAAACATTTAAAAATTTCTTCTTAAGCCAGCCCGGCTTGCTTGAAAAAATGGGTTTTAAGGGCACGACGGAAGGCACTGAGGTCTTGGATTCTCCTTATATAACTGTGGCCCCAAAATTTAAAACAATTGAAAACTAAAACTCATTTGACAATTTAAAAAGCTGAAAAAAGACTAAAAAGACTTTAAAAGGGGGGGGTGTTTCATGCCGGCCCTGCTTGATGGAAAAGAAAAGTTTTTAGGGCACGGCGAAAAACCCGGAGATCCGATATCCTTCGTATCTCCGGGGGCAAATCGTTCCAGAGGGCAGGAGCTACCACAGAGAAGGCCCTCCCCCTGGGGGTCGCCAGCCGACATTGCCTGGCTGACGGCACCCTGAGGAGTCCCTCTCTGTGGGAGCGTACTGGTCGGCGGGAGGCTATCGGCGGCAGAAGGCGGTCCCGCAAATACCCAGGTCCCATGCCATTCAAGTTCATTCATGTGGGGAGAAAAACAGAACGAATAGCGGTCTGTCCTTCTGCTAAAGCAGCGGTCACCAACCGGGTCCGTACACACACTGGCGGTCCGTGAGAAAATTTTGGTGGTCCGCAGAACAATAATTTGCATTTTTTTATATTGCACTAAATCAGGGGTCCTCAAACTACGGCCCCTGGGCCGGATACGTGCAATGAACGCTTGTGTTGCTACAGAGAGTCTCCCCATTCGGGGTCTTCTTGTGTGGGTCGGAGGGGGCAGAAATTCAACTCGGGTCTGCTTCGGCCTCCTGGTGTGGGGCTTTGGCTGAAGGATGGCGGGAAGAGCCTGAGGGCCTTGTTCCAGTGGCTGCAGCTCTGGCCAGCTCTCCTGACCTAACTCTCAGCCCGCTAAGCCTCCAGCGCCAGCGCCTGGCTTTGCACTCTTCCCTCTGCTTGAAAAGTCTATGCTCCTAGTCCTCAGTGAGGTACTTCTGCTGAGCCTCCTTCTCGGTCAGATCCAATTTGAACTGAGCCAACTCTTTCTCGCGGTGGCTGCTTAGCTCCAACAACTGCTTCCTCTTGGGGCCCTAAGGAGCCCCGAGGCGAGGAAGGGCTGGGAGGGGAGAGGCGAGTAGAGGCCGGCAAGGAGCCCCTTGACATGAGTGACATTGAGTTGGCCACGCCTGCCCAGTCACATGACCACCTAACCACGTCTACCCAGCCGGTCATTAGGCAAATCTATAGTCGTGGTCCGCGGGATTTAAAATTATGAATTTAGTGGTCCCGGAGGTCCGAAAGGTTGGGGACCCTTGGACTAGATGGTATTAATCCAAATGGTAGGCAATTGAAGATGGCTTCCAATAAAGGAGAACATTTGTAGTGCAGGGTTAGAACAGGAGACGGACGGACCTTGGTGCTTTCTGAGCTTGGTGGTTTTCTCACAGACGTTTTGTGACCCAACTAGGGAACGTCATCAGTGCTAGAAGGGAGTGGGGTTTGGGGTAGAAGGAGGAGGAAGGGGACAGATGGATCCTTGGTGCTCTCTGAGCTGTTTGTTTTCTCGCAGACATTTCATGACCCAACTAGGTAACGTCATCAATGCTAGTCATCGCTAATTTGTTATTTTATTTTATTTTATTTTATTTCGAATTTATGTACCACACCTTCTCCCGAGGGACTCAGGGCGGTGTACAGCCAGATAAAAAACATACAATACAAACATTAAAAACAATTAAAAAGATATATATTAATTTGGCCCCAATTTAAAATAACAAACCAATTAAAAATATTTAAAAAAATATATTAAGCCAGCCCGGCTTGCTGAAAAAAGGAAGTTTTAAGGGCACGGCGGAAGATACGTCTTTGGTTTGGCGAGAAATCGGCAAATAATTACGGATGGGCCTCAACTTACGACCAGAATTGAGAGTAGAATTTCCATTGTGAAGCAAGATCAGTCTTATAACCTCTTTTGTCACTGTTCTTTGAGCGAATCGCTGTGGTTGTTAAGTGAATCGCGCGGTCGCTAAGCGAATCCGGCTTCCCCCATTGCCTTTGTTTGTTGGAAGCCAGCTGGAAAGGCCGTAAATGGCGATCATGTGACTCTGGGATGCCGCAACCACTGTTGGTTGCCAAGCAGCCTAATTTTGATCATGTGACCGTGGGGGTGGTGTAACGGTCATAAGGGCCGAGGACCAATGGTCAATCCCTTTTTTCCCCCAGTGTTGTACCTTCGAACGGTCGCTAAACGAATGGTCGTAAGTCGAGGATTACCTGTACCACGGTCTGGGTACAGCTTCATAAGCCAACTGGATTTGAACCCAGGACCGGTTTGCAACCTCAAAGCCGCCCAAAGTCACTTTGGAATGAGACGGGGGCAAATTAAATAAATTAAAAATTAAAGAAAAATCACACGCAGGGATAACAATAAATAAAAGCAAATAAGAAAATAAAATAACATAAGAAAAAAATAAAAGAAAATAAAATAAGAAAATAAAATAAGAAAATAGAGTAAAATAAGAAAAGAAATTAAAAAAAGAAAAGAAAAGAAGAAAATAAAATAAAAAATAAATAAGAAAATAGAAAAAAATAAGAAACTAAATTAAAAAATAAAAGAAAAAAAGAACAAAATAAGAAAATAGAGTAAAATAAGAAAATAAATTAAAAAAATAAAATAAATAAAAATAAAATAAAATAAGAAAATAAAATAAATAAAATAAAATAAGAAAAAAAGAATAAAAGAAAAAAAAATAAGAAAAAAAAATAAGAAAATAGAGTAAAATAAGAAAATAAATTAAAAAAATAAAAATAAATAAAATAAAATAAAATAAGAAAATAAAATAATAAAACAGTAAAATAAGAAAACAAAAAAATAAAATAATAAAATAAAATAAATAAAATAAAATAAGAAAAAATAATAAAATAAAATAAAAATATAAAAAAAGAAAAAAGAAAAAAGAAAAGAAAATAATAAAAGAAAATAATAAAAAAAATAGAGTGAAATAAAATAAATTTAAAAAATAAAATAAATTAAATTAAATAAATAAATAAAATAAAATAAAATAATAAAATAAAATAAAATAAAATAATAAAATAAAATAAAATAAAATAAAAAAATAAAATAAATAAAATAAAATAAAATAAAATAAAATATAAAATAAAATAAAATAAATAAAATAATAAGAAAATAAGAAAAGAAAAGAAAAGAAGAAAAGAAGATAAGAAAATAGAGTAAAATAAGAAAATAAATTTAAAAAATAAAATAAATAAAATAAAATAAAATAAAATAAGAAAAGAAAGAAATTGCTGAAGTATCAAGCCCTCTCACATCATTTTTTTTCCCTCTCCTCGCAAGTTTGAAGGGTCACTAGACGAACGGTTGCACGTTGAGGACTAGCTGCATTATCTTTTTATTATTATTATTATTATTATTTTTCGGCTCTTCCTCATAGATGGCGACCTCCAAGCGAGGGAAGCGATCCACTCGGAAACTCCGAGACTGGACGGTGGAGCAGGTGGAGAGCGGGAAGTACCCAGGTTTGGTTTGGCATGACCCTCCGGCCAAAACCATGTTCCGTATCCCGTGGAAACACGCCGGAAAGCAGGAATTCCGACAGGAAGAAGACGCTGGTTTTTTCAAGGTGATGAGTTGGTAGAGTCGGGTGCGCAAATGGGACGTTGGGAATTGTCGAAAGCGGTCGTGGTTACGACAAAACGTGATTGCGGCATAAACAGCGGGATAAATAAATAAGCCCGCCTTGTGCTGCAGCAACCCAAAATAGCCAATAACTTTGGGCCAATCACCAGGGGGACGGGGAGTTCTAGTCCCGCCTTAGGCAAGAAAGCCTGCTGGGTGACTTTGGGCCAATCACTAGGAGACTGGGAATTCTAGTCCCGCCTTAGGCATGAAAGCCAGCTGGGTGACTTTGGGCCAATCACCAGGAGACTGGGAATTCTAGTTCTGCCTTAGGCATAAAAGCCAGCTGGGAGACTTTGGGCCAATCACTAGGAGACTGGGAATTCTAGTCCCGTTTAGGCATGAAAGCCAGCTGGGTGACTTTGGGCCAATCACTAGGAGACTGGGAATTCTAGTCCTGTCTTAGGCATGAAAGCCTGCTGGTGACTTTGGGCCAATCACTAGGAGACTGGGAATTCTAGTCCCGCTTTAGGCAAGAAAGCCTGCTGGGTGACTTTGGGCCAATCACTAGGAGACTGGGAATTCTAGTCCCCCTTAGGCATGAAAGCCGGCTGGGAGACTTTGGTCAATCACTAGGAGACTGGGAATTCTAGTCCTGCTTTAGGCAAGAAAGCCGGCTGGGTGACTTTGGGCCAATCACCAGGAGACTGGGAATTCTAGTCCCGCCTTAGGCATGAAAGCCGGCTGGGAGACTTTGGGCCAATCACTAGGAGACTGGGAATTCTAGTCCCGTCTTAGGCATGAAAGCCAGCTGGGTGACTTTGGGCCAATCACTAGGAGACTGGGAATTCTAGTTCTGCCTTAGGCATAAAAGCCGGCTGGGAGACTTTGGGCCAATCACTAGGAGATTGGGAATTCTAGTCCCACTTTAGGCATGAAAGCCGGTTGGGAGACTTTGGGCCAATCACTAGGAGATGGTGAGTTAAGCCTGCTGGGTGACTTTGGGCCAATCACCAGGAGACGGGGAATTCTAGTACCGCTTTAGGCATGAAAGCTGGCTGGGTGAATTTGGGCCAGTCACCAAGAGACTGGGAATTCTAGTCCTGCCTTAGGCATGACCATTCGAAGTTACGACGGATCTCCACAGGGTACCCAGTTCCCAGTTTCAACAGCTGCCTCCCCCCCCCGGTCATGTGACCACACTGGGTATTAGCAACAGTGCCTAGAGGTGGAGTTCTCGCCTCACAATCAGGAGGCCGTGAGTTCAATTCTAGGTAGAGGCAGATATTTCTGTCTCTGGGCACGATGAGAATATATCTGCTGAACAAAACTCCGCATTGGCGACAGGAAAAGCATCCGGCCAGTAAAACACTCAGCTCCATTCAGTTGCCAGACTCCATCCAGCAAGAGATTATGGGTTTATTAAAAGATGATGATACACGTAAGTAATTTTCTTTCTTTCTTTCTTTCTTTCTTTCTTTCTTTCTTTCTTTCTCTTTCTTTCTTTTCTTTCTTTCTTTCTTTCTTTCTTTCTTTCTTTCTTTCTTTCTTTTCTTTCTTTCTTTCTTTCTTTCTTTCTTTCTTTTCTTTCTTTCTTTCTTTCTTTCTTTCTTTCTTAGGCCTGGGCTATCTATAAAGGAAAATACAAACCTGGAGAACACAACCCGGCGACTTGGAAGACGCGCATCCGCTGCGCTTTGACCAAAAGTACCGAGTTCGAGGAAATGCCGTCCCTTTCCCGGTCGGATGTGACGGAGCCTTACAAAGTATACCGCTTGGTGCCGGTTGCGGAGCAGCCGACGGGTAAGGAAACGCGCCGGATTCTCTCTCTCTCTCTCTGCAGAACCTTCTTCCTGTGTCTTGCGGAGCTACGCGGGACTCCAATTCCCATCAGCCCCAGCCAGCGTGAGCCTGAGGGCAGTGTCTTTGGGGTCATCAGGCCGCCCAGGAACATGGGGGGGGTGGGGGGCAGGTGGGAGAACCCGGATGTTTTCCACCGATCGATCTCCTCTGTAGGAATTGCAGAATTTGGAACATTTATTCATTCCATCCGGTATCTCACTGGCCCCCATCGATCTTGTTATTTTTCGATTTGCATCCACCTTCCAAGTAGGCCACGCCAGGAAAGAAAGCAGCAGGAAGGAAGATTTGAACCCGGGTTTCCGAACCCCGGCCCAGATATTCTGAATTTCTGCATCTCGGCTCGGTTCAACCTTGGCGCGAGGTGTCAGAAGCTGCATTCGACCCGTAGCAGCCATTTTTGAGGGCACGGATTTTAAAGCCGTGTTTTTCAACCTTTAAGCAGCTTTAAGATAGGTGGGCTTCAGCTCCCAGAATTCCCCAGCCAGCAGTGCTTCAAGATGGGTGGGCTTCAGTTCCCAGAATTCCCCAGACAGTATGCTTTAAGATAGGAAGAATCTTTCCCGAATTCCCCAGCCACCTTGCTTTAAGAGTTGAGGACTTCAACTCCCAGAATTCCCTACCCAGTAGTGCTTCAAGATGGATGGGCTTCAATTCCCAGAATTCCCTAGCCAGCATGTTTCAAAAGGAATGGACTTCAACTCCCAGAATTCCCCAGCCAGCATGCTTCAAGATAGATGGGCTTCAATTCCCAGAATTCCCCTGCCACGTTGCTTTAAGAGGTGAGGACTTCGACTCCCAGAATTCCCCAGACACCTTGCTTAAGAGCTTCAACTCCCAGAATTCCCACCCAGCATCCTTTAAGATGGATGGGCTTCAATTCCCAGAAATCTTCACCCAGCGTTCTTTAAGATGGGTGGACTTCAACTCCCAGAATTCCCCAAACTGTATGCTTTAAGTTAGGAAGACTTTAGTTCCCAGAATTCCCCAGACACCTTGCTTTAAGAGTTGTGGACTTCAACTCCCAGAATTCCCCAGACACCTTGCTTTAAGAGCTGTGGACCTCAACTCCCAGAATTCCCCAGACATCTTGTTTTAAGAGGTGAGGACTTGACTCCCAGAATTCCCCCAACACCTTGCTTTAAGAGGTGAGGACTTCAACTCCCAGAATTCCCCCAACACCTTGCTTTAAGAGGTGAGGACTTCAGCTCCCAGAATTCCCCAGCCACCTTGCTTTAAGAGGTGTGGACTTCATCTCCCAGAATTCCCCACCCAGCGTGCTTTAAGATGGTGGACTTCAATTCCCAGAATTCCCCAGCCACCTTGCTTTAAGAGGTGTGGACTTCATCTCCCAGAATTCCCCACCCAGCGTGCTTTAAGATGGGTGGACTTCAACTCCCAGAATTCCCCACCCAGCAGTGCTTCAAGATGGATGGGCTTCAATTCCCAGAAATCTTCATCCAGGGTGCTTTAAGATGGGTGGACTTCAACTCCCAGAATTCCCCACCCAGCAGTGCTTCAAGATGGGTGGACTTCAATTCCCAGAATTCCCCAGCCACCTTGCTTTAAGAGGTGAGGACTTCAACTCCCAGAATTCCCCACCCAGTAGTGCTTCAAGATGGATGGGCTTCAATTCCCAGAAATCTTCATCCAGGGTGCTTTAAGATGGGTGGACTTCAACTCCCAGAATTCCCCAGACCGTATGCTTTTAGATCGGAAGACTAGTTCCCAGAATTCCCCAGCCACCTTGTTTTAAGAGGTGAGAACTTCAACTCCCAGAATTCCTCAGACAGTATGCTTTTAAAAAAGGAAGACTTTAGTTCCCAGAATTCCCCAGCCACCTTGCTTTAAGAGCTGTGAACTTCAACTCCCAGAATTCTCCAGGCAGCGTGCTTTAAAATGGGCGGACTTCATTTCCCAGAATCCTCTACCCTGCATGCTTTAAGAGGGATGGACTTCCGCTGGCTGGGGGAATTCTGGGAGTTGAAGTCCTCACCTCTTAAAGCAGCCGAGATTGTGACACACAGCCCCAGCCTTCTCGTAATCCTTAACGATCTTTTTTCTGACCTGGCCTACCTTGCAGGGCTGTCGGGGAAAAAAAAAACACAGGATGATGGCCTAAAAATTGTGTTTTAAGATCCCGTCCTCTCTTTCTTCCAAGGCAAGAAGGCCAAAACACCGAAAACCAACCAGGGGAGAATGGAGGATGCCAGCAGCTCCGAGGCGGAGGCGGCGAGTCCCAGGGAGGAGATCCAGCCGCCGGCCGATTCCCTGTCGCTGTTGCAAAGGGTAAGGGGCGAAGATTAGGCTGGTTGGGATCCCGGGTGAGGGGTGGGAGGCCTGGCCTGGATCGGGCCAAGATAGAGGAGGGGACTCTCGGTGTCCCCACGCCTGGCTCAGTGCGACAGAGAAAGGACATCCCGGACTGGGAACAGATCTACCCCTAGGCTAGGATTTCTTAACCGTGGCCGCGTTAAGACTATACGTAGACTTCAAATCCAGTGGCTGGGAGATTCTGGGACCTGAAATCCTCGCGCGTCTTAAAGCAGCCCAGGGTGAGAACTACTGACACAATCTTATCTGGAGATGACTTGCCTTTGCTTTGTTTGAAGTTCTCCTCTATCCCTTCTCCTCCACTACCTCCTCCTCCTTTTCTTGCTTCTCCTTCACCTCCTCTTTCTCCTTCTCGTTCGTCCCGTTTCCCTTTCTCTTTCCCTTCTCCTCCTCCTCCCCCTCTTTCTCCTCCTCTACCTCCTCCTTCTCCTTTTCTTTCGTCTCGTTCTCCTTCTCCTAATCTTTCCCTTTTTCTTCCTCTTCTTTTTCTTCCTTGTCCTTGTCTTTCTTCTCCTCTTACTCCTTATTCGCTCCCTACCTCTTTCCCCTTTCCTCCTCCCCATCTTTCTCCCTCCTTTTCCTTCTCCTCCTTCTCCTTTTCTTTCTTCTCCTTCTCTTTTTTTCTTTCTCCTCCACTTCCTTTTCCTCCTTGACCTTTTCTTTCTTCTCTTTCTCCTTGTTCTCCTCCTCCCCCTTTCCCTTTCTCTTTTCTTTCTTCTCCTCCTCTTCCTCCTCCTCCTTCCTCCTCCCCCTCCCTTTTCATTCGCCCTGTTTCCCTTTTTCTTTCCCTTCTCCTCCTCCCTCTCCTCCTCCTCCTCCTCCTTTTCTTTCTTCTCGTTCTCCTCCTCCTAATCTTTCCCTTTTCTTCCGCTTCTTTTTCTTCCTTGTCCTTGTCTTTCTTCTCCTCTTACTCCTTCTTATTCGCTCCCTACCTCTTTCCCCTTTCCTCCTCTCCATCTTTCTCCTCCTCCTTCTTCTTCCTCTCCCTCTTCTCTTTTCCTTTCTCCTCTTTCTTTTCCTCCTTGGCCTTTTCTTTCTTCTCCTTCGTCTCCTCTTCCTCCCTCCTTTCCACAAACCCAACTCCCTTCTAGCACTGATGATGTTATTTAGTTGGGAAATGTAACGTCTGCCAGAAAACCGCCAAGCTCAGAGAGCATCAAGGACCCCGCAGCCCTTTTCTTCCTCCTCCTCCTCCTTCCTCCTTCTCGTTCTTCTCTTCCTCTTCCTTGTCTTCCTTTTTAATAGAGATTGGACCACCATTTGTCTGAAATTGCATAGAGTTTCCTGCCTGAGCAGGGGGTTGGACTAGAAGACCTCCAAAGTCCCTTTTGACTCTGTTCTCCTCTTCCTCCTCCTCCTCCTCTTCTTCTTCTTCTTCTTCTTCTTCTCTCTTCCTCCTCCTCCTCCTCCTCTTCTTCCTCTTCCTCTTCCTCCTCCTCCTCCTCTTCTTTTTCTCTTCTTCTTCTTCCTCTTCCTTTTCCTCTTCTCCTCCTCCTCTCTTCTTCTTCTTCTTCTTCCTCTTCCTTTTCCTCTTCCTCCTCCTCCTCTTCTTTTCTTTTTCTTCTTCCTCTTCCTCCTCCTCCTCCTTCTTCTTCCTCTTCCTCTTCCTCCTCCTCCTCCTCTTCTTCCTCTTCCTCTTCCTCTTCCTTCTCCTCCTCTTCTTTTTCTTCTTCTTCCTCTTCCTCTTCCTCCTCTTTTTCTTTTTCTTCTTCCTCTTCCTCCTCCTCCTCCTCCTCCTCCTCTTCCTCCTCCTCCTCCTCCTCCTCCTCCTCCTCCTCTTTTGGCCTGACTGCTAATGAAAGCAAAGGATGAAGTAGTTGTGTCAAGGATCCGGCCGGGGCCTTTTGGCCAACAGACCACCCACTCTTCTCTCTTGGTCTCGCAGGAAGAGCCCCCCGCCCCAGAAGCCATGATGAGCCATGCGACCAATGTTTTCAACCCGTCCAACTACCAGAACGGGCAAGTCAGTCCTCAGGCCGCTGAACCAGGTAGGGGAATGAATACACACGGCCCCGTAAATTGACTACCCCCTCCTGATGCAAGGGCTCAGAGAGTGCAGCGAAGGCGTGATCAGTGCAAACCGAGCAGGCCACGCACGAGGAGAGGGCCTCACCAGGAACACCTGGGGAATGAGACTTAAGGAGACCCCATGGGGAAGGTTCTGCCCCAGCTACGGACCCCAAAGAACGCAGTACACACAAAGTCTGTACAAACGTTTAGTTTACTAGGCTTACTAGAGTCCCTTGGGAGTTGGGCGGCATAGAAGTGCGACAAAATAAATAAATACTAAATTAAATCGGTCTATTTCAAAGAAAGGCTGTTAGTTAACTTTCTTAACAGCCTACAAGACTCCAAAGAATAAATAATCGTAATCTTACTAGGATTGGCAGAAAGCCCAGAAGTAATTTGCAGGTAACTGATAAGAGAAGCAAGATCAAGACACGAAGGAGAGTGAACGAAGTTGTTCCCTGTAAATTGCTTCAGTTGGCATTCCTCCTTAAATAGGCTAAGGGAGTGGCCAATTAGCCCCAAGCCTTACTCTCGAGGAGACCTCCTCTTGAGGAGCCACTCCTGCCTTTTGGCAGCTCTGTGTGCTCGTGCATCGAGAAGAGACTCCTCCTCTTTTTCCTCTTCACCCATGGAAGCTTCTGGAGGTTCTGAAGGCCCTGGCTGAATCCCCGCCTCTGGCACCACATATTCTCCAGCCTCCTCATTGTCCGACTCAAGTGCCAGCTGCCCAGGCTGCTGGCGCAGCACCACACCAGCCTTCTCGCTGTCAGAATCAGCTACTAGCTGCACAGGCCGCTGACGGGCCACAACAGAGAAGAGCGTTTGTCGGGAACAAACACTGAGTTCCTGAAGTGTTGTGTGCCGGACGTTTGAACTTTCTTTCTTTTATTGAATTTGTATACCGCCCTACTCCCGAAGGACTCAGGGTGGTGAACAGCCATGGAATAAAACATATAAATACAAAATTTAAAATAAATTAAAACGAATTAAATAATTTGGCTGAATAAATTTAAAACCCCAATAATTTAAAACCAGATTTAAAATTTCCATTTAAAAAGGGGAAAGACTTAGGTCAGGCCAGCTTGGTGAAATAGGAAGGTCTTAAGTGAGCGACGGAAGGTACGCAGATCCGGGATCCTCCGTATCTCCGGGGGGAGCTCATTCCAAATAGTAGGTGCCCCCACAGAAAAGGCTCTCCCCCTGCAGGAGTCCTTGCATTCCTTGTTGGCGTTCTGGACTAATTATCTGGATCTTTTGTGCCCCGAAATCCTTGCTTGGCTCTTGTTTTGCCAAATAATATTTGGGATTTATTGCCGTGCAGCCTGGGTGCAGACAGCCGCTGGGCTGGATGAATTGTAGCCAGACGCTGCTTGAGGTTTGTGTGGGGGGTTTGTTCTCACTCTGCTCTGGGGCTTGCCAGAAACGTGGGAGCGTTTGGGGAGCTCTGGAGCAATAAAGGGGCGGTTTGAACTGCCAGCTTCTATGTGTTATCTCAGTGCCATGCCCTGGGTCGTCACAGAGACGTTGTACAGGTAATCCTCCATTTACGACCACAATTGAGCCCAACATTTCTGTTGCTAAGTGAAACAGTTGTGGAGTGAATTTCACCCCTTTCTGGCCACGGTTGTTCAGTGAATCATTGCGGTTGTTAAGTTAGTCACACGGTTGGTAAGTGAATCTGGCTTCTCCACGGATGTTGCTTGTCAGAAGGTCACAGATCACGTGACACCACCCTCCTCTCCCTGGGACACTGCGACTGTCATAAATACGAGTCAGTTGACAAGCGTCCAAATTTTGTTCACGTGACCACGGGGATGTTGCAATGGTCGTAACTGTGAAAAACGGCCATAAGTCACTTTTTTCAGTGCCGTCGTAACTTTGAACGGTTACTAAATGAGCTGTTGTAAACTGAGGACTTTCCATACAGGACATTGACTGAGAAATCGTCTGTGCGCGAGAACAAAATTCAAAGCGGTTCTGAGGTCAAGCAGTCTCTGACTTACGCCCGGTTGCTTATAGCTAATCCTCAACTTACAACCATTCATTTAGCGACCGTTCAAAGTTACGACGGCACTGAAAAAAGCAACTTATGACCGTTTTCACACTTACGAAAGCATCCTCGCGATCGCGTGATCAAAATTCAGACGCTTGGCAACTGACTCATACTTATGACGGTTGCGGTATCCTGGGGATCACGGGATCCCCTTTTGCGACCTTCTGACCAGCCAAGTCAATAGTGAAGCCTGATTCACTTAACAACCATGTTACTAACTGAACAGCTGCAGTGATTCACTTAGCCACAGTGGCGAGAAATGTCGTAAAATGAGGCAAAGCAAAACTCCCTTAGACAAATGTCTTACTTAGCAATGGAAATTTTGCACTCAATTGTGGTCGTAAATCGAGGACTACCTATACCTGTGGTTGGGGGCGGGGGAAGCTGCATTGTCCGCTTAGAAATCAACGTTGAATGGCCTCATTGAAGTTACCCGGAGTAGATCCCTGCCGGAAATCGATTCTAGCCGAATAGATCACTTCTAGTAGATAATTGACGCTCATGAATCAGTGAGACGTCTCGTAGCCCAGGAGAAAAATGACATTTACACCCAAATTATGTGAAGTAATTTGGTCACGAGAAAGGGTAGACCATTTGGCCTTACCGTTCCTTGTTTGTTTGATCCCTACAGCGCCGGAAGTGAACCTGATTACTTTCAGCTTGAGGACAGATCCCAACCCTGTGGTGAGGACTGCTACCGAACCAACAGGTGAGATCCCAGAGCTGGGAGGATCTTCCGGTGAAGCACAGTTTCCAGATCCTGGTCATTTTTAAGACGTGTGGACTTCAACTCCCAGAATTCCCCAGCCAGCAAAGCGTTTACCAGAATATATTACGTCGAGCGCATTCCCACTATCTATTAAGAAAATTATCCTATCTGAAAATGTGGCTCAACTACCTTCATTGCATTTTCGGATAGGACATGTGGCTAAACTACCGTATTTTTCGGACTATAAGACGCACTTTTTTGTCTCCTGAAAGGAGGTGAAAATGTCTGTGCATCTTATAGACCGAATATTGCCGAAGCCCCGCCCACCTGCCAGCCATTTTTTTGCCTCTGCATGGCGCATTTTGGGGCCTTTTTCGGCCTTTTTTTTTTTGGCTCATTTTCGGGGCTTTTTTCAGCCCGTTTTTGAGGCTTTTTTTGGCCTGTTTTTGGGAAGCATTTTTTGGGGGGGAAAGCCTCAAAAATGGGCTGAAAAAAGCCGAAAAATGGGCCGAAAAAAGCCGAAAAATGGGCTGAAAAAAAGCCTCAAAAACGGGCCAAAAAGCCTTGAAAACAGGCTGAAAAAAGCCTCGAAATGGGCCGAAAAAAGACTGGAAAAGGGCCGAAAAAAGGGCTGAAAATGGGGCCCGCGGAGGCCAAAACCTTTTTTTTTTTGTTGATTTCCTCTTCTAAATTTAGGTGCGTCTTACAGTCAGGTGCGTCTTATAGTCTGAAAAATACACTACCTTCATTGCATTTTCGGATAGGATAATTTTCTTAAAAGATAGTGGGAATGCGGTCGACGTAATATATCTTGATTTCAGCAAAGTGAAAAAAAAGAGCTGGCTGGGGGGAAAATTCTGGGAGTTGAAGTCCACGCATCTTAAAGTGAGCAAGGTTGAGAAACCTTGCCCTGAAAAATCTCTAGGAGACAAGGATTATGGGTGTACAATGAGTCTGTTTTTTGATAACGTCATGGAGTTTGTGGTCCCTTTGAGGAAGGGTCTAAAGGAGAGATCATAACCACCCAGCAGATCTGATATTCCCTGATTTCCCGTAGTGTTGTCCTTCGAGCAGTGGTGGGATTCAGCCGGTTCGGGATGGCTGAATTTAACGGTAGTTAAATTGCTGGCTGGCCTCGCCCCTCTCCTCCCTTCCCCTTCTAGGAATCCCCACGCACCCCATCGTTGTCTTCTCCATTTGGCAACTTGTGGTGGGGCTCCTGGATGCCACAATCCTTGTGCTAACGGATAATCCTCGATTTACAACCCCAATGACATAAGGATGGAAATTCTGTTCCCCATTGTGGTCTCTTGTGACATCTTTTTACCAGTTTCTAGTAAAAAAAAACCCCACCCCATTGATTAACATGACCACGTGTTTCACTTAAAGACTGCAGTGTCTCGATTTATGACTGCTCTTAAAAGTAGTTGTAAAATCGAGTCCGGTCATATGATGACACGACATATAACCGCAATGACTTATGATGGACATTGCAGTCCCAACTGTGGTAATTTGCGACTTTATTTTTAACATGTTTTCAACCAAAACAAAACCCCCGCCATTGGTTAAGCTGGATTCACACTTACGACCCTATGATTCACTTAACAACTGCAACGACTCAACTTATGACCCCTGTAAAAAAATGGTTGTAAAATCTGGTCGTGTGACGACTCGACTTAACTACCACAATGACGGACGATGAAAATTCCAGTCCGCATTATGGTCGTAAGTCGAGGACCACCCGGATCAGATCAAGGAAAAAAATCAGAATTATCAATTCAGTGAATATTGAATTTAATATCGGTTTGTTTTTCAGAGGATTTTTCTCTTTGCATGTCCATCGCCTACGCGGGCGAACCGATCTGCGAATACTTGTTACCGGAAGGCGAATTTCTCATTACGTCGGTCCCAGCTCCGCTGAAAGACGCGGTCAATTGTATGAAACGTTTCGTTTTGCCGGCCCCAGTGAACATGGCCAATGCGCCGGTGATCATTCAGCGTCTGCTCAAGGAGTTGGAAAAAGGCATCATGGTGGCCAGTAACCACGAAGGGATCTTCATTCAATGCCGGGGCAAAGTATGCGTCTCGTGGTCGGGATTTTTGGTCCCCGAGGGCCAAGTCAAACTGGAGAATAACACTCACCAGCAGCTGTTCAAATCCCGGGAGTTTCGGTCAGGTGAGAACGAGGCAAAGTGAACAAAACAGCCCGTCAGTCCTGCACATGCGCACATGTGTCCCGCATGTGCCCCATCCATTACGCATCCCAAAAATCAGCTGGTCGGCGGGAGCCACACATGCGCAGTGCAGCTGAGCTGGGCAACGGCTCACGTGCCTGCAGAGAGGGCTCTGTGGCACGTGTGCCATAGGTTCGCCATCACAGAGCTAGTCCTTGACTTATAACCATCCACTTAGCCAACATTCGAAATTAACGAAATTGATTCAGACAGTACGCTCTTCACTAAGCGCTTATTGAACACAAAGAAAAAAGCAAAAAAAAAAAAAAAAATCAGATGCGGTCCTGTGGCGACTTAACTTAACGATCACAATCGTGGAAATTCAGGCCCTATCATTGCGGTCGTAAATCGAGGACTGTCCGTATCAGATTAAGGAAGAGGGGTGTCGTTCGTTGAATTGCTATCGCTGAACTTTCTGTCTCGGATTCACAGCTCTGGAGCAATACCAACGGGGCCTGGCTCCACTCCCGGATTCCCGGGTCATTCTCTACATCGGCGGTAAACTGGAAAGAAACGGACATATGGACTGCAACCCCATCGTCATTCAGGTGAGTAAAGGGGGAAATTGTTGTGGTCCGCCAGCGGCCAGCAGAGCTGGCAGCAGATTTGGACAGTGAGGAGGTTGGGGAGGAACATGGGACAGTCCTGGAGTCTGGGGAAGGCTCTGATGAGGGCTCTGCGTCGGAGGCAGAAATGCCGTATGCCAGTTATCAGCTGCCTTCGGAGTGAGACATCAGTGAGGCAGATGAGCAGCTGGAGCCTGTTCCCAGTGTGCGCAGAGTTTCCAGACGAAGGGAACAGTTTAAAGAACAAGGGTCGACTAGGGAGTAAGGCCACAGGTGGACGATGAATGGCCCCTCCCAGAGGGAATAAAAGAGGAGCGACAGGGGAGTGGAGTTTGCAGGAGACAATTAGTTCGGTTCGTGGCTCCTTGCCAAGTGTTGAAGATATCGGCCTGGCAGCTCTCCAAACCAGATAAGGTCTGTGACTATAAATTCTCCCTTGAAAGACTTTGCTGGATGTGAATGAGAGGAATTCACAGTAACTTAATAAAAAGGGATTTTTTTGTCGGGACAAGGAGTCTGCTTCACGCTCTGGGGAAGCTTAGGTCAGAACAAAAATATTTTGCCAAAAACGAAACTAAATTGGACCAAAAAAACCCACATTGGTCTATTTTTGTTTTGATTTTGTAAAAAATAAAAATAAAAAATTGGAGCGTGTATTTTAACTTTCTGAATAAAAATAAGATTTTTTGCTAATACACATGCACACACACATACAGACATGTGTGGTCCTCGACTTAAGACCATTTGTTGAGCGACAAAGTTTCAACGACACTGAAATAAGGGACGTGGCCATTTTTCACATTTCCAGCCTCCCCGTCTGAATCAAAATTCAGACACTCCTCCGCTGACTCGTATTGATGACGGTCGCAGTGTCCCCCTGAATCCCTGTTTGCGACAGTCGGGACAAACAACATCGATCGACGGGGGTAACCAGATCCAGTTTAACGACTGTGTTTTTCTAACTTGACAGCCGGAGGAAATTCACTTCACAACTCTGGCAAAAACGGTCGTAAAACAGGGCAAAAAACCCCCCTCACTTTACAACTATCTTGCCTAGCCGCAGAGATGTTGGGGCTCCATTGTGGTCGTAAGTCGAGGACTACCTGTATTGCACGTTGGCGTTGATGCGCCATGGACAGGGGGGTGGGGTTGCGTGATGTCGGAGCTGAGTGATGTTCGTTTTGATTGGTCGGTGGCCAGAGAAAACAACTCTGGAGTTTTTCGAACTCAAGATTGGAGTCTATGGTCCACAGAGGGAAACTCAAGAATTTTACGGACAGGGATTCCGAAACCAATGCCTGGTGGGTGGACAGGGCTGTGGAACATGGGAGCAAAAGACTTCCAAGGTTGTTGTGCTCTCTGGATCGCTTCTGGATTCCTGTATTCTGTATTTGGGGCCTGGATGAAGGGACATCCTCGATTTGGTTGTATTTCGGCCACCTTTTAGCTTACGAGAAGATGGGAAGTGGATGATGGTACTGCGTGGCTCCAATATCCCTTGGGTGGCATTGGGAAAGCGTAGAAAAGCATCCTGGGTTAATAGAAAGCTATTATGGGATGGGAATGGAGACAATAATCCTGGATAATCATGGAGAAACCAGATTCGTGTAGTGGTTTAGGTGTGCTGGTCTATAAACCAGGAGACGGTGAGTTCTAGTTTTGCCTCAAACATGAAACCCGGCTGGGTGACTTTGAGCAAATCACCAGGAGATGGTGAGTTCTAGTCCCACTATTGGCATGAAAGCCAGCTGGATGACCTTGAGCCAGTCATTACAACGAGACTGTAAGTTCTAGTCCCTCCTTAGGTATGAAAGCCGGGTGGGTGACTTAGGACCACTCACCAGGAGACTGGGAGTTCTAGTCCCTCCTAACGCATGAAAGCCAGGTGAATTCTAGTCCCACGTAAGGCATGAAAGCCGGCAGGTGACTTACGGTCAATCACCAGGAGATGGGGAGTTCTAGTCCCTCCTAACGCACGAAAGCCAGGTGGGTGACTTTGAGCCAATCACCCGGAGATTGGGAGTTCTAGTCCCTTCTAATGCATGAAAGCTGGCTGGGTGACTTAGGGCCAATCATCAGGAGACTGGGAGTTCTAGTCCCACTTTAGGCATGAGAGCTGGCTGGGTGACTCAGGGCCAATCACCAGGAGTCAGTGAGTTCTAGTCCCAGCTAAGGCATGAAAGCTGGCTGGGTGACTTAGGGCCAATCACCAGGAGACGGTGAGTTCTAGTCCCTCCTAACGCATGAAAGCCAGGTGGATGACTTTGATCCAATCACCAGGAGACTGGGAGTTCTAGTCCACTTTAGGCATGAGAGCCGGCTGGGTGACTCAGGGCAATCACCAGGAGACTGTCAGTTCTAGTCCCACCTAAGGCATGAAAGGCGGCTGGGTGACTTAGGGCCAATCACTAGGAGAATGGGAGTTCTAGTCCCTTCTAATGCATGAAAGCTGGCTGGGTGACTTAGGGCCAATCATCAGGAGACTGGGAGTTCTAGTCCCACTTTAGGCATGAGAGCTGGCTGGGTGACTCAGGGCCAATCACCAGGAGTCAGTGAGTTCTAGTCCCAGCTAAGGCATGAAAGCTGGCTGGGTGACTTAGGGCCAATCACCAGGAGACGGTGAGTTCTAGTCCCTCCTAACGCATGAAAGCCAGGTGGATGACTTTGATCCAATCACCAGGAGACTGGGAGTTCTAGTCCCACTTTAGGCATGAGAGCCGGCTGGGTGACTCAGGGCCAATCACCAGGAGACTGTCAGTTCTAGTCCCACCTAAGGCATGAAAGCCGGCTGGGTGACTTAGGGCCAATCACTAGGAGAATGGGAGTTCTAGTCCCACCTTAGCCATGAAAGCCAAATGGGTGACGTTGGGCCAGTCCCTTTCTCTGTCAGCCCAACCACCTCACAGTGTTGTTGTAGGGAAAATAAGACGAGTATTTACTAAATTCACTACCTCGAATTATTTGTAAAAACAATCAAGGCAGGGTACAAATCAATCAAGAAATAAAAATGTCGCCGACGAGAACAAACCAGGTTAAATCCAATAACTCCAACCGTTTCTTCGGTGTCTCCCCGAAAGTTTAACGAACCCTCCTTTTTTTTCTCCTTTCTATCTGCAATCCATCCAGATGGAACAGACTTTTGCTATCCGGCTGCATTCCTCCGGCTGCTCGCTGTAGTAGAGATCCTCGTTTCCTACCCCAGCGTGGTTTCCCTGGCCACCTTATCTGCAGAAACCACATCCTGAGAACACAAAGCTTTTGATTCCTGCTTTCTCCTGAGAAGAAACCAACATTGGTTTGGAGGCCAAATTTGGACGGGCTTGGAAGTGCTGCTTACTGGTGGCGTCCAAAGGAAAACACTAAAAAACGGCCAAAAAAAAAAAAAAGCGAATTTTGGGATCATCTTTTTATGTTTTGGAGATGAGGAGACGAACGTCCTTCCGTAGCCCGACCATCCTGCCGAATTCTGCATTTCCTGGCTGAGATACGGTGGAAAAAAAATGTCTTTTCTGCCATCTTCTGCAAAATTTATCTGTTGCTTCTTCCCCTTCCTGTATTGTCACTTTATACTGTTTGCACTTTACCTGACTCTAAAAGAAACCTAATCTGACAGACTTTTTACTGTGTTCTGAATTAATAAAACGTTAGTGAAAGTCGTGTTATAATCTGGTGTCTGATGGATGAATCTTCAAAACGGGGGTTATTTTGCGACTGAATTTACAGGTAGTTTTTCAGATTTACAGATTAACAGAGTTGGAACGGACCTTGTAAATCATCTAGTCCCGTGATAGCGAACCTATGGCACACGTGCCACAGCTGGCACGTGAGCCGTCGCCCAGCTCAATTATAATTCGCATGCGGTGCCCGCCCGCCGGCTGATTATCGGGATGCGCAGGGGGGTGGGGTGCATGTGGGGGGTGTGTGGAGAGGCGGGGGGGGGGGGGGGGGGGACCGGCGGGTGCGGGGGGGGGGGGGGGGGGGGGGGGTACGGCGCGACCCACCACGGCCAGTTTTTGGTCCCAGGGGGCTGCAGGGAGGCCTACTAGGCCCAAAACAGGGCCCTGGGGGGCAGCGCGACCCACGGCCAATTTTTGGTCCCAGGAGGCTGCAGGGAGGCCTACTAGGCCCAAAACGGGGCCTGGGGGGGCAGCACGACCCCCCACGGCCAGTGTTTGATCCCAGAAGACTGCAGAGAGGCCTACTAGGCCCAAAATGGGGCATGGGGGGTGCAGCGCTACCCCTCCATGGCCAGTTTTTGGTCCCAGGAGGCTGCAGGGAGGCCTACTAGGCCCAAAACGGGGTCCTGGGGGGCAGCGCGACCCACCACAGCCAGTTTTTGGTCTCAGGAGGCTGCAGGGAGGCCTACTAGGCCCAAAACGGGGCCTGGGGGGGGCAGCACGACCCCTCATGGCCAGTTTTTGGTAGGAGACTGCAGGGAGGCCTACTAGGCCCAAAATGGGGCACGGGAGGGGTTTAGCGCTACCCCTCCACGGCCAGTTTTTGGTCCCAGGAGGCTGCAGGGAGGCCTACTGGGCCCAAAATGGGGCACGAGGGGGTGCAGCGCTACCCCCCACAGCCAGTTTTTGGTCCTAGGAGGCTGTAGGGAGGCCTACTAGGCCCAAAACGGGGCGCAGGGTGGGTCGTGCACGCGTGCATGTTCTGTCGTGCCTCCCCGCGGCTGCTTTCAGCACACGCCGACAAAAACGTTACCCATCACTGATCTAGTCCAACCCGCCGCCCAAGCAAGAGACCCCCACACCATTTCTGACAAATGGCAGTCCAATCTCTTCTTGAAAGCCTCCAGGGATGAACTTCCCAAGTTGTGTTCTTGACTTACGACCGCCATTGAGCCCCAAAATTTCTGTGGTTAAGGGAGACATTCGTTCAGGGAGTTTTGCCTCATTTTACGACCTTTCTCGCCACAGTGAATCACCCCAGTCGATAACTTAGTAGCACGGTTGTTAAGCGAATCCGGCTTCCCCATCGGTTTTGCTGGTCCGAAGGCCGCAAAAGGGGATCACGTGACTCCAGGTCACTGCGACTGTCATAAACATGAGGCAGGTGCCAAGCATCTGAATTTTGATCATATGACCATAGGATGCTACCAAAGTCGTAAGGGTGAAAAACGGTCGTAAGTCACTTTTGTAACTTTGAATGGTCACTAAATGAACGGTTGTATCAACAGGACTAGCTGCATCCAGATGTACAATACCTGCACGAAGGTGGAATGGCCTAATCCAGGGATGGCTAACCTTTTTGCCGTTGCGTGCCAAAAGCGGGGGTCGCGCGGAGGGGGTCGCGCGCCTGCGTGCCCACATCCACAATTCAATGTGCCCCACCCCCCGCGCATGCATATGAGACCCCCCCCCTGTGTTCCCCCCTGGTTTTGGCACGCGATGGCCCAGTGGGCCCGGTAGACCCGTTTTTCGCCCTCCCCAGGCTCCAGAGGCTTTCTAGGAGTGAAAACGCAATGGCATGGTGGGCCCAGTAGGCCCGTTTTTCGCCCTCCCCAGGCTCCAGAGGCTTTCTAGGCGTGAAAATGGCCTTCCCCACCCCCTTGGAGACCCTCTGGAGGCCGGGAACGGCCCATTTGCCAATTTCCAGTGTGCCCAGAAAGCCCAAAAATCAATTAGCCTGCGCACTCATATGTGGTGTAGCTGAGCTAGGGCAATGCTCGTGTGCCCACCGATATGGCTCCGTGTGCCACCTCTGGCATAGGTTCGCCATCACGGGCCTAATCCATACGAAATCTGGGAATACCATGGATTTACACGTTTTGACAAAAGAAAATGTCTTTTATTTTGATTTTGACGGCATTACATCATTATACATCATACATGGTACATTATACCCCAGGGAGCAGCTTGGAATTACTCAAGATCCTGATAATAATTTTCATTTTTTTTCTCTCTCTCTCCAGCTCCTTCCAGTCAGTATTTTGTTGTTGTTTTTATTTAAAATGTTTCTAGGAAGGCAACAGTTTTAAGAACATCGTCAGTCTTCCTAAAGTGCTGGTGTTGTTATGGAAGGAAGGAATTAAGAGACATCCCTTCGGGGCAAACAGTCAGTTTATTATTGCAATAAGGTTCAGATAGGTATTGCTACCTCAAAATCTGAGCAAAGTAATGAACATGAGATTCCAGGTTTATACAGTTCCAAACAAAGGATTCTGCTAACACAGCAATTGATGTGGTCATATACATTTGTTATATATATATATATATTTAATTTGATTTATATGCCGCCCTTCTCCGAAGACTCAGGGCGGCTTACAATGTGCTCAGCAATAGTTTAATTGACATTTCCTAATTACTAAGTTTCATATTATTCTTTGCCAACAGTCATAATTCTTCTTGTAAATCACTGAAGCATAGATTCAAATTATCTCTTGTTGATATTACATGTGGTCATCCTTTGATCTGTTTTAACCTTCAAACAAATATCTCTATCTCTGATAACTGAGAGGCCCTTCTTTTGAATGTTTCTACTTCAAAGGAATTCTCTGCCTTTCAACTGGATAATTGGCTTCCCTTAAACAAGCACATTTCCTTTCCTACAATACTATGAATAAAGAGGGCCCTTCAGTGATCATCCAGCTGGACCCGCTTACCTACATTAGTGTTATGGAAGGAAAGACTGAAAAACATTCCTGGGTCAGCCAGATACAGTTTATTGCGCAGGTTCAGAGCCAGATTTGTACCTGAAATTCTGAACCCCGGAAAGCTCTGATACAACTGCTTATATATGTTTCCAAGACAAAGAGTTTGGTGAGCACATGCATTTTTCCATATATGGTTAACATACACTTGTTATATGATAATTGACACTTCCTAATTACTAAACCATTATTTTCTAGTTGATAAGATTATCTTTAGCTAGACAACCTTCCTTAGTTCTGTAATTACTAATACGGGAGATTTATTGCTGTCCTTAGGTAATAAGTAACTCTTTGTAACATACATGTCCTTGTGTCTTTGACAGTGAGGCCACTCAGATGTTTTCCATATGACTGTCCTTCCGTGACAGCTAGGCCTCATCAGAAGATATATTACCAATAGTGGGATTTAGCTGATTTTTAATATAATCTCCAAACAAGCACATTTCTCCCTTATAATAATATGAATAGAGAGGGTCCTTTAGTGTTCATGTAACTGACCCTGTATGATTTTTACTTTATTCACATTACTGGTAATCAGTCATGTTGGAACTCGTAATCTTTTCTCACATTTTTTTTTTGTGTTTTTTTTTTTTCTGAATATGATTTGTCACCAAAAGAGGAAACTCAAAAAAAAAAAAAGTTGACTCATTTTAAAACTTGAGACTTTTCTCAAGTTTTCAGGAAGTGGCACAAAGGCATCGTTTTTCCAGTTAAAAACAGAAATGCTGCAAGATTTCTTGTTAATTAATGAACAATGTTGTTTATTTTCAAATTTTTAGGGGCTTGCCCTAAAAATGAGCTGGTAAATCGTTCAGTTCCCGGGAAGCAATTTTTTAAACCTATATTTCGTGAATTGGTGGCAGAGCTGGGAATTGTTCTTAGCAGCCGAACAATCAGATCGTGGTAGTTTCTTGCATTTTCAGCTGACGATTTGCAGAATAACAAGAGTTGGAAGGCACCTTGGAGATCTTCTAGCCCAACCCCCTGCTCAGCAGGAAACCCTATGCCAGTGATGGCTAACCTTTTTGCCGTCGCGTGCCAAAAGCGGGGGTCGCGCGGGTGTCACACATGCTCATGCCCATACCCATAATTTAATGTGCCCCGCCCCACATGCGCTCCCCCCGCTTTTGGAACATGATGGCACGGTGGGCCCAGTAGGCCTGTTTTTTGTCCTCCCTGGGCTCCAGGGGCTTTCTTGGAGCCTGGGGTGGGCAAAAACAGCCTTCCCCCCCTCCAGAGGCCCTCTGGAGGCCGGAAACAGCTCGTTTCCCGACTTCTTGTGGGACCAGAAGGCCTGTTTTTTGTCCTCCCCAGGCTCCAGAGCCTTTCTAGGAGCCTGGAGAGGGTGAAAATGGCTTTCCCCACCCGTCTGGAGGCCGGAAATGGCCCGTTTCCTAACTTCTGGTGGGCCCGGAAGGCCCAAAAATCATCTGGCCAGTGTGATAGATAGATAGATAATAGATAGATAGATAGATAGATAGATAGATAGATAGATAGATAGATGGATGGATGGATGGATGGATGGATGGATGGATGGATGGATGGATGGATGGATGGATGGATGGAGCGAGAGAGAGACAATAGGTAGATGATGGATGGAAATAGATAGATAGATGATAGATAGATAGATAGATAGATAGACAATAGGTAGAAGATGGATGGATGGATGGATGGATGGATGGATGGAGATAGATTGATAGATAGATAGATGATAGATAGATAGATACCCTGTTTCCCCGAAAACAAGACCTCCCCTGATAATAAGCCCAATTGGGCTTTTGAGCGCATGCGCTAAAATAAGCCTCCCCCTGAAAATAAGCCCTCCCCGAAAATATTCAAATGCAGAGCTGGAAATCAGGTAAGACGGCAAGAGGAGCCCCATCTTGCTTCACACGCCCCAAAATAACAAGATCTTCCCCAAAATAAGGCCAAGTGCTTATTTCAGGGTTCAAAAAAATATAAGACAGGGTCTTCTTTCCGGGAAAATACGGTAGATGGATGGATGGATGCATGGATGGATAGAGAGGGAGAGATAGAGAGATGATAGACAGACAGACAGACAGACAGACAGACAGACATAGATAGATAGATAGATAGATAGATAGATAGATAGATAGATAGATAGATAGAAAGAAAAATATAGATAATCTCAGATCTAACGAATGCTTATAGGGAACAATTTCTTATATTATGCATCTGAGATCAAATGCACTTGCTTTCAACCACAGGTATAAAAACGCTAGAAACTTTTGCTTGTAGATACTTGCTGTAGGAATAAACCCCAAGAGACTTATTCTGCAGAATTAAATTGATTTTATCTCACCCTTGGTGCGTGATTAATTGGGCTAACACCGCCAGGCAAGCCTCCCTTCCCCCCCCAGTTTTTTGGCTTCAATCACTGAAAATAGCATGGCTAGCAACTCCGAAACCAAGCGTGCCCAGTAAGGTTACGAGATGATATCAGCCTTAATATTCATAGTTCAAAGTTCCATTTCCAGGCAGGTGGTGACAGGTGGGATCGCCAGGGTGACAGGTCAGGTTGTCCTCCCGGGGTTGCTAGGCAACCTATCCTCCCTAATTATTTTCCCTTTGATCCCTGCAAATCCACCGGAAGATTAAAAACTTATTTAAAGATGGCCTTGGCCAAAGCATTCCTGAGGTATTGCTCAGTGGCAGTGTAAAGCACTGGGAAAATGAGCCCATAAAATGAGCATAAATGAGCCCAAATCAACCTGTAAAATAAATGCAAATTAATTGTAGGAATAAATAAACTAAAAAGAAACCTGGCTACGAATAAAAACATTTCGCGATTTTGTTCCAGCTAGTGACGCTTCCGTCTCTGCAAAATTAATGCAGTGATGATTGCAAAGAAAGGCAGAAACGTTGTTTCTTCCTATTTCCCCAAATTTGGGATCTTTTTCAGTTGGGTTGGACTACAACTCCCGTCAAACAGGACGATGGGACATGTCATATAGAGTCTGTTTAGGAAGGGCCAGGATCGAAATGGCGGAGTTGCCATTTCTCTTTGCTCTGACGGGGACCAAAAGTGGCGGGAAATGGGTTTTGAACCCGTTCCGTTTTATTTTATTGATTGTCTTAATTTAGGTATCAAATTTAGGGACTGGCCCAGGTCACGTGCCGAGCAACGGTTTTTAACCTCACGACGGCCTTGTAAGGTAGGCCTTGGTATCTATTGCGAATTATTCTATTCTCACGATACCTTGTCCAGTGGGTAAACAGATGGGAGTTATTGTTGTATCTTTATTTTTTATTCGTTTTATTGCAATTTTTCTTTCTTGCGAGCTGCCCAGGGTCATTGAGAATTTGATGGCAAGTTTATTTAAGTAAGTAATCATAACAAGAGACGTGTGACATTAAGAGTCACATTAACTGGGCTAGAAAAGGTGATGGTGAGTTCTAGCCCTTTCTCATCCATGAAAGCCAGCTGGGTGACTTTGGGACCAGGAGTCAGTGAGTTCTAGTCCATCTTAACCCATGAAAGCACCTGCATAACTTGGGCCAATCACTGGAGATGGTGTGGTTCTAGTCCTTTCTCCTCCATGAAAGCCAGCTGGGTGACTTTGGGACCAGGAGTCAGTGAGTTCTAGTCCCATCTTAGCCCATGAAAGCCACCTGCATAACTTTGGGCCAATCACTAGGAGATGGTGAGTTTCTAGTCCTTTCTCATCTTGAAAGCCCTGGGTGATTTGGGACCAGGAGTCAGTGAGTTCTAGTCCCATCTTAGCCCATGAAAGCCACCTGCATCACTTTGGGCCAATCACCAGACGATGGAGACTTATAGTTTTCTCTTAGCCATGAAAGCCACCTGGGTGACTTTGGGCAATCACCAGGAGTCGGTGAGTTCTTGTCCCATCTTAGCCATCTTAAAAGCCCTCTGTGTAACTTTGAGCCAATCTCAGGTGACTGAGAGTTCTAGCCTTAGCCATGAAAGCTACCAGGATGACTTTGGGCCAATCACCAGGGATGGAGTCGGTGAGTTCTAGTCCCATCTTAGCCCATGAAAGCCACCTGGGTGACTTTGGGCCAGTCACCAGGAGACGGTGAGTTCTAGTTCTTTCTCAACCATGAAAGCCACCTGAGTGACTTTGGGCCAATCACCAGGCGAATGAGAGTTCTAGTCCCATCTTAGCCCATGAAAGCCAGCTGGGTGACTTTGGGCCAATCACCAGGAGATGGTGAGTTCTAGTTCTTTCTCATCCATGAAAGCCAGCTAGGTGACTTTTGGCCAATCACCAGGCGACTGAGAGTTCTAGTTTTTTCTTAGCCCATGAAAGAAAGCCAGCTGGGTGACTTTGGGCCAATCACCAGCAGACTCAGTGACTTTGGGCCAGTCTTTCTCTCTCAGTCCAGCCCACCTCACAGGGATGTTGTTGTTGTTGTTGTTGTGGGGAAGATAGGAAAAGGAAAGAGTATTAGGCATGTTGGCCACCTTGAATGGTTTATGTATTATATTTAATTTAATTTAATTTAATTTATCAAATTTCTATGCCGCCCAAGGGACTATTTATATATTATACCATGTTTCCCCAAAAATAAGACCCGGTCTTATAGTTTTGGGGGGCTCCAAAACCTGCATTAGGTTAGGACTTATTGTCAGGGAAACACAATATATATTATTTTTATTTAAAAAAATAATAAAGGCCGGATATTAATTAATTAACCTCTGGGATGAAATACACCCCCTAGGGAAAATGGGTGGGGCAAAATCACTGTGTGTTGTGATTGGATGGTTTTCCTCCCAAACTCTTTCGTCTGATTGGTCAAGCTTAGCAAGTGGGTGGGTCAACCAGCCTTGGGGAAAAAAACCTGGGCGAAAAAAAAGACTGAATGGCATTTATACTATCGGAGAACCGAAGAGATGAGATTTGATTGGGCTACCTCTCCCGAGAGAGCCTTCTTATTGGTCCACCCTCCCAAAAGATGCCGGGATGACAGCAGGTATTGGGCTCCATCCAATCAGGGCTACTCAATTGTCCACAGAGCGGTGGCGGGGGGGAGGGAAGAGCAGAAGAGAGAATACAGAGATGTGATTGGTTGGAATTAGAGAACTAACGTCTGTCTCCGAGCTGGAAGAAAAGTTTCCCTTCATCTGTTTCTCCATGCCGGGATTGGCTGAGCCATTAAAGGAGGGAGAGGTTCTTATTGGTCAGAGCTTTGGAAAGCAGCAGGGATTGGTCCAAAGCTATTCTTTTAAAGGCAAAACTGACACCTGTTTCATTTGATGTCTAAGATACACTGAGGGAATGTAGAGGCTTTATTTACAAGAATTAATTGGAATCTAATCCTTCTCCTCTCTTAATTCCAATTAATTCCTTAATTACTTTTTTTTTTAAAAAACCTACTCACCAACTAGGTTCCCCATTTTGGGAATAGCTCAACTCTTTCCATGCCTCCTTTTATTCATTTTTCCATCTCGGTTCTCAATAATTGCAATAATTAACAATTTGGATCAAAAGCTCCAAATTTATTGGTTTTACTCCAGTTAAAACAGCCTAATAATTCATTGTTAGGCACTAATTAAGCCTCTCGTTAATTGTCTTTTTTTTTTTTTGGTGGAAACTGTCTTTTCCGTTTTTGAACTTTTGAACCGCAAATTTTTTTTTTTTTTTAAATTTTTTTTTTTTAATTTTGAATTTGGGGCTTCTATTAATCTGGGTTTTTTTTTCCCCCAGCTCAATAATTTGTCCCTTATTAATTAGCTTTGTTCAATTGCTGTTAATTAATTGTTCTCAAATTACTCCATTCCTTTTACCAACACTGTAATTCTTAATATTCTATCCTCATTTACTTCTTACAATTAATATAATAAGATTTATTTTAATGCTATCAATTGGGCTTCAGTTATCCATTCTCATACAATAGTTAGTTGCCTTCTTTGGCTATTTTAATTAATACGGTCACCAACAGAGGCAGAAACTTCTCTCAGTAAATTCTGCTTATTCTTCATAGCCCTTTTAATTTAAAAGCGTTGTTTTAAAAAAACCTCTATAACTCCATAACTTTACATCTTTTAAATCTTGATGTAAAGTCTTAATTCACAATGAAATAATAACTTAATTCACAATAAAAAAAATACTCCTGCCTTCAATTTGATGCCATCTCAAATCAAACCTTTGAGATGACTTGATTTCTGAGTTCAAAAAAAACTTCAGTATATCTGCCTCTTAATCGATTTGTATAAACACACAAATAAAATAATACAATATATAGCTGTCTTGTCTGGAAAAAAGGGCCGCTCTTTAGAAGAAAGCATAAACATCCATCCATTTTAATTTTTTTTTACAATTTCTAAAAGTTTTTCTTCCTCTTATTCTTTAAAAAAAAACAAAAAAAACCACCGATTCCATCATGTTTTACTATCCCAATGTTCTGCAACGCCATACCGGATGCTTCGCTACAATTTGGTAATTTGCCTTTGTTGGAAATTCAGACGTTTGGGTGTAGTACAACAGGGTGGCACATGGGTATAACCCACTCCACCGATTGACCATGTCATATGTCCAACAGGTTGGCAGCGACTGGAGCTTCAAAACTCCTAAAACGGGAATACCTGAAGGTCAACGTTCCCCAAACATGGTGAGTGAGAGTTGAATTCCCTTAAAAAAAGAGGAATTGAGATCTGCTGGATGGATGAAGTATTTTTTGTTATTATTATTATAGGTCATCCAGGAACGTACGCCCACAATCGAGCCTCAAATTTTTGTTGCCAAGAGAAACAGTTGTTAAGTGAATTTTGCTCCATTTTACGACTTTTCTTGCCACGGTTGTTAAGTGAATCATTGCAGTGGTTAAATGAGTAACACGGTTACTTAAGTGAATCTGGCTTCCCTCCCCCCGCCTTGACATTGCTTGTCAGATGGTCCCAAAAGTAGATCATATGATCCAGTGGTGAAATCCAGTTTTTTTTACTACTGGTTCTTTGGGTGTGGCTTGGTGGGTGTGGCTTGGTGGGCGTGGCAGGGGAAGGATACTGCAAAATCTCCATTCCCACCCCACTCTGGGGCCAGCCAGAGGTGGTATTTGCCGGTTCTCCGAACTGCTCAAAATTCAGATGCTACTGGTTCTCCAGAACCTGTCAGAACCTGCTGGATTTCACCCCTGATATGATCCTGGGACATTGCAAACCGTCATAAATATGAATCAGTTTGGCAAGCATCCAAATGTTGGTCGCATGACCATGGCGATGCTGCAACGGTCATTAAGTGTGAAAAACTTACTGGTCATAAGTCATTTTTTTTTAAAGTGATATTTGTAACTTTGAATCGTCACTAAATGAGCTGTTGTAAGTTAAGGACTACCTATAATTATTACTATTCCTTTTGAAGAGGACGGGTTCAGTATATAAGCGGTCCTCGACTTAACGACCACAACCGTCCCCAAATTTTCCATTGCTGAGCAAAGCAGTCGTTAAATTGAGCTGCGTCCCATTTTGCGATCTTTTTTTTTTTGCCGCCGTTGTTGAGTGAGTCGCTGCAGTTGTTAAGCGAATCATGCCGTTTTCAGTGTAAGCTGGGTTCCCTCATTGACTTTGCTTGTTGGACACCAGCTCAGAAGATTATGAATGGTGATCTATGTGTCATATAATATAGGTGGGCATACGCATAATTTTGTATTTATTTATCTATTATCTTGTCGTGTTTATGCAGTATATATTGGAGGTGGTGATCCTTTGAAAGCTGGCACAACTAAAATTTCATTTAAATGTATGCTGATTAGTGTACATTTAAAGTGACAATAAAATTATTCTATCTATCTATCTATCTATCTTTCTATCTCCCTATCTATCTATAATTTATCTATCTCTATCTCTCTTTCTATCATCTATCATCTATCTGTATCTATCCATCTGTCCATCTATCCATCCATCCATCACATGACCCTGGGACACTGCAACTGTCCTAAGTACATACCAATTACCAAGTGCCTAAATTTTGAAGTGTGACAGTACTAAGTCTCTTTTTTCAGGGCCATTGTAACTGTTGTGACTTAGGCTCACTTAGTCATTACAGGACACAATTAGTCTCAAACAAAACTATTTTATTATAACAGCTGAGAATTACTTCATTCTCAGCTGAGTCCAAATTAATTCCAAAACAAGTCCTTCAGAAAAAGTCCTTTGGGCTTATCACAAACCTTTATCTTCTTTGGCACCCTGCCAACGGCCTTTCTTGGCAAAGCCCCACAAGTTCAGAAACAAGAGATGCCGACTGGAAACAGATTTAGCAACGTTGCTTTCCTACAAAGAGCCCAAGAGCCTTTGCTGCTCTTTTAAGCCTTATAGGAAGGGCCAATCATCACCTGGCCTTACTCCCGAGTCGTCCCTTTTGCTTTAGCTGCTCTTGCCTTCTGGCAGCTCTGCGGATGTGTCCACTAGGAACAGGCTCCTCCTATTCCTCTGCCTCTCTGCTGTCCGACTCTGGAGGCTCCGGAGTCCACGCATCGCTCCCAGATGACCCCTGCTCCCATCTCTGCCTCCGACGCAGAGCCCTCGTCTGGGCCTTCCCCAAACTCCAGGACTGGCCCATGTTCCTCCCCGGCCTCCTCACTGTCTGACTCCGCTGCCAGCTCCGCGGGCTGCTGGCGGACCACAACAGTAACTTCGAAAGGTCACTAAATGAACGGTTATAAATTGAGGACTACCTGTATTGGGGGATCCAATCTGGATCGGTCACCAGGACCAGACGTTTAGTTTTCCGAGCTTTCGGACATGTGCTGCAACCCATCCTCAGGGAACTTGTCTCTCTCACAAGAATGTGTGCTTTGGGCTACTCGATGTGTTAGTATTTAGGTTGTGTGTGGTTTTTTTAGTTGTTGATTGGCTTGTTGGTGGGCAGTTATTAGACGGGCCTGGTAGCTCAGCAGACTAAAAGCATTGTGATTAACACCAGCTGTCTGCAATTACTGTAAGTTCGAATCTCACCAGGCTCAAGGTTGACTCAGCCTTCCATCCTTTCTAAGGTAGGTTAAATGAGGACCCAGTTTGTGGGGGCAATAAGCTGACTTTGTATAAATATACAAAAGGATGAAGGCTATTGCTTAACACATTGTAAGCCGCCCTGAGCCTCCGGAGAAGGAGGGCATATAAATCAAATTTAAAAAAAAAAAAAAGTCATTGTGTTGCCAAGTCCTCGGCTCCTAAGTACTTGGTAAACTGGTGGTAAATCAGCACTCCTGTTGATTGACAAGGGACCCGTTTCCCAGGTTTCAATCATTTTCCAGGCTGTTTTTGTCCCTGCTCGGCCAACAATCTGAATAGCTGCGAAACTGAATGCATGTCCTTGTTCATGGCAAAGTGAAGCTACCAATGAGTTCATGTCTTCTTTTCTCAATTGTCTTCTTTCAGTTGGGTGGTTAGCTTTCTCCCCATGTAGAATAGAATAACAGAGGTGGAAGGGACCTTCGAGGTCTTCTAGTCCAACCCCCTGCTTAAGCAGGAAACCCTACACCACTTCAGACAAAGAGTTATCCAACATCTTCTTAAAAACTTCCAGTGTTGGAGCATTCACAACCTCTGGAGGCAAGTTGATCCACTGATTAATTGTTCTCACTGTCAGGAAATTTCTTCTTAGTTCTAGGCTAGTCATAGGGGCAATCCATGCAAGGGATCTGGTAGATTACACTGAAAGTATCTCCCACCTCCAAGCGATTGTTGCGATGCAGGATTTGTCCACTACCTCTCGGCAGGATGCGATGCCCACTTGCAGATCTCGGAAGCTGCGTTCTACTGCCTCCGAAATGTTTTCTGATGTATGTAAATGTATTTACTAGCTGTGTTTCCTTTTCTTGACAGCGACGAGATCCTGGCTTACATCCTGGTCCGTGTCCCACCACCAGTTCCTGGAGCACCCCGGCCAAGATTCTCTCTCTACCTCTCTGCTCAGCTGCAATATGGCGTGATCTTGGTTTACAGTCGCCAATGTCAATATCTCGTCGGTAGGATTCCAGCTGTCCCTTTTTGTTCCTTCCCAACAACAGCAATGCAGCTCACCAGCTCAACCCCCCTGCAACTCAGACTAACCCGAGCACAACCAAGCCCCCACCTAAACAGAAGACACCCCCATCCAATCAGAGCACAGCCAACCCCCCATCCAATCAGAGCACAGCCAAACCCCCAACCGATCAGAACACAGCCAAGCTCCCACCCAATCAGTTCACACTACCCCTGGCAGTTGAAAGGAAGAAACAGCTGTGATCACACACATTGCTCCTAGAAGCACAAAGCCGAGAACACCAGCCTGAAGATGATGAATGAGACTTCGTCGAAACGTTGCCAAGACACCTCCAATTTTACGTGGGAGAAAACCCGAATAACCAAAGACCTACATACAAACACCCGCGAAAACCTCAGAAAACAAACAAACATATATATATATATATATCTCAAACGTTTGGATTAAGAAAGTGTAAAATATTGTTTGGAAGTCTGGGGGATTTCCCTTGTTCTGAATTTTATTTTTCTCTCTCTCTCTCTTTTCAGAGGAAATCCAACTCACCTTGGAACGCCTGAGCCGAGCCCACCAACAAATAAGGATCGATATGACCGATCTTGAACAGTGAGCGATTGTGATCTTCCCGGATTTAAAAGGCCTGTGTGTGTTTTTTTTTTTTTTTCAAAGATTCCTTTGACAATTCTTTCTGTTCTTCCCAATTCCAGACCAGGTCTCCTCCTTCCCGACCAACTGGCGCTCATGGAAACTCTGGAGGAAGCCCCCGATCCCTTTTTCGGCATGATGGAACCTCTGCTGCCCAGCCCTTTTTCGATCCCACATGTAAGATCCATTTTTTGGGGCTGTGGGGGTGTGGGAGAGAGGTGCTGGTGCTAATTCTCCCCACCCTGATGGTGGAGCACTCAGATTTTGCGACAGAGGGTCGTAAGGGTGAGGACCAGCGCTGTCGTAACTTTGAACGGTTGCTAAACCGGTGGTTGTAAGTCAAAGGACGACCTTGCCTTGCCACAGTTCGTTTAGTGACCGTTCAAAGTTACAACGGCACTGGAAAAAAATGACCGCTTTTTTCACATAGATATTTTATTTTCTAGCATAACTTGCAATGGCGGGCTTTCCTTGTGGTGTCCCATCCTTACTACATATGTCTGGCTCTGGTTAACTCAGCCAAGATCATCCAGTTGGTCCTACCTTGAACTGCCAAAATTCCCACTTGGAACACATGAATCCAATTCCTGGCACAATATCAGAATAGGATAGGGTAGGGTAGGGTGGGATGGGATGGGATGGGATGGGATGGGATGGGATGGGATGGAATGGAATGGAATGGAATGGAATAGAAAATATGGAATGGAATAGAATAGAATAGAATAGAATAGAATAGAATAGAATAGAATAGAATAGAATAGAATAGAATATAAAAATCGAATCGAATAGAATAAGGAAAGAATAGAATAGAATAGAAATAGAATAGAAAAATAGAATAGAATAATAGAATAGAATAGAATAGAATAATAGAATAGAATAGAATAGAATAGAATAGAATAATAGAATAGAATAAGGAAAGAATAGAATAGAATAGGAATAGAATAGAAAAACAGAATAGAATAATAGAATAGAATAATAGAATAGAATAGAATAATAAAGTAGAATATAAAAATAGAATAGAATAAGGAAACAATAGAATAGAATAGAATAGAATAGAATAGAATAATAGAATAGAATAGAATAGAATAATAAAGTAGAATATAAAAATAGAATAGAATAAGGAAAGAATAGAATAGAATAGAAATAGAATAGAAAAATAGAATAAAATAGAACAGAATAATAGAATAGAATAATAAAATAGAATATAAAAATAGTATAGAATAAGGAAAGAATAGAATAGAATAGAATAACAGAGTTGGAAGGGACCTTGGAGGACTTCTAGTCCATCCCCTACTCTGGAAGGGAAGTGAACCCTATACCATCTTCTTCTTTCCCCAGGTCCGAGACCTCTTGGAGGCCCCAACTCCTGAAAGAAGCCCTCTGGAACTGTCCCCTCCCTCTCTCCGGCCTCGAAGGACAGGTGAGGCCGAAACTCAGGACTGCAGTTTCGGGTAGAAAAAGCCTCTTCTCTCTCCTCAGGCGAACATTTGCGTCGCTTAACCACGAGGCAGGTTTGCCTTTCGGGATGACTATCAACCCACAAATGCAAATCCTGACAACCGCTTTTCGTTGTGGGAGGATGTGGTGACTCTCACCTTGTTTTTGCAGCCCTCGGCCTCTGCTTAAAATTGAAACTGGCCAGAAGTTATGAACGCAAGTGTGAAACGTTCCTCACACCACCTGTTTTGACTGCAGCTTTCAAAGCATTGTAAGAAGACGTGATGTCTATGGAGATTCTCGGTCATTTGGGTTACGGTTGTGACAAAGGTGTTGTTAGGTGTTGTTTTTTTTTAAACACCTCAGCTGGATTGTCTTTGTTTTGTTTTGTTTTTTTTCCTTGAAGACGTTTCGCTTCTCATCCAAGAAGCTTCTTCAGTTCTGACTGGAGGATGGAAGGATTTATATTCCTTGCAGTCATCTGGTTGTTAGTACTCCCTCTGAGAGTCATTGAGGCCACTTGGAGGTTTATCTGTACCCTCCGGGTCCCCTGAATCAGAATGCAAATATGCATGTCTACCTCCAAATTAGACTGTGTATTGTTTCTCTGTGTCATATAATATCTGTGCATAATTTTGATTTGATTGATTGACTGATTGATTTTGTCATGTTTATGTAGTGTATATAGGGGTGGGCTGCTGGGGGTTCGGGAGAACCTCTAGCTACGATTCTGTGCAATTCGGAGAACCCCCAAATCCCACTCTTGGCTGGCCCCGTCCATCCCACCCCGCCCCTCCCAGGAGTCCCTAAACTGCCCGTTTTGGATGCAGGTAAGTGCAGGGCACGCACGGAGGCTTGGGGAGGGCGGAAAATGGGCCTACTGGAAGTTTGGGAAGGCCAGAAAAAGGCCCGTTTCCAGCCTCCAGACGGCCTCCGGAGCCTGGGGAGGCCGTTTTCGCCCTCCCAGAAGCTCGAGGAAAGCCTCCGAAACCCGGGGAGGGCAGAGAAGCCCTTTCTAAAATTTTTGAAGCCCACCCCTGAGTGTATATTGGAGGGGGTGACCCTTTGAGAGCTGCCTGCAACGAAATTTCATTTTAATGTACGCCAAGGAGTGGACATTCTGTTATGGAATGATGGGACCAAACAACATTCCCGGGTCAGCCAGAGACAGTTTTATTGCGCAGTTTCAGAATCAGATTTGTATCCGCAATTCTGAACAAAGGAAGAGCTCTGATACAACTGCTTTTATCCATCTCCAAGACAAAGGATTTTGCGAGCACAGCCGTTTTCCATATATGGTTAACATACATTTGTTACATTATAATTGACACTTTCTAATTACTAAATTCTTTCATTATTTTCTAGTTCACGAGATTATCTTAGCTAAACAACCTTCCTCAGTTCTGTGATTGCTGATGCGTAGATTCATGACTGCTTTTGGATAATAATTAACTTTCTGTTTCAGATGGATGTCTCTGCATCCTTCACAGATAGGCCCCTCGGGAGATATATATTACATATGGATGTCCTTGCATCCTTGACAGCTAGGCCTCTCAGAAGATATATATCACCAAGAATGGAATTTTAGCTGACCTAGTGTAATTTCTAAACAAGCACATTTCTTTCTTTATAATAATGTGAATAAAGAGGGCCCTTCAGTGTTCATATAGCTGACCCTGTACTATTCCTACATCATTCACATTAATTCAAAGTGACAATAAAGTTATTCTCTTAAGTGGGTGAGGACCTTTCTTGGAACTGCTGAAAGGACTGTGTTGTAAACAGGAGATAGATGGTGTTATCACACACACACCAACACTCTCGGTTGAGAGAGGCGTTTGAAAGAGAGGTCGAAGAGGCCATCTGCTTTAAAACTGAGCAGCCCTCTCTTAACAGAGGCGGAAGGATACGATAACATCTATCTCCTGTTTACAACACAGTTCTTTCAGCTCCACACCCATTGGCACTACTCAGGTGTCCCTGGGGCAGAGATAAGCGCTCCATGGCATAGGACCTAGTTATCTCCGAGACCGCCTTCTGCCACCAATGACCTCCCATCGACCCATGCGCTCCCACAGAGAGGGCCTCCTCGGGGTGCCATCAGCCAAGCAATGCAGGCTGGTGGCCCCCAGGGGGAGGGCCTTCTCTGTGGGGGCACCCACCCTCTGGAATCAGCTGCCCCCAGAGATAAGGAGAATCCAAGACCTCCATGCCTTCCGCCGTGCCTTTAAAACTTTCCTTTTCCAACAAGCCGGGCTGGCCTAACAAATCCTTTTAAATGATTTTAAATTTGTATGTTTTTTTAAATTCTTGGCCAAATTGAGATATTTCCTTTTAATCTGTTCTTAATGTTTATATTATGTGTTTTTATCTGGCTGTACACCGCCCTGAGTTCCCAGGAAGAAGGGCGGTATATAAATTTGAAGTAAAATAAAAAAATAAAAAATAAAATAAACCTCGAAGTAGCCTCAACAACCCTCAGAGAGAGTACTAAGATGACTGCAAGGAATATAAATCCTTCCATTCCTCACCATTCAGCCAGAACTGAAGAAGCTTCTCGGATGAGAAGCAAAACGCCTTCGATGGAAAAACACAGAAAGCCCAGTTGCCTTTTCAAACAAGCAACTCGGGGAGAGGAGGACGTGAGCTTTGCAGGAATTAAGGTGTAGGGGGCCGTTGTTGTGTGACCCAAACCCTCCTTGTTTTGGAGATCGAAAAATAGGCTGCCCTCCTCTCTGTTTTTTGCATATTTTTTTTTTTCTCTGCAGCTTTCTGGCTGCGCCGTTTCAAACTTGCCAACAGCTAGCCCCGATTTTTAACAATGATTCATTCGATTTGCACAAAGCCGCCTCTTTCTTCCGTTTGATAATCGCTTGCTTGAATGCCGCTGTGCCTCTGCAGCTGTGGACCAGCCGTTAGACAGAAATAATAATTCCCTTCGTTGCCCTGTAATCGTTTGCAGCAAAAAATTAAAAACGAAACAGAACAGAATCCTGGGACTCATTAAAAACAAACAACGCGTGTTCCTGTGCCATGAATTCAAAACAACTCTTCCTTGCGAATTCCCTGGCTTTGCAAGGCCAATTCTTTATTTTTCCATTGAGATAGTCCTCGATGTATGACCACAACCGAGCCCAAAATGTCTGCTGCTAAGTGAAACATTGGTTAAATGAGCCGAGCCCCATTTTTCGACCTTTCTTGCCAGCGTTGTTAAGTGAATGACTGCATTTTTTTTTTAAAGTTAGCCACAGGGCTGTTAAGTGAATCCGGCTTCCCCATTGACTGTGCTTGTCAGAAGGTCGCAAAAGGTTGACTTCAGGACATTGCAATCGTCATAAATTTGAGTCAGTTGCCAGGTGTCTGAATTTTGATCACGTGGCCATAGGTCGTAACTGTGTAAAAAACAGTCCCTGTTGTAACTTTGAATCAGGGGTGAAATGCTCCCGGTTCGGACCGGATCACTTGATCCGGTAGCGATGGAGGCGGGTGGTTCGGAGAACCGGTAGCAAAAATCCCTGTGCCCCCCCCCATGCCGAGCTGAGCCGCACGATCATCAGAGGCTTTTTTTTTTTTACTTTTAAAAGCATTTTTTCTACAACCTCTTCTGACGAAAAAATGCTTTTAAAAGTAAAAAAAAAAAGCCTCTGATGATCGCGCGGCTCAGCTGGGATCATCAGAGGCTTTTCAAAGCATTTTTTTCTGCAACCTCTTGGCCGAAGAGGTGGTAAAAAAAACGCTTTGAAAAGTCTCCGACGATCCCAGCTGAGTTGCCTGATCGCCAGAGGCTTTTCAAAGCATTAGAAAAAAATGCTTTGGAAAGTTAAAAAAAAAAAAAAAAAAAGTTGGCCACGCCCACCCAGTCACATTACCCCCCCACAAGCCACGCCCACAGAACTGGTAGTAACACATTTTACATGTCACCCCTGCTTTGAATGGTCATTATATACTACCTGCATCTTTGCCGAATGGAGTTCCTGTTTTAGTTCGTTTTCACCGCTCTGAGCCTGCTGGGCGAGGGCAAATGTTGCAAAATAACCACTAATTTTCAAATCTTTTTCATGCCAAAGGAAAACCGAGGATCACCGTCTCTCCTGATGCAATCACGCTCAAAGAATCCGAGCCCATCACACTGCTGAAAATTGAAGTAAGCCTTCCTGCTGGGAAGTGGGGAAGAAGGGTAGACAAGGATGATGTGATTTGTAATGTGGGAGCGTCCAAATGTCCAACTAAAGGTAAAGATTCCCCCCTCGCACCTCTGCGCTAGTCGTTCCTGACTCTAGGGGGCGGTGCTCATCTCCGTTTCAAAGCCGAAGAGCCAGCACTGTCCGAAGATGTCTCCGTGGTCATGTGGCCGGCATGACTCAACGCCAAAGGCGCACGGAACGCTGTTCCCTTCCCACCAAAGGTGGTCCCTATTTTTTCCACTTGCATTTTTTACCTGCTTTCGAACGGCTAGGTTGGCAGAAGCTGGGACAAGGAATGGGAGCTCACCTCGTTACGCAGCATGAGGGATTCGAACCGCTGAACTTCCGACCTTTCGATCGACAAGCTCAGTGTCCTAGCCACCGAGCCACCGCGTCCCTTTAAATGTCCAACTAGTCAACCCAAAATAAGGACACACTCTCAGGTGCTTGGAATTCCCCAAAAGTAAAACTTTATTGGATGCACCATTTTGGTACTGAAGAATCAAAACCAGCTCTGGTTTTCCCGCACGAATGCTCGCCTAGTTAATCAATAGCTTCTCTTTCCCCCCCCCTACCCTGGGTGATCACATTGTCCAATGATGAGACGTCCTTTTGTTATGGGAACCGTCCGCCTCTTTCTCGAGCACCTGCAGCGGCGACCTTGATGGTTTCCAGGCTTTCACGATCTGTGCGTTACATGAAGCGTTCATTGGCAAGTTGAATAGCAAATTGTAGAAACTGGTTCTCTGCCTGGTTGCTGGGTGGGCGTGGTTATGTTGGGTGTAGCCTACTCGGCCTCTTGCACCATGGCAGAGGGGGAGGCATTTTTGCCCTCCCCAGGCTCCGGAGGCTTTCCTCGAGCCTCTAGGAGGGTGAAAAGGGCCTCCCCAGGCTCTGGAGGCCAGAAATAGGCCCGTTTCCAGAATTCCAGTAGGCCCATTTTTCGCCCTCCCCAGGCTCCAGAGGCTTTTCTCGAGCCTCCAGGAGGGTGAAAACAGCCTCCTCAGGCTCCGGAGGCCGGAAATAGGCCCGTTTCTGGACTTCCGGGAGGCCCATTTTTCGCCCTCCCAGAGTCTCTGTGCGGGCGCTGCACTTACCTGGCATCCAAAACGGGTCCTGTGGAGATTCCTGGGAGGGGCAGGGCAAGGCGGGCTTGGTCAACCAGTCCTTGTAACCACCAGTTTGACGAACCACGTTAAAATTAATATCCGGTTCAGTGGTGAAAATCAATTTTTTTTTACTACCGGTTCTGTGGGCATGGCTTGATGTGAATGGTGGGGGAAGGATACTGCAAAATCCCCATTCCTTCCTCACTCCTGGGGGAAGGATATTGCAAAATCTCCATTCCCACCCCACTCTGGGGCCAGCCAGAGGTGGTATTTGCCGGTTCTCCGAACTGCTCAAAATTTCCGCTACGGGTTCTCCAGAACCTGTCACAACCTGCTGGATTTCACCCCTGCTCATAACAGGTTCATAGCAGATTCTCTCCTACCCGCTTTAGGACGAGCAAGATCTCCCTGAAATTACAGCCGGAGAGATCGACTTGTTGGTGGAGCAGGAAGGATTCCTGGTGCCCGGTGCAGAGAAGGAGCCATTGTCCCCTCAGGCTGTTGTCAGAAAAAGGCGCGTGGAGGAAGGTGAGAAGTAGAGGGTCTTAGAAGGGTGAGACTTTTAGGCTCTTTCCTGGTCCTGAAACTCAGGAACATTTGAGGTGTATCTGATCGACCAAAATGGTCTTCTCCTCGGTATCCTTGGTTGCTTTCTGGAATCCCCAGAGAGGAAGGGAAAAGACCGTGTTTGAAATCCAGGGAGAGTCTTTAAAATCTTTCCAAAGAGGTGGCCCTTGAACAATAGGATAGCGGGTGAAACGAGCTGGTGAGTCTGGAGTCCTATTTCAGCAGATGGTCTTTGAATGTTCTGGTTCTCCAGATGTGCAGATGTCCCTTCATTCTTTAGCTGCCGACAGGGGTCATGGTTTTGGATCAGAAGCCAAAACAATTGAAAATGCTCTGGTTGGGGAAAAGGCTGGTTGGTTCCATCTCCATAGTGAGAACAGAGAAAGAGAGTGAGATGGGCAGCATGCAAGATAGAGTAGATAGATGAGAGAGAGAGGGAGGGAGGGAGGGAGGGAGGGAGAGAGAGAGAGAGAGATTGAAATTAGATAGAGATAGATAGATAGATTCTTACTCTTTCTTCTCATTGGTAGATTTGCTCAACTTTCCCTTTTTCTAGAAGCTATGAATGGCATGGCATGGCATGGCATGGCATGGCATGGCATAGCATAGCATAGCATAGCATAGCATAGCATAGAATACAGAATAAAACAGAACAGAAAAAAATAATAGTGTAAGATCCCAAAATATACTTGAGTCACCAGAATGCCAAAGAGAGAGACTCAAGACGAGGCTTGCAAAAAAGCAGATTTTATTTAGGGCCAAAAACAAAATACTGGGTGGAACTATATCCAGAACATACAGATACAATGCATGCGAGGAGATAGCCACACCTTGGGGAAGGTATGGCGTCCTTTTATACCCTCAGAGACGTCAGCTTAGTACCCAATTCTGGCCTCCTAATTTAGGTTTCCTTGTTGCCCTGCAAGGGGGAATAGAAACTTCTCAAAAGAGCCTTGATAGTACAGGGGTTTAGTGCACCCTGTTATTAACACAGCTGCCTGCAATTTCTGCTGGTTCGAATCTCTCCAAGGCTCAAGGTTGACTCAGCCTTCCATCCTTTCTAAGGTAGGTGAAATGAGGACCCAGTTTGTGGGGGCAATAAGCTGACTTTGTATAAAATATACAAAAGAATGAAGGCTATTGCTTAACGCATTGTAAGCCGCCCTGAGTCTCCAGAGAAGGGCGGCATATAAATCAAATTAAAAAAAAAAAATTAGTTTTATCTTAAGCATTTCTTTGTTTACTCAATTGGCCACTTAGCCCCCTGGCTCTGGAAGACAGGAGTTTATCCAGATCAAACATAAATTAGGGCTGAGGTGTAAATTATCCCTTTGTTGATGGCTGAGTTTCAATTGAGATACGTACCATGCTTTTAGATAGCACAGAAAGAAGATTGATATGAGTTCAGGTCAAATGGCAGGGAAATACGTTTGACAAATACCAGATACATTACAGAGGCCTAATAACAGAATATGTTTGTTACAGGAGATACAAATATAAAGGCATAATATATGTGATACCAATACAAAGGCATATATGTATTACAGGTACCTAATGGTTACAGAATCTAGTATACCAGTATATCATATTCTAGTATTATTTATTATATCCTTATTATTGTTTCCCTTCAATAGAATATAATAGAACAGAACAGAAAAAAATAATAGAACAGAACAGAATAGAATAGAATAGAAAAGAAGAAAAAAAATAAAAGAAAATAATAGAACAGAACAGAAAAAAATAATAGAATAGAATAGAATAGAATAGAATAGAATAGAACAGAACAGAACAGAATAGAATAGAACAGAACAGAAAAAATAATAGAACAGAACAGAACAGAAGAGAAGAGAAGAGAAGAGAAGAGAACAATACAATACAAAACAGAACAGAACAGAAAAAAACAATAGAGTAGAATAAGTGTGCCTTTTTTTACAAAAGATTAATGCAAATAATTCATCTTTAAATTACAAATAAACCACTTGATTGCAAAGTGGTGACACAATGGCTCCCGCCTGTCCATTTCCAACATTTCTTCTAACTTCCCGATTCCCTCCCTCCCTCTCCTTTCGTAGCTCCCCTGCTCACATCCCTCACTTGATTCATTAGTGTGCCTGCACATTTTTCCCTTCGCTCTCTCTCTCTTTTTTTTTCCCCCAGAATCTGTGGAGGAAGCCAGAGTACGAGAGCCATGGATATCCTTGGGGCTGTCGCCTCCCACAAGGTAAAGCACGATTTAAGGAATTTAAACAACCTCTGGGAAAATACACATAGTACAGGTAGCCCTCGACTTAACGACAGTTCATTTAGTGACCGTTCGAAATGTCTTATGACCATTTCTCACCATTGTGACATTCTCACCATTTGCAACATCCCCATGGATTCGGACGCTTAGGAACCAGTTCCTATTTTATGACCGTGGCTGTGTCCAGGGGTCATGTGATTTCCCCCTTTTGCAAAGTCGATGGGGAAGCCAGATTCACTTAACAACCATATTACAACTGACTTAAGGAGTGCAGCAATTCACTTCACCAACTTGTAAAGTGGGACAAAACTCACTTAACCAATTTCTCACTTAGCAATAGAAGTTTCGGGCTCAATTGTGGTTCGTAAGTTGAGGACTACCTGTATATAATATTTAAAAAACCCCAAGCCATGCCTATCCTTGCTTTCAGTACCTGACCTCCCCTCCCTCACACACACACACCAATTGCTGCAGCTTATACCTTCGGGTGAAAATTCAATGTAGAGAAAAGTCAAGTCTTACACTTAGGCAAGAAAAACCCCAAAAGTACACATATAGACTGGGTGAAACCAGGTTTAATGCAGGGATGAAATGCTCCCGGTGTCAGCGTTTCAACGCTGGCATAGACAGCAGAGGAGAGCGAGAGATAAACTCTGAAACTTTTGCCTGCTAAATCCCTTTGAAGTCGGGTTGTCGTGGAAATGAGGGGAGGGGGCACATTCCTGGGAAATGACGAGAAAAGAAGTCTGAAGAATGACTTGGAAGAGAGCCAATGAGAAGCAGAGATTTGGGGATCGGAAAGGGAGGGATTGGGGGGCAAAAGGTCAGTCTTGTCCGCGCGGAGTCATGATCCGGTGGCTGTGCTCAATTAAAGAAAGATTTCCTTAAAGATTGGCAGTTTGGAAATTCATTTAATTTTGAGATAGCATCGTAGCCTGACACCCGGTTCGGACCGGATCGCCTGATCCGGTAGCGATGGCGGCGGGTGGTTCAGAGAACCGGTAGCAAAAATCCCTGCGCCCCCTCCCCCATGCTCAGCTGAGTCGCACGATCATCAGAAGCTTGCTTTTTTTTTTTTACTTTTAAAAGCATTTTTTTCTACAACCTCTTCCGACGAAAAAATGCTTTTAAAAGTAAAAAAAAAAAAAAAGCCTCTGATGATCGCGCGGCTCAGCTGGGATCCTCAGAGGCTTTTCAAAGCATTTTTTTCTGCAACCTCTTGGTGGTAAAAAAAAAATGCTTTGAAAAGTCTCCGACGATCCCAGCTGAGTTGCCTGATCACCATAGAGTCTTTTCAAAGCATTAGGAAAAATGCTTTGAAAAGTTAAAAAAAAAAAAAAAGGCACCCTGTTATTAAGCTGGTTATTAAGACCAGCTGCCTGCAATTACTGCAAGTTCGAATCTCGCCAAGGCTCAAGGTTGACTCAGCCTTCCATCCTTTCTAAGGTAGGTAAATTGAGGACCCAGATTGTGGGGGCAATAAGCTGACTTTGTATAAATATACAAAAGTATGAAGGCTATTGCTTAGCGCATTGTAAGCCGCCCTGAGTCTCCGGAGAAGGGCGGCATATAAATCAAATTAATAAAAAAAAAAGTTGGCCACACCCACCCAGTCACATTACACCCCCGCCCACCAAGCCACGCCCACAGAACCGGTAGTAACACATTTTACATTTCACCCCTGGTTTAATGGCAGTCACTGCAAAGGACCAGCTGTCTGCAAGGAGTATAAATCCTTCCATTCCCCACTATCCTAACTCAGAGCTGAAGAAGCTTCTCGGACGAGAAGCGAAACGTCTTCAAAAGAGAAAAAACAAACAAACAAGAAAATCCAGTCGCCTCCTGGAAAAAAGCCTCTTGGGGGACAAACTTGAAGACTGTTAACTTGGATATAAAACGAAGCAGAAATAAAAATGTGCATTTCATGTTTATTTTTTTAATTTTTTTTGGGGGTGTGTGGGTTAGGATGGCGGAGGAGACCGCCGCTGAGAAAGAAACGGGACCGCTGTTGAGAGAAGAGACCCGGCCTTCTGTCAGCGTCCCTCTGCAGCCTTTGGGTGAGTGGTCTGCGGGCAAAGAGCGTCATCCGTGGAGCCTCCCCCCCACCCGTTCAAGCAAACTTTCGCTTTGATTTGACTCAAAAAAGGCCCGATTCTATGAAAATAATAACAATCTAGTCCAGGGGTCGGCAACCTTAAACACTCAAACACTAACCGGAAGCCCCCGTTGAATTTTGGAGCCGACTGGAAGTCTGGTTGCCCCATCATAGAGTATCCTCCTACCGCGACGTCCTTTTTCCTCTACCTGTCCTAACCGAAAGCCCTATCAATTGTGGAGCCGACCAGCAATAGGGAGCCGCAGCAGAGAGATGAAAGAGCCACATGCGGCTCCAGAGCTGCGGGTTGCTGACTCCTGACCTAGTCCTTGGCTTACGAGCACATTTCTGATTCTGACCCTCTGGAATCAGTCGCCCCCGGAGATAAGGAGAATCCATGACCTCAATGCCTTCCGTCGTTCCCGGAAAACCCATCTTTTCCAGCAAGCCGGGTTGGCTTAAGAAGAAATTTTTAAATTCTTTTAATTAGTTTATGATTTTTTTTAACTTTCGGGCCAAAATTTATATATATTTTTAAATGTTTTAATATTTGTATTCTATGTTTTTCATCTTGGCTGTACACCGCCCTGAGTCCTCAGGGAGAAGGGCGGTATATAAATTGGAAATTAAATTAAATTAAATTAAATTAAATTAAATTAAATTAAATTAAATTAAATTAAATTAAATTAAATTAAATTAAATTAAATTAAATTAAATTAAATTAAATTAAATTAAATTAAATTAAATTAAATTTGGAACCAAAATTTCCAGGGCTAAGTGAGGCGTTTAAAGTAGGTCACGCCTGATTTTACCAACCTATTTACCGCGGTTGTTAAGCGAGTCACTGATGTTGTTAAGTGAGTCGGGCAGTCGTTAAGCGAATCCGTCTCCCCCCCCCATTGACTTTTGCTTGCCGGAAGCTGGGGAAATCACGTGGGATGCTGCTACCGTTCCAAATTTAGACGTCGAATTGCATTTTGACCACCTGATCGCCGGGAAGGCTGCGACGTTAAGCCCGAGGTCCCTTTTCTCACTTGTTACCTTCAACCGTCACTAAATGAATGGTTGTTAAATTTGAGGCCTGCTTGTAAATTATTCGTGGGGGAAAAAAAAAAAACCTCCCAGATTTAAATCAGCTGCGGGATCTTGAATAGCTCTGACACCTCAAAAAAAACCCCAATATCCGTGTATGTATGTATGTATGTATGTATGTATGTATGTATGTATGTATTTATTTATTTATTTATTTATTTATTTATTTTGGCTTCCCAAGACATACGATACAGGTAGTCCTTCGGCTTACGACCACAACGCAGCCCCAAATTTCTGTCGCTAAGCGTGACCCTGGGACAATGCGATCGTCATAAACGGGAGCCCGTTGCCGAGCGTCTCTGAATATTTGATCGCACGACCCTGGGACAAGGCCGCAATGGTCGTAAGCGTGAAAAACGGTCATAAGTCCCTTTTTTTCCCCGCGCTGTCGTATCTTTTGAGCGGTCGCTAAATGAATGGCTGTTACAAAAAAAAGACGTTCAGACGTTGGAAAAAGCGCAGAGAAGAGCAACTAGGCCCGGAGACTAAAAACATATGAAGAACGGTTTCAGGATTTGGGTTTGGCCAGTCTAGAGAAAAGAAGAATTAGGGGTGACGCGATAGAAGTATCCCAGTATTTGAGGGGCTGCCCCAAAGAAGAGGGGGGGGGTCAAATTATTCCCCAGAGGGCAGGATAAGAAACAATGATTGGAAAATAATCAAGCAACCTGGAATTAAGCAGAAACTTCCTGACGGCGAGGACGATTCACCAGCGGAACGACTTGCCACCAGAAGTTGCGAATGCGCCAACACTGGAGGATTTTTAAAGAAGAGATTGTCTCAAATGGCCTACGGGATCTTCTGCTTGAGGAGTTAGACTAGAAGACCTCCAAGGTCCCTTCCTGCTCTTTTCCGATTGTAAGTCGAAGGACTACCTGTCAAGAATAAAACCTACAAACGTGTTCGGATTCGACGGAGGGACCAAGGAAAATCAGCGCTTAATGAGGCCTGAGATATTTCACCCTCCCATCCCGCTCTCTGCCTTTGATCTTTTCTCTCTTGGCGGGGGAAAAAAAAAGTCCTTTTTTTTTTTCCGGGCATCCTTTTCCGTGGTTGTTTTCAAAAGATGCCTCCTCGTTTTCATTCATCTCCTTTATCTTTAGAGATTACTCCTCCGGGAGAGGAACCCAGGTTCCCACCTACTCCCCCTTCGCCCAGGGTTAAGGCCAAGAGAGAGCCACCGCTGAGCCCCGAGGTGAGATCAGAGGAGGATGGCACGGAGAGGGTCCCAGACTGTTCAAGGTCAGCCCCCCCCAAAATTCTCATGCGTTTATTTTATTTTATTTTATTTTTTTTCCCCAGCTCCGGCTGCCCGAGTACGAGCCGTCTCCGCCGCGACCCTCCAAGCGTCGAAGGCAGCTGCGTTTTATGGACGTCGTGACACAGATTTCCAAGGAGGATTTCCAGAAACAGATCTCAGATCCCCACATACAGTGCCAGCCCCTGGTAGATCTTTGAGGCGGGGAGATCTTGTGGGTTCCAAATTCCTTGCCCTCCTTTGGACTCTCCCCTGGCAGCGGAGTAGTTTTAGGATTTATTTCATTTATATCCCGCGTTGTTTTTAATCAACAACTCAAGGTGGAGAATGTAGCTAACGCTCCCCTTTTCTCCCTGTTTGCCCCAAAACAACAACCCTGTGAGGTGGGTTGAGGGAGAGAGAGAAGGGGGGGGGACCAGCTCAAAATCAGCCAGCTGACTTTCGTGCCCAAGTTGGGACTAGAACTCACAATCTCCTGGCGATTGGCTCAAAATCATGTAGTTGGCTTTCGTGCCTAAGGCAGGACTAGGACTCCCAGTCTCTTCGTGCTTAGCCCAAAGTCACCCAGTCAGCTTTCATGCCTAAAGCAGGACTAGAACTCACCATCTCCTGGTGATTGGTTCAAAGTCACCTAGTTGGCTTTCGTGCCTAAGGCAGGACTAGAACTCCCTGTCTCCTAGTGATTGGTTCAAAGTCACCCCAACAGGCTTCATGCCTAACCCGGGACTAGAACTCTCTATCTCCTGGTGAGTGGCCCAGAACCACCCAGCTGGCTTTCATGCCTGAGGTGGGACTAGAACTCATCATCTCCTGGTGATTGGGCCAAAATCACCCAGCCGGCTTGCATCCAAAGGCAGGACTACAACTCCCCGTCTCCTGGTCATTGGCCCACGATCCACCTAACAGCCTTCATGCCCAAGGAGGACTAGGACTCGAACTCCGTTTCTCCCAGTTTCTAAGCCTGGTGCTTTGACCCGTAGACCAAACTAGCTTACTCCACTTTGCTACAGGATCGTGGGCGCATTCACGACCCGCGGAAAACCTCCCATATCTTCGTCTCTCACCTCAATTCCCTTTTGCCCCCCCCCCACACATCCTAATTATTTCCTTTTTTTCTCTGCTTTTTTTGTTTTAGGAGAAAGTACTCCTGCCAGCCAAGAGGTTAAAGACTCCAGCCGAATTGTTGAGTAACCCAACCTACGGTAAATAAAACCTCCCCATAGTTGTAATTCTCCAGGTGGTTCCCTTCCGCTCTGCTCCTCCCTTGCGGGAGGCAAATGATTCGTCTTGCATCAATGACCCAGAATAAAGCCTCACCGATGGCCAGGAATGCAGAGGTTCCCCATTCTTTAGGTCGTGTTTCGCACTGGGCGTATTGTTGGACTTAATCGACTTGTGCCCATCTAAATCTAAATCCAGAGCGGCGTTCCTTCTGTCCCGTTTCCAATCTTGGCGACTTTGTGTTACTTGGCGCCTCCAATCCAAAGAAAATTCCGTTTATCCAGCCTGCTGGGTACCACTCTCCAACCGTGGAATCCTTGAACGGATAAAGGAGAATATTAGTACTTTCTCCCTCTTTTTAAACATTCTTAATATTTTTTAATACTACTTTTTACTATTTTTAATATTCAAAGTTTAAATCGTTTTAAATTGATTGGGGTTTTAAATTTGTCTGGGCCAAACTATTTAATTCGATTTTATCTCTGTTTTTTTAAATTTTGTATGTATGTATTTTATTGTTGGCTGTTCACCGCCCTGAGTAGGGCGGTATATAAATTAAATAAAAGTAAAAAGTAAAGTAAAAGTAGTTCAGAGCTGGGGTCCTTGATGCTCTCCGAGCTGGGTGGTTGATTTAGTTTATTTATTTTATTATTTATTAATTCAATTTATATGCCGCCTTTCTCCGGTTTCTGGGCAGATGTTTCATGTCTTTGGAGAGGGGCGGCATATAAATTAAATTAAATTTTATTAAATTAAATTTTATTAAATTAAATTTTATTAAATTTTATTAAATTTTATTAAATTAAATTAAATTAAATTAAATTAAATTAAATTAAATTAAATTAAATTAAATTAAATTAAATTAAATTAAATTAAATTAAATTAAATTAAATTAAATTAAATTAAATTAAATTAAATTAAGCCCAACTAGGAAACATCATCAGTGCTAGAAGGGAGTGTGGGAAGAGGAGGAGGAGGGAGGAGGAAGAAAAAGACTGTGAGGTCCTTGGTGCTCTCTGAGCTTCGTTGTTTTCTTGCTGACATTTCATGACCCAACTAGGGAACATCATTAGTGCTAGAAGGGAGTGCGGGAGGAGAAGGAGGAGGAGGAGGAGAACAGTGACTATAGCCGTGATGGCAAACCGACGGCATGCGTGCCACAGGTGGCACGTGGAGCCATGTCGCCTGGCATGCCAGCTTAGTTCCCAGGAGTCTCTGGAGGCTGGGGACAGCAAAAAACATCACTTCCTGTCCAACTGGAAGTTGGGAAATGGGCCATTTCGGGCCTCCGGAGAGCCTCCGAGGAGGTGGGGAAGGCTGTTTTCACCCTCCCCAGATGCAGAGAGAGGATCTGGAGCCAGGTGAGAAAGAAAAATGGGGCCATCATGTGCCAAGAGCGGGGGAGTGGGGGCACGTGCATGCGTGGGGCGGGGCGCACAGAATTATGGGTGTGGGCACGCATGCGCGCGAACCTCCCCTGCCCCCCCCCCCCGAATTCCTGGCACGTGATGGCAAAAAGGTTAGCCATCACTGGACTACGGGGTCCTGGGTGCTCTCTCAGCTTGGCTTTTTTTCTTGCTGACCTTTCATGACCCAACTGGGTTATATCATCAGCGCTGGAAGGGAAGAGCAACCTCCCCCTTCTAGCACTGATGATGTTAGCTAGCGGGGTCATGAGACGTCTGCAAGGAAACAACCGGGCTCAGGGAGCACCAAGGACCCCGCAGTTCAGGCCTGAGTTACAAATATCCTCTGCTACTTATTCCTTACTTTCCTGGACAGGTTTTAGGGGGAGGAGTAGCCGTGGGGCTCCTGATGCTTTCTGGGACTTGGTTTTTTTTTTTTTTTTTGCTGACCCGATTAAACATCAGTGCTAGAAAGGAGTGTGGTATGTGGAGAGAGGGAGGAAGGGGGATAAGGGGGTGGGTGGGTGGGGAAGGAGGGTTGTGGGCTTCTTCATGCTCTCCGAGTTTGGTTGTTTTCCTGCAGACGTCTCATGACCCAACTAGGGCACATCCTCAGTGCTAGAAGGAGTGTTGGGGGGAGGAGGAGGAGGAAAAGGAGGCCTGTGGGGTCCTTGGTTGGTTTTATGCAGATGTTTCATCACCTAAATTGGATAACATCATGTTAGCACTGATGACGTTCCCTAGTTGGGTCATGAGATGTCTGCAGGAAAACAACCAAACTCGGAGACTACCAAGAACCCCACAGTTGTTCTCCTCCTCCTCCTCCTCCCCCTTCTCCCCCCCTCCTTTCCACAAACCTCCCTCTCTTCTAGCACTGATGTTGTTGCCTAGTTGGGTCATGAGATGTCTGCAAGGAAAAGAACCAAACTCAGAGAACGCCAAGGACCTCACAGTCTTTTTCTTCCTCCTCCTCCTCCTCCTCCTCCTCCTCCTCCCCCCCTCCTTTCCACAAACCTCCCTCTCTTCTAGCACTGATAATGTTGCCTAGTTGGGTCATGAAACATCTGCCAGAAAACCACCCAGCTCAGATACCACCCTATGATACTAAAATTGTCCTTTTTAAAAAAAAATAAAAAATAAAGATGAAGGCTTCTTTCGATGTAAGACGACGGCTCAGCCACTTCCTGTTCGCACATTCCGGTGAGGCTTTGGGGTGGATCCGAAAGGGTTAGCCTTTCTTCGAGTCGACTTCCTTTGCCAAATTGGGGCTGGGAGGAAACAGCCCGAGATGAACTCAAAAAAGACAGAACAAAATGTGCTGGGTCAAAGTTAGCTTATTCTTTCCTTGGCACGGGGCGAACGACCGACCGTAACAAACGAAAGAGTGAGCCAGGATGAAAAAACGAATTTATCTTTCATTTAAGCAAGTTTCAATTCACAGGAACAGGCCTTGATTTTCTGGGTTTGATAAAAGTTGCAAAAAAAAAAAGGCGACACGAAAAAGTGGTACCGATCAGGCCTCGATTTACAACCGTTCGGGGAATCGTTTGAAGTTACAGCATTGAAACAAAAAAAAGCAACTTATGACCATTTTTCACAATTACGACTGTTGCAACATCCCTAAAAAAAAATCACTCGATTGAAATTCGGACCCTTGGCAACCGACTCGTATTTATGACGGTCGCAAAGTCCCCGGGGTCACGTGTGATCTCATTTTGCGACCTCCTGACAAGCTAAATCAACGGGGACGCCGGATTCGCTTTAAAGATGGGGGGATTCACTTAACAAAGACGGGGACACAGGGATTCACTTAACAACGACGGGTGGTGAGCTCGTAAAAGCAGAGGTGGCATTTGCCGGTTCTCCGAACCACTCAAAATTTCTGCTACGGGTTCGCCAGAACCGATCCGAACCGGCTGAATACCACATCTGCGTAAACGGTAACAAAACTCACAGAGCCCAGTTTTCCTCTCACGAAGTGAGTTTACGACCATTTTTGAGTGGTTCGGAGAACCGGCAAATACCACCCGCCGTTGTTAAGTGAATCCCTGCCGTTGTTCCGTTAGGAACACGGTCTTTAAAGCGAATCCAGTGAACGTGGGCGGGGTCGCACGCGTGCGTGCCCACACCCATAATTCAATTTGGGCCCCCCACGCATGCGCGCGCGACCCCCGTTTTTGGCACGCAATTGCACGGTGGGCCAGATAGGCCCGTTTTTTCGCCCTCCCCAGGCTCCAGAGACTTTCTTGGAGCCTGGGGAGGGCGAAAACAGCCTTCCTCACACACACCCACACCCGGAGGCCCTCCAGAGGCCGGAAACGGCCTGTTTCCCGTCTTCTGGTGGGACTGGAAACTAGCTGGCTGGCGTGGCGCATGGGCGCTGGAGCTGTGCTACGGCAATGCTGACGTGCCCACAGATACGGCTCCGCGTGCCATAGGTTCGCCATCCCGGTCCTAGGTTGAGGACTACTTGTAAAGGGCTGCCGTTCCTCTAACTACTCCACCCATCCTGCTTTTTTTCCTTGGGCCAGGATGGATGCACCCCACTCTCCGTGGATTATGGGCCCGGTGCGCCAACGTCCGGCCGGTGACTTATGCCAAGGGTCGAGTTGCTGAGGAGGAAGAACGGAGAGCTGAAATTCCCAGCGAGCTTGAGGTAACAATTTCTGACAGAAAATTTGTCAGCAACTGACCGATGTGACACTTTAGGACAGTGTGTCTCAATTTTGGCAACTTGAAGATGGGTGGGCTTCAATTCCCAGGATTCCCCAGCCAGCAACGCTGGCTGGGGAATTCTGGGAGTTGAAGTCCACTTATCTTCAAGTTGTTACGGTACAACAACGCTGTTTTAGGCACCACCAATCCGTCTCAATTCACACTTGGAGGGATTATTGAGCCTCGGATCCATCCACGGGGGATCCCACACAGCATAGAAAATATTTTTGAAGGTCGCACCTGTCATTTGGGTTCGGCCAGTCTAGAGAAAAGAAGGACTAGGGGTGACATGTTAGTATTCCAGGATTTGAGGGGCTGCCCCAAAGAAAAGGAGGGGGTCAAGCTATTCTCCAAAGCACCTGAGGGCAGGACAAGAAGCAGCCGATGGAAACTCATCAAGGAGAGAAGCGACCTAGAACGAAGAAGAAACTTCCGGACAGTGAGAAGAATTCACCAGTGGAACAGCTTGCCACCAGAAGTTTGTGGATGCTCCAACACTGGAAGTTTTTAAGAAGAGATTGGATAACCATTTGTCTAAAATGGTATAAGGTTTCCTGCCTAAGCAGAGGGTTGGACTAGAAGATCTCCAAGGTCGCTTCCAATTCTATTCTATTCTATTCTATTCTATTCTATTCTATTCTATTCCATTCCATTCCATTCCATTCCATTCCGTATATTCTCTCTTCTCTTCCCTTCCCTTCCCTTCCGTATTTTCTCTCCTCTTCTATTCCATTTCATTCCGTATTTTCTCTTCTCTTCTCTTCTCTTCTCTTCTCTTCTCTTCTCTTCTCTTCTCTTCTCTTCTCTTCTCTTCTCTCATTCTATTCTATTCCATTCCATTCCATATTTTCTCTCCTCCTCTTCTCTTCTCTTCTCCTCTCCTCTCCTCTTCTCTTCTCTCTTCTCCTCTCCTCTTCTCTCCTCTCATTCTATTCTATTCTATTCTATTCTGTTCTGTTCTGTTCTGTTCTTTTTTCTGTTCTGTTTTGTTTTGTATTGTTCTATTATTCCTATTTTATTCTATTCTATTCTATTCTTTTTTTCTGTTCTGTTCTGTTCTGTTCTGTTCTGTTCTCCTATTCTATTCTATTCTATTCTATTCTATTCTATTCTATTCTATTCTATTCTATTCCATTCCATTCCATTCCATTCCATTCCATTCCATTCCATTCCATTCCATTCCGTATATTCTCTCTTCTCTTCCCTTCCCTTCCCTTCCGTATTTTCTCTCTTCTCTTCTATTCCATTTCATTCCGTATTTTCTCTTCTCTTCTCTTCTCCTCTTCTCTTCTCTTCTCTCATTCTATTCTATTCCATTCCATTCCATATTTTCTCTCCTCCTCTTCTCTTCTCTTCTCCTCTTCTCTCCTCTCTCCTCTCCTCTCCTCTCCTCTCCTCTCTTCTCCTCTCCTCTCATTCTATTCTATTCTATTCTATTCTGTTCTGTTCTGTTCTTTTTTCTGTTCTGTTTTGTTTTGTATTGTTCTATTATTCCTATTTTATTCTATTCTATTCTATTCTTTTTTTCTGTTCTGTTCTGTTCTGTTCTGTTCTGTTCTCTATTCTATTCTATTCTATTCTATTCTATTCTATTCTATTCTATTCTATTCTATTCTATTCTATTCTATTCTATTCTTTATTCCATTCCATTCCATTCTTGACTTGCCCCCATGTCTGAGATGGGGAATGCTCATACCCGAGCAAAACCCACAAGACAACATTTGTGAGAGAACAGGGGGAAAAAATCCAGTGTCTTTTTTTTTTTTTTAAGGAAGAACCCAGCGCAAAAAAAAACCAAAAAAAAAAAAAAAAAACGTTGTCCAAATGAGCAAAGCAGCTCTTAGGAAGCTTTGGATGCTGGGTGACCAATTCTAAAATTTTCGGTTTAACCCGAACTTGATGTGGTCTTCCCCAGTTGAGAGTGCAATGGGGGAGGGAAAAGGAAGAGGTGGGCGGTTTGTCTGGCGGGCGCCTTTCATGTGTGATTTTGTGTGCTGAAAGGAGTTGACGGGAACGGCACAACCTGCGACATCTGCCGGCAGACACAACTGCGAAACCCCCTTTTTTTCCTCACAATATTCCGGTGTTGGAGTGCAGAATTCCCCCCCAATGAGTCATTTGCGGACTCAAATGAGCCCTTTTTCCGGTGTCTTGTTATCTGACTTTTGTGCTTAAATTAGGGCGTTGCCCATTAACCGTATGAGATCGGCCCATTGCACAGGAATGATTCTTTATTCATTTTTTTAGATTTTTTTTAAAACCCAGCCTTGATTTATTTTATGAGTAACTCAAGGCACCTGACAAATCTAATACTCCCTCGTCGTATTTTCCCCAAAACAAGAAGCCTATGAGTTGGCAGTCTCCTGGTGATTGGCCCAAAGTCACCCAGCCGGCTTTCATGCCTAAGGCAGGCACTAGAATTCACAGTCTCCTGGTGATTGGCCCAAAGTCTCCCAGCTGGCTTTCATGCCTAAGGCAGGACTAGAACTCCCCATCTCCTGGTGATTGGCCCAAAGTCTCCCAGCTCGCTTTCAGGCCTAAGGCAGAACTAGAACTCACCATCTCCTGGTGATTGGCTCAAAGTCTTCCATCTCGCTTTCATGCCTAAGGCAGCACTAGAACTCCCAATCTCCTGGTGATTGGCCCAGTCACCCAGCCGGCTTTCATGCCTAAGACAGCACTAGAACTCCCAGTCTCCTGGTGATTGGCCCAAAATCACCCAGCTGGCTTTCATGCCTAAGGTAGAACTAGAACTCACCATCTCCCAATTTCTAGGCCTCCATCTTAATCAATCACAAAGTAAGGCGCAAGGACAACCTTGCATCCAATTCGTATTTGCCCTTGAAAGCTTGGCTGGAAGAGGGACTAATGTCAGAGCCTGTCTTCTTGGAGGTGTCCTTCATGATGAATGTCCTTATGATGACCATGATCACAATTGACCACTTATATGATAAAAGCGACAGAGCGATTTTTACGTACACCGAGAGTTTATAAAACCAAAGGCAAATTCCTTGTGTCTCTAATCACACTTGGCCAGTAAAGAATATTCTATTCTATTTAACCTCTTCGGTCCTTTGCGTCTTCGGTTCACAATTTGTGACGTTTGACGTTCTGTCTTTTTTTCTTCAGGAGCTGCGGGCAGCTGAGGAACCGAGCGGACCTCCGGTGGGCTCCTCAGGTGAGTCCTGAGTCCTCCAGAGCAGGGGTCTCCAACGTTGGCAACTTTAAGACTTGTGGACTTCAACTCCCAGAATTCCTGCTGGCTGAAGAATTCTGGGAGTTGAAGTCCACACATCTTAAAGTTGCCAACGTTGGAGACCCCAGCTCCAGAGCGTCTCAGATTTGGAGCTCATTCCTTCTCCTTCTTGTCCTCCGAAAAAGGAGACGTGGAATCTTCTTGACGGAGTCTTGGTCTTCCTTGCAGAAATATCCCTCGAGACGACCGAGGAAGAAGCTCGCCCAAGCTTGGTGATATCTGAAGAGAGGTAAAAGTTACCTGCCTGGCCAGAGGTGGGATATCACTTACCTTCCCTACCTGTTCGCAAATGTGCAGTACTCGCGCATTACGTCCGGGCGGGTGGTGTTGTGACTTAGGCTTCCTGAGTCGTTACAAGACACAAATAGTCCCAAACAAACCTATTTTATTGTAACAGCTGAGAATTACGTTCATTCCCAGCTGAGTCCCAATTAGTTGCAAAACAAGTCCTTCGGAAGAAGTCCTTCGGGATAATCACCAACCGTTATCTTCTTTGACACCCTGCCAAAGGCCTTACTTGGCAAAGACCCATGGAGTTCAGAAACAAACAAGAGATGCCGACTGGAAACAGAGTTAGCAACGTTGCTTTCCTGCAAGTGCCTTTGTTTCTCTTTTAAGCCTTATGGGAGGGGCCAATCATCTCCTGGCCTTACTCCTGAGTCGTCCCTTTTGCTTTAGCTGCTCTTGCCTTCTGGCAGCTCTGCGCATGCGTGCACTAGGAACAGGCTCCTCCTGTTCCTCTGCCTCTCTGCTGTCCGACTTGGGGGGCTCCGGAGTCCGCGCATCACTCCCAGATGGTCCTGGGACCCATCTCTGCCTCTGATGCAGAGCCCTCGTCCAGGCCTTCCCCAGACTCCAGGACTGGCCCATGTTCCTCCCCAGCCTCCTCACTGTCCGACTCCGCTGCCAGCTCCGCTGGCTGCTGGCGGACCACAGCAGGTGGGCGGAGCCTCCCGCAGTCACCACTACCACACCCAAAGGCAGGACAGGAAGCAACGGATGGAAACTAATCAAGGAGAGAAGCAACCTAGTATTAAGGAGAATTTTCCCGACAGTTAAAACAATTCACCAGTGGAACAGCTTGCCACCAGAAGTTCTGAATGCTCCATCGCTGGAAGTTTTAAGAGGAGCTTGGAGCGCTAAATGTCTGGAATGATCCAGGGTCTCCTGCTTGAGCAGAGGGTGGGCCTAGATGACCTCCAAGGTCCCTCCCAGCTTTCTTCTGATGGATTGATCCGATTCTTCCCTTCCCTCCCTAACAGGATTCTCCTAGAACCGGAAAGCGGGATTTTGCCCGTCGTGCCTGAACTCCCTGAAATAAGTTTTGAGTTGCCGCTGGAGAAGGACGTGATCACCTTGGGCTACGTCCGCAGGTAAGGCGGGCGGCCTTCCTCCCTGCCTCCTGTTCCTGCCCCACTTCTAAAGGTTGGATTCCTCGACTTTGCCAAAAATGGTTTTTTCCCCCCTTCTTTTAAGGGTTTCGAAAGAGCCGTTTCTTTTAAAAAAAATGGGGAGAAAATTAGCTTTTTTGTCTTTTCTCAAGAAGACGCTGTGAAGAGAGTATAAGTAGTGGTGGAAGAGAGGAGTTAATGGAGGAATTCCTTCCTTCCTTCCTCTTTACCTTCCCTACCTTCCTCCCTCTCTCCCTCCTCACCTTCCTTCCTTTTCTTTTTCTTCCTTCTTTACCTTCCTCCCTCCCTTTCCTTTTTCTTTCCTTCCTCTTTAGCTTCCCTACCTTTTCTTCCTTCTTTACCTTCCTCCCTCCCTCCTTTCCTTTTTCTTTCCTTCCTCTTTAGCTTCCCTACCTTTTCTTCCTTCTTTCCTTCCTTCCTCCCCTCTTCCTTCCCTTCCCTTCCCTTTTCTTTCCTTTTCCTTCCTTCCTCTTTACCTTCCCTCTGCCTTCCTTCCCTTTCTTCCTTCACCTTCCTCCCTCCCTCCTTTCTTTTCCTTCCTTCTTTAGCTTCCCTACCTTTCCTTCTTTCCTTCCTCCTTCCCTCTCATTCTTCCTTCCTTTCCTCCCTCTCTCTTCTCCTCCCTTTTCTTTTTCTTCTTTACCTTCCCTCTACCTTCCTCCCTCTTCTTTTCCTTTTCCTCTTTGCCTTCCCTTTGCCTTCCTCCCTCCCTCTCGTCCTTCCTTCCTTTCCTCTCCCTCCTCCTCCCTTCTTCCTTTTCTTTTTCTTCCTTCTTTACCTTCCTCCCTCCCTCTTCCTTTCTTTTCCTTCCTTCCTCTTTAGCTTCCCTACCTTTCCTTCTTTCCTTCCTCCCTCCCTCTCGTCCTTCCTTCCTTTCCTCCCTCTCTCTCTTCCTTCCTTTTCTTTTTACTTCTTTACCTTCCCTCCCTTCCTCCCTCCCTTTTCCTTCCACCTCCCTCCCGTCCTTCCTTCCTTTCCTCCCTCTCCCTCTTCCTTCCTTTTTTCTTCCTTCTTTACCTTCCCTCTCTACTTTCCTCCCTCCCTCCTTTCCTTTTCTTACCTTTCTTTTTCTTCCTTCCTCTTTACCTTCCCTCTGCCTCCCTCCCTCCTCCTCCTCCTTCCTCCCTCCTTTCCTTTTCTTTCTTTCCTTTCTCTCTGTCTCTTTTCTTTCCCCCTCTTCTGTCCCAAGGCCCAAACCACTTGTGGCACGAGGGCAAAACCGTCTCCTCTTGACTTTTTCCTGGCAGGTTGGTGGCAGCCAAACTGGAAGAGGTTGAAGAAGTGGATTTCGACCAGTTGGTGCCCCTCACGGCGTCCCGAGTTGTGGCCAGCCGTTTTTTCTACATGTGTTTGGGTGCGTGTTTCTTAGGATCTCCTCATTGCTCGTTTCCCCTCATTTAGACATTGTTTATAGGCCCTTTCTTTATTCCCCCATCCCCCACCCCAAACTTTACGAGTTACAAGAAAACCAACTTCTAGTCCGTTTGAGTTTCCTAGGTCCCGTATGTGGCACGAGGGCTGGGAAGTGAGAAATACATTACCACGTTTCTCATTTGCCATCTTGCAAACCCAGGTTTTCGCTCCCACGCGAACGCACAAAAATATTGAAAATACAGGCGGTCCTCGACTTACGACCGTATTTAAGCTCAGAATTACGGACGTAAAGTTGGGCCGTTCGTTAAAATGGGTCACTTGACCAATTTTTTTTTAGCTGTTAAGAGAATCACGGCGGTCCTTATAACGAAGGACTTAAGGTGGTTAAGCAAACACGGCAGTTACTAAGTGAATCCGTTTTACCCAATGGGCCCATCTTTGGTTGGAAACCAAAATAAACACCAGTTTCTGGCAAAATAAATAAATAAATTATAAATTGTGCTCAACCGCTGCAAATGGCCATAATACATACAAGCTGGTTGCTGAAACCCCCCCCAAAACAAGTTCGCACGACAGCTGTTTTGAAGCGTCATAAGTAGCCCCGGGGAGGTCTGTTTGTAACTTCGAACAGCCGGTCGTTAAGCCGAGGACTCTATCCTCCATAGAGAGATCTTGGGAGTCCTAGTGAACAACCATTTAAATAGGACCCAGCCGTGTGCAGCAGCTGCCAAAAAAGCCAACACAGTTCTAGGCTGCACAAACAGAGGGATAGAATCAAGATCACGTTAAAAGTGTTAATACCACTTTACAATGCCTTGGTAAGGCCACGCTTGGAATACGGCATCCAGTTATGGTCGCCACGATGTAAAAAAGATGTGGAGACTCTAGAAAGAGTGCAGAGAAGAGCAACAAAGAGGATGAGGGGACTGGAGGCTCAAACCTATGAAGGAACTGGGCATGTCTTGTTTAATGAAAGGGGAGGACGAGGGGAGACATGATAGCAGTCTTCCAATATCTCAGGGGCTGCCCCAAAGAAGAGGGAGTCAAGCTATTCTCCAAAGCACTTGAGGACAGGACAAGAAGTGATGGGTGGAAACTCATCAAGGAGAGAAGCAGCTTAGAACTAAGGAGAAACTTCCCGACAGTTAGAACAATTAATCAGTGGAACAACTTGCCACTAGAAGTTGTGAATGCTCCAACCCTGGAAGCTTTTAAGATGTTGGATAACCATTTGTCTGAAGTGGTGTAGAGTTTCCTGCTTAAGCAGAGGGTTGGACTAGAAGACCTCCAAGGTCCCTTCCGACTCCTGTTATTCTATTCTACAGTGTCTTTCTTTTCCCTAGTTTTGGCCGCGGCTCAGATCCTGAGCTTGGAACAAAAGGAGGCTTACGGTCGGATCATCATTAAGCCAGGAGCGCGTTTCCCTCAGAGCTAGCAGATTCAGCTCTGACAAGATTCCGATTCCTTCACCCCAAAACAGCTGCCTCCTTGGTGGAAGATTCAGGCTTGCCAGGAAGACCCCGATTTTGTGTTCCAGGTGAAATTTTTGGATTAAACCAATGTATTTGCAGGTTACAGTTCGTTGCCTTTCCCTACTTTTTTTTTTTTTTTGGTAAATAAATCTGTTGAATTTCAAACTGCGAGCGGAGGTTTATCGTTTCTGAATTTCCAGTATAGATTGCTTTAAATATATATATATCTATACAACCGAGATTGACAAAATAACTTTTTAAGGTGTTGGCTTAGAAACCAGAAGATGGCGAGTTCTAGACTCATCTAAAGTACGAAAGACGGCTGGGTGACTTTGGGCCAATCACCAGGAAATTGTGAGTTCTAGTCTCACTTTAGGCATGAAAGCCAGCTAGGTAATTTTGGACCAATCACCAGGAGACGGTGAGTTCTAGTCCCACCTTAAGCATGAAAGCAACTACGTGACTTTTGACTGATCACCAGGAGACAGTGAGTTCTAGTCCCTCCTTAAGCATGAAAGTGACTAGGTGACTTATGTCCAATCACCAGGAGATGGTGAGTTCTAGTCCCTCCTTAAGAATGAAAGCGACTAGGTGACTTATGTCCAATCACCAGGAGATGGTGAGTTCTAGTCCCGCCTTAAGCATGAAAGCCACTACGTGACTTTTGACCGATCACCAGGAGACACTGAGTTCTAGTCCCTCCTTAAGCATGAAAGTGACTAGGTGACTTATGTCCAATCACCAGGAGACGGTGAGTTCTAGTCCCGCCTTAAGCATGAAAGCGACTAGGTGACTTATGACCAATCACCAGGAGACGGTGAGTTCTAGTCCCACCTTAAGCATGAAAGTGACTAGGTGACTTATGACTAATCACCAGGAGACGGTGAGTTCTAGTCCCACCTTAAGGATGAAAGTGACTAGGTGACTTTTGACCGATCACCAGGAGACAGTGAGTTCTAGTCCCACCTTAAGCATGAAAGCAACTAGGTAACTTATGACCAATCACCAGGAGACGGTGAGTTCTAGTCCCTCCTTAAGAATGAATGTGACTAGGTGACTTATGTCCAATCACCAGGAGACGCTGAGTTCTAGTCCCTCCTTAAGTAAGTCCCCCCTTACTTAATGAAAGTAACTAGGTGACTTTTGACCAATCACCAGGAGACATTGAGTTCTAGTCCCTCCTTAAGCATGAAAGCGACTAGGTGACTTGACCGATCACCAGAAGACAGGGAGTTCTAGTTCCATTTAGACGTGAAAGCCAGCTGGGTGACTTTGGGCCAATCACCAGGAAACGGCGAGTTCTTATCACGCCTCAGGTATGAATGCCGTCTGGGTGGCTTGAGATCAGTCCGTATCTCTCAGCCCAACCCACCTCAGAGGATTGTCGTTGCGGGGAAAACAGGAGGAGGAGGAAATAGGCGTGTGAGCCACCTTGCGTTATTTACAAAATAATAAATAAAAGCGAGATTAAAAAAAAAAACCTAATAAAAACGCACAACGAAAGTCTTCGTTAGCTTTCATGACAGCCACTACAACAAGCCGATTGCCTGTCGTAGATTTTTTGGGTAGATTTTTTCCTCACACATTATTCTTTCCACAGTTTCTCTTACATATACAATATGGCTGCCTTTCCATTCATTTTTTTTAAAAAAAATCTGGCAAGACTGTCTGCTGGGGGGGGGGGGAAAGATAAAGGGAATTATTTAGGCTAGGGATCTTAACAAATCCCTTACTAAGTCTTTCGGGATGCTTAACCCTCTTTGCGACGTGGAGAAACTTTACGGGAAGCGGCCTCGAGTGAAACAATAGCTTTTCATTTTATTACAAGGTACTGCATACAGTATACTTTTAATCTTCCGTTACGAGAAAAATTCCAAGGCCAAACCAGAAAGTTAAAAACCTTAAATACAAATGACCGAAGAAGAGTTGATTCGTGAGAACCGTTGCTTTTGTGGCAGAAATCCAGCTGGAGGCAAAAAAAAAAAAAATACCCAACGACAACATGGAAAAACCACATTCAGCAAAAAGGACAACGATCCCTCGTTCCAGAACTGATGAACTTTGTGCATACAAATCTGGCCCCCTTGTGAAACGACAACGTGGGGGCAGTCCAGGAAAGCTTCCCCGGAGTGATGCCGAAGGCCAAACGACGGCAAAATTCCCAGCTTTTTTTTTCCTTCTTTTTTTTGGCAACAGGCAAAAAATGATATATATATAATAACAGTTGTGATCACCGTGAAAAAAATAAAAAAGACTGCTATTCACAACAGGGCAAAGCTGTCGAAGAGCAAAGCAGCTGCCAGGTTGTGTGTCCTGCGCCAAGAAACAGTTTACAGAGTTGCGTTCTTGCATCCGGGTGTGAATGCTAGGGCTAACGTTGGCACAGAACGAGTAGATCAAACCGGGATTTCAAACAGCACCAGGATTCGTGCATTTGGCTTCGGCGGGCGACACCGAGATTGAAAATTGTGTTGCAATTGTGTTGGCAAACTCAGCAAATCTGACGGGTTGTTTTTTTTTGTTTTGTTTTTGTCTTCCTGAAATGGCAAAGGAGACGCCGTTTTTGCTGCCGTCTGCCCGTTTGAAGCCTCGGGTGTTTGAAAAAGCGAATTCCCTCGCAGGTAAAAAAATATCTAATTAGATATTTAAAAAATAGCTAATTAGATATAAAAATTATTTCACTGCAAATCTCGCTGCATGGCCGATCTGCTTTCCGAGTAGCCTGCGATGGGATTTTTTTAAAAAAGAGAGACTTTTTTTGGAAGTAAAAACAACAACGAAGCAACCTCGATGTGATGGTTTTTTTTCCCCCAGGCTCACAAAACGTTTTGCCTTTAGAATGGCGTGACAGTCGGTAGGGAAAATAGCTGAGAAAATCCAGATATTTGAAATCCCGTTTAAGCAGCATTGAGCGGATGTTGCAAACAACCTCGGGGTATCGAGTGGTATTTTCAGCCGAAGAAAACGCGTTTGGTGGTGGAGAAAAAAAGAAAGAAATAAAAAAGGAGGAGAGAAAGAAAGACAGGAGGAGGAAAGAGCTAAACTGTGAAAAAAAAGATATCAAACAATATTGAATCGAAGCAACACAAACAACAGCCGCGCCCGGTTGCCATTTGGCACGCCAGATTTTGCATTCTGGATCAGGAGCGGGATCCAAACCGAAGATGAAGATGCAAAAAAAAAAAAAAAAAAAAAAAACCAAATCCATGTGGTGCTTTTTATAACAGCTGGCTTCGAAAGTCCTCGAAAGTTGGACGACAGCGCCCCTTCCTGGCTGTTTTAAGCAGAGCCGATGGCCGCGTGGATCGAAGTGCCGACTTCCGGAGGGTTTGCCAGGACGGCTGTCTGAAACTCGGTGGGGCAGCGGGATGAGAGGCTGCCCAGCAGTGTAAGCAGGAGGTTCCTGGCTTCTGCAGAGACCAAAAGAAAGGAAGTTAGTTAGGGAAGCTGGCAAGATTGGGCACCAGCTGGCACACAGTTCCTCCTTGCCTCGCCCGTTAAGCAGAGTGGCGAGGCAGATTTTAAAAAGACCGATGACAGGAAGTTCCTTGACTTAACAACCACAATGGAGTCCCCAAATTCTCTTGCTGAGCGAGACATCTGTTAAGTAAATTTTGCCCCCCCCCCCCGTTTTACGATCTTTCTTGCCACGGTCATTGAGTGAAGCCCTGCAGTTGTGTTAAGTTAGTGACACGGCTGTGAAGCGAATCTGGCTTCCCTATCGACTTGGCTCATCGGAAGGTCACCAAAAGGGAATCACGCGACCCACCGGGATGCTGCGACTGTCATAACTACGGATCGGTTGCCGTATTCAAGAACCGAGAATAAGCGTTTGAATTTTGATCACGTGACCACCGGGGATGGTGCTATGGTTGTTATGTGCGAAAACTGGTCCTAAGCAGAAGTGGTAATCAGCCGGTTCGGGCTGTTGTTACATGCGAAAACTGGCCCTAAGCAGAGGTGGTATTCATCCGTTTCGGGCGGTTGTTACGTGGGAAAACTGGTCCTAAGCAGAGGTGGTATTCATCCGTTTTGGGCAGTTGTTACGTGCGAAAATTGATCCTAAGCAGAGGTGGTATTCAGCTGGTTTGGGCGGTTGTTACGTGTTTAAACTGGTCCTAAGCAGAGATGGTACTCAGCCGGTTCGGGCGGTTATTACATGCAAAAACTGGTCCTAAGCAGAGGTGGTATTCAGCCGGTTCGGGCAGTTATTACGTCAAAAACTGGTCCTAAGCAGAGGTGGCATTTAGCCAGTTTGTACCAGTTCAGACAAACCGGTAGCAGCAACTGTGGGTGACCACCCACCCCAGCATAATGGCATCCTATTTAGCCACGTTTTTGAGGCCGGGCGCATGTGTGGAAGGCGTGTGAGCAAGCAAAGCACATGCAGGGAAGGCCAGGCGCATGCACAGAAGATGCGTGCGGTGAACCAGTGGTAAGTATTATGAAACCCACCGCTGGTCCTAAGTCACTTTTTTTTCCAGCGCCGTCAGAACTACGAACGGTCCCTAAACGGACTGTCGTAAGTTCGAGGACTCCCTGTATATTTTTCTCTCTGCTAGCAAATTATTTCGAGAGTTTACTCGCCGTTCAGAGTTTGTCGGGAGGAGAGCTTGTCTTTGTCTATATAGGCCAAGGCTTTCCCAACTTTAAGACCGGTGGACTTCAACTCCTAGAATTCCCCAGCCAGCCCTAACAGCTGAACAGCTGCGGGGCTTCACTTAACGACTGTGGCACGAGAAAGGTCATAAAATGGAGCAAAAATTAACTTCATATTTCGCTTAGCACCAAAATGTTTGGGGCTCCATTACGGTCGTAATACCTGTAACGTGTTCGGTTCTGATGGGGGCCCAGGTCCACCCTCCCCTCCATCTTGCTGGATTCACCCCAGCTGCCCCTTTTCACCGACCGCCTCTGCCTCCTTCGCCCATCCAGACAGGTTGGGTACCGTGGGAAGTGGGGGTCACAGGGAAAGGCTCCCCACCCCGAAGGGACGTCACGTACCTGTTGGAAGATTTTTGCAAGCAAGGACAGGGCCGCTGCTTCTCACGATCTCTGGAATCTGTTGCAATACCTTTCCGGAGAGAAAAATCCCCCAGAAAAACTACATTACAGGGAGTCCTTCGACTTACAACTCCAGGAAGTCCTCGAGTTACGACCACAATTGAGACCAGAATTTATGTTTCAAAGTGAAACATTTGTTATGGGAGTTTTTGCCCCGTATGACGACTATTTCTTGCCACAGCTGTTAAAAGAGAATCACACCGGTTGTTAAGTGAGTCACACGGTTGTTAAGTTGAATCTGGCTCCCCCGTTGACTTTGCTCGTCGGAAAGGTCGCAAAAAGGGGATCATGTGATCCCCCCCAGGACACGGCAAACTGTGGTAAATACAAGTCATTTGCCAAATGTCTGAATTTTGATGACGTGGCCACAACCGTTTTAAGTGTGAAAAACAGTCATAAGTCACTTTTTCGGAGCCGTTAACTTTGAACAGTCACTAAACAAACTGTTGTAAGTCAAGGACTGCCTGTATTCGTTTAGCGGCCGTTCCAAGTTACAACAGCATTGAAAAAAGTGATGAATGGCCATTTTTCACACTTACGACCGCTGCGACATCCCTGCGGTCCCCTGATCCAAATTCAGACACTGGCCAATAACTTGTATTTATGACGGTTGCAGAGTCCCTGGGGGGGTGTTTGTTATGCAATCCCCTTTTGCGACTTTCTGACAAGCAAAGTTCGAACGGGGGAGCCAGATTCAGTTAACGACCACGTGACTAACTGAACCACTGCAGGGATTCACCGAACAACCGCGGCAAGGAAGGTCGTCAAATTCGTTTAACCGATGTTTCGCGGAGCAACAGAAATTCTGTGCTCCATTTGCGGTCGTACATAGAGGACTAGTAGTTGCCTTTCCCCAGTCTTTTCCAGAAAGGATAAGGCATACCTCAAACATTATCCCACATTGTCTCATCAGCTGGTGGTACTTCAAGAGCAGTTGTAAGGCAGGGAAAGAGGATTAACAGAAGGGACCTTGGAGGTCTTCTAGTCCAACCCCGTTTAGGCAGGGAACCCTACACCACTTCAGACAAATGGTTATCTAACATCTTCTTAAAAACTTCCAGTGTTGAGAGCATTCACAACTTCTGGTGGCAAGCTGTTCCACTGGTGAATTGTTCTAACTGTCAGGAAATTTCTCCTTAGTTCTAAGTTGCTTCTCTCCTTGATTAGTTTCCATCCATCGCTTCTTGTCCTGCCCTCAGGTGCTTTGGCGAATAACTTGACTCCCTCCTCTTTGTGGATGTCACTGTGTGACTGTACACTGTGCAGTCACTGTCAGAGGGATCTTGGAGTCTTAGTGGATAACCAGTTAAATATGAGCTGGCAGTGTGCGGCAGCTGGTGCCATTGCTGACTATTGGGGGTGAATCGCTGGCCCCCACGGAGAGGGCTCGCAACTTGGGTGTCCTCCTGGATTCACGGCTGTCTTTAGAAGAGCACTTGACGGCCGTGACCGGGAGGATTTTTCATCAGGTTCGCCTGATTCGCCAGTTGCGTCCCTTTCTAGATCGGGACTCCCTACACACAGTCACTCATGCCCTCGTCACCTCCTGTCTGGACTATTGTAATGCTCTCTACATGGGGCTCCCCTTGAGGAGCACCCGGAGGCTCCAACTGGCACAGAGTGCGGCCGCGCAGGTGGTGATGGGAGCGACGTGGCGTTCCCATGTAACACCTCTCCTGCGCGAGCTGCACTGGCTCCCGGTGGTCTTCCGAGTGCGCTTCAAGGTTTTGTTTATCACCTTTAGAGCGCTCCATAGCTTAGGACCTGGTTATCTACGGGACCGCCTGCTACCACCAATAGCTTCCCACCGGCCGATACGCTCCCATAGAGAGGGGCTCCTCCGGGTGCCGTCGGCCAAGCAATGTTGACTGGCGGCCCCCAGGGGGAGAGCCTTCTCTGTGGGGGCACCTACGATCTGGAACGAGCTCCCCCCGGAGATACGGAGAATCCCGGATCTGCGCACCTTCCATCGCGCGCTCAAGACTTTCTTATTTCATCACTTCATCACCTAAGCCATTCCCCTTTTTACATGGAAATTTTAAATTTGTTTTTAAATTATTGGAGTTTTAAATTTGTTCAGCCAAATTATTTAATTCGTTTTATTTTATTTTAAATCTTGTATTTGTATGTTTTATTCTGTGGCTGTTCACCGCCCTGAGTCCTTCGGGAGGAAGGCGGTATATAAATTCAATAAAATACAAAAAAATACAAAAAAAAGCCAACACAATCCTAAATTGCATCAACAGAGGGATACAATCAAGATCAAATGAGGTACTAATACCACTCTATAAAGTCTATAGTACTGCATCCAGTTTTGGTCACCATGCTATAAAAAAGATGTTGAGACTCTAGAATAGGGGTCAGCAACCCACAGCTCTGGAGCCGCATGTGGCTCTTTCATCCCTCTGCTGCGGCTCCTTGTCGCCCATCGGCTCTACAATTGATAGGGTTAGGATCCTAATCTTCGGTTAGGATCTTTGGTTAGGAGGAGACTCTAGCGCTAGGATGCTGCGCTAGGAGGAGACTCTATGGTGGGGGAACCGGATTTCCGGTCGGCTCCAGAATTGAATGAGGGGCTTCCGGTTAGGATCTTTGTGGGTCTTTTGAGTGTTTTAAGGTTGCCGACTCCCGCTCTAGAAAGAATGCAGAGAAGAGCAACCAAGGATGATGAGGGGACCGGAGGCTCAAACATACGACGAACGGTTGCAGGAACTGGGCCTGGCTAGTCTAGTGAAGAGAAGGACCAGGGGAGACAGGAGAGCAGTCTTCCAATATTTGAGGGGCTGCCCCAGAGAGGAAGGGTGGGGCAAGCTATTTTCCAAAGCACCCGAAGGGCAGACAAAGGAATAATGGATAGAAACCGATCACGGGGAGATTCAACCTAGACCGAGTGGCTGTAGTTTCCGACGTCCCGATATAGTCAGTTGACACCATCGCTGACTATTGGGGGCGAATCGCTGGCCCCCACAGAGAGGGCTCGCAACTTGGGCGTCCTCCTGGATTCACGGCTGTCTTTAAAAGAGCACTTGACGGCCGTGACCGGGAGGATTTTTCATCAGGTTTGCCTGATTCAACAGTTGTGTCCCTTTCTAGATCGGGACTCCCTACACACAGTCACTCATGCCCTCGTCACCTCCCGCCTGGACTATTGTAACGCTCTCTACATGGGGCTCCCCTTGAGGAGCACCCGGAGGCTCCAACTGGTGCAGAGTGCGGCCGCGCGGGTGGTTATGGGAGCAACATGGCGCTCCCGTGTGACCCCCCTCCTGCGCGAGCTGCACTGGCTCCCGGTGGTCTTCCGGGTGCGCTTCAAGGTTTTGGTCACCACCTTTAGAGCGCTCCATGGCTTAAGACTTGGTTATTTACGGGACCGCCTACTACCACAAACAGCCTCCCACTGGCCGGTACGTTCTCATAGAGAGGGTCTCCTCCGGGTGCTGTCAGCCAAGCAGTGCCGACTGGCGGCCCCCAGGGGGAGAGCCTTCTCTGTGGGGGCACCCACTATGTGGAACGAGCTCCCCCCGGAGATACGGAGGATCCCGGATCTGCGCACTTTCCGCCGTGCTCTTAAGACCCTCCTATTCCAGCAAGCCGGCCTGGCCTAATTTTCTCCCCTTTCTTTTAAATGTTTAAATTGAAATTTTAATTTGTTTTAAATTATTGGGATTTTTAATTGTCTTGGGCTAAATTATTTAATTTGGTTTTAATTATGTTTCTAACTTTTGTATTTATGTATTTTATTTTGTGCCTGTTCACTGCCCTGAGTCCTTCGGGAGTAGGGCGGTATACAAATTTAATAAAACTAAACTAAACTGCCGTCTGTCAGAAATGGTGAAGAAACACCAAAAAATGGTGTAAGAGGTGTTGCCTCTTCCTGCCAGTAGAAGCCGGAGAAAAGGACACCCCACCTCTCTGCTCTGTAAACACGGAAAAAATCTCCCGGACTTTCCAAAACTTGGGGAAAAATAAATAACCCAATTCCAGGAACCGGAGGGGAATGGCCTACAACTTCAACCTTGGGGTTGATACCTTGAATGAACCCCATGTATAGTTGGTCCTCGACTTATGACCACAATTGATCCCCCAAATTTCTGTTGGTTAAGTGACTTGTTCCCATTTTACGACCTCTCTTGCCACAGTTGTTAACGCTGGGGTTGTTAAGTGAGGAACACGATAGTGAAGGGAATCTGGCTCCCTTCTCTTCCCCCCGCCCGTTGACTTTGCTCCCCAGAAGGTCACAAAAGAGGATCCCGTGTGAGCCTTGGGAAACTAAAACCGTCATAAATATGGATGTTGCCCAGCGTCCGAATTTTTGATCACCTGACCATTGGAATGCTGCAATGGTCGTAAGTGTGAAAAAGGATCCTAAATCGCTTTTTTTTCCAGTGGCGTCGTATCTCTGAATAGTCACTAAATGAACTGTTGCCCACAGGTAGTCTTCCACGTACAACCGTTCCTTTAGTGACTGTTCAAGGTTACAACAGCCCTGAACGAAGTGACTTACAAACCACATGATCAAAACTTGGACCCTCTTGGCAACCAATTTACGATGGTCGCACTGTCCTGGGGTCTTAGGATTCCCCCTTTTGCGACCTTCCGATGAGCAGAGTCAATGGGGGGGGGGAAACCAGATTCGTTGAACAACTGCACGATTCACTTAACGACCGCCGCGGATTCGCTTCCCTACTGCAAAAGGAGGTCATAAAATGGGGCGCAACTTGCTTAAGGACGGCCATAGAAATGTGGGACTCGACTGTCGTAAGTCGTCGAGGACTTACCTGGATTCGGGTGTCAAGCTTCCTTCTCAAAGCATGGCCGAGATGACGAGCGAAGGGGAAACCAACTTGAGAGGGAGCCAATCCCCTAAAGACAGGGGGGATCCCCAACCCACGGGGCGTTGCCATGGACCGGCAACGGGCCACGGCATGCCGAGAACCGGGCCGCGCAAACAAGCGAAGCCCCATCCGTGGGATGCAGGCAGAAGTGGTATTCAGCCGGTTTGGACCGGTTCACCCGTACCGGTAGCGGAAATTGCAGCACGCGAAATCACATCTTCTCCAGTCCGTGGAAAAACCACTTTCCAAGGAACCGGTCCCTGGTGCCCCAAAAGTTGGGGACCGCTGCCCCTAAGGACTTCTCCTTCCTGGTGGGACAGAGACTCACCTGCGACGGGTCGTTTTCGTAGATAAAGGTGATACAACGGTAGACGGTTTTGTATTCCTCGAAGTCCTCTCTCAGCGGCAGGGCGCGAAGCAGGACAGGGAAAACCTGTTGAGAAAGAGGGTTAGAGGACAAGCCAGCGATTCAAGAGTCAGGAGGTTCACGATCCTGTAGGGATCCTAACATGGTTTGGCTCCTTATCAAGCGATTCTCCTGGGAGTTCTAGTTCCACCTTAGGCATGAAAGCTGGCTGAGTGTCTTTGATCCAATCATAAGAAGCCTGGGAGTTCTAGTTCCACCTTAGGCATGAGAGCTGGCTGGGTGTCCTTGGGCCAATCATCAGGCGCCTGGGAGTTCTAGTTCTACTTTAGGCATAAGAACTGGCTGGGTGTCCTTGGGCCAATCATCAGAATGGGAGTTCTAGTTCTACTTTAGGCATAAGAGCTGGTGGGTGTCCTTGGGCCAATCATCAGGCGCCTGGGAGTTCTAGTTCCATCTCAAGTACCGAAGCCATCTGCGTGACTTTGGACCAATCACCAGGAGACAGTGAGTTCTAGTCCTGGCTTAGGCATGAAGCATGGCTGGGTGACTTTGGGCCAATCACCAGGAGATGGTGAGTTCTAGTCCTGCCTTAGGCCTGAAAGCCGGTTGGGTGACTTTTGAGTCAATCCCTCTCTCTCAGAACTAACCCACCTCACAGGGTGTGATGAGGAAAAGAGGAAGAAGTATTAAGTATTAATACTTAAGTATTAAGTAAGTATTAAGTATAAGTACTTAAGTATTAAGTATGTTCTCCGCCTTGGGTTACTGATCAAGTAATAAAGGCGGGATTTAAAAAAAAAAATTGAAGACAGTAAATAAAACACAAGCCAACCAAATAGCTAATTCCACCTTACTAACCAAGATGAAAAAAATACCTCCTGTTGTAGTTTCCCTCCATGGCGGTAGCCCTGAGGACCTTCCCTCCACGCTCACACAGACACACAAAAATTGTGTTTTACCTGTTCAACGGGCATTCCTCCAGGATTGGTCATTAGCATCCTCGCAACGGCCCCGCAAACGTTGTCAGTTACTCGGTTGTTTCGCTCTTGAGAAATGAGATTGGATAAAAGCGCCAGAATTTTGGGATAGTATCTGGCCAGGTCAAAAGAGGTTAAGGGAAAAAAAATTGTGTATGTGTTGTGTTGTGTTGTGTTGTGTTGTGTTGTGTGTGTAGAGAAAGGCACACACACTCTGTTCCTTCCTGGGGCAATGTACTGTACAGCTCGACATACGATCACAACTCAGCCCAGAATTTCGGTCGCCTAAGTGAGACCGTCGTTAAGTGAGTTTTGCCCCGTTCAAACGACCTTCCTTGCCGCGGTCGCAAAGTGAATCACGGCAATTGTTAAGTGAACCTTGCTTCCCCCTGTTGACTTTGCTGGTCCGAAAGGGGATCGCGTGACCCTGGGAACGCTTGCAACCGTCGCAAATACGAGTCGGTGGCCGAGAGTCTGAATTTCGAATCACGTGACCGCCGGGAATGCCTCGACGGTCGTTAAGTGTGGAAAACTAAGTCGCTTTCCCCCCCCCAGTGCCGTTGTGACTTTGAACGGTCGCTAAACGAACCGTCGTTAAGTCGAGGACTAGCTGTATATGTAAGATAAATTAATAGAAACTCGGAGAATTCAACGGTGTGAATCTCCCACCGTCTCTTTTTACAGCCCTGATATGATAGAAGAGGTTGGTTTCTGAGTTTCTTCCTCTGTCCGTTGTGCAGCTCTGGGCTATGCCGGCTCTTATCTAATCGTTTCGTAAACTCCTTCTTCTTCCTGGTCCCCCAAGGCCATTCCCACGTATGATTTCAGCCCTCCCTCCCTCCCCCCGTGCAGATGGGATCAAGGATACTCATACATGGCTTCCCTGCCGTGCTCCGCCAGGACGCCCAGCCCGAAGACGGCATTGCTGCGTACTTCTTGGTCCTCGTCGCGGGCCGCCCCCATCAGCAAGGGCAGCAGGTGGGGTACGAAAGAGCTGGAGGCCCCTCCCAGGCCCTGGACCGTTTCTGCAATGACGCCCACGGCGAAGGATTTGTCCGCGGTGGAACAGGAAGGTTTCTGCAAAAGGAGAACGGGAAGGAAGGAAGGAAGGAGTTGAGAGAGAGACAGAGAGACAGAGAGAGAGAGGGAGAGGGAGAGAGAGAGAAGTTTGCTCTTGGTCTGAATGCGGAAGGGTAGCCCCAAAGGCAAATTGGACTTTGTTTTTCCTTGAAGGGGTTTCGCTCCTCATCCAAGAAGCTTCTTCAGTTCTGAGTGAATGGTGGAGAACGGAAGGATTTATATTCCTTTGCAGTCATCTGGTCGTTAGTAGTCTCTCTGAGAGTCACTGAGGCCGCTTGGAGGCTTATCTGTGTCCTCCCTCTGAATCAGAGTGCAAATGGGTGAGGAACTTTTTTTTGAAACTGCCGAAAGGACGGAGTTGTAAACCTCTTGGGGAAAAAAAAAGCATTTTGGGGACATCCGTGACCTGGGTGACGGAGAATCTCCAGAGACACGAGGAAGGGGAAGCAAAGCCAGAGCATGAGTGCTCGGAGTAAACCTCGTAGTAGAGGGAGGCGGGGAGGGGGCAGCGATAGGATGGTCGGCTGGGGGTTCCAAAGCAGCAGAAATGTTAATATTCTTTTGAAGAGTTCGGTCCTTTTATACTAGGAAGGGAAGAGAAGAGAAGGGAGGAAGGAAGGAAGGAAGGGAAAGGAGGGAGGGGGGAAGAGGGGGTGGAAGGTGGAAGGGAGGGAGGAAGGAAGGAAAGGAAGAAGAAAAAGGGAGTGAGGAAGAGGGAGGGGAAGGAGGGAGGGGAAGGTGGAAGGAAGGAAAGGAGGGAGGGAGGAAAGGAAGAGAAGGGAGGAAGGGAGGGGAAGGAGTGAGGAAGAGGGAGGGGAAGGTGGAAGGAAGGAAAGGAGGAAGGGAGGGGAAGGAGGGAGGAAGAGGGAGGGAAAGGAGGAGAAGGTGGAAGAAAGGAAAGGAGGGAGGAAGGAAAGGAAGAGAAGGGAGGAAGGGAGGGAAAGGAGTGAGGAAGAGGGAGGGGAAGGAGGGAGGGAAGATGGAAAGAAGGAAAGGAAGATAAGAGAAAGGGAGGGAGGGAGGGAGGAAGAAGAGGAAGAGGAAGGGGAGAGGGGAAGGGGAGGAAGGAAGGGAATGCAGTGAGGAAGGGAGGGAGGGAAGAAGGGGAAGGAGGGAAGGGAACAAGCGAGGGAGGGAAGGAAAGGCCCCAATTCCCATTAGTTGAAGATGGCCTTCAAGAATGACTCCCCGCCCCCCAAAAAAAGTTATTTTGGGGCGGAATGTGTGAACCCAAAGCACAAACACAAGCAAGGCCTCCTTGAGACAAACCAAAAGACCAAATTCTCCGGCCACACCTGCTGGAAGGACAGGTAAAGGGAAGAGCCACAAATCCACCAGCCCAAGACGCAAAAAAAAAAAAAACTGAGTTTAACGTTGTAAGTCGCCTCGCGCCAAGACGGGGCGGCAAACCGGTTGAATACAATAATAATAATAATAATAAAAAAAAAAACCCCTAAGCTCACCATCTTATTGAGGAGTAGCGGCAAGAAGCCGGCGAAGTAAGGAGCGAAGACGTCGCCTCCGGTCGCTTCGGCGAGGATGGGGATCAACTCCCCGGCGTACTCGATCAGCATGCAGTCGTATTCCGCCTGCTGGGGAGAGGAGCAGGGGTAGAGGGAGGGGTGAAGTTTTGGCGTTCTTCGAACCCAGGACCCTGCCTCTCCCTCACCTCCGACGGAGGCCCAAGATGGAGGCTCTCAAACCCAGGATCCCATCTCTCCCTCACCTCCGACGGAGGACAAAGACGGAGGCTCTCCCGTCCCATCATCCTTCCCCTTGGCAGCCGCCTTCGGAGACGAGAGCGGTGGGCTAAGATCTGGGCACTGTCCTCGGGTAGGAAAAAGTGGAGGCTCCCCCACCCCCAAACTGCAGGGAGTCCTTGAGATAGACATAGACGTAGATGGATAGATAGATAGATAGACAGACAGATAGTGATATAGATAGATAGATAGATAGATAGATAGATAGATAGATAGATAGATAGATAGATAGATAGACAGACAGTGATATAGAGATAGAGATAGAGATAGCCTGATATATAGAGATAAATAGAGATAGAAAGATAGATAGATAGATAGATAGAGAGATATAGAGAGATCGAGATAGATAGAGATAAACATATAGATAAGAGATACGGTAGATAGATATAGATATATATAGAGAGAGAGATTGATATATAGATATAGATATACTGTATATATATATATATAGAGAGAGAGAGAGAGAGAGAGAGAGACAGAGAGAGAGAGAGTGATAGACAGAGATAGAGATATAGAGATATAGACAGACAGTGAGATAGATAGATAGATAGAGTGATATAGACAGTGATATAGATAGATAGATAGATAGATATAGACAGTGATATAGAGATAGAGATAGACTGATATATAGAGATAGATAGATAGATAGATATCGAGATAGATATAGAGAGATCGAGATAGATAGTTAGAGATAAACAGATATAGATAAGAGATACGGTAGATAGATATAGATATATAAATAGATATAGAGATAGATTGATATATAGAGATAGATATACTGTATATAAATATATATATATAGAGAGAGAGATAGTGATAGATAGAGATATAGAGATATAGATAGATAGATAAGATAGATAAGATAGATAGATAGATAGATGTATGGTAGATAGATATAGAGAGAGACATAGATATAGATATGTAGATAGATAGATAGATGTAGATTTTTTTAGTCACACTAGATGCTGTTTTAGGACCTCTTTCCAGAGCACGATACCGAAGTCTTTTGAGATTGAAGGATGCCAATGACTAGACAGAGATGATAGAGATATAGATATAGATCTCTGATCTATCTACTTATCTACCTATCTATCTATCTATCTTAAAATTATATACACACACATATATATATATATTGCAGTGTGGCCGTTAAGAGAAGACAGTGGCTGCAAAATGAACGCGGCGGTCATTAAATGAACACCGTCATCGTTCGATGGGATTCGGAGAGGATGGATTCCCAATCTTACTTCGTCACTGTCATCATCTTCATCTTCCTCGTTGTCCTGACAGGCTACCTACAGAGGGGAAGGAGAGTGAAAATTCAATTTTTTTTTTTACACACCGAATCCCGACGGTTTTGTTTGCCCACAAAGATGCCCACCGGCTACGCGGAGTTTGGATCCGATGTTTAGACTGGGAGCAATTCACGGACCGCCCTCTGCGCCCAGGGCTACAAACAAGAGTCCTCGACTTACGACCAGAATGGAAACCCCAAAATTTCTGTTGCTACGCGAGGCCAATTGAGTGAGTTTGGGCCCATTTTTTTTAGGACTTTGGCCAGCGTCGTTCAGCGAATCGCCGCGGCCGTTCAGTGACTCGTGGGGTCGTTAAGCGAATCCAGCTCCCCCACTGACTTTGCTTGTCAGAAGGTCGCAAAAGGCGACGGCGTGGACGCCGTGGCCATTGTAAGTCCGAGTCGGCCGACAAGCGCCTGAATTTTGATCGCAGGAACACGGGGAGGTTGAAACGGTCGTTAAGTGTGAAAAGGGCCGTAAGTCTCTTTTTTTTGTCAGTGCTGTTGTGACCTTGAGCTCAAGGAAAGGTCGTAAGTCGAGGAGTTTGTGTAATGTAGCGGAGGAGGAAGGGGAAGGGGAGGGGGAGGGGGAGGAAGAGGAAGAGGAAGAGGAAGAGGAAGAAGGCTCACTTTCTGTTCGAGCACCTCCCGCACCACCCGGCAGAGGTCGATCAGCTGGGCCGGCTCCGGAAGGACGTCCCTCTTGCACTCCTTCACCACTTTGGCCAGGACCTCCAGGACGGCCATGACCACCTCGCGCTCGTGGTCCTCCTGCGCTCCTTTCAGGTAGACGGGCAGCAGGGTGGAGACCAGCTTCTGAAAGGCTGTTGGGAGGGAGGGAAAGAGGGAAAGAGGGGAGGAAGGGAGGAGGGAGGGAGGTGGGAATGAGAAGGAAGAAGAGAGAGAGGGAGGAAGGAAGGAAAAAAGAGAAGGACGGAAGCACAGAGTAAGGGAGGTGGGAAGGAGAGGGAGAGAGGGAGGGAAGGAGGAGATAAGAGGGGAGGAAGGAAGGAAGGAGGGAGGTGGGAAATGAGAAGGGAGAGAGAGGAGAGGGGGAGTAAGGAAAATAGAGGAGGAAGGAAGGTTGGAGTAAGGGAGGTGGGAAGGAGAGAGAGGGAGGGAGGGAAGGAAATAAGAGGGGAGGAAGGAAGGAGGGAGGGAGGTGGGAATGAGAAGGAAGAAGAGAGGGGGGAGTAAGGAAAATAGAGGAGGAAGGAAGGTGGGAGTAAGGGAGGTGGGAAGGAGAGGAGGGAGGGAAGGAGGAGATAAGATGGGAGGAAGAAGGAGGGAGGGAGGTGGGAATGAGAAGGAAGAAGAGAGAGGGAGGGAGGAAGGAAAAAGAGAAGGACGGAAGAACAGAGTAAGGGAGGTGGAAGGAGAGAGAGGGAGGGAGGAGGGAAGGAGATAAGATGGGGAGGAAGGAAGGAGGGAGGGAGGTGGGAATGAGAAGGAAGAAGAGAGAGAGGGAGGAAGGAAGGAAGGAAAAAGAGAAGGACGAAGGACAGAGTAAGGGAGGTGGGAAGAGAGGGAGGGAGGGAGGGGAGGAGGGGAGGAGGAGATAAGAGGGGAGGAAGGAAGGAGGGAGGGAGGGGGAATGAGAAGGAAGAAGAGAGAGAAGGGGGAGTAAGGAAAATAGAGAAGGAAGGAAGTTGGAGTAAGGGAGGTGGGAAGGAGAGGGAGGGAGGGAAGGAAGAGATAAGGGAAGGAAGGAAGGAAGGAGGGAAGTGGGTATGAGAAGAAAGAGAGGGAGGGAAAGAAGGAGAGAGAGGGAGTATGGAAAAAAAGAGAAGGAAGGATGGAGGAAGGGAGGGAGGTGGGAATGAGAAGGAAGAAAGGGAAGGAAGGATGGAGGGAGGAAAGAAGAAAAGCAAGGAAGTGGGAAAGAGAAAGAAGAAGAGAGAGAGGAAGTTAAGGGAAAAGAGAAGGAAAGACGGAGTAAGAGAGGTAGGAATGAGAGGGAGAGAGGGAAGGAAGAGAGAAGAGGGGAGGAAGGAAGGAGGGAGGAAAGGAGAAGGACAAGGAAGGGAAGGAGGGAGGGAATGAGAAAGAAGAAAAGAGAGAGACGGAGTAAGGAAAAGGAGAAGGAAGGACGGACGGAGTAAGGGAGGTGGGAATGAGAGGGAGAGAGGGAAGGAAGGAAGAGAGAAGAGGGGAAAAAGGAAAGAAGGAGAGAGAGAAGGAATAAGGAAAAAGAGAAGGAAGGAAGAACAGAGGAAGGAAGGTGAGAATGAGAGGGAGGGAGTGAAGGATGGAGGGAAGAGAAGAAGGAGGGAGGGAGGAAAAAGGGGAGGAAAAGGAAGGGAGAGGAAAGGGAAGGAGGGGCGGGAGAAAGCAAAGAGAGAGAGAGAGGGAAGGGAAGGAGAAGGAGGGAGGGAAGAGAAGAAGGAGGGAGGAAAAAGGAAGGAAGGAGAGGAAAAAAGACAGAAAAGAGAAAAGGAGGAGGGATGGAGGAAGGAAGGAAGGAAAAAGAAAAGGAGGGAGGGAGGGTGAGGGAAAGGAAGGGAGAGAGAAGGGAGAGAGGGAACAAGAGGAGAAGGGAGGAAAGGGAAAGAGGAAGGAGGAAAGGAAGGGAAAACAGAAGGGAGAAAGGGAGAGAGGGAGGAAAACAAGCAAAGGAATGAATAACGCAACCTTTTAAGACCCCTGACCTGTCTGTCATCAGGAACAACTTGATGAGCGATGCCCTTCCGGATAGCCAAATACCGCCATCTTCCTCCCGGGACGCCCCATTGGCAGGTTTTGGGGGGGGCGGGCCCTCTCAACACCCCGTCCCCCCTCCCGGCAACCCACTCACCCGCCACGTGAGTTTCGGACGGCTCCTGCTCGCACACCCGATGCAGCGAAACGATGAACTGTCCCAGGGCTTCGAACGCGGCTTTCCGTACCCGAATGTGGGGGCACTAAAAAAAAGGGGAAGCCCCCCCCCCCCAGCCCCGAGAAAACCCCCCCCCCCCAATGTAGGATGCTGCAATTTGTGAGCTCTCGCCTCACAATCAGGAGGCCGCGAGTTCGATCCTAAGTAGAGGCAGATATTTCTCTCTCTGGGCACGATGAGAATTTATCTGCCGAACAAAACTCCGCCCTGACAACAGGAAAGGCATCCGGCCAGTAAACACTCAGCTCCATTCAGTTGCCCAGATTCCACCCCGCAAGGGATTATGGTCATTAAAAGATGATGATGATGATTAGAACTATACAGACAGTCCTCGACGTACGACCAAGAATAGAGTTCTGCTCGTTTCGGGTGGCATGTCACGGACCGTCGTAAAACGGGTCGTGTCGCCGCTCGCCTTCTGGACCTGTACAGGCAGTCGTTCGCTTAAGACGGCAAATTGAGGGCAACGTTTTCGTGGCTAAGCAAAGCACCCGTTCAATGAGCTGCGTCCCAGTTTACAACCTTTTGGCCACGGTCGTTAAGCGGATTGCGGCGGTGGTTAAACGAATGACACGGTCAGTGAGCCAATCTGGCTTTCCTCCCCCATTGGCTCAGCTTCTCAGAAGACGGCTGGGAAGATCGCCAAAAGGGATCCCATGATCCCGTGGTGTGTAACCATGGTAAATGGGCAAATTTTGATCATGGGACCCCGGGGATGTTCCCACGGTCGTAAGTATGAAAACCAGTCATAAGTCAGGGCTTTTTTTTTTCCAGCGCAGTTGTAACTTTGGTCACTGAACGAATGGTTGGTAAGTTGAAGATTATCTATACAGGAAATCCTTAACATATGACCGTAAATGGAACCCTGGCCATTAGGGTTTTACAACATAACGGTCGATGTCAAAACGTTTTTCGAGGTGGTCGTAAAACAAACACAGCAGTCGTTAAGTGAACCAAGGTGCGGTTTTCTAGCAAAACGGTCGTAAAACCTAGTCACGTGACCGCAGGACGCTGCAAATGACCCTAAATGCGTCCGTTTGGCTGCACCTACAAGCTTTGCTCACATGGACCATGGAGGGGGCCCGACTGTCAAAATGTCAAAACCCAGGTCATAAGTTCTTTTTTTCCATCGCAGCTCCAAACGGTTGCTAAACGGACGGTCGTAAGTCGAGGACTACTTGTAAAACATACAATGATTCGAGGCGGTTCGGTCTCATTCAGCTTTTCTTGAGTGATGGTCTTTCCAAAGACCACCCCTCCAAAAATTTTTTTCCTGCAAGCGATAACCCTCCTCCCGGGTCACGGCCTGGCCTTACCGGCAGTAACTGGGACACTTCCTGGAACGAGGTCTCGATGTAAGGCAGGAAGGGCATACTGAGGAAAAGAAAAAGAGAAAGGAAGGAGGGAAGGACGGAAGGAAGGAACAAAGGAAAAATGAAGAATTTCTGGAGCAAAACAGCTTTTTTCCAAGTTGCTCTCCCCAGATACTGCTTGGTTCCAATCACCAGGAGATGGGGAATTCTAGTCCTGCCTTAGGCATGAACACCGGCTGGGTGACTTTGAGCCAATCACCAGGAGACGGGGAATTCTAGTCCCGCCTTAGACATGAAAGGCAGCTGGGTGACTTTGAGCCAATCACCAGGAGACTGGGAATTCTAGTCCCACCTTAGGCATGAAAGGCAGCTGGGTGACTTTGAGCCAATCACCAGGAGACAGGGAATTCTAGTACCACCTTAGGCATGAAAGCCAGCTGGGTGACTTTGAGCCAATCACCAGGAGACGTGGAATTCTAGTCCCGCCTTAGGCATGAAAGCCAGCTGGGTGACTTTGAGCCAATCACCAGGAGACTGGGAATTCTAGCACCACTTTAGGCATAAAAACTGGCTGGGTGACTTTGGGCCAATCACCAGGAGACTGGGAATTCTAGTACCACTTTAGGCATAAAAGCTGGCTGGGTGACTTTGGGCCAATCACCAGGAGCCTGGGAATTCTAGTACCACCTTCGGCATGAAAGCCGGTCGGATGACTTTGGGCCGATCGATCTCTCTCAGCCCAGCCTGCCTCACAGGGTTGTTGTCGTGTGGAAAAAAAATAACAGGAGGAGCAAGGAGCATTATATATGCTCGCCCCTTGAGTTATTTATAAAGGTGGCTTAATAACATCAAATAAATAAATAAATAAATAAATAAATAAATAAATAAATAATATTTATATTTATATTTATATTTATATTTATATTTATATTATTTATATTTATATTTATATTTATATTTATATTTATATTTATTTATATATATTTATATTTATATTTATATTTATATATAGAGAGAGAATTTAGGAAAATCCGCAGAGATCTGAGTTACCAGATGCTGGCGGCAATTTCTCCCAGGGCTATGCAGGCGTCTTCCTTCTCGTCCATAAAGACACTTCGAACGCACATCCTAGGGGGGGGCAGAAGAAAAGGTGAAGCCCACTCACCTTAAAATAGCAGAGACCGCGAAACCCCGACCTCAAATGGAAGTTTCTAGTCCACATGAACACTTCTATGTTTCTAGTCCACGTGAATGCTGAGGACATTTTTCCGAACAGGAAGACAGCGCCCAGGGACAGGCCGTCCTCGACTTCACGACCACCACCGAGCCCGACATTTCGGTGGTTAAGTGTGACCCTGGTTAAGGGAGTTTGATCCCCATTTGACGACCTTTCTTGCCGAAGTTGCTAAGCGAATCGCTGCCGCTGTTAAATGAACAACACGGTTGTGAAATGAATCTGGCTTCCCCACCGATTTGGCTCGTCAGAAGGTCGCAAAAGGGGGGGAATCACGCGACCGTCATAAAGACGAGTCGGTTGCTGGCAAAGCGTCTGAATTTGGATCTTGGGACCGTGGGGATGCCCGCAAACGGCCATTAAAGTGTGAGAAATGCTCATATTTCACTTTTTTCAACGCCGTCGTTAACTTTGAACGGTCACTAAAGGAACCGTTGTTAAGTCGAGGAGTATCTGTACAAGCTCAGAAACCGGGAAGGAAGGTAACGAAACTCGTACTCGTGCCCTTATCCTGCATCTGTCCGTCCCACGAAAAAAGGCGCAGCTTTTTTTTCAGAGGACGAAACAAATTTGAGGGACAAAACCAATTTTTGTGGGACGAAACAAATATGGGACTCCAACAAACCCTCATCCTGGGATGAAGAAAATTACCCCAAGGCGTCCGAGTCTTCTTCATCTTCCTCGTCGGTAAGAGTTTCTTCCCCTTCCACCTCTGCTTCCTCTTCCTCGTCGTCAAATAACAGGAAGGAGTTTCCCGAATTGAGAGGGGGCTACGAGAAAAAAAAACAAAACAAAACAAAACAATAGCAACTTTGGTTAGTGACGATCCACCATCTTCGTCAAATATCAAAGCAGCCCACTGGGTTAGAATCCCGAATCGACGTATATCCATGAAGCCCCTCGGTGGGTTTGGGAATCGAATCAGGTTTGAGATCTTTCCTGGCTAAAATTAATCCCGAGAAGGGGTGGGATTCTACCGGTTCGGACCGGTTTGGTAGCTCCGATGATCAGCTGGGAGCAAACCGGTTCGCTCCGACGATCAGCTGGGTCTGCCTGCCCGCCCTGCGCTTTACTTACTTATATCTTCGCAGCTGATTAGCGCGGCAGAGCGGATTGCCGCCCCTCAGCTGTTTTAATTCCCTAGCGCCGTGATGGTGAACCTATGGCACGCGTGCCACCAGTGGCACGCGGAGCCATATCAGTGGGCATCTGAGCGTTGCCCTAGCTCAGCTCCAGCACGCATGTGCATGCCAGCCAGCTGATTTTCGGGCCTTCTGGGCCCACCGGAAGTCAGGAAACGGGCCATTTCCGGCCTCTGGAGGCCTTCCGGGGTGGTGTGGAAGGCCGTTTTCACCCTCCCCAGGCTCCTAGAAAGCCTCTGGAGCTGTTGTGGCTCCGTTACCTGAGCCTGTGTCATCGGCAGGAGAGGACTCCAAGAGTGAAGGAGAGGAGTTGGCAAGGCCTCCTTCTCCAGGACCCTCCTCTCTGGCAATGCCTTCGGTGTCCGCCGAAGGGCAAGAGATAGGGCCGGGGCCAAGCACGTCCACGCAGCCACAGATGGACAGTGATGAGGGTAATGAGTCTTGGCTGGATCCTCGGCAGCGTCGCAGAGATAAGCGCGCGCAACAGAAGAAAAGGCGTGCCAGAGATTAGGCTGAGTCACTGGAACACACCCCACAGGGTATAAAAGGGGGTGAGGTGGCCATTCAGACTCTGTGACGGACAAAACTAACTACTCTCGAGTCACATTGCATCTTTGGAAACAACATTATCGGCCTTGGATTTATTTTACGAACTGGACCATTCTTGACTGTGGGTATTTTGTTTATTGAGTAAAAGTTCTTGGCAAGCAGCTACTGGGTTGCTGCCAAGCGTCTTATCGGAAGAATTGGTTGTCTGCCAGTTTATTTAACCCCCGGCTGTCTGTTTGTGTGCGTGTGTGAGACGGGGACAGAACAGGAGCCTGGGGAGTGGGAAAAATGGGCCTACAGGGCCCATCATGCCATTGCGTGCCAAAAGCGGGGGAAGCGCGGGGGGTGTCACGTGGGCATGCATGGGGGAGGGGGCGGGGCGCATTGAATTATGGGTGTGGGCACATGCGCGCGCAGCCCCCCCGGGGCCCCTCCGCTTTTGGCACGCAATGGCAAAAAGGTTAGCCATCGCTTCCCTAGCACTAACGCGGAAGGTGATTTTTCGTTGTTAAACCGGTAGGATCCCACCACTGATCCCGAGACTTAAGATTTCAGTTCCCCTGCGGACAGAAGTGAAAACCCGAGTTTTAAAGAAAACGAAAACGAAAAGGAAGATTGTGTAGCAAATGTAGGAAATCTGGGCGACTTAGAAGCAGAATGAGAATGAAAACAATGGGTAGAAGGGAATATTTGTATTTTAGGGTTGAATCGCGGGGTCCTTGGGGGTGTGTGTGTGTCTCTAAGCTGGTTTGTTTTCTCGCGGACGTCTCGTGAACCAACTCGGTAACAATATCAGTGCTATGGGGGTTTGCGGAATGGAGGAGGAAGAGGAGGACTGTGGGGTCCTTGGTGCTCTCTGAGCTGATTTGGTTTCTCGCGGACGTCTCATGACCCAACTAGGTAACAATATCAGTGCTACGAGGGAGTAGGGTTTGTGGAGTGGAGGAGGAGAAAGAAAACTGTGGAGTCCTTGCTTCTCTCCAAGCTGATTTTCTCGCAGACGTCTCATGACCCAACTAGATAACAATATCAGTGCTATGAGGGATTACCGAATGGAGGAGGAAGAGGATGACTGTTGGGTCCTTGGTGCTCTCTTGAGTTGGTTTGTTTTGTCATGGACGTCTCGTGACCCAACTAGGTAACAATATCAGTGCTACAAAGGTTTGCGGAGTGAAACTGTGGGTGCTTGGTGCTCTCTGAGCCGATTTGGACGTTTCAAGACCCAATTAGATAACAATATCAGTACTCCGAGGGACTAGGGTTTGAAGACTGGAGGAGGACGGTGGGCAACCTTGGTGCTCTCTGAGCTGGTTTTCTCACAGACATCTAATGACCCAACTAGGTAACAATATCAGTGCTACGAGGGAGTAAGGGTTTACACAATGGAAGAGGAGAACTGTGGGGTCCTTGGTGTTCTCTGAGCTGGTTTTCTCGCAGACGTCTTATGACCCAACTAGGTAACATCATCAGCGCTCCGAAGACTGCTCCCTCCCATTCTTTACTGCAGGTTGATAAATATTTTGACAAGTTTTGGCTCTACAGACAAGAATCAATATTTAAGGAACGAACTGATTGACTACAAATGCAGGAGTCGAAATTTAAAGGAAATTTAAATTTAAAGAAATTTAAAGGAAATTTAAAGGAAACAACTCCAAGAAGAGAACGAAATTCCCAAGACACATCAATTACAATTTCAAACCAAAAAATTCTTGAAAATAAAAGCAGGGGGAGAAGTAATCCTGAAGAAGGAAGTATTATTGATGAAGGACTGGAAAAAATATAAAAAGAAAGAAAGACTGGTTATATTTGGGAGATTCTTTTATGATGTTAAAAGGTTTAACTAAAGTTGGATAACTTTTTGAACTTTATCGTAGTTTTAAAGTATTGAAGTTTAAAGATGGCTAATTTAAAAATTAATGGATCACTTCTTGAAAGTTTTGAAACTTATATTTTGGAGAATGTTCTCTTAATGTATTGAGAGATTTTAAAATGCTTAAATTAAGATTATAGTGATTTTTTTTCTTTATAAATGTGAAATGTGATAGGAGAATTTATAAAAGGAAGGTTGAAGTAGAATTTTTAAAGGGGGAGTGAACGAGTGTGAGAGAGTTTTGCATCCTGTAGTAGTTAGTATATTTTAGCTTATGTTTATTAAATGCTATATTCTGGTTTTGCTCTGGGAAGTCGAGGGGGGGGAGTTGGGGAGGGGGGGTTGGAGGGGGAAATGATGTATAATAATTCATTTTGTATTGTTTGGTTATTTGAACATAAAAAAATAAAAACTTTTGTTGGAAAAAAAAAAAAAAGAACAAGACCGCTCCCTGAACCTCAAGTGCGATTCGAAAGACTAAAACTCAGCAATTGGAAAATCTCACCTTGATGCCCTCGGTGGATTTCAGGGAATAAATCAAAAGCGTCGTTATCCGAGGCAGGTACGGGGTGATCGAATCCCCCATGACGTTCGCGAGAGAGCTGAAAAGGCTGTACCTAAAAGGCGGCAGAAGATCCTGGCTTAAAAAAAAAGGCTCGTTTTGGGCATTGGAAACCCCAAAAAAATTAACATTACAGGTCGTCCTCGACTTACGATGATCTGTTTAGTGACTATTCGAAGTTACGACGGCACTTTAAAAAGTGACGTGACTGTTTTTCACGCATCTGTTGTCAGCAGCATCTCCCCCCCCGTGGTCACGTGATCAAAATTCTGACCGACTCGTATTTATGACGGTCGCAGTGTTCCGGGGGGGAGGGTCATGAGAGCCACCTTTGCGACCTTCTGACGAAGCCAGATTCACTTAACAACCATGTTAACTTGCTTAACCACCGCAGTGATTTGCTCAACAACGGTAGTGAGGAAGGTTGTAAAACAGGGCAAAAATTTACTTCACGGATGTCTCGCTTAGTGATGGAATGTTTGGCCTCGATTGCGGCCGTAAGTCGAGGACTACCTGTACACTGAGAACATTCTCCCACCCCCGCAGCGGACAAAGGTCCTGGGGTCATGTGATCACCTTTCCAGCCTCAAGGGGGACGCTGAATTTGCTTAATGACAGTCTGATTCACTTAACGACCTCCACTTACGACCGATCGCTTAGTGACCGTTCAAAGTTACAGCGGATCCCACACAGCTACTTACAACCCAGATTTGTGAGGAGAAAGAGTCCTTTTAACAAGCCCATAATCCCTTGCGGAGTGGAGTCTGGGCAACTGAATGGAGCCAGCAGAGTGTTTTTTAATGGCCAGATGCCTTTCCTGTCACCAATGAGGAGTTTTGTTCAGCAGATATATTCTCAGGGTGCCCAGAAGGCACCTTCAAACATGGTGACAATTTCCCATCACTGAAAATCCACCCGTATACGGTAGGCTGGGGTTCAAACGGAACCCGAGACGAGAGGGGAAAAGTCACCACCAGGTGACGGGGACGGCCCTGACAGACTTACGTGCATCGTCGCAAGTCTGGGTCGTCCACTCTGTCGCAGAGGTCCAGTCCAAGCTGACAACACTTCTCGGAAAGCGGCCGGAAGATGTCGTTATCCAGGACGTTGGCAAGGATAGCCATTGTCTCTGCGAAACGGAACAGGGAGGCGTGGATAAATCAGAAATTTCTCGGCCGCGGCCATTTTGTGACGTGTGGACTTCCAACTCCCAGAATTCCCCAGCCAACAAGCCAAACGCTGTTCGCTTAACAACGGCTGCTTTCCCTGAGTGACCATTGCAAAAAAGGGTGTATTATTGGGCTGGTCACATAATGGGTGGGCTCCATTATGGCCGTAACTCGAGGACTATCTGTATAGACAGGTAGCCCTTGATTTAAGGACTACAATTGGGCTCAAAATTTCTCTTGTTAAGCCAGACAGTTGTTAAGTGCGTTTTGCCTCATTTTACGACCTTTCTCGCCACAGTCGTTAAGTGAATCCCTGCCGTGGCTCAGTTAGCAACATGGTTGTTAAGTGAACCTGGCTTCCCCGTTGACTTTGCTTTGTCGGATTATGTGACCCCGGGACACTGCAACTGTCATAAAATGCAATGGTCGTAAGTGTGAAACACAATCCTGTCATATTTTCTTTTTTGAACTTCAAACAGTCACTTTTTGATGGGGAATTCTGGGGTTTTTCTATTGTTTTTAAACGTTGTACGCTGCCCAGACGGACTGTGAGTTGGGTGGCCACATAAAACTATTTAATAAATAATATAATAAATCTTTATTTTATTTTTTTGGCAGTGGTTTGCTCTCTAAGTTTGTTTCAATTTAATTTAATTCAATTAATTTAATTCAATTTAATTTTTGAACATTTCATTAGCTGACTAAGTAACATCATTAAATGGATTTTCTTGTCCTGGTCTTCTTTACCAAGATAGATAGATAGATAGATAGATAGATAGATAGATAGATAGATAGAATAGATAGATAGATAGATAGATATCTATCTATCTATCTATCTATTATCTATCTATCTATCTATCTATCTATCTATCTATCTATCTATCTATTAAAAGGAAGAAACAGCTGCAATCACACACATTGCTCCTAGAAGCACGAAGCTGAAAACACCAGCCTGAAGATGACGAATGAGACTTCGTCGAAACGTTGCCAAGACACCTCCAATTTTACATGGAAGAAAACCCGAATAACCAAAGACATACATACATACATACATACATACATACATACATACATACATACATAGTTATATTTTTTGAAGCTCCAAAGTACATTTAATTTCATCACTGATTTTAATTGACAAAGTAGCATATATATATATATATATATATATATATATATATATAAATTAATGAGAAATAGGACAAAAAAAATCCTGATGATGTAACTTAGTGTGGTAACGAGACGTTCAAAAATTAAATTGAACCAAGCTTGGAAAGCAAACCAGACCTTAAATTGGCTTTTTAAAAACATTATTAAGTTATTTTGGAAATTTTATAAGCCAAAAGGCCGGATACCCGATGCGTTTCATTTTAACGACGGCCGTAAGGGTTGTGAAGGTTTTTCCATACCGACAGATTGTATCTGGACGGGCCTGAGTTCTTCCCGCGTGGTCAGCATGTAACTGGTCAGGTGCTCCATGATGGCTTGGAAATACGGCAGAAGAGATTCCTTGGCAGCCTGGGCTGGAGATCACAAGGGATGAGGATCAGCAGGGGACGGATTCCACCGGAAAGGATCTGAGGAATCTGGGGCGTGCAACCTGCCTTGCTATAGACAGATCTGTGAGCCAGTTTGGCCTAGTGAGGAAGGCACAGGGCTAGAAACTGGGGGACTGGGAGTTCTAGACTCGCCTTAGGCAGGACAGCCGGCTGGGTGACTTTGGGCCAATCACCAGGAGACGGGGAGTTCTAGTTCCGCCTTAGGCACCAAAGTACTTTGGGCTAACCACCAGGAGACGGGGAGTTCTAGTTCCGCCTTAGGCACCAAAGTACTTTGGGCTAACCACCAGGAGACGGGGAGTTCTAGTCCCACCTTAGACACGAAAGTGACTTTGGGCCAACCACCAGGAGACGGTGAGTTCTAGTCCCGCCTTAGGCACAAAAGTGACTTTGGGCCAATCACCAGGAGATGGGGAGTTCTAGTCCCATCTTAGGCACAAAAGTGACTTTGGGCCAACCACCAGGAGACGGGGAATTCTAGTCCCGTCTTAGGCACGAAAGTGACTTTGGGCCAACCACCAGGAGACGAGGAGATCTAGTCCCGCTTTAGACACAAAAGTGACTTTGGGCCAATCACCAGGAGACGGGGAGTTCTAGTCCCGTTTTAGGCACGAAAATGACTTTGGGCCAATCACTAGGAGATGAGGAGTTCTAGTCCCGTCTTAGGCACGAAAGTGACTTTGGGCCAATCACCAGGAGACGGGGAATTCTAGTCCTGCCTTAGGCATGAAAGCCGGCTGGGTGACTTTGGGCCAATCACCAGGAGACGGTGAGTTCTAGTTCTATCTCAGGTGTAAAGGTGGGCCAGTTCCTCTCTCAGGGTGTATGCGCATTTGGGTCTGTGTGTGTCAGGAGATCGGCCTACCAATGGCTCCGATGGCGCTAACTGCCAGCTCCTTGGTGCGGGGAGTTCCGGAGGAGGTCAAGGTGTCGAGCATCCTCTCCATCAGAGCTGGCAAGTAGGGCGCAATCTTGTCTTCTGTTGGGAGCAGAGAGAAATTTGTTAATAATTCAGCTATCATGTCATAATACAGATAGTCCTGGATTTCCAACCGTTCTGTTTAGTGACCGTTCGAAGTTACAACGGCACTGAAAAAAGGGACTTTATGACCGTTTTTCACACTTAATGACCGTCTGAAGCATTCCCACAGTCACGTGATTTACATTCGGATGCTTGGCAACGGGCTCACATTTACGACGGTCGCAGTGTCCCGGGGTCACATGATTCCCCCTTCTGACAAGCAAAGTCAACAGGGAAGCCAGATTCACTTAAGGACCATGGGACTAATTTAACAAACTGCAGCGTTTCACTTCACCAACGCGGCAAGAAGAGTCGTAAAATGGGGCAAATTTCTCCCTTAGCAACCGAAATTCTGGGCTCAATCGTGGTCAATAAGCCGAGGACCACCTGTACAGTTCAGAGACACAGCTACCAAAGCCACATTTTATTGTGTTTCTCGACCTGCATCACTTTAAGAGAGGCGGACTTCAACTCCCAGAATTCCCTAGTCCGCATAAAAGAATTCTGGGAGTTGAAGTCCTCCCCTCTTAAATTTCCTGCAGCAGAAGAACACAGCTTGAGGGCTTATGCTAAAACCTTTTAGGTGGTTCTCAATGTACGACCGTTCGCTTAATGACCATTGCAAAAAAAAAAGTGTCATAAAATCGGATTGGTCACACAAACACTCGCTTAATGACCACAATTCCAGGCTCAATGATGGTCGTAAGTCGAGGACTACTTATGCAGGCCAGAAAATTGATTTATTTGGAAAACTAAGTTTCGGGAGTCTCACCCAGATTCTCCACAAAGTTCTCCAGAGCGTAGTAGGCCTTGGCCAGGTGGGTCGTGTGGGCCAGCTGGACCCCCTCCAGGTAGCGCAGCAGGAGGGGCATAATTTCATCCGAAAAACGAGCGATGTCCGGCTACGGTTAGGAAAGATTAAAAAAAAAATGAGGACAAAATTTAGCAACTCGATAAAAACTAAAGCATGGATTTTATAGGGCGAGCGGTCCTCGCTTTAACAGTCCTTCCTTTAACGGCCGTTTGAAATTACGGGGCCAAAAAAAAAGGGACTGAAGACCGGTCCTCGGTTTTATGACCGTCGCAGCTTTCCCGCGGTCGCAGAATCACAAGCTGGGAACTCGGGAACTCGTTCACCCAAATTTTGATCCTGTAAAGTGTGAAGATGTTGCACCGGTCGTAAGTGCGAGGACCGGTCGTCCCTTTTTTCAGGGCTGTCGTAACTTCGGTCATTAAATGAATGTTTCCAAGTCGATAATGACCTGTGTGGATTTTTTTCATTTTTAAAAAATGTGAAGCCAACAAAAAGTCTATTTTTGGAATCAGGCAGCCCTGAAATCTGAGAAATAAATATATTAAATAAATTAATTAAATAAATAAATTAAATAAAAAGACCATGAATTGGTTTTGCGACTGAGGGGAATATTTCTTAATTTAATTTAATTAAATTTAATAACTTAATGAAATTTAATAACATAATTTAATCTTTTAATTTAATTTAATTATTTGCGAGGACCGGTTATCACTTTTTTCAGGGCTGTCGTAACTTCGGTCATTAAATGAATGTTTCAAGTCGAGGATGACCTGTGTGGGGGTTTTAAAAAAAATTTGAAGCCACCAAAAGTCCATTTTTGGAGTCAGGCAACCCTGAAATCTGAGAGATAAATATATTAAATAAAAACCCAACGGATTGGTTTTGTGACTGAGGTAAAATTTTTCTTTCTTAATAACGGGATTCAAACTTTGGATTGCAGGGAGACGTGAAGCACAGGATGCATCTGCCTGCAAATGGGAGCTTCGAACTTGGAGAGCATAAAGATAAACATTATTTAATACTAGTCCCAAAAGTGGTTTTTTTCAAGAGGCAAACTGGACTTTCTGGTTTTTCTTTGAAGACGTTTCGCTTCTCATCCAAGAAGCTTCTTCAGCTCTGACTGGATTGTGAGGAACGATTGTGAGGAAAGAGTGGCCTTTGTCTTTTAAATGCAGATGGACGGCTGAAATAAGTCCTGATGGGTTTCTTCTATGTCGTGCCCTGCGGTTGTGAAGTGGTTGTTTTGTTTCCCCAATGTCCAGATCTGCACAGGGCTCCCTGCATTGGACTGCATAGACTGCCTCAATGACTCTCTAAAAAAGGATGCAAATGACCAGCTGTCTCCAAGGAGTATTAAATCCTTCCGTCCTCCATCATCCAGTCAGAGCTGAAGAAGCTTCTTGGATGAGAAGCGAAATGTCTTCAAGGAAAAACCAGATGCCTCTTGAAAAAGCATCTTTGGGACAACCATGACCTGGATGATGACTGAGAAATTTTGTTTGTTTGTTTGTTTGTTTAATGACTCCGTAATCCCTTGCGGGGTGGAGTCTGAGCAACCGAACGGAGCTGAGTGTTTACTGGCCGGATGCCTTTCCTGTCGCCAATGCGGAGTTCGCAGCAGATATAGTCTCAATGTACTCAGTGAGAGAGAGAGAAATATCCGTCTCTACCTAGGATCGAACTCATAGTCTCCTGATTATGAAGGCAAGAGCTCTACCTCTAGACCACCTGGATGACCGAGAATCTCCATGGATATTTAATAATAGCTTAACTTTTAATTTAATAAGTAGTCATTATTCAAATGATAAACTGCTTTCTCCTTTCGACTCACCTGCAGATTCTCGGAGAACTGGCCCAAGGCGAACAGTGCCGCATTGCGTACTACCTGGCTGTCGTCCGTCAATGCTCGGCACACCACCTGGAGCATGGGCTGAAGATGTCTGTGGAGAGATGGACATATATGAAGGAGACCTAGAGCATCTCAAGAGAACCCCCGAGCCAAAATCGGGTTGGGGTTACGATTTATCTCCCTTATAGCCGTTAAGTCGAGGACTGTGTTCTGTCCCCGTTCCACTCATGCAGCCCCACAGACGGCCCGGAGTTAATAAGCCACACCACAAAATTCTTTGAAAATAAAGCTGGCAGCAACCCAGTGGCTAGCTGCCAATTCAGACTTTACTCACACAAAACAAAGATTAGACTGCCAGCATTCCGATAAAACAGGCAGAGTTTTCAACAATACAAGGATTAATCCAAATGCAGTCCGATAAAGCAGGCAAAGTCCAGTAACGCAGAGATCATGGATTATTTCTAGTTTTTGCTCGTCACAAACTGAACCGGCCACCGCACCCACATTTATACCCTGTGGGGTGTGGTCCAGTGACTCAGCTAATCTCTGGCACGCCTTCCCCTCTGCTGCGCACGCTTCTCCCTGCGCCTCTGGCGAGGGTCCAGCCAGCACTTATCTCCTTCGTCGCTGTCCACCTGTGGCTACGGGGACGTGCTTGGCTCTGAGCCTATCATTTGGCCTTCAGTGTCCTCCGGAGGCATTGCCAGAGAGGAGGGTCCTGGAGAGGGAGGCCTTGCCAACTCCTCTTCCTCACTCTCAGAGTCTGCATCTGTCGATAGCCCAGGCTCAGGCAACGGAGCCACAACACTCTGCCTGTGATTGGAACATAGGGCCTGATCGCAAACCGACCGGGTTACGTACTTGTTACGGATGTGATCTCCGCAGCCTTCGGCCAGCACCGCCAAACACATGAGGCCGGCCTTCCGGTGGTAAGGGTTGGGGCTCAAAAGCGCCGGTTCCATTAGAGGGGTCTGGAGGAGGGGGGGGGCAAACCGACAGGAGTGCTATTATGGCCTGGCTGGCCCCCTTTGTCGTCATTTTGAAACCCACCGTCCCAAAAAAATGTTCCTACTCACCAGCTGGGGGAAAAGCTTTTCGGGGGGCAGGTACAGAGCCAGCATGTCAATCACCTGTTGGGGGGGAGGGAGAAGGAAGGTTTGATGGCAGATCCTATAGGGCAGGTGCCTCCAAACTTGGGAAGGTTAAGACGGGTGGACTTCAACTCCCAGAATTCCCCAGCCAGCATAGCTCTGCTGGCTGGAGAATTCTGGGAGTTGAAGTCCACCCGTCTTAACCTTGTCAAGATTGGAGATTCGCTGCTCTAGATTCTCACGTGACCCTAAACCATAATCTGCTGTATTCTCTGTTTTGGGCATGGTGTAATCATAGCTCTGCTGGGAATAAGCCAAGATTTGTGGTTTATTGTGCTGGGGAAACTCCACCCATTGAATCGCACTCCACAAACTGCCGATTGAAGTGCAGCAGTCTTAAAAGTTTTGTATTGCAGCTCTGCTTGGAATAAGCCAAGATTTGTGGTTTCCTGTGCTGTGGGAACGCCACTTATTGAATCACACCCCACAAACCACTGATTGAAATTAAAGTTGCAAATTTGGAGAGCCCTCACTTGACCCTAACTAAACCATAATCTACTATAGTTTCTCTGTTTGGGGCATAGTGTATCATAGCCCTGCTGGGAATAAGCCAAGATTCGGGGTTTATTGTGCTGAGGGAACTCCACCTGTTGAATCACACCCCACAAACTGCCGATTGAAGTCCAGCAGTCTTAAAGTTGCCAATTTGGAGAGCTCTCACTTGACTCTAAACCATAATCGTTTCTGGTTTGGCCGTAGTGTATTGTAGCTCTGTGGGGAATAAGCCAAGATTTGTGGTTTATTGTGCTGTGGGAACTCAACCCATTGAATCACACTCCACAAAACCGCCGATCGAAGTCCACTTGTCTTACAGTGGCCAATTTTGGAGATCCCTGCTCTAAGACAGAAGTCCCACTGGGACCTGCAGCAAGGGATTCTGGGAATGAACCAGGGGAGAGGGGGGCATCCTGGGAGTTGTGGACCCAGTGGCGGGGTGCGTAAAAAGCAGCCGGACACGGACACAAGGGATTCTGGGAGAGAGAAGATGGAACCCACAAAACCCGGAGCATCCTGGGTAGTGAGGAGAGTTGAAATGGGAGAGATTGCTGTGTCCCCATCCACGCCCCCCCCCCCAAAAAGCCAGACCTGGACAGCGAAGTGTTTGGGCGTCTGGACTTCCGCGTGATCTTCGATCTCCTCCTCGGTCAACTCGTCCTCCGTGTCCATCTGTCCGGGGGGAGGCTCCGCGCTCATGATGGGGAAGAGGGCGGTCAGGATGGGCGAGAGGAGCTTGTGCTTCAGGATGGCCTGAGAGGGGGGGCGAGAAAGTGGGGGCGAGAGTTGAGGGGATGGGGGGGCGCTCCGTGGCAGAGGAGGAGAGGGCAAGACGCCGTTCCGGAAGGGGGGGAGGGAGTCGGGAGGGCGGCATTCCTGACCTTGCTCTTCAGCTTGATGAGGTAGCTGACGCAGGAGAGCGCCTTCACTCGCAGGCCGTCACTCAGCTGCTGGTTGGAGGCCACCTATGGGGGAAAAAGAGGGAATCAGGAGTGGCCGGATCGGTCCCCAGCCAACAGGGGGCGCCATGGGGATTGGAGCAGGTGTCAGGAAACAGTCGTGGCCAGCAGGAGGCACCAGGGGGTGGCATTAGGAAAAAGGCGTGGCCAGCGGGGGGGGCAGGGGATGCAGTGTCAGGAAAGATGCATGACCAGCAGGGGGCCCCAGGAGGGTGGAGCAGGTGGCAGGAAAGAGGCGTGGCCAGTAGGGGGTGCCAGGGGATGCAGTGTCAGGAAAGACGCATGACCAGCAGGGGGCGCCAGGAGGGTGGAGCAGGTGGCAGGAAAGAGGCGTGACCAGCAGGGGGCGCCAGGAAGGTGGAGCAGGTGGCAGAAAAGAGGCGTGACCAGCAGGGGGCACCAGGGAGTGGAGTAAGTGTCGGGGGGAAAAAGGCATGACCAGCAGGGGGAATCAGGGTGCTGGAGCAAATGGCAGGAAAGAGGCGCGGTCAGCTGGGGGTGTCAATGGAGTATAGCCGGAAAAAGGTGAGGCCAGCAGGGGGCGCCGGGGGATTGGAGGTTGCAGTAAAGAGGCGCGGCCAACAGGGGGCTTCAAAGAACTGCAGAAGATAAGATAGCAGGAAAGAGGGGTGGCCATCAGGGGGCACGAGGGGATCAGAGCAGGGGACAGAAAGCAGTGTGGCCAGCAGGGGGCACCAGGGGCTGCAGAAGGTGGCAGGAAAGAGGCCTGGCCAGTAGGGGGCACCAGGAGGCTGGATCAAGTAGCAGGAATGGGGTGTGGCCAGCCCTCCCATGCCGGTCACCTCCAGGCAGAAGTTCACGACTTCCGAGAGATGCTGGACCACGATGGCAACTTCGGTTTCTAGGAGTTCGTCAAAAACCTCCATCGCTTCGCTTGCGTGGACCTGGAAGATGGGAGAGGGGGGGCAAGTTAGAAAAGAAAATGGAGGGGGGGGGGGGACGACACCCAATACATTGCATTTTGAGGATTAGATGAGGGGTGGAGAACGATAGGCCCTTTCAGGACGTGTGGACTTCAACTCCCAGAATTCCCTAGCCAGTCTTTCAGGACGTGTGGACTTCAACTCCCAGAATTCCGAGCCAGTCTTTCAGGACGTGTGGACTTCAACTCCCAGAATTCCTGAACCAGCCTTTCAGGACGTGTGGACTTCAACTCCCAGAATTCCTGAGCAGCTTTAGGACGTGTGGACTTCAACTCCCAGAATTCCTGAGCAAGGCTTTTAGGACGTGTGGACTTCAACTCCCAGAATTCCCGAGCCAGCTTTTCAGGACGTGTGGACTTCAACTCCCAGAATTCCTGAACCAGCCTTTCAGGATGTGGACTTCAACTCCCAGAATGGCTGGCTCAGGAATTCTGGGAGTTGAAGTCCACAAGGCCTGAAAGGGCCTATCTTTCTCCACTCCTAGATTAGATGAATGCAGAAGAGACCAGCAGCCCTCTCCAAACTGGCACCCTCTAGACGGGGCAACGAGCCCCAGGACCCCCTAAGCCAGTGGGGTCAACCAGAGTCCCCTAACCCATCGGGACGGGCGGGATGGGGGCAGGCTGAAGAAGGCCAGCTGTATTCCCCTATCCGCAGCTAGGATCCCTCAACCAGGTCGATCCACTGCTCAAAATTGGCATTTCGACCCCTGGGGGGGCCCAGAGAGGCAGGCTGGCACTGGGGACGCAGAACCAGCTCGGGAGGGTTGGCAGGAAGGGTTACGTCCTGCGGCGACGTTTGCCTGAAAATTCGGGGCGATCCAAGATAATTAAGAAATCCCTTTAGCCAGAGAGAAATTAAGATTTAAGGAGGAGGGAGACGGGGTTAGGGCAGAAGAGAGAAATCCCACATATAGGCATTCCTCGCTTTACGACAGTTCATTTAGTGACGAAGTGAGGGCGGCGCTGGAAAAAGTGACCGAGGGCCGTTTTTCACACTTATGACCGTTGAGGCATCCCCCAGTGGTCATGTGATCAAAATTCAGACGCCCCTGGCAACTGACTCGTATTTATGACGGTTGCATTGTCCCGGGGTCCTTTTTGCGACCTTCTGACAAGGACAAGTCAATGGGGGAAAAGCCGGATTCACTTAACAACTGTGTTACTCACTTAACAACTGTGTTGATTCACTTAACGACGGTGGCAAGAAAGGTCGTTAAGACGGGGCAAAACTCGCTTCACAGATGTCTCACTTAGCAACAGTGGCAAAGGACGGTCGTAAAACGGAGCAAAGCTCACTTAACTGCGTGGCTGAGCAAGGGAAATGTTGGGATCAGTTGTGGTCGTAAGCCGAGGACTACCTGTAGACCCATTAATGGGAAGCCAGGAGGAAGTTTCCCTTAATATCAATGTTTCTCAACTTCAGCCATTTTAAGATGGGTGGACTTCAACTCCCAGAATTCCCCAGCCATTATGCCGGCTAAAAGCAAGCATTTTACACGCGTGCGCACACAAAAACCGCACCTCGTTCACGTGAATGAGTTCCCGGATGGCTGCTATCACTTTGGGCATCATGGAAGACATCAGAGTCTGTGGGGAAAAAAAGGAGAACCGACATCCAAAGGGAGAAAACGATGATTTAATTACACTTAAAAATTAAATCCAATTCTCAACTTCAGCCATTTTAAGACGAGTGGACTTCCATCTCCCAGAATTCCCCAGTCAGCTCTGGAGGCGACCATTAAAAACACGAGAGTTCACCTGGATTCAAAGGGATTTTGATTTTAAGCGCCTCATTTTGCCAATCGATAAATATAAAGCATATGATGCATTATCATCATCGTCTTTTAATGACTTGCGGGGTGGAGTCTGGGCAACTGAATGGAGCTGAATGTTTACTGGCCGGATGCCTTTCCTGTTGCAAATACGGAGTTACATATATTCAGCAGATAAATTCTCAACATGCCGAGAGAGAAAAAAATATCTGCCTCTACCTTAGGATCGAACTCACAGCCTCCTGATTGTGAGACGAGAGCTCCACTTCTGCACCATTCAAATTAAAGCATACGACTGATCCACTAAAATCGATCCGCCAGAGATCCAGTTTCAAAAAAGATTATTTCCCCCCAAAAAAGGGCATTGTGTAGTCCAGAGGAGAAGATTGAGTGGATCTTTAGACCAGCAGCCACTGCCAATCCAGCCGGGAGGGAGGGGGGAAGGTTCACAGGAGCATTGAGAGGGGCGCAGATGAACCTGTATCTGGTGGCAGAGAGTTCCCCTGACCCTTTGAGGTACTTTCTACCAGCAACGTCCTTCGAAGGCTTCGGCCTCAAAAACAGGAGGAAGAAAAAGAGGAGAGGTAGGACGAAAGAGGAAGAGGAGGGACTACCCACCACTTCGTCGGAGCTCAGCCCACCAACCACGGCACTCAAGCTCCGGAGGGAGTAGTAGAGGACGGCCGGCTGACTCCGGTTGTTGAGCGTCTGATGGAAGAGGCGCAGGAGGTCCTTGTAGTAGGGAGCGAACTGGTCTGGGTCCAGATCCAAGGCGGACTGCAGCAGCAGCAATGCCATCTGCGAACCACAAGGGGGGGGTTGAGAGACGGATTGGTCTAGTGGTTAAAGCACCTGGCTAGAAGCCAGGAAGTTGGGAGTTCTAGTCCTGCCTTAGGTGTGAAAGCCGGCTGGGTGACTTTGGGCCAATCACCAGGAGATGGGGAGTTCTAATCCCGCCTTAGACGTAAAAGCCGGCTAGGTGATATTGGGCCAATCACCAGGAGACGGGGAGTTCTAGTTCTGGATTTAGGCATGAAAGGCAGCTGGGTGACTTTGGGCCAATCACCAGGGGACAGGGAGTTCTAGTCCCACCTTAGATGTGAAAACTGACTAGGCGATTCTGGACCAATCACCAAGAGATGGGTGAGTTCTAGTTCTGCCTTAGGCACGAAAGCCGGCTGGGAGACTTTGGGCCCGTCCCTCTTTCTTAGCCCAACCCACCTCACAGGGTTTGTTGTTGTTGTGGGAAAAAATAAGGAGGACGGAGTATCGTTAGGTATGTTTGCCGCCTTGAGCTATTTGTAAAAATAATGAAGGTGGGAAATGAAAGAAAGAAAGAAAGAAAGAAAGAAAAGAAAGAAAGAAAGAAAGAAAGAAAGAAAGAAAGAAAGAAAGATGATTGATAGAAGATAGATGAATAGATAGATAGATGGAAGGACGGAAGGATAGATAAGAGATAGATATATAAATATAGATATAGATGGAGGGAGGGAGGGAGGGAGGGAGGGATAAAGAGATAGATATATAATTATAGATATAGGTAGATGATTGATAGACGATAGATGAATAGATAGACAGATAGATAGATGGATAGATTGAGAGAAGGAGAGAGGGAGGGAGAGAGAGAGGGAGGGAGGGAGAGAGAGAGAGAGACAGAGAGATAGACGGGAGGAAGGGAGGGAGGGATAGATAAGAGATAGATATATAAATATATAGATAGATAGATAGATAGATAGATGGATAAGAGATAGATATATAAATATAGATATAGATGGAGGGAGGGAGGGAGGGAGGGATAAAGAGATAGATATATAATTATAGATATAGGTAGATGATTGATAGACGATAGATGAATAGATAGACAGATAGATAGATGGATAGATTGAGAGAAGGAGAGAGGGAGGGAGAGAGAGAGGGAGGGAGGGAGAGAGAGAGAGACAGAGAGAGAGACGGGAGGAAGGGAGGGAGGGATAGATAAGAGATAGATATATAAATATATAGATAGATAGATAGATAGATAGATAGATAGATAGATAGATGGATAAGAGATAGATATATAAATATAAATTACAAACTATTCTAAAAATAGTTTATAAATATAAATATAGATATAGATAGATTGATAGAAGATAGATGAATAGATAGATAGATAGATATATAGATAGATGGATTAAAGATAGATAGATAGATAGATAGATAGATAGATAGATAGACAGATAGATAGATAGATAGATAGATGATTGATAGAAGATAGATGAATAGATAGAGGGAGGGATGGAGGTATAGATAAGAGATAGAGAGATAGATAGATGGATGGATAGATATACGGACAGAGTAAGAGACAGACAGACAGACAGAGGTGGGGGACCGATGGGGGATTCAAAGGGGACCCCGAGACGCTTCCCTCCCTTCCCCGTCCTGACCCACCTGGCACTTGTCGGGGTCTCGGGAGCGGGCCCCATGCTGAATGCTCTGAAGCATCTGGGGCCATTTCTCCAAGGTCTCGTTCTTCAGGATGACGGCCGCCAGCTGGGCTAAGCCCAGGGAGGCTTTATGGCTGGAAAAGACGGTTTATCTTTGGGGGAGGAGAGGCCGGGGGGGGGGGGGGGGGGGGGGGGGGGGGGGGGAACTAACCCCCCCCCCCCCACAAGAGCCTCCCCGAGCAGGAGTACTCACTCTGTCTGCTGTTGGAAGCTGTTTAGCACCAAGGACTTCAGCCTGAAAGAGACAAGATTTGGGGGGGGGGAGGTTTTAATTCTGAAATAAAAATACACCCTCTTAGCTTAGTAAGTCACATTGCTGAACCCCTTTGGGTCTGTGGTGGCCCGAGTGTTCTGCCAGCGAAAACGGGCTCCCGAGTTCCGTTTTCGGCTGCGACGGCCTCCTGCAACCCTCTGCCAACGAAAACAGAGCTCAGGAGGGTTTTCGCCGGCAGAGGTATCATGGGCCAGTCCTTAGCTAAGCGCCCTGTTTCCAGGGCAAGATTTAAGCATCCTGTCGGCCGGATCTGGCCCGCAGGCCTGGGCTACAGACACCCCCTGGGATAAGAGGTCAAGGCGGCCATATTGTTGTGGCCCGTCAGCGGCCTGTGCAACCAGTAGCTGATTCCGACAACGAGGAGGCTGGTGTGGTGCTGCGCCAGCAGCCTGTGCAGCTGGCACTCGAGTCAGACAGTGAGGAGGCTGGAGAAGATGTGGTGCCAGAGACGGGGATTCAGCCAGGGCCTTCAGAACCTCCAGAAGCTCCTATAAGTGAAGAGGAAGAAGAGGAGGAGCCTCTTCTCGATGCCCGGGCGCGCAGAGCTGCCAAAAGGCAGGAGTGGCTCCTCAGGAGGAGGTCTCCTCGAGAGTAAGGCTTGGGGCTAATTGGCCACTCCCTTAGCTTATTTAAGGAAGGACGACGACTGAGGCAATTTGCAGGGAATCACTTTGTTCATTCTCCTTCGCGCCTCAATCTTAGTTTTCTTATCAGTTTTCCTGCAAATTGCTTCTGGGCTTTCTGCCAACCCTAGTAAGATTACGGTTATTTATTCTTTGGATTCTTGTAAGCTGTCAAGAAAGTTAATTAACAGCCTTTGTTTGAAAAAGACTGATTTAATTTTGTAAACTAAGGTTTGTACAGACTTTGTGTGTGCTGTGTTCTTTGGGGTCCGTAGCCGGGGCAGAACACATATCCGGTCTCAACCTCTGGCTGGCCGTGCGATAAATCGTAATTCATTACAATTCATAATAGCAGATTGTTCTTTTCTGGACTTACATATCTTGATCTGCTGCGCCAATTTTCTTCCAGTGTTTGCTCAGCCGCCGTCTGAGCAACACGGCGGCGAACTGCTGGATCTGAGAAAGGAGGAAGGAGAGAGAGAACGGTAAGGCTGCGGAGGGGAAAGGACCAAACCAGCAGATTTTTGAGAATAAAAAAAAAAAGGGGGGGGGGGGGCCTTCGGCAGGGAAAAAGCCACACTGCGCACAGCTGAATGTAGAAATAAGCCCAAGCTGTTCTAAACTTCCTTAGAAATTAAAACGGCACAAACTTAGTCCCGGCAAACCTCTTTAATTCCTACGGCTGTAAATTGCTTTCATTTACAATCCGCAAGTCTTGATAAACAGTCTTTCAGAGGAAAGTTATCAATCTCGCGTGGAACGCTGCCAAAGAGCTAATTTCCAGACGCAGGGCAAGGCCAAACTTGGCACAGAGTCACAAAAACAGAAGTTTCAACTCTTGAATCGGCCGGATGAACAAACTGCTTCCTGCAAAAGCTCACGTCCCATTCGCTTCTCTTTTATGGCTTATGGGAGGGGGCCAATCATCTCCAAGCCTTACTCGAATGCGCCGAAATGGATAAATTAACAATGGCGATCAAAGAAAGAGATGACTCGGACTATTACAAAGTGTGGAGCAGGTTTTACACCTGGTTAGAAAATAGAAATCAAATTTAAGAAATAAGAATATAAACTGAAATTCGGCATTCATACATTGGATATAAATAGATGTAACAATCCTGCTCACAAAAAATGTTAAATTACGGGCGTACAAAAATAAGAGGAGGTTTCGGAAGATGGAATTTAAACGTAAAGACAAACGTCGATGCGGAAAGTTGTAAAATTGTAAATATTTTATTTATGTATTTATTTATTGCGATTTATATGCCGCCTTTCTCCATAGGGACTCAAGGCGGCTTACAAAATGACAACTTCAATACAAATCACAATACAATACAAAATTAAAATCAGTAACCCAATTAAAAAACAATTTAAAATTATACCAGTGTACCCACAAATGGATCAGTTTAATTGGCGGAAGAAAAATAAATGGTGTTAGTTTTGAATTTTAGCGTTTGAGGTATGCATATGTTCTTTTTTCCCCCTTTTTGTATTTCTTTTGTTATTGTGTTTTTGATTTTAAAATGTAAAATACCTAATAAAAACTATTGTTTTAAAAAAAGAGTCTTAACTAGGGGTTCTCCCGAACCCTTGCGAACCCCAAGCAGTCCACCTGTTTAAAACCAAGCTTGAGTTTGAGACCCCTCTCACCTGGCCGAGCTTGTTGTAACTTACCTGAGGATCTTGTGAATGTGTCATTACATGGCAGAGATGGGAAAGGGCTGCCGGCTGCTTCAGTACTTCCTTCAGCTGAGCCGTTGCCTGATAGGATAGAAGAACAGGCAGCAAAGGGTTAAATCTGCCCCCCCCCAATACAGGTAGTCCTCAACTTACAACGGTTCGTTTAGAGACCCCTTCAAAGTTACAAGGGCACTGAAAAAAGTGACGTAGGACCGTTTGTCCACACTTACGACCCTCGCGGCGTCCCCATGGTCGCGCGATTTGCATTGGGATGCTTGAGAAGTGACTCGCATTTACGAAGGTCGCAGATGTCCCAGAGTCACACGATCCCATTTTGCAACCTTCCGACCAGCTCAAGTTCACGGGGAAGCCGGATATCCCTTAAGAATCGCGCGGCTAAGGTTTTTCTTTTTTTTTTAAATAAAGTTTATTTTCGTTTTTAAAACTACAATACTTTACATATATGCATACAAGGTTATTGCAACTAACGTACACAGGGTGGATTTGATTTAAATCGAGTTGATTGAAATCGCAATTTAAATCATGATTTAAATCACTAGTAAAAAGGCTTGATTTAAATCAACTCGATTTAAATCATAATTTTTAAAGAGCAGCTGTCATCTCTGCTACTCCTTTGACCCGCTGTTGACTCACCGATAGTCCCAGGGTTGCAGAATATACAGCCTCGTGCTACATAACTAAGCTCCATTTCATGCGGAATAAACTAAATTATTTATGTATCTTAAATAGAAAACTATCTTACGATAGATTTTTACCCCAAAAGTTTTTTATTAAAATAAATTCGATAAAAATCAAAAAAATCCAATTTAAATCAAAAAAATCCAATTTAAATAAAAAAAATCTGATTTAAATTAAAAAAATCTGATTTTTTTAATTTTTTTTAAAAAAAAATCATTGATTTTTATCCACCCTGAACGTACACAAATCTGCGCCTATACTACTAATACAATCCATTTCATTTCCCTCTCTTTTCTTTTACCCAATTATACCATAAATTCCAACATTTGTAATAATCAGAATCTTTTTGGTTCCTAAGTAATTTCGTGAACCGGTCTGCCTCTGCGCATTCTGTAATTTTCCAAATCAATTTATTTTCTGTGGGTATTAATTCGTTGTTCCATTCTAGCTGCAGTAGTGATGTGGAGGATCAAATTTTTCCTTAGTTATTTTGTCTGGTTTCATTCCTAATAAAAAAAAATCTCTGGTATCACCTCTATATTATATCCTGTAATTTCCACTATCCAGTTCTGAACCTTTGACCAATATTTGCCTGCTTTGGGCCATGTCCACCATTGGTGGTGGTATGTCCCACTACCATTCCCACACTTCCAGCATGCTGGAGAAACTCCCGGGAACATTCTTGCGATTCTTGCCGGGGGGATATGCCAACGATAGACCATTTTATAAATATTTTCCTTGTAGGGAGTTGACAAAGTAAGTTTCATATTCCTATTCCATATCTCATCCCATTTATCCAGATTTGGAGAAAATCCGAGGTTCTTCCCCCAGGGAATCATAGTGTCCTTAATCACCTCCTAACCAATCCATCGTAAAAACTGGTAGCCGCGCAGCTAAGTTAACAACGGCGGGGATTCACGTAAACCAAGCTGGCGGGAAAGTTGTAAACTGAGGCAAAAGTCACTCAAGGAACGTCTCCTTTTGCAATGTGAATTCTGGGCGAGAATAAATAGGAGCCCATGGACAAGGGTCTGAATTTAGAAGAGAAGAGAAGAGAAGAGAGAGAAGAGAAGAGAGAGAAGAGGAGAATAGAATAGAATAGAATAGATAGAATAGAATAGAATAGAATAGAATAGAATAGAATAGAATAGAATTAATAGAGGATAGAATAGAGAATAGAATAAAAAAGAGAGTAGAGAATAGAATAGAATAGAAAATAGAATGGAATACAGAACAAAATTAAGAGAGAATAGAATAGGATAGAATTAATAGAGAATAGAATAAAATAGAGAATAGAGTAGAATAGTAGAAGAGAGGAGGAGAGAGAATAGAGAATAGAATATAACAGAATAGAATTAATAGAGGATAAAATAGAGAATAGAATAAAAAAGAGAACAGAGAATAGAATACAGAATAGAATAGAATTCTTTATTGGCCAAGTGTGATTGGACACACAAGGAATTGGTCTTCGGTGGATCATAATAGAATACAGAATAGAATAGATTTTACCAACGAATGGAACTAAGAGGTGGGAGTTGGAGCAGGAATTAACCAGGATTTGTAAACCCGAAATGTGATGTAATATATATGTGTAAACCCGAAATGTGATGTAATATAAATTTACATATATTACATATATGTAAATATATTACATTAGGTAGAATAATTATATACAATTAGTAATGTTTGAAGAGTGTGTGTGTATATATATATGTATGTAGGTCTTTGGTTATTTGGGTTTTCTCCCACGTAAAATTGGAAGTGTCTTGGCGACCTTTCGACAAAGTCTCATTTGTCAACTTCAGGCTGGTGTTTTCGGCTTCGTGCTTCTAGAAGCAATGTGTGATCGCAGCTGTTTCTTCCTTTTAACTGCCAGTTAAAAGGGAGAAAACCCGAATAACCAAAGACCTACATACAAACACCCGCGAAAACCTCAGAAAACACACACACACACACACACACACACGTGTGTGTGTGTGTGTGTGTAGGTCTTTGGTTATTCGGGGTTCCTCCCGCGTAAAATTGGAAGTACCTTGGCGACGTTTCGACGAAGTTTCGCCAAGGTACTTCCAATTTTACGCAGGAGAAAACCTGAATAACCAAAGACCTACATACAAATACACGGGAAAACCTCAGAATATATGTGTGTGTGTGTGTGTGTGTGTGTGTGTGTGTGTGTGTGTGTGTGTAAAAAAAAGAAGCAGACATACTGCAAACTCCGGAATTTAAGATTTTAAAATTTTAAAAGAATTTAAAATTTTATTTTACGAAGCTTTCGTCAGATCTCTGTAATGGTAGTTTAATACTCTGACGATGTCAGCAGATGGCTGACGAAAGCTTCATAAAATAAAATTTTAATTTTTTTAAAATTTTAAAATTTTAAGTTCCGGAGTTCGCAGTATGTTTGCTTTTTTTTTTTTTTTTGCTAATAAAGCTGGAACTCGTATTTTTAGAATAGTTTGTAACATATATATATATATATATGCATTATTGTTTCAGCCAGGGTTTTTCCTACGTAAATCAAGATGTTTATATAGCCACATACAGACCTACGAAAAAAAGAACAGAATATATATATATATATATATGATATTTGGTTTATGTTTTAGTGTGTATGGCGGAGATGGTCACACCGTGCCCAATATCTTAATAAGAAATGAATAAAAAAACCATTGAAATTTTAAAAATAAAACTCATTCCTCCACATATAGACCTACGAAAAAAAGAACAATATATATATATATATACACATATATTTTCTGAGGTTTTTGCGGGTGTTTGTATATAGGTCTTTGGTTATTCGGGTTTTCTCCCGCGTAAAATTGGAAGTTTCTTGGCAACGTTTCGACGAAGTCTCATTCGTCATCTTCAGGCTGGTGTTCTCGGCTTCGTGCTTTGTGCTTCACATTGCTCCTAGAAGCACGAAGCCGAGAACACCAGCCTGTCAGAGGCACTTGCTTCCCCCCCCCGCCTTATTAGATAGAAGGATATGCATCTATTTCTTTCCTCTTTTTGTGGGGTTGGAAGATGAGCCCGATGAGGGCTCACTGCGATCCACACTGGGAAGGGAAGGCCAGGCAGGGAAAAGCACTCTGCACATGTTCAGAGGCACTTGCTTTTTTCCCCCTTATGAGATAGGCGGATATGCATCTATTTCTTTCCTCTTTTTATGGGGTTGGAAGATGAGCCCACTATGAGGACCCACGGTGACCCACTCAATCCACCCTGGGAAGGGAGGCCAAGCAGGGAAAGCACTCTGCACATGTTCAGAGGCATCTTCTTCTCCCTTAGGGGCATACATCTGTGCCATTCCTCTTATATGGGGCTGGAGGACTCACCGCAACTACCCTGGGAAGGGAGGCCACTCAGGCAGGGAAAAGCACTCTGCACATGTTCAGAGGCATCGTCTTTTCCCTTAGGGGCATACATCTGTGCCATTCCTCTTATATGGGGCTGGAGGACTCACCGCAACTACCCTGGGAAGGGAGGCCACTCAGGCAGGGAAAAGCGCTCTGCACATGATCAGAGGCACCTGCTTCCCCCCCCCCTTATTAGATAGGCGGATATGCATCTATTTCTTTCCTCTTTTTGTGGGGTTGGAAGATGAGCCCTCACTGCGACCACCCTGAGAAGGGAAGCCAGGCAGGGAAAAGCACTCTGCACATGTTCAGAGGCATCTGATTCTTCCTTAGGGGCATACATCTGTTTCTTTCCTCTTCAATGGGGTTGGAGGATGAGCGCAATGAGGGCTCACTGCGACCACCCTGGGGAGGGAGGCCAGGCAGGGAAAAGCACTCTGCACATGATCAGAGGCATCCGATTCTCCCTTAGATACATCTGTGTCTTTCCTCTTTTATGGGGTTGGAGGATGAGCCCGATATGAGGACTTGCTGCGTCCACCCAATCCACACCGGGCAGGCTCCCTGGGGTAGGGAGGCCAGTCAGAGAAAGCGCTCTGCACATGGTCGGAGGCATTTGCTTCTCCCTTAGATAGGGGCGCACACACACATCTGTGCCTTTCCTCTTATATGGGGCTGGAGGAGGAGCCCAATGAGGACTCACTGCGACCATCCTGGGAAGGGAGGCCACTCGGGCAGGGAAAAGCACTCTGCACATGTTCAGAGGCATCCCTTAGATAGGGGAATACATCTAAGTCTTTTTTTCTTTTATGGGTTTGGAGAATGAGCCTAATGAGGACTCGCAGCAACCACCCAGAGAAGGGAGGGAAAAGCACTCTGCACATGTTCAGAGGCATCTTCTCTGTTAGATACATCTGTGTCTTTCCTCTTTTATGGGGTTGGTTGGAGGCCCAATGAGGACTCGCAGCAACCACCCAACCAAGCTCCTAGGGGTGGGAGGCCGGTCAGAGAAAGCCCTCTGCGCATGTTCAGAGGCATCTGCTTCCAAAAGATAGCTTTCCTCTTTGACTGAGTGGGCAGGCGAGCCCAATTTTATTTCACCCAAAGATTTAAAGCATGCGATTTTTTTCTGCATGGCACCGTCGTTGCAATTGCCCGTCTACAAATTTTTGTTTGGACTCCGTTGTGGGGGAGCAGCCCGGATAATTTTCATTTTCCCTCCTGAGGGCTCTTTTTCTCCCCTCCCCCTTGACGAAAAGGACTCAGGTAGACTGCAGCTGGGCATGGAAGCTCTACCGAGCCCTCGGGATCAGGCGCTCTCTTTACGAGCCTGGAGTTGGGGATGGTGGGGGGGTGGGCAACCGTTGGCAGGGAGTGAGAGTTGCAACCGTGAGTTACTCCGTTTTGTAAAGAAGGGCTTAGCTTGTCTGTTAAGGGGGGAAAAACAAAACGTGGTAACCACGATTTTAATATCCGACAACCCTACAAATACAGTCGTGGCCAATATAGTGTTATATTGTCTTGTGTTTTGTGGTGTTATTTATATGATGTGTTGTTTTCTCTTTTTAATGGAAAATGTAAATAAAGACTATTTTGTTTATTGTTTTTAATTAATGGGGCCAAATTTATATATATATATTTTAACTGCATTTTAATATTTGTACTTGATGTTTTTACTTGGCTGTTCACCGCCCTGAGTCCTCAGGGAGAAGGGCGGTATACAAATTTAAAATTAAATTAAATTAAATTAAATTAAATTAAATTAAATTAAATTAAATAATTAAATTAAATTAAATTAAATTAAATTAAATTAAATTAAATTTTAAAAAAAAACGTAACCACGATTTTAATGTCCGACAACCCTACAAATACAATCGTGGCCAAAATTGTGGAAACCCTTTTGGGAAAAGTGTATTTTTGAGGTTTGATGGCTAATTAACACCATTTTTTGGGGGAAATTTCAAGATAATCCGATTCCGCTGCTGGAATGGCCTGGGAATAGCCCAGACCTGAACCCAATTGAAAATCGATGGAGCCGACGAAAGAAACTGGTTAGTCAGAAGCGACCCAGCAATAAAACCCAGTTAATAGAAGCCATCATTCAATCTTGGTTTCACATAACAGCTGCAGAATTAAGACTTGGTTCCCTCCATGGGAAGACGTTGTAAGGCCGTCATCCATTCATGAAGGATTAACTGACACGGGGATCATTTTTGTATATCTCATTTTTTCTACGTGTTTCACTTTTCTTCTTTATACCGTAGCTGCTATTCTAATAGCAAATCCTTCATAATAGTTATTGCACTATATTCTTGATTAAATTATCTTTCCACTGATAGATAATTTTATGGTGCTACTCCCCAAAAAAAAAAAAGTGGTGTTATTAGCTAGTTTTAGAAAATACGACTTTTCCCAAAAGGGTTTCCACAATTTTGGCCACTACTATACATGAAAGTCCTCAAGTTACAACGTTTTAGGGACTGATGGAAGTTATAACGGCGTTGGAAAGAAGTGATTCGGGATTGTTTTTCACACTTGACGACTGTGGGAGCTTTCCCCTGGTCATGGGATCAAAATTCAGACGCTCTGCAACGGATTCATATTTATGACGGTCGCAGTATTCCCGGGGTCATGTGATCCCCTTTGGCGGCCATCTTGGCAAGCAAAGCCAACAGGGGATTCACTCAAAAACTGTCTTACTAGCTCAGGGGTCTATAACCTTAAACACTCAAGGAATCATTTGGACCCGTTTCCCACAGAAAAGAAAACACCGGGAGTCACAAAACCCTTTCCATGCCTGACGATTTCTTGAGCGGCCACAAAACTAGCAACTGTACTTGAATTAAACGTTCCGTTTTCTTCTGAAATTTTTCTTTTCTTGGATTTATCCATGGTTGGCCTACCAGAGGTTGAAAAGCTCAATAAATTGCGTCTCGGCGGGTGTCGCACATTGGCGGTGGTGACGCATATTTTGAGTGACAGGGAGCCGCAGCAGAGGGGTGAAAGAGCCACATGCGGCTCCAGAGCCGCAGGTTGCTGACTCCTGTACTAGCTTAACAGCGGCAGGGATTCTCTTAGCGACGGAGGCAAGAAAGGTCGTAAAATGGGGCAAGGCTCACCGAACAACCCGTCTTGCTTAGCCGCAGAAATGTTGGGCTCCATTGTGGTCGTTAAGTCGAGGACTACCTGTATTAGCGGCGTTTATCACCCGTGGTGATTTTAAGTCATCGGATAGACTTCAACTCCCAGCATCCCCCCGTTTTAAGAAGCACCGATAACGGATTTTTAACAACTATTGGTCAAAAGGTAGAAGTCTCAAGGAGAATATACCCAGAATCGGCACGGAGACGTGGGGTTTTTTTTTTTTCCATTTCCTTTTTATTAATAAAATTTAACTTCAAGATCTGTAAAAAGAAACGCGAAACCGAGATGTCAAATTAAAAAATAATCCAACTTCAACTTCAACCCTTTGCTAATATACATAATTCCTTATATATATTTCTTTCCCTCCCCACCCCCACTTAATATAATATATATTTTCTTCAGCCAGGTGGGGAAGAGATGGGGAGGATGGCTCTCACCTGTATGAGGGACACCTGGTGACTATTGTACAAAGGAGGGGAAGAAGGAGGAAAATATTTTGGCGGGAATAGAGTGAAAAATTTGCAGGATTGAGGACAAATGATCTCATTTACCAGATTCAACAACAGAGATCCACCAGAGTTTTTCAAACTTGGGAAGGGTAAGATGGACGGGACTTCAACTCCCAGAATTCCCCAGCCAGCTTAAAGCTGGCTGGGGAATTCTGGGAGTTGAAGTCCCACCCAACTTACCCTTCCCAAATTTGAAAAAAAAACAAACATTGCCCCCCAAATCCTTTGTATAGATCCCTGAATATAATTCTCTCGATTCCTTCCACCCATCTCATCGATGAACCCTTAAAAAGTTGCACGGAATAAGTGAATTTTATTTATTTATTTATTATTTTATTTATTTATTTATCAAGGGTAAATCACCGATGAGACGGGTGTGAAGTAATCAGGTTAATTATGATTTGGATGCAGCCCCCCCTCCCCCTCAAATTTCACGGGAATCTCCCAACTTCCTCCGTCGTGAGAAAGCGCGGTTTTTATTTCCGTTTGCCAAAAACGGTACCTGGTTGAAGGAAATCTCTGTTGCTCCGGGACTACAATTCCCATCCGCCCTAACAGTATGAAACTCAAAATATTCTGGATGGTATCAGCTCCCCTAAGGGTTAAGGTTTGCCCCAAACAAGCCAATTTCTCCCGAATCCCGCACTTCGAACCCGTCGCTTGGCTTATTGGGATCTAGTTTGACCTGTGTGACATCAGCCTGTTGATCCTTTCTCTCTCTCTATGTTATTTCAGGTTTGAAAATGCCTGTTTATGGTTGGCTGGGATCTCTTCCTGAAACCTGAACAAGAACTCTGGAAAAAATAAAAAAGGGGAAAACGAGATGAAAATATTTTCACGTTTTCTGAATGGTCTGGGGGAAAGAGGGAATGCATTAGAAGAAAGGGACGTGTGTTGAACCGAATGTAGTTTTTTTTACCTGTTGAACTGATTATAGGGTGATAAAAAATAATAATCATTTTAAAAAATAGCGGGGGGTAAAAATAATAAAATATCTAGAAACGTGCGTCGCACCTGTTGCAGCTTCTATCCGTTTGAACTGATGATACAATCAGCAGGGAAAAGAATAATAAAATATTTAGAAATGTGTATCGGACCAAGCAATCAGATAATCAGCGGGGGAAAAATAAAATAAAATATTTAGGAATCTGTGTAGTTTTTAATCCATCGAACTGATTAGATAATGGAGGGGAAATGAAACAAAAAAATATGTGTAGAAATAAGTGTTTGAGCCAGTTGTCGCTTCTATCTGTTGAACTGATGAAAAAAATAATAATAAAATATCCAGAAATGTGTATATTGAACGAAAGGTAGCTTCTAACTGATAAGCAACAGGGGGAAAAAATATTGAAATATCTAGGAATTAGGTGTGGTGAACTAAATGCAGTTTCTAGCCGTTGAACTGAGGATACAGTCAGCAGGGGAAAATAATGATAAAAATATCTTGGGATTTGATAATCAACAGGAGAAAAATAATTAAATATCTAGGAATAGGTGTGGTGAACTAAATGAAGCTTCTATTCGTTGAACTGAGGATACAGTCAGCAGGGGGGAAAAGAATAATAAAAATAATCTAGGGATATGTGTGTGAAAGCATTGTAGCTTCTAATCTGTTGGGCTGCTCATATTGTCAGCCGGGAAAAATGGAAAAATCTTAAAAGGTTCCCGTTTCTACCAATTGCCAAGAAGAAAAAAAACCCGAACAATCGAATTCAAGGCAGTTTTCACTTTAAAAAGGTAAAAGGGAGGAAGGTATTTGATTGGCTAGACTCGACTCGTCGGAGGATCGCCGATTGGCGACTTGTCCTGACCAGCAGGAGAGAATGTAAGGCTGCTCCTGTCCCGCTTTGGTGGCCGCTGAGCGAGGGCCACGACGGTAAGCGGGGGACGCCCTCCCAAACGCCAGCCGAGAAAGGAACCAATCATAAATAGCCGATGTTGTTTTCCCCCCCCACTGGAGCTCGGCGGAGATGCCAGCTGGAAAGGTGTGGAGGACCGTGGACCGACCACGTCCGCCCGAGCCACGAGGAGCCACGAAAAAGGGGCCGCTCAGTCCATCTTCAGGTTGACGTAGATGTAACGGATGAACTTGAGGGAAGCGAAGAAGGAGATGGTGCCCAGCATGAGGAAGAAGACGAAGCCCGTCAGCAGCGAGTAGCCGAAAAACTCCACCGTCTGCACCGTGCCGGACATGTTGGAGCGACGGGTGTAGTAGAAGACGGAGTAGAGGAAGATGAAGAGGCCGGTAGAGCCCGCGCTCAGGATGGAACGCCACCACCAGCGGTAGTCCTCGCCCGAGAGCTGGAAGTAGGTGAGGGCGATGGAGATGCAGGCCCCGACGCTCAGCAAGATGGCGAAGACGAAGAAGAGGATGCCGTACAGGGTGTACTGCTCCCGGCCCCAGACGGTGGCGAAGATGTAGTAGAGCTCCACCGAAATCGCACTGCGGGAGGAAAAGAGGGGAAATGGGTGAGAGTCGGGCTTGGAGGGCATCTTCCGCGTGTCCGAAAGGGTGTTTTGTTCAACTTGAAGGTGTGAGGACTTCAACTCCCAGAATTCCTCAGCCAGGGTTCACCATTTCCCACGACATTCCAGCTTCATAATCCCACTGTGACAGACAGACAGCCTTCCTTCCTCCCTCTCCCTTTCTTTTCCTTTCCTTCTCCTTCTGTTTTTCCTTCTTTCCTTCCTTCCCCTCCCTTTCTTTTCCTTTCCTTCTCCCTCCCTTTTTCCTTCTTTCCTTCCTCCCCCTCCCTTTCTTTTCCTTTCCTTCTCCCTCCCTTTTTTTCCTTCCTCCCCCTCCCTTTCTTTTCCTTTCCTTCTCCCTCCCTTTTTCCTTCCTTCCTTTCTCTATCCTTTTTTCCTTTCCTTTCTTTCCCTTCCTTTTTCCTTCCTTCCTTCCTCTCACTTTCCTTTGCTTTCTTTTCCTTTCCTTCTCCCTCCCTTTTTCCTTCCTTCCTTCCTTTGCTTTCTCTAGCTTTCTTTCCTTCCTCCTTCCTTTCTCCCCCCTTCCTTCTTTCTCCTTTCTTCCTCTCCCTTTTCTTTCCCTCTCTTCCTTCCTTTTTCCTTCCTCCTTCCCTTTCCTTCTTCCTCTTCTTCCTTCCTTCCTTCTTTCTTTATCCTTCCTTCCTCTCTCCTTCCTTTCCTTTCCTTTCTCCTCCTTCTAGTCCTTCCTTCCTTCCCTCCCTCCCTCCCTCCTTTCCTTCTTCTTTTCTATCTTCTTTTCTCTTTCATCTCTTTCCTTTCTATCTTCTTTCCTCTTTTCTATCTTTTTTCTTTCCTTCCTTCCCACCCTCCCTCTTCTTTCTCTATCCTTCCCTCCCTCGATTGTAAGCCTGGCCAGGGAATTTTGGAAGTTGCAGTCCACACATTTCAAGCTCCCAAGGTTGAAAAATGCAGCTCTAAAATGAGGAAGGGGTGACTGCTCTACACACAGTCTACCGAGAAATAGCTGTTGTGGCCCGTACGCGGCCTGTGCAGCTGGTGGCTGATTCGGACAGCGAGGAGGCTGGTGTGGTGCTGCGCCAGCAGCCTGTGCAGCTGGCACTCGAATCAGACAATGAGGAGGCTGGAGAAGATGTGGTGCCAGAGACGGCGATTCAGCCAGGGCCTTCAGGACTTCCAGAAGCTCCCTTAAGTGAAGAGGATGAAAAGGGGGAGCCTCTTCTCGATGCATGGGCGCGCAGAGCTGCCAAAAGGCAGGAGTGGCTCCTCAGGAGGAGGTCACCTCGAGAGTAAGGTTTGGGGCTAATTGGCCACTCCCTTAGCCTATTTAAGGAGGAACGCCGACTGAAGCAATTTGCAGGGAACAACTTCGTTCACTCTCCTTCGTGCCTCGATCTTAGTTCTTTGCAAATTGCTTCTGAGCTTTCTGCCAACCATAGTAAGATTGCGATTATTTACTCTTTGGATTCTTGTAGGCTGTTAAGAAAGTTAATTAACAGCCTTTGTTTGAAAAAAGACTGATTTAATTTAGTAAAACTAAGGTGTGTACAGACTTCATGTGTGCTGCGTTCTGTGGGGTTCGTAGCTGGGGCAGAACAATAGCAAGACGGGGGAAATTGTCCCCCTTGTTCCATCCTCGGGACACAGGGAGAGACGGAGGGAAATTAAGGCACAGGAGCACAGAGATACAGTTATCCTCAACTTATAACCGCTTAGCGACCGTTCGAAGTTACAATGGCACTGAAAGAAGTGACTTGCGGTGACCAGTCCTTGGATAGATGACCGTTGGGGCAGCGCACCCCCCCCCACGATCTAAATTTGGACCCTCGGCAACCGGTATGTTCATTTTACAACGGCTGCAGTGTCGGAGAGTCACCTGATCCCCCATTTACGACCTTCCGACAAGCAACGCCCATGGGGGAAATCTGGATTTGTGCGACTCGCTTAACCACGGCCGTGATTCGCTTTAACAACCGAGGCCTAAAAAAGTTGTAAAATCAGGCAGGGCTTGCTTAACCATCGCCTTGTTTCGCGACAGAAACTCTGTTCCCAATTGGGGTTGTTAAGTCGAGGACCAGCCCAGAGGTGGGTTTCCCAAAATTTTACCACCGGTCCTGCGCACGAAAAATGGGAGGCTTAGAAAATGTGGCTAAATAGGACGGCATAGCACCAGGGCACAGGCCGCCAATACTGGTTTGCCCGAACCGGTCCGAACCGGCTGAATACCGCTTCAGCCGAACCAGCTGAATACCGCTTCAGCCGAATCGGCTGAATAGAGCTTCAGCTGAATCGGCTGAATAGAGCTTCAGCCGAACTGGCTGAATACCGTTTCAGATGAATCGGTTGAATACCAGTTGAGCCAAACCGGCTGAATACTGCTTCAGACGAACCGGCTGAATACCGGTTGAGCCAAACCGGTTGAATCCCACCACTGGACCAACCGTATTTGTTTCCCCTTGCTGCTTCTCACCTGAAGGGAAGGAACCCTCCGATAGTCATATGCACCACCGTGGACTTGTACCAGGGCTGGGGAGGGATTTCCCGGGCGATGTTCTTGGTGCGACAGGGGGCGTCGAAGGGCGTGGCCCGATTCTTGCCAAAGATGCCGCCGATGACCGTCAGCGGGAAGCCCACCAGCAGCCAGACCGTCAGCAGCAGGAAGATGGTGGTGACCGGCAGAGCCTGGGTGGACCCATTGGCCCAATGGACGGAATTCACCACGCTCCAAGTCAGGAAGAAAGGAGCTTGATTGGGGGGAAAAGGAGAGAGAAAAAAGGGAGAAGTTAAATTTATTCTATTCTATACTCTATTCTATTCTATTCTATTCTATTTCTATTCTATTCCATTTTTCTATTCTATTCTATTCAAATTCATTCTATTCTATTCTATTCTATTCAAATTCATTCTATTCTATTTCGATTCTATTCCATTTTTATATTCTATTTTATTCAAATTCATTCTATTCTATTTCTATTCTATTTTTATGTTCTATTTTATTTTTTCTATTCTATTCTATTCAAATTCATTCTATTCTATTCTATTCTATTTTTATGTTCTATTCTATATTATATTCTATTCAAATTCATTCTCTTCTATTTCTATTCTATTTTTATGTTCTATTTTTTCTATTCTATTCTATTCAAATTCATTCTATTCTATTTCTATTCCTATTCTATTTTTATGTTCTATTCTATTTTTTCTATTCTCTTCTATTCAATTCATTCTCTTCTATTTCTATTCTATTCCATTTTTATATCCTATTCTATATTCTATTCTATTCTATACTCTATTCTATTCTATTCAAATTCATTCTATTCTATTTCTATTCTATATTCTATTCAAATTCATTCTATTCTATTTCTATTCTATTCTTATGTTCTATTCTATTTTTTCTATTCTATTCTATTCTAATTCATTCTCTTCTATTTCTATTCTATTCTATTTTTTCTATTCTATTCTATTCAAATTCATTCTATTCTATTTCTATTCTATTCTATTTTTATGTTCTATCTATTTTTTCTATTCTCTTCTATTCAAATTCATTCTCTTCTATTTCTCTTCTATTCCATTTTTATATTCTATTCTATTCTATTCTATTCTATATTCTATTCTATTCAAATTCATTCTATTCTATTTCTATTCTATATTCTATTCAAATTCATTCTATTTCTATTCTATTCTTATGTTCTATTCTATTTTTTCTATTCTATTCTATTCAAATTCATTCTATTCTATTTCTATTCTATTCTATTTTTATGTTCTATTCTATTTTTTCTATTCTATTCTATTCAAATTCATTCTATTCTATTCCTATTCTATTCCATTTTTATATTCTATTCTATTCAAATTCATTCTATTCTATTTCTATTCTATTCCATTTTTATATCCTATCCTATCCTATCCTATCCTATCCTATCCTATCCTATCCCATCCCATCCCATCCCATCCCATCCCATCCCATCCCATCCCATCCCATTCTCCCAGTGTAACCCTCAGGAACAAACATGCAGCCTATATATAAGGCCCCTGAGATTTCTTAGGTGGAGAAGCGACCCCACATTCCCTTCCTTGCAAATTGGAGACCGTCAGCTGGAATCATAGCCCCCCCCCCAAAAAAAACCAAACCACCTGATTTCTGACAGCTTCTACAGGCAGTCCTCGACTTACAACAATTCGTTCAGTGACCAAAGTTACGACGGGCACTGAAAAAAGGGACTTCTGACCAATTTTTCACGCTTGGCAACCGACTCGCATCTATGACGGGGGCAGGGTCCCGAAGACATGCGATCCCCTTTCGCGACCACCTGACCAGCAAAGTTATCGGGGAAGCAAGATTTACTTAAGAGCTGTGTTCTTAACTGAACAACTGCCATGATTCACTTTGCAACTCTACCTTGATTCACTTAACAACTGTGGCATGAAAAATGGGGCAAAAGTCACTTTAACGATTAGCAAGAGACATTTGGGGCTCAATTATGGCCGTAAGACGAGGACTACCTCTACCGGAGTCCCGTAAAATTAATACAGAAAATTCAACTCTCTCCGGTTCTCTCATTTTCAGGTATCCCAATATAAAGTCTTCGAAAAAAGATGCATTATTTATTTATTGAAAACATTTTATATCGGTAATCCTAGGGTTATAACCACAACACAGTCATGATCATAATCGTAATTCATAACGGTCGTAAACCAATTTTACCATCTATTTTTATTTTATTTTTTTGCACTGGTCATGAAGCAAAAGCCGTGGTCACCGCCACGGATGGTGGTTCAGTACAGGTAGTCCTCGACTTACGCCCACAATGGAGCCCAGAATTTTATGTCGCTGAGCGAGAAATTTGTTCGGTGGGTTCTGTCCCGTTTTGCGACTTTTCTAGCCGTATTGGTTAAGTGAATCTGGCTTTCTTCATGGACTTTGCTGCAACGGTCGTTAAGTGTGAAAAATGGTCCTAAATCACTTTTGTCAGTGCCGTGGTCACTGGGAACGGTCCCTAAACAAAGCGTTGTAAGTCGAGGACTGCCTGTTCACACCAAAAATCTTATTCGATCCTAGAAGTAGTCAGAAATTAGGAAATTTCTCCTCATTCCAGAAACGTTTTGCCATTTCTTCGTATCGTGCGGACGCCTTCCTGGAGAGAACATTAAAAAAAAAGGGATTTCTCCACACAATTTGCAAAAAACCATCACATGCAGAAGCATGGATCCCTTCCTCCCGTGACGATCCCCCAAAAAAGCTGGGAGATCCAGTCTAGGGATCGGAGAATAGCACGGACGGGGGATGGGGTTACCGTAGTGGTGAAATTCATTTTTTTTTTTTACTACCGGTTCTATGGGCGTGGCTTAGTGGGCGTGGTGTGCCTTGGCAGGGGAAGGATACTGCATAATCTCCATTCCCACCCCACTCCAGGAGAAGGATATTGCAAAATCTCCATTCCCACCCCACTCTGGGGCCAGGCAGAGATGGTATTTGCCGGTTCGCCAAACTACTCAAAATTTCCGCTACCGGTTTTCCAGAACCTGCTGGATTTCACCCCTGGGTTACTGGTAATTTATCCTTTCTCCGGTAAAATGGCATAAAAGGGGAAAAGGTAGCAACAATTCTAAAGCTGACTCACAAAAGTATTGGGACACACACACAAAAAAATCCATGACCCAGTTGTAAACTAAAATATAATCTCTAGGTGTTTTTTAACAGATGAACAGAGTTGGATGACAGCCCCCATAATTCCCGGCCGCCAGCTCTACTGGTTGGAGTTCATGATTAAGAGAGTGTAGCTGAAAGTAACTAGGTTATTAAGTCTACGGTATAATGGTGTTTCTCCACCTTGATGACTTCAACTCCCAGAATTCCCCAGCCAGCATGCTTTAAGATGGGTGGACTTCAACTCCCAGAATTCCCCAGCCAGTTTGATTTAAGATGGGTGGACTTCAACTCCCAGAATTCCCCAGCCAGCATCCTTTAAGAGGGGTGCACTTCAACTCCCAGAATTCCGCAGCCAGCAGGTTTTAAGAGGGGTGACTTCAACTCCCAGAATTCCCCAGCTGGCATGCTTTAAGAGGGGTGGACTTCAACTCCCAGAATTCCCCAGCCAGCATACTTTAAGATGGGTGCACTTCAACTCCCAGAATTCCCCAGCCAGCATGCTTTAAGATGGATGGACTTCAACTCCCAGAATTCCCCAGCCAGCATGCTTTAAGAGGGGTGACTTCAACTCCCAGAATTCCCCAGCTGGCATGCTTTAAGAGGGGTGACTTCAACTCCCAGAATTCCCCAGCCAGCAGGTTTTAAGAGGGGTGGACTTCAACTCCCAGAATTCCCCAGCCAGCATGCTTTAAGAGGGGTGACTTCAACTCCCAGAATTCCCCGGCCAGCAGATTTTAAGAGGGGTGACTTCCTCGCCAAGGTTGAGAATCGCTACTCGGAAGTTTTCACGGCAGAGGAGACACCCCCCCCACACACCTCCAAATTAGATGCTAGGACAAGGGTGGGGAACAATGGCCCGTTTATGACTTTGGGACTTCAACTCCCAGAATTCCACAGCCAGCATGGGGAACGATGGCCCTTTTATGACTTGGGGACTTCAACTCCCAGAATTCCTGGCCATCGTTCCTCACCTCTGCCCTAGGAAGAAGTCCTCTGAATCAAATGTGCCATAAAGACTGTGGAAGAAGGCCTAGAGTGTCCCTATCTTTGGCTAAAGCAGCGTTTCTCAACTTTGACAATTTGAAGACAGGTGGACTTCAATACCCAGAATTCCCCACCTAGCATAGCTTGCTGAGGAATTCTGGGTATTGAAGCCCACCTGTCTTCAAATTGCTGAGGTTGAGAAACAATGGGCTACAGGAAAAGGGAAAATCGGTGGATCTCCAGCCAGAAGGAACTGGGGGTTGATCATTTCCGAGCGCTGGAGGGAGATGGAACCTCACCGGAGAAAAGGCTGGTGGTCAGCAGTATATTCCAGACCCATCGCTCGCCGCCGATCTGGCGATAAAAGTTGCTGGACACATAACCGGAGATACAGCAAGTCAGGGCGTAGAGGAGGATGGCGGCTGAGTTGATGGCCCCATGTCGGTGAACGTTGAACATGCCCAACAGGGCCATCACGATGATGCCGGTACCCAAGGCCAGGAACTGGCTGCCCACGCCCAACACGGCGCAGAGGAGGCTGCGGTAGGATGGAAACCTGAAGACGTCCGTGTGGATGATCTTCCACCCGTTGTCCCCTTGATCGAAGTCATCTCCTGAGGAGGACGAAGAGGCCTCCTCATCCAGGTTGTAGCGGGCCAGGTCATTCTTGAGAACCCGCATGAGGATGACGACCACAAAGCCCACCAGCAGAAACACCAGCACCATGGAATTGATGATGGAGAGCCAGTGGATCTCCAAGGTGTGAGGGAAGAAGCCGTCGTCCCCGTTGTGACTTCCCCGGCGTTCCCCCTGACGCTCCGCGCTGGTCTCCGACCAATGGACGCTGTAGGTGTAAGCGACGGGCAGCACGCCCTGCATATCGTCCAAGCTGGTGGGCTTCACGTTACGGACGCTGACGTTGGCGTAGACGATGCGGTCGCCGTTCCACTCCAGGTAGAAGTCCAAGTGGGTCCAGAGCCCGATCTTGTGGGTGTGGGGCAGGAAGCCGCTCTCCTCCATGTAGCCCACAAAGCCGCGGAGCGGTAAGTCGTCCACCACAAATTCGAAGTAGTAGAGTTCCTCGATGGCCTGGCGGAGACGCTCGACCTGCGGCGGAGGAAGGAAGAGTCAACCCACAACGGAAAACAAAATATGGGTTTCACCCAGAGGTGGTATTCAGCCGGTTTGGATCGGTTCACCTGAACCGATAACAGAAATCGGGGGTGGGCCTGCCTATCCGCCCCGGCTCTATGCCATCCTATTTAGGCATGTTTTTGAAGCTGGGCGTATACGCAGAAGGCGCGTGCACGAGCAAAAACAGGAGTGTGCAGAAGGCAGGAGTGTGGGCGAACCGGGCGCAACCAGTAGTAACATAATCTGAAACCCACCGCTGGTTCCACTGGACTTCAGATGTCGAAGCCACCGACTCTCTTAATTCCGAGTTCAGCGATTCATGAGAAACAAGAAAATGGATCTCGAACAGTGCTCCTCAACCTTGGTGTCTTGAAGACGGGTGGACTTCAGCTCCCAGAATTCCCCAGCCAGCTAGGTCAGTGATGGCTAACCTTTTTGCCGTTGTGTGCCAAAAATGGGGGTCATGCCCTCGTGTGCCACATCCATAATTCAATGCCCCCCCGTTCCCCCATGCATGCTTGCATGACCCCCTCCCCCGAATGTGTGCACAATCCCACTGCGCTCCCCTGCTTTTGGCACACGACGGCAAAAAGGTTACTGGTGGGTCCGGTAGGCCCATTTTTCACCGTCCTCAGGCTCCAGAGGCTTTCTAGGAGCCTGGGGAGGGCGAAAATAGCCTTCCCCATCCCCACCCCTGGAGGCCTCCGGAGGCCGGAAATGGGCCATTTCCCAACTTCTAGTGGGATCGGAAGGCCCGTTTTTCGCCCTCCCCAGGCACCAGAGCCTTTCTAGGAGCCTGGGGAGAGTGAAAATGGCCTTCTCCATCCCACCCGGAGGCCCTCGGAAGCTGGAAACGGCCCGTTTCCTGACTTCCGGTGGGCCTGGAAGGCCCGAAAATCAGCTGGCCGGAGCACACATGCGTGCTGGAGCTGAACTAGGGCAATGCTCGTGTGCCCACAGATATGGCGCCGCGTGCCACGTATCTAGGTTATTAAGTCTATGGTAGAGCGGTGTTTCTCAACCTTGACAACTTGAAGATGGCGGACTTCAACTCCCAGAATTCCTCAGCCGGCATGTGGCCGGAGACCCCTGCTCAAGATCAGCCACCAGGAAAAAGTTCTCCACTAAGGATGTGCCATAAAGACTACCGAAGAAGGGCTAGAGTGTCTCTTCTCAACCTCAGGAACTTTAAGTGGGGTGGACTTCAACTCCCAGAATTCCCCAGCTAGCATACCCAAGTTAGCAAGGGATTCTGGGAGTTGAAGTCCATTCTTCTCAAAGTTGCTGAGTTGAGAAGACACCGATTTCTAATTTTCTCTTTTGCTTTTCATGGCAACATCTGGCTGAAACGCAAGCCACGTGTGATATTTTAGAAATCATTGATGTGTAAAACTCCCAGTTTTGGATTCCTAAGGATGATGGGAGTTGTAACTAATGATGGCAGATGTTATTTATCCAAATCCAGTCCATGAGCTTTAACTACTTCCTAGGATTTAGATATCTTGTCTCGTAGCTGGGTTTTTTTTTTATACAGCGAGCCGACGATAAATTTAGATTTACAAGGTCGTTTGGCTTCCGGATTAAAATTTTCTCTACCGGATTTTTTTTTGGTTCTCTTTTTCTTCCTTCCTCATTTTCCTTCCTTTTTTAACGTCTGTTTTAACATCATGTGGTTGTGGCCTTTTTTTCCCGTTCCTAGCGTTTTGTCGCTCGATCTGTTGGTTGCCACAGGATCTGACTGACTTGTCATCCAAAGTCACCCGGCTGATTTCATGCCAAAGGTGGGACTAGAACTCACCGTCTCCTGGTGATTGGGCCAAAACCCTACACCACTTCAGACAAATGTAAAAGTAATACAGGCAATTCCTCAACCAACAACATTCATTTAATGACCGTTCTAAGTTACAAGTCCTCACCAAAAGTGACTTACGACCGGTTTTCACCCTCACAACCATTGCACCATTCCACCCCCCCCACCCCACTGTCACATGATCAAAATTCAGACTGGTTCGCATTTATGACGGTTGCAATGTCCCAGGCCCTTTTTGCGATGTGGGAAGCCAGATTCACTTAACAACGGTGGCAAGAAAAGTCACCAAGTGAGGCAAGACCTCACTGAACGGTCATCTTGCAATAAGCCACACGGGAATTTGGGTTTAACGGCGGTTGCACGCCGAGGACTGGCTGTATAGAAACAGAAGCAGGGATCTACCGCCTGGGACGGAGCCTCCGTTATGGCGAATGGATTTACCTCATCCGGGGAGAGCTTCTTCTGACAAAGGATCTTCTTGTCCACGTTTTGCCGGAAGTGGATCTCGTACATGGATTCGGCCATGCGGTCCCCGTTCAGAACTTCCCCCAAGGTCAAGCTTTTGTGGCGGATGGGGGTCGGCGAGCAGACCGGGAGCTGGTAGTAATGGTAGGTCTCTTGGGGGTTGTGGTAAGGTCCCACTTTATTGACGTAAAGCATGACTTTCGATCCCTGCTGATAGTGCGTCTCGGAAGGGGCCACGGCTACGAAACGGAGGAAGGAGACGAGGAGGGCAAGGAAGGGATAGGGAGCCATGCTGGGGAGGAGTCGGGATAAGAGGGTAGGGGGTAAGAGCTGGGGTGGAGAAAGAAACAAAAGAGATAGTCATTTTCTCCAGGTAGGAATTGGGAGTAGTTTGTCTCAAGCTTGGACACTTTAAGAAGGGTAGACTTCAACTCCCAGAATTCCCCAAGCCAGCCACGGGGAATTCTGGGAGTGGAAGTTCCCCCCCTTCCCCTTTTTTAAAGTCAATCAGAATAGATCTGGAAGGGATTTTCGGGGTCTTCTAATCCAACCCCCTGCTCGGAATAACCAAGATCCTGGGGAGAACTCCCAAACTCCCTGGTAGACGATCCAGGCTGCCCATAAGGGTAAGAGAGATTTTTTTTTTAAATGTTTACTATATATAGGATTACTGATATATTTCTTAGATGTAGATGTATACAGTATTATATTATGATAGCTAGCTAGATGATAGCTAGCTAGATACTGGTAGGTAGATAGATAATGTTAGGTAAGTAGGTAGATAGACAGACATGTAGAGATGATAAGTAGCTAGGTAGATGGCAGGTGATAGATAGATAGATAGATAGATAGATAGATAGATAGATAGATAGATCAAAATATCTGTAGATCAACTGAGTCACATCCTTTTTGCTCTTTTCATGGGCTGGTTTAAATTGCCTTTGATTTTAATTTGGCACAAAACATACAGCTGGCATTAGTGGGTCAGGGTATTGTTTGCCTTTGCAGCAGGGTATGGTCAAAAAAAAAAGTCAAGATAAGTCTCTTGACTTAGGAGGAGTTTGGACCAAAACATCTCCAAGGTCTCTTCCAGCCCTACCAATCTATGATTAGCATAATTTCTAAGGTGTACAATTTCTGTGATGGCGGCTACACTGGGGGTGCGATTGAAAACTTCACCCAGTTTTGTCTGTTGCAATGCCCATAAAGATACCACTTTATAAAGCCTTAGTGAGATGACACCTAGAGTACTGCATCCAGTTTTGGTCACCACATAATAAAAAAAGAGGTTGAGACTCTAGAAAGAGTGCAGAGAAGAGCAACCAGGATGATGAGGGGACTGGAGGCTAAAACATACGATGAACGGTTGCAGGAACTGGGCCTGGCTAGTCTAGTGAAGAGAAGGACCAGGGGAGACATGAGAGCAGTCTTCCAACATTTGAGGGGCTGCCACAGAGAGGAGGAAGGGGGTCAAGCTATTTTCCAAAGCACCTGAAGGCCAGAAAAGGAATCATGGATGGAAACTGAGAAAGGAGAGATTCAACCTGGAAATAAGGAGACATTTTCTGACAGTGAGAGCAATCAACCCATGGAACAGAAGTTGCCTTCAGAAGCTGTGGGAGCTTCATCACTGGAGGTTTTCAAGAAGAGACTGGACTGCCATCTGTTAGAAATGGTGTAGGGTCTCCTGCTTGGGCGGGGGGTTGGACTAGATGACCTACAAGGTCCCTTCTAACTCTGTTATTGTAGAAGATGGATAGAGCTTTGATTGCACTGCTGAGGCTGCCATCTCGACTTTTTTGACCATCCCTTGTGCAGTCTTTCCCTTTTATCACCGAGATGGCCCATCTTTGCAGGGAAGAGCAGTTCTGCCCTTTTTGGATCTCTGTATTTATTTGTGACAGCTTTGCGTCGCAGTCTCCTTCCTGAAGTTGAGCTGAAAGCTGGCATCAAGAGCCATTAATTTCATATCTGTCTGATAGATGTCTAATGGGTTTTTCCTCACCTCATTCATCCATCAAACGCACAGAGATTCAATTAAATATCTCCTGTAAAAAATTATCTGAAAAGTGCATTTTTGTTTAGACAGCATTCTGGGAGTCCTGTGCAAATAAGAGTGGGAGGAAGGGCTTTTTCCCTCTTTTATCTGTTCAATAAAACCAAGTAAGTCAAAACAGTTTGCTTATCTATATCTCTTTTCTAACCAAATGGTAAAATTGATCACATATCTTCACATATTCTAAATCCTCTCTTTCTTTGATCCTCAAAGTTAATCTATTCATTTCTGCACAGTCTAAATCGTTTTTAATTACTTCTCCTTCCAAAGGTATTTTCTCTGCTTTCCAATTTTGTGCAAAAACAATCCTTGCAGCTGTTATTACATGTATAAACAAATAAATATTTTCTTTGCTAATTTTCTCTGGAAGGATACCCAGTAGGAAGAGCACCCACAATTTCTGAAGGGAACCCATTCCACTGGCTCACAATTTGGGTGTCCTCCTAGACTCACAGCTAAGATTAGAGCAACATCTGACAGCTGTGGCTAGGGGGACCTTTGCACAGGTTCACCTGGTGCACCAATTGCGACTCTACTTGGATCGGGAGGCTCTCCTCACAGTCACTCATGCCCTTGTCACCTCACGGTTAGATTATTGCAATGCACTCTACATGGGGCTACCCTTGAAAAGTGTTCGGAGACTACAGTTGGTCCAGAACGCAGCCGCGTGAGCTGTCGTGGGTGCACCTAGATACACCCACATTACACCAATTCTCCGTGAGCTGGTCTGCAGGAGCTGCTCTCCCACCTGTTGAGACAGGTGCAAAAGTTCCCTGCCGGCTGCACTTGCAACTGGCTTGCCACTCCTGAGCTCGGCGTCCTTCCTCCTCTTCCTCCCGCTCTTTCTGCTACTTCTTCTTCTTCTTCTTTCTCCTCCTCTTCTTCCTCACTTTCCTCCTCTTCCTCTCCTCTCCGCATCCCAGCACCCAAACACGCAGCTCTTAAGTTTGGTCTGTGTGATTAGTGATTCTCTCTCTTATCTCTCTCTCATCTCTCTCTCTCTGTATCTCTGTCTTTCTCCGTCTCTCTCTCTCCGTCTCTCTTTCTCTTTGTATGTCTGTCTCTTTCGTCTCTGTCTTTGTCTGTATTTCTCTGTCTCTCTTTGTCTGTCTGTCTGTCTTTCTCTCTCTCTGCCTTTGTCTCTCTCGTCTCTCTCTCGTCTCTCTGTCTCTCTTTCTCTCTGTATCTGTCTGTCTCTCTCGTCTCTGTCTTTCTGTGTATCTCCCTGTCTTTCTGTCAGTATCTCTGTCTCTCTCTCTCTCTGTCTGTCTCTCTGTCTTTCTGTCTCTTTCTCTCTCTGTCTTTCTGTCTCTCTGTCTGTCTGTCTTTCTGTGTATCTCTCTGTCTTTCTGTCTGTCTCTCTCATCTCTGTCTGTCTCTGTCTTTCTGTGTATCTTTGTCTTTCTTCTATATCTCTGTCTCTCTCATCTCTGTCTGTCTCTCTCTCTGTCTTCTGTCTCTCTCGTCTCTGTCTCTCTCTGTCTCTCTTCTGTCTCTCTCATCTCTCTCTGTATCTCTCTCTCTTTCTGTCTCTCTGTATCTCTCTCTCTGTCTTTCTCTCTCTTTCTGTCTCTCTCTGTCTTTCTGTCTGTCTGTCTCTCTTGTCTCTCTCTCTCTCTCTGCCTGTATCTCTCTCTCTTTCTGTCTGTATCTCTCTCTCTTTTTGTCTGTCTCTCTCTATCTCTCTGTCTCGTCTCTGTCTCTGTCTTTTTATCTGTCTCTCATCTCTCTCTGTCTTGCCTCTGTCTGTATCTCTCTCTGTCTTTCTGTCTGTATCTCTCTCTCTGTCTGTCTCTCTGTATCTCTGTCTCTCTCGTCTGTCTGTCTCTGTCTTTCTCTCTCTCTCATCTCTCTCTGTATCTCTCTCTCTGTCTTTCTGTCTGTATCTCTCTCTCTTTCTGTCTCTCTGTCTCTCTCTCTGTCTTTCTGTATGTATCTCTCTTTGTCTCTCTTTCTGTGTATCTCCCTCTCTGTGTCTTTCTGTATCTCCTTTCTGTCTCTCTGTCTGTTTGTCTGTCTCTGTCTTTCTGTCTGTCTCTCTTGTCTGTCTCTGTCTCTCTCTGCCTGTATCTCTCTCTTTTGTCTGTATCTCTCTCTCTTTTTGTCTGTCTCTCTCTATCTCTCTGTCTCATCTGTCTCTGTCTTTTTATCTGTCTCTCATCTCTCTCTGTCTTGTCTCTGTCTGTATCTCTCTCTGTCTTTCTGTCTGTATCTCTCTCTCTGTCTGTCTCTCTGTATCTCTCTGTCTCTCTCGTCTATCTCTCTGTCTTTCTATCTGTCTCTCTCATCTCTCTCTGTATCTCTCTCTCTGTCTTTCTGTCTGTATCTCTCTTTCTATCTATCACTCTCTGTATCACTGTCTCTCTCATTCTCGTCTGTATCTCTCTCTCTTTCTGTCTCTCTCTCTCTGTCTTTCTGTATGTATCTCTCTTTATCTCTCTGTCTTTCTGTGTATCTCTCTCTCTCTGTGTCTTTCTCTCTCTCTCTCTCTCTCTCTCTCTCTGTGTGTGTGTGTGTGTGTGTTTGTGTGTGTTTAAAAGGCTTCCACTGCTTGGAAACCACTAGGGCAAGAAAGGTTGTAAAATGGAACAAAATTCACTTAACAAATGCCTCACTTAGCAACAGAAATTTGAGGCTGAATTGTGGTTGTGAGGTCTACCTGTAGTCTTTTTCTGGGGATTTTACCATTTAAGCTCACTTTAAAACGTGTGGACTTCAACTCCCAGAATTCCTGAGTCAGCCTAGCATAGCCTGCTGGGGAATTCTGGGAGTTGAAGTCCAGACATCTTAAAGTAGCTGAGGTTGAGAAACGGCTACACTCTAGGAATTTAAGATTGTTTTCTATCCCAGTTACTTATCAGCCTGAGTTTGTTTTAAGTAAATCCAGACAAGGTCAGTCAGCCTGTATAAAGATATGCTAAAACAAAGAGATCTGGGAGCTTAGGATTTAAACTGATACGGGTGTTTTTTTTTTTAAAAAAAACTTTTTGTACTTTTTCTTTAAATCTGGCCCAGCAAAGGAGGCATAAATAATATCAAGGGTCATCCGTTTTATGACAAGGGCTTTTTACGCCTCTGATGAAGCTGTTGAACTCAGGGAAGTTTTTGGGTGAATCAAAATCAAGATTTCTGATTTTGGGGGGCCCTGAGATTAAATGACCTTCAGTAAAAGTGAATATTTGTAGTTTGGGGTTGAGCTGTGGGGTCTCTGAGCTTGATTGCTTCCTTGTGGACGTTTCATGACCGAAGTAGCTAACATCATCAGTGCACTGATGATGTTAGGCACTGATGACGTTACCTAGTTAACAAGGAAATCACCATGGACCGAGATCCCCTCTAAATCAGCTCTTCTCTGCAAT